ATACCCATCACCATCCTTGGCTTCACTCAGTTTTGTTTATAACACTCTTCCATTTTCTTCTAGTCATGAGGGGGATGGGGAGGGGCCTCACAAGTGAAGTAGCCTAGGGCCTCTCTTCATCTAAATCTGGCCCTGGCTGGCAGTAGCATAAAGTCCACTCCACAGCAAGTTGCTGGAGATAAATTGGTTCTTGCACCACAGGGATCAATTGAAAGCAGATTCTCCAAGTGTCCCTATTTTATTTTCCAGGGACGTCCCTGATTTAGAGAAGGTGTCCCAGTTTCTGATTGGATCCTGGAATGTCCTGCTTTTTTTTAGGACGTCCCGATTGTCATTGGAGAAATGTTGGAGGGTATAGAATTATCCGACCCCTGAGCCATCTGAAGGCAATCCTGAATCCTGTATAGGGAAGTTTTAAAAATGTTTAATGTTTTATTATGTTTTTATATATGTTGGAAGCTGCCCTGAGTGACTGGGGCAACCCTGTAAGATGGATGGGGTATAAATAGTAAAATTATGATTATGGAAAGGGACGTCCCTATTTTTAAGGGGAGAAATGTTGGAGGGTAACTGAAGTGGCTTTTCATACAGCCTGTTTCTACCATGAGACTGAAAGCTATCATGGATTGTCCTGCTACTACCACCAATTGTACAAAGCATATTATGTCCATGACCTTGTTAGCCTTATTTCCAAACGGTCACATCATATTGCATGGATAAATGCTAGCGTTTACAGTTTCAAAAATGGGAAGTTGACTACAAAGGATTAGTAATAGTAGTAGATGATTTTGAATTTGAAGAAATCAGCAGATTTTGAATTTAGGGTAAATTTAGTTCCAGATTTGGTTTTGTCTTCATAAACATTCACATATCCAAAATTGTGAAGCGTGCTGAGTTTGCTTGCATGCAGAGCCGTTTTCCCCATAGGGCTTAGTGGTGCGTTGCGCCAGGGAGCCGGCCTCTCAGGGGCACCCCAGTGAGTCGGGGAGCTGCGAGGCTTTGCCGGCGGCTTCCCCTTTCCCTGTACGCCCACCAGCTGTGCACTGTCAACCATATGGCTGGTGGGTGAGCAGCTTCCCTCCCAAGCCTCTGCGGGGATTGCACCCCCCCCCCATGGCTGGCAGTGCGCAGCTGTGCCCCCCCCCACTATCCATGGTAATTTGGGGGCGCTGGGCGGATATTTGCACCCCGGTGCAATCTGCTAAAGACGGACCTGCTTGCATGCAGAAAAAGTGAGAGTAAATAACATTATATATCAAAATTAGGTATAAAGGCATTCAGCTCCTTAGTGCTTTTTACTAATACTTATTTCCTGATCACCCTCTAGTCACTGAAAGCAGCCCTTCTTGGATGTAATCATTCAAATAAATTCCATCTCGGGCTTTTGCTCTGTCTTCTCTTTGCAGGATCAAACGCTTTACAAAACAATCCTTTTCTTGCCCCAGGGACTAAACCTTGGCTACTCACCTCCTGCCATGCCAGTGACATCTCTTTGGAAAAAATAACAGCACACATGCAAAGTGCACTGCTTTTATGAGCACTCCTGTTATTGCTTGCTGAGCTTTTTTCCTGGAATAAGCATTGTTTAGTATCTGTCAATATTTCAAGCTGATCTATGCTAGCTATGTTCCCATCTCACCCATTAAATGGAAACTTAACATGTTCTGATCCCAGAGCAACCCTTTGTAGAAGAGAATGCAGGGAGCAGATAACCAGTCAGCTTCTTGGACAAAATGGAAGCGGAGTGGAAAGAACGTTTCATATCTAAATGCTGTCCTTGGAACAAGTGGTGTGGGCTGACTAAGAAACCATCACAGAGAAATTCCACCATCCTACCCATCAGTTGTAACTTTTTCAACAGGGAAGGGCCACACAGAGGCAAGTGTAAGTTGTGTGGCCCTCACATTTATGATGTTGGCTGAACATTCATCAGTGTCTGTGTGTGCATACATGTGGTCAGATAGCTCCCACAAATCTCTCTCTTTGGTGATCACTCGTAGCCGAGTAAGATTGTCTCCCATAAACGGTTTTAACAATGAGTCCGTGACTGCGGAGGCCAATTCTGGATCCACAGGTCCTTCCACAGTGGGGACATTGGTTTCTGGGTGGGAGTTGATCACGGTGTGATTTGCCAAGCACGCCTTCCTCTTAGCACGTTTCTCCCTTGCGTCCCGAGTTTGAGTGTCTTCAAAGCCCATGACACCTTTGGTAAAGGCTGTTCTCCAATTGGAGCTCCCACAAATACCAACCCCACAGTAGGGTAGAAGCACAGCTGACAGTGGCAAGATGGTCCCAGAAAGCTCATGTGGCTTCCTCTCTGGTTCCTTTTTATCAACAGGTCCCTCCCCCCCTTGATAAGTACCTGATGTTTTAATTACACAGTTCCTTCCTTTATTTTTATTTTCATTTTATTCGTTGTATTGTTTTGTAATCTTGTAATTTTGTTATAAATGTTGCATATATACATGTTCATATAAAAATAATTTGAATGCCCATTCACAATTATGTCTAGTCCAGTACAGCCAAACTTCATGTTTAGAAATATCACAATACACCCTGTCCTAGAATATGTCACTTCAAAATGCAGGCGGGGTTCCATGTTTGACTGTTCTTCCATATCCATTATTTTATGGCCTCCATAAATAGCACTCATTTGTTTATATGGAGGAAAGTAAAATGAGAGCAACACTGTGTGGAAGCAAAACCTACCATCTAGTAAGCTATTGACTCAATGACCCATCTCAATGGTATTATAGACCACAGCTGTTTTCTTCTCTCCCTGTGAGATTCTGGACACTGCATGTAAGAGAGGCCCATGGCCTGGCCATTTGGCCTGGCATTTTTTAGGGGTCAGTTTTTAGGGGTTTTCACTACAGAATGCTATGAAATGATGACAAAAGTTTGGCATTGGTTTTGAGGCGATTAGATGTTGGGTTTTTGGGTACCCCGTGCCCCCCCAGCTTTGAATGTCTATTGTTTAAGGGGCACTAAAAAATGCAGGGTTTAGAAGCAAAGATCACTAGTCACCAGTGTCAAAGAAATGATTGTTCAACATCAACTTTGTTGGACTGGTCATGTTGTTTGGATGCTTCCAAAGCAACTACTCTATTCCCAATTTAAGAATGGAATGTGAAATACCGGGGGACAACAAAAGACGTTTAAAGATGTTCCCAAGGCAAATCTTAAAAAATGTAGTACAGTGGATCTGTTCCGGAGGCCCCGCTGCAACCCGAAAATGACACACACACCAAAGTGCTGCGTCTGCGCACACGCAGCACAATTTAGGTCTTCTGCGCATGCGAGAGCAGAGAACCCAGAAGTAACCTGTTCCGGTACTTCCGGGTTTGCTGCGGACGTTCGCCGAAGCGGATGCAAGCGGAGGGGGACGCAAAACGGGGTTTGACTGTATAAGCACTGATAACTGGGAAACACTGGCCTGCAAGCGCTCCAGTTGGAGAACAGCCTTTACCAAAGGTGTCATGGGCTTTGAAGACACTCGAACTCGGGACACAAGGGAAAAACGTGCTAAGAGCAAGGCATGCTTGGCAAATCACACTGTGATCAACTCCCACCCAGAAACCAATGTCCCCACTGTGGAAGGATGTGTGGATCCAAAATTGGCCTCCATAGTCACTTATGAACTCACTGTTAAGACTATTTTCATGGAAGACAACTTACTCAGCTACGAGTGATTGCCACAGAAAGAAAGAAAGCCTATTGCTCTGTTTGTGGGGTGTTACAAAACGCTACAAAACGCAGAGTTTCGCTACAAAATGATTACAAAACTTTGGCAACAGTTTCAAGGATTGTAGGTAATGAAGATGCAATCAACCATTGTTCTAGTTGCTCAGTTGCTCATCTCTCTCTCTACCTATACAAAAAGCTACAAAAGAAAACATGGAGCATGTAGTTCTTTTATTACTAGCAACAAGTGATGGGCAACAGCAGCACAAGGGGGAAAGCTCAGCTAACTGCTTTATGTGTGGGCTCCATAGCATAGAGTCCATGATGAATGTCCATTTTTGCATCCCATTTGCAGCCGCCCTGTAACATGTAACAGAGAAAGGTCTCTCTGTGTGTATCTCCGTCAGTGCACAAAGGTTGTCTGCTCTTAAATAAATAATCCCATTAATGTTTCCCTGTGACATCTAACATCTATCAATCTGCCTTCTTCCTTTTTCACCCTCTTAGCTGCTCATTTTCCTAAAGCATTGTCCATTTTAATGTCATGTCTAATCTCCGAATCCATCTGAGATGGTCAGTAGTTGGAAGATGAGGCCTATATAATTTGATGCTGCTTCTCATTTCTGCAGGAGTTAGAATTGCTCTCATCCGATGTTTCATAAAGATGCAACATTTATTTAACTGAAGAACTTTTACCCATTTTTCAGTCAAAAAAGGCTTCCAGAATGGGTTACAAAGATGATGACTATGAATTAAACACACACACACGTGTTTCAATACGGTGCACAGGATACAATAAAACAACTGAAAAACACTTAAAAACAGTGCTGAAAAGAAGAGCAAATAAATTTAATGGGGCTACAAAAGGTAGAACAAATGTGTTTTTGTGCAGCTCTGAATCTGTTAGCTATCTACTATGACTCACACTAAAGTTCCTTAAAGAAGGCTGATGACTTTTCAAACCTTTTACTAAGGAGGGTTTCTTTTTTTAAGTGTGCTTTTAGAATGGCATATCTTAACCATGAGTGACCAACTTCTATGGACCCCCACAAATATTTAGATCCCTTTATCCGCAGAGGGGAGAAAAAAGTTCCCTGCAGCAGCTCAATCCTGTCCACGTTTACTCGGAAGTAAACCCCACTTACTTTAACGGAACTTTATTGAAAGTAGGCGTGTAGAGGAATTGCAGCCATAGGCTGTATTAATCCTAAACGCTTACGCACTTACTAAGGAATAAGCCCCATTGACTATAGGGCGACTTAATTCTGAGCAGCTTTGCCCAGGATTGTGCTATACGTAATAAGAGCTAAGCGGAGATGGTTTCAAGACGCGGAGCTCGCAGGAAACGAACGTGGCTTGAGTGGATTGGGGACTTCATTTCCCATGGTGCACCGAGGCTAGTTTCTCTAGACCACAGTTCCCACGAGGCAAGGCGCGAGCGGAGCGGCGCGTTGCCTGATGGGAGTTGTAGTCAAGAGGGGGAGGCGTTAAGAGGCCTTTTAGGCTGCCGGCGGAGTTTGGGTAATGATGAAATCCGACGGGGACGTTTCCCAGGAACTGAGTTTGCTTTGGGCTTTGTGGGCAAAAAGAAACATGGCTTGCATTGGACGGAGCGGCTGAGCGACAGCTTAGGGGAAGAGGGGCGGGGGTGGATAAACAGCATTTGGGGAAAGGGAGAAGATGTGGATGTAGGAGTTTGGGGCGGGAGTTTTGGTCGAGGCAGAGAGAGAGAGAGACGAGGAGCAGAGGGGGTGGGAGCCGTTCGGCGGGGCTTAGAGCATTGGGGTGGCGCCCCATTTTGTGAGTAAGAGGCATGAAGAGCCCCCCCGGGGAACTGAAGAGGATCGGGCAGTGGTCAGAGAGTAAACCCCACTTTGGACGGTAGGAAAACCAAGCGAGGATCTCGCGGCCTCTTAAGCACCTGGCAGGAACTTCTTGTCCAAGAAAAGTGCATGCCACAATAATCCACAATACTCTTTCCAGAGGAGGGGCTGTCCCAAGTCTCTTGCAGCAACAACAGCGGGAGAGCGCTGTGGCACTGTAAAGGCTAACAAATTTGCACTGGACTTTTAGTTATTAGCTGCAATAGTTCATCACAGCTGCTCCTCTTTGGAATGAGCTGTTGGGTTGGGTGGCTGAAGTCTTAAGAGGTTCAGAACTCGTTTCTGCCTGAGCCCAGTGGCAGGCGTGACCATCTGGTATTTGTGTCAAGAAGCTCTGCGCTTGAGTGGGTGAAATGTTTTGACTTTTAAAGCCTTCTGACTTAGACTGGAGACAGATGTTCTTTTCCCCCCCAGAAAGCCGAAGTGGCTTGAAAGAGGGATGTCAGCTGCTTGCAATGCATAAGATGGTTCCTGCTTTAGTTTCTGATAAGTACCTTTGCAGGGTTTGTAACAACAACAACATCTTGTACCCCGCCCATCTGACTAGGTTGTATCATTTAAAAAATGCTTTCAATTTGATAAACTCTAGCTGTATGTACAAATCTATGTGTAAACCTAGTCTAAGAAATTTAGCTTCATATAGGTCACTTAAAATTTGCTAAAGAACTATTGGATGTCAGTAGCATTAGCATTGGCTTTTTTCAGTTGGAGCCTCTCAGGTGGGTGCCATTGCCATTCTAAGAGAACGAGGGAGGTTTTCATGGTGAATTTTGGCATCTCTTAGCACTGATTAGCTAAAAGGTGGTACCTTGCGAAAACCCTGTTTGTGTCACCTGAATTGGATACTTTGCTTTTCTTATCTGTAAAAAGTTGTAGATAGCACTTTTTTGGTTGGCTAGCTGAAGCTGATGGTGGTGAATGGTGGGAACCCACCTACAGTAAAGTTTGCTTCTATTTTAGGCAGTCATCAGTGTTTCCAGCGCCTTTTGTCTCTAGCTAAGTCTTGTTGTCTCTAGTCTAATCCATCTAGAGCTATTGTTTAAGAAGCACCTGGATCGCAAGTGCTTCTTCTGTTGTTGTATCTTGTTTGGCACTTTAGGAAAGAGGTTTGGTTCATATTCCCTCTTTCTGAATTTGTTTCAGTCTGTGAAAACTTTTTTTCTTTAAAGGGCTGCATGATCTGAACAGATTGTGTGAAGAGGTTTACCACGTATCCAAGTGATGTCTCATTTCAATTGTTGTGTGTGGAAAGGTATGCAGTATTGATGGGGATGCTGGGGAATTTACATGTCCAGTCATTGTGAGAGATAATCCAGATTAGGTTGGCCAAGGGAAAATCAACCAGGTCTGACACTAAACCAAACACAACATTGTATGACTCAGCCCAGCATTTGGAGATGGGATTTATGTAACTGTGCAAAGAATAACCAAGTACTTGAAGCAAAACTTGGCAAGCACATACCTTACTTGTTTGAGCAGAAGAGGTAGAAACAACATGCTTATTGAATTACCTCGTTGGTGTGATTTCTGCCCATATTGTTTTCTGCTGAACATTATGAATGAATAATTCCCTTTCTTCACCTGGTATGAGTTTCAGTATGTTAGTGTAGTACTCACACCTGTTCATGTACATGGCCAGTGTAGGTGACAGTTTAAGTCCATGTTTAGGCTTGCAGACCTCATGTGTCTTAACACTTAACACTTAAACTAGTGTTAAGATCCATCCCAGTGCTTGATTTCTATCATGGGAGTTCTAGTCTGCTCAGAAGTAAAATGTTCAGAACTAGAGGCCTTTTTCCTAATCTAAGATTCATGTGAAAAAGATAGTTGCGTTACTCAGGTTAGGCCAGATGTAATTATTTCAGTTGCACCTGCAAGATGTATTAAAATACAGATACATTTGAGTCCATCTTGGGCCCTTGGAATAAGAAAGGGAAGAAATGGAAATATATGATAGAATCTCTTGAAATAGCTAAGTACCGTATTTTTCCATCTATAAGATGCCCCCATGTATAATACACCCCTTATTTTTGCGACCACAACCAATCGCCAGTCCAACCTCGGCACTATCCGTGTATAAGACGCCCCCTATTTTTTTGACATTATTTTTCAGGAAAAAAACGTAGTCTTATACACGGAAAAATACGGTATATCCTGTGTGTGTAGCTAAAAATTAAGTGGTCTTTGGTGGAACAAAAATGTTTAATTACTTATAGATTAATTGATTAAATCCCTTCTTTTCAATCCTTTGGCAAGATTTCCCTAATTGATCTGTAGAGCTTTTTTTTTGTCGTTGTTGTTAAAACAAAACGCCAACAACTGGGTTTGTTAGAACATGGTGCTGATAACACCAAGGTTGCAGTTTGATCCCCATATGGGACAGCTGCATATTCCTGCATTGCAAGGGGTTGGACTAGATGATCGTCAGGATCGCTTCCAACTCTACAATTCTATGATTTATTATTTATTTCCTGCATTTATGCCCTCTCTTTCCTCCATGAAGCTCAAGGCATTGTACATGGTTCTCCTTCCCTTCATTTTATTCTCACAACAACCCTGAGAGAAAGATTAGGTTGAGTGTAATGACTTGCTCAATATCACAGAGGGAATATGAACTCTGGTCTCCCTGTTTCTAGTCCAGCACTTTTCTTACTATGACATACTGACTGTTTAATACAAGAATTTATAAATATAGCAGATGGCAGGCACTTTCTGGGAAGAGGCACCTCCCATTTCTCTCACAAGCAAGAAGGGAATGACTCTTCTATGATTAGGTCTAGTATAATAACACACACAAACACATATTATCTAAAAGCCACTAAGTTTTTATTTCAGTGCAAATTTTAAACTTACCAGCCAGCTATAACTCCTTTGTTTTCCCCCACCCCCATCTCCAGGCAGTTATAGAGGCTTCCAGTGACTTCTTAACAGAAGATGTCATCTGGGCTCACAGAAGAACAGAAAAGGAAGATTGAGGAGAATAGGAAGAAGGCTTTGGCAAGGAGAGCAGAACGACTAGCAGCTCAGCAGGGTGTCGTTGCTAAGAAGCTGCCTGACCTGCAGGCGCTTGCTAGCTGTCAAGGAAAACTGCAGCAGCCTTTGAAGAAGGAAAACCACCACACCAGCCGTCACCTCCAGGTTTCTGGAAACCATGTGGTGCTGGGGAATCTTCAAGTGCCACACAGTGTCTGTAGCTCAGACCCCCAGGCACCCATTTTGTGTGGTGCCCAGCAGAGGGGTTGTTCAGAGGACTCCAGCCAAAATCTAGGCAGGCAGCTGAACAGTGCTAAGCAGCTCTCACCAGTGGGGAAAGACTCTCTGAGTCACCCTCATGGGCATTATTCTGGCCTGAGTGCTCAGGAGCAAGGTCAACCCATCCAGTGTAGTTCTAGCACATTGCAGCCACCAAAACATTGTGCAGAGCAGCTTCAGTCTACATTAGACACTAGTAGGATGCTTTGCAAAAATGAAGGCACCCCTATTCAGAAAGTATCTCCCAGTGGCATTAAACATATGGCACCAGTGGACACCAGTGGCATTGTCACCAGTGACAGTGAAATGCAGGCTAGTGCCAGAAATCCAGCCTGCGAACTCATTGCTGAAAAAGAAGGTAGTAGCAAGTTGCTGTTCTATGGCACAAAAAACCTCCTGACTCCTGTAGAAGGGGGCAGGCAACGGAAACTGCCTGTTTCGGAGGACCCAGGCAACGTAGCTGAAACACAGAAAAAAGCGCATGATGGCCTCAGAGGGAAATGTGTCAAGCACTCCGATGACCGTTTCCGGGTTGAAATAGGATATAATGCCAAGCTGATTGAACTGTTCAGGAGTTTGCCAAGCAAAAAATACGGTAAGGTGACTGGTTATTTCCTGTGCCTCTTGGGATTTTCGATAGATGGGGTTGTGCTAGATCTTGTGGATAATGCAGAATTGCCTTTATTCGTATGTTCTGTCTCTTTTAAAAACAGCAAGGACCCTAGCCCTCGTGTGTGAGGAAAAACCTGGATGAACTGCAAGAATCAGGAAGACGTGAGGTTAGGGTAGGCTTCTGAAGTAACATCTGAATCCAGGAGTGTTTAGAGTGGGGCTCCCATAACCTTTGAGAGGTCTCTAAGTCTCTGTAGGCCCATTGCTTCACAGTTTCTCATGAGGTACTTATCTGGTCCTGATACTCCTTTAGACACCCCCCCCCACTCCCAATAGTGGAGTAGAGAAGAGTGGAGCTGGAACTTATTGTCCCTCTCTTTGCATGCTGAGTGAGAAAAGAACACAGGGATTCAAGCTGGGAAGACAGCCTTTTCACCTTATCTGCCCCTTTCTCCAACGTTTTCTTCACTCAAGGGGACAGGCCGCAAATGGTGGAGGAGGAGGAAGAAGCAGGAGCACCTTCAGATAATGGGTTTGATCCCAGACTATTCTACCAGGACAGGGTTTTGGGAGCCATAGAATCCTGGGTTCAGTTCCAGTCTAGGCCGCGGAGCTCTGCAGGTTCCTTAATGGGTTTCTTTCCCTAGAAAGTTCAAGGCATTTTTATTTCAACTGGCTTGTAATGTGTGACACCTTGTTTTATTGCTGCCAGTTTTGATGTGTAATATTGTTTACCCCTGCTGCTGTTGTCAGGTTATTGGTGTGCGTGTATGCGTTGAGTATTGATCGTATTGTATGTTCTTTGTAATACTTTTAGAAATGGTTTGTCAGTTGTACTTGTATTGATTATATAACAATTTTCTTTTATTATGTTGTACAGTGCCCCGAGAACATCTAGTAGAAGAACAAGTTATTATTTACTTATTTTTGGGTTCTGCCTGACAAAGTCATGCTTGGAACAGATCCACTGTAATAAACATAAATGGCTAACTCATATTCCAGTGGGTCTACTCATAGTATGAGTTTGTTGGATAGCAGGATTCTCAGCCTTTTGCCTAAGGTCATGCAAAAAACATCCAACTTGTTAATTAATCTCTTAAGGCCATGGTGACGATGAATTTGATGTGGGGTGGCCATCACAAACCACTGAATTTAGGCGTCATGAAAAGCCAGAATAGATTTATTATTACTTGTCTTCTTAATGCCAGAGAGGGGCAGAGTGGCTTGTGGGATGTTATGCCGCAGGTGCCAAAATGACTCCATCAGACTTGGGTACTCTGCCTGTGTGCCTTGCCTTGGTGAGAGGCAGGGAGGGCAACCTTTTACTGCTCTTCTCAGTCAGTAAAATGTCTTGCCCTAACTCTGATTAGAACTCCTGTTTGAACATGAAAGAGAAATTGCTTCCCATTGCATTTGAAATTCCAGTTCTTTTTTGGCTGTCACAGGCACGCATAGGCTATCATTCTGTGTTGTGCACATGTTAAGTCTCCTTGGTGGTCTTGGCCTGCTGTAGTTCTGCTACAATTATTTCCGCATGCAGAATCCCATGTATATCCTACCTCATGCTGCACATATGGTTCTCAGCCAGACCTGATCCTCCACATGTCAGCACTGCCAATGGGGCCAAAAAAGTGAAACTTCTCAGTGGTTATCCTTCTCAAGGATAGAACTTCAGGGCAGAGGTCCAGGATCTGCCTCAGTAGAATGAGCAGGAGGGACTCAAAATGCAGCAAGACTAGCCTCCCCACAATTTGCAATAAGTGAAGTAATACAGTGGTACCTTGGTTCTCAAATTTAATCCGTTCTGGAAGTCTGTTCCAAAACCAAGGCATGCTTTCCCATAGAAAGCAATGCAAAATGGATTAATCCATTCCAGACTTTTAAAAGCAACCCCTAAAACAGCAATTTAACATGAATTTTACTATCTAACGAGACCATTGATCCATAAAATGAAAGCAATAAACAATGTACTGCAGTCACACAATCAATCAGTAGCTGCACTGGTGACACAGTCACAAAAACAACAAAAAAGGAGCCACAAAAACGCAAAATAAATAGCAAAAACAGACAGACCTCAGCATAACACTCAAAATGGAAGCGTAACACTCAAAACGGAGCATGTTCCGCATCTGAAAAAAGTTTGCAAACTGGAACACTTACTTCCGAGTTTGCAGTGTTTGGGTTCCAAGTTGTTTGAGTACCAAGGCGTTTGAGAACCAAGGTACCACTGTATACATTGCCATCTAAATAGGAGATTCCCTGTCAGGCCATTAAGTCCAAGGGCTTAAATCACTTGACTGGACCAGTGGAAGTGCTGTATAGTGCAACGTGTGCTGCTATGCTAGTGTAGGAATTCTGTGCGCAGGTGCGACTTGCCATTTCTGAATACATTAACAGAGCCATTTATTCTCCAGAATGACTCTCTAAATCCTGCTTTGTTTTAGATCCTGCAACAAAGATGTGGAACTTCAGTCTGGAAGACTATAGCCATCTCAGTAAGTCATAAGACAATTGACATGCATGTTGGGTACAGAATGAGTCGGCACAAAATCTGGGCCACAGAGCCTATGGTTTCTTTCTTAATATGGTTTGCTTAATTCATAGCAGAGAAAAAGTAGTTTATATTCAAAATTTGGACTCTAGATGTACAACAAGTGCATTATTATACTAAGTGCATTATTCAAAGCTAGTCCTACGCACAGTAGACCCATTGAAGTTAATGGGCATTACTAACTTAGATTCCTTAATTTCAATGGATCCACTCAGAGTAGGATTTAGTTAAGTACAACCCTAGATCTTTCTCATAAAAGAGTTGTTCAAGAGCTGTTTGAAGAAAATTATTTCGAAAAGAAAAACATTGTTTATTAGAGTGCCGTTTGGGATTATTATTGTTTAAAGAAGAGTTTTTTGTAGCACATCAGTAATTGAAAGTTCAGAATGCCAGCAAAGACTTTGCTCTCCAAGTGTAACTCAACTCACAGAGGGAACAATCCCTGCTGAGTTAGGAGTAGGGAGACTAACTGAATGTCTTCTGAGCTTCCTGCTCTGCTTTTCTTCTGCATTTGAAAGTCTCTGGTGCTTTTTCTCTCAGCTGTCTTCGATTTTCTGCTTTCCACAGGCAGTTGATCCCCCCCGGCCCATTATCCATTTGTTCTTTTTTTCTTTGGTCAACCTGCTTTTCTCTATAGTGGAACAAGCAGAGCAACTTCCCTCTGTGACTTTGACACCTCTGGAAGGAATGAAAGCAACCTCGCGGGCCACTGAGTCATCTTCTGTTGGTAGAAGTCCTCCATTGAGGTCCCTCTTGCAGACATGCAGTGGCTGGCAGAAACCATTGGCAACCATCAGAGGGAAATGTGTGCTGATTTCATACTCTCGGTTTGAAGTAGACATTGGCTATGCTGACAGCGCCATAGGGGTGTTCAAGCAGCTGAATTCCAGGAATTATGGTGAGTGATCTAAGCTGATGCCTTCACTTCAGCCGTGTAGCCATAGTCGCTGAAGCTTGCACCTTGTCTTTCCAGGTGGTATTTTCCCTCTTACTACCTTCCCTACATAATTTGTCTCATGTACCGCTTATAATAAAAGCAGGGAGCTGGCAGACATTTGTTAGATACAGGATTGAATTAAAGCTATATGAAAATATTAGGCAAGACATGCCAAATAGAATATATTTTATACCTGAATAATTTTTTTAAATATACATTTTGTTGAAATCTGGTTGCTTTTTATGCAGTTCTTTTGGCTGTTTTTGATATGTTGCGTTTTGTTACTCACATTTATTCATAAGTCATTTTTAGTTTAATTGCAATGAAAATATAAAAAGCAAAGAACGAGGAGTTCTTAGGTTAATGCGTTCCATTGGTGGCATTTACAAATAGCATGTTTGTATGCGGCCTCATTTACTCATCTGTAATCCTGGTTGTTGATGCTAGTGTTTTAAAGCCCTACCTTTGTGATCAGGTCAGCATCCAGGTTCCTGCTCTATATCTCCTGTGTACAAAACTGAGAGATGGGAAATGGGGCTTTTTTGGTCATGGTGCTGTGACTGTCAAATGCCCTGTCTCTCAAGGGAAGTATCTACTTTATTTGGAGAGGACTGTTTTGCGTGATGGTTTAGCATAACAAGGGTGAGACAGAGCTAGCCCAGATTCCACCCCGCCCCCACTTTATCTAGCCCAGCTACAAGGTGATTGGAAGTTTCTGTTTCTGTTTTTGATTAGCCACACCTTAGTATGTTGCCCGTACCCTAAAATACAGTGGTACCTTGGTACTCGAATGGCTTGGCTCCTGAATAAATCGGCTTCCGAAAGCTGCAAACCCAGAAGTGAATGTTTCGGCTTGCGAATGCTATTTGGAAGCCGAACGTGGCTTCCGCGGCTTCTGATTGAGTGCAGGAAGCTCCTGCAGCCAATTGGAAGCTGTGCCTTGGTTTTCTAACTGTTTCAGGAGTCGAACAGATTCCCGGAACGGATTAAGTTCAAGAACCAAGGTACCACTGTACGCTTATTTTTAAATACATATAGTGGAGATCTTCAAACTGTGATTTATGAAGTTGCCTTGTCTCCATTAAAACATTTTTTAAAAAGTCAGGACAAGAATTGTAAGTTGTACTAAAATTTATCCAAATGTTCAAAATAGACATATAAAATAGAACAAGGACTGTGTAATAATAACACGAAGTGGGGGGGGGGAAGCAGCCGAATACATATAGACAAGCATTGTCCAATTGTCAAAATGAAAAATGAATCATCCTGTAAATAACAGGATATCAAATATTACACACAGTGAATATGGAGGACAGAAAAAAGAATTTTGGCATTGTAACCTATTTAAAATAATCCACCTGCTTAGTTGTCACGAACAATTTGATGCTGGTGAATATATTCTTGATTGCTAGAATTTCATATAAGGTTGATGTACTTCGTACTTGCTTATTTCCATATTATGACTCTTACAGATATGAAGACTAGAAAATGGAATTTTCTCCTGGAGGACTATCTAAGACTAAGTAAGAAGCTGCCTCTCAACAGGTTTTATTCTTTTGGAGGGGGGTTACTCACTTAAAACTAGGTTCTTAGAAATGGTACTTAAAGGTACTTGACATGGTCACGAGTTTCCCTTTTGCCTCTTCTGATGCTTTGCAATGGGGATAATGCACTCACATTGAAACTTATAGGATGGCATCATAACACAATATTGTCTGTGTGAAAAGTAGACATGTTTATTAGTATTTGCAGCCTAATATTTTGAGTATCTTCTACATTTGGAAAGGAGAAGAATCTGTGGTCCTCCAGATGTTGCTGGCCTCCAACTCCCATCAGCTCTAACCAACAAAGTCAGAAGTCAGGCATAGCAACATCTGGAGGGCCACAGTTTCCCCATCCTTTTTGCACACCTTCAGTATTGAAGGCAGTTGCATCTAGTAGAGCAGCTGTTGTTCCTCTGTAGTAGCTCTAATGGGTAATTTGGCGCAGATTTATTCAAAGGTAGGAAAACTTCCATCCTCTTTGCTGGGGTGAATGTGTTTGTGTGTATTTTAAAGCCATCCTATCAGGGTTTTCTCCTGGCCCAGAAAGATAGGAAGCTGTGCATCATCCTAAAACAAGTCTGGAAACAGAGAATGCAGTCAGATATTTCCTGTACCTTCGGACAAATGTTCAAGTTCTTAATGGATTAGTTGCAAGGAAATAGCAAGCAGGCCTTTGTAGATGGTCTCCTAGATGCTCTCAGCTCTGGTCTAAAAATCCAAGACCCAGGCTCTACAGTGTGTGAATGAAGCAGCTGGCTCTATGCAAGTGGAGGCCTGCAAAATAGTGTGCCATCGTGAAGGGAGCATTGTTTGGGCAACCGGGGGTGGGGGAGGTTGCTTGGTGGGGGACTGAATTCAACTCTGCACTCTACCCCTGCTCACTATCTCCTGAACAGCTTCTCTGCAATTACTTACAGTTATTTATTTTTTCTATATGTCTCTGTGCATGTTGCTACAGCTGCTGGATTGTGCTGTGGAATGGGGGTGTGAAATACCTATCTGGGCGCTTTTTCTTTTATTAAACCAGCTAGAGGTACAAATACAGAAGCTGGATTCCATGTGCATGGCTCTTAGTTTCATTGGTACCACTGTCACAAAGAGTCTCCAATCCCCTAATATGGACTTTTCTACCGTAGCACAATTTCCTTTAAAAAAGGATCTTGCTCCTTGCATCTTAACAGTTTTACCTGTTTACACACTTGCTCAGCTGTCTTAAGATAAAAGGTCACTTGGGGACAAGGGAGCGGGGGGAACGTTTTTTGGATGAATCACTCAAACTACTGAGACATCCTGATTTTCCAAGCTTGTCTGCAAAACAGCAGCGATGGCATAATTGCAGCAATTTGCTAGTTTATAATTCCAGCAAGTAACTTTCTGAGCGTAATAACAGTGCAGGACTCTGTTTCAGCAGGGAGAAGCTTCTTTCCTTGCTGGAGGAGCACAGATTAAACCAAAGGGTGCATACTGAATAGCCTATCCTACAAGCACAAATAGAAATTCTTTCACATATTTATATGCTTTCAGAATGAAGGATTTTGCCTGGGTAGCAGGGGTCTAATCTGCTGCCTCCGTTCTAGAGATAACCGAAATTAACTGTAGTTTGCAGTCAATACCCAGGCTCTTATAACGCGAGTGCAAATCTGAGTCTGCTGAGTGTTTTGTTTTCACTGTCAGAATTATGTTCCAGTCTGTTGATTTCCATATTTTAGTGATTTTAGTTTTCTTTGAAAGGAAAGGCTGCTTGCAGGATTTTGTGTCTTTTTATTTGTTGCAGTGTCTAATACATCGTGGCAACATTTTGATTGCTGTGTCAAGAAAAAAATTAGTGTCAGTGCTAGTTTAAGATGAACAGACAGTGCTTAATCCAGAGTCATTATATTCAGCATTTTTGAAATGAATCATTTCATCATTTTATTTTTAGAAGAGGAATCATTTTAAGATATATAAACACTTGGTAATTCTCACTATTGTCCACTCCTGATATGATTCTGCTTAAAAAAAAAAATGTCTGAGAAGACAGTGGGAAGCAAAGGATGTAGGGGACTCTTTCTATTAGTGGGTTGCAGACTGAGATGCTAGTGAATTATAATTCAGACTATTTCACTTTAGTACTGTGTACAGTTCAAATAATTAGCTATATAGGTGTTTCGTAATATTTTTTTCTCTTTCACACTTGCGTGTGCAGTTCCGCACAAGTGAAATGTAATTATGAAGTTTGGTACTCTGCATGGAGTTCAACATTATAGCGGGAGCAATTTTAGAAAATTGAAAGTTTCCAGTCCTTATTCATGTGAAATTAGGTTTGAAACTGTGTGGGCAATGACCTGTTAAATCTCAGCAGTCGGTGGGATGGATCAATAAGATTTCCAGTGATCGGTGTGTGCAGATTCAATAGCATAACTTTTCTGCTTGCCAGAAAAATAATAAACTATGCAAACTAAGCAAAGCTGTGCAAACATGCTTGATTTGCATAACAAACAAACTTTGTTTTGGTATAAAGGTAAAGGTACCCCTGCCCATACGGGCCAGTCGTGTCCGACTCTAGGGTTGTGCGCCCATCTCACTTAAGAGGCCGGGGGCCAGCGCTGTCCAAAGACACTTCCGGGTCACGTGGCCAGCGTGATGAAGCTGCTCTGGCGAGCCAGCACCAGCGCAGCACACAGAAACGCCGTTTACCTTCCCGCTATAAAGCGGTACCTATTTATCTACTTGCACTTAGGGGTGCTTTCGAACTGCTAGGTGGGCAGGAGCTTGGATTGAAGACGGGAGCTCACCCCGCCGCGGGGATTCGAACCGCCGACCATACGATCGGCAAGTCCTAGGCACTGAGGTTTTACCCACAGCGCCACCTGCGTCCCTTATTTTGGTATAGAACTTGCCAAAATAAACCTGAGCATTTTCTGAAAGTACTGCATCACTTTCTTTCTTTTCCTAGCTCTCTGTTTATATTATGTACTTGTACATGTGTCTATGCACCTTGCTTAGATTGGCACTTTTCATGAAGTCAGTTCTTTATTGGCTGATCGACTGCAATAAAGCATTTGATTGAAGAAGTCATTCTTGGGAAAAGTAGTCTTTTTCTGTTTCAAAATGAAAGAACCATAAAATATGTAAGTAAACGTGCAAAGGAGGGTGGTCTAGGACTCTGTATAAACAAGGCATCTGTTTGTGTGCTTGTTCAGACTTAAGTGAAGGTTGTTTACAAATGCTCCTAGGGACACAAATCCTTCTTGTGTGTGTTCCTTTTAGTTGAACTGTTAAGGAGCCTTCCAGCAGTGGAAGTGGAGCCATTGCCTAAGCCAGTAATACAAGCCTTTGCTGCTCAGTTTGAGAAGTCTGCCTCGAAGGTTCCTGACATTCCAGAAGCAGACCTTTCAGGACTGGATCCTAAACTTGTGGCCAGCCTCATGCCATTTCAGAGAGAAGGTGTGAAGTAAGTCAAGCCCTGGGTCTTCTGAAAAACACATGCCATTCATTTAAAATGTTGGCACTTGCATTTTGTTTGAGAGTTTTTCTCCATCGCACCCCCACCTTCCTTTGCTTTCTTGCTTTGCCAACACAATCTGGAAGCGGTAACTTGTATCTCATGCTGTTGGACCCACATTGGCCCAGCGGGGAGGCAGGGACTTCCAGGGTCCATAAAATGACACATGACAAAAACAAAGCCGTGAATGGCTGGTTTCCCCCTTGCTAATTCACCCCTGCTATTATTACTTGAAGAGGATCCTTTGAGATATCGAAAGCTGACATTCTCAGGGGACAGACTCCTGTACCAGGAATGTGTGGAAGGTACATAACCTTGATTGCTAACTATTCTTGCTAGCTACTCCTTCCCCCGTGTAGGGAGAACAGAGTCTGCTGCCGTTTCCACTCCTTGAGAAACAGGCTTACTAGAAACTGCAGTTGGGATCTTTTTCAAGGTACAAAGTAGTGGACTCGTTTGAGGCAAAGGTTTCTGCTAATCAGCTTGACATATATTTACAGACTACAGTTCTCATCATCCCTGACTGCTGGTCCTGCTAGCTAGGGATGGTGGAAGTTGTAGTCCAACAACAGCTGAGGACCCAAGTTTGAGAAACACTGATTGAGATGGAAGCTGTATTTCTGCTTGAATCAGAAGAATCCGGGATAAGAAAGTTGGGGGGGGGGGTTTCTGGTATTTAACTTGCAACTAGATTATAGAACAAGGAGCAGGGAGCTGTGGCCCTCCAGATGTTGCTGGGATACAGTTCCCATTATCCTTGAACATTGGTGATGCTGGATGGGGATGGTGTGAGTTGGAGTGAGCAACATCTGGAGAACCACAAGTACCTCAACCTTGCCTTAGAAGAACTGAATTCACTGTGGAAATGGAAACAATAACCCATTGGTCTCTTTCCCTCCCCTCTCTTTCAGTTTTGCAATTGCCAAAGAAGGTCGTTTGCTCCTTGCAGATGACATGGGCTTAGGGAAAACAATCCAGGCAATCTGCATTGCTGAATACTATCGAAAAGAGTGGCCTCTGCTGGTGGTCACTCCTTCTTCAGTGAGATATACATGGGCGGAGGTAATGCCTGCATTTTCTCAACTCCTTTTTAGTCTTCTGTCTTGCTTGTCTTTCACATTCTGAGAGAGGCACCGCAGAAGAAGAGTTTGGATTTGGATTTGATATCCCACTTTATCACTACCCGAAGGAGTCTCAAAGCAGCTAACATTCTCTTTTCCCTTCCTCCCCCACAACAAACACTCTGTGAGGTGAGTGGGGCTGAGAGACTTCAGAGAAGTGTGACTAGCCCAAGGTCACCCAGCAGCTGCATGTGGAGGAGCGGGGAAGCGAACCCGGAGAGCCAGTGTGGTGCAGTGGTTAAGAGCGATAGACTCGTAATCTGGGGAACCGGGTCCGCGTCTCTGCTCCTCCACATGCAGCTGCTGGGTGACCTTGGGCTACTCACACTTCTTTGAAGTTTCTCAGCCCCACTCACCTCACAGAGTGTTTGTTGTGGGGGAGGAAGGGAAAGGAGAATGTTAGCTGCTTTGAGACTCCCTAAGGTAGTGATAAAGTGGGATATCAAATCCAAACTCTTCTTCCCCAGATTACGAAGCTACCGCTCTTAACCACTACACCACACTGGCTCTCAAGTTGTTGGTGCCAATGAAAAATGAGACAATGGGGGCAGAAAGGAATGGTGCTTCATGTTAGCCCTCAGCTTTGAGGAGTTACAGCAGTCCTGTCACTTGGCATCCCTCCTTCACTGTTGTTTGCAATTCTCATTCATAATTCCAAAAGGAGTCTTCAGAATGGAGATCATGGAGCTGAGAGCCCAGTTTAGGAGTGAAAATGGGCATATGGAAATACATGGAGATTCTTTAGTCTCTTTGGCTATTGCATAAAACTCTTTCCCTGCCAAATGCAGGGAGAAAACCTATTCCCGTCTTTATTTATGAAAAGAGCAGCACAGGGATTCTGTTCAAATAGTTGCCCTGGCCTACTTTGTCGTGAAGTGGGTAGTAAAAGCCAGTGTGTGTTTTAATTTAAGAATAAATTGTGTTTGCATATTCAGTATATTTTTAAGCAGACTGATTTTGACCATTGATTTGGATGTTTTGAGACTTTTTTTGGGGGGGGGAGTTTCAGATAGCTGGGCTTCTAAGTGCTTAAATAGCTAAATATAATGATTTATAATCCTGGCAGGAGATAAGGATTGAGAAAGCCAGCAGCTTTGTGAGATGCCTCTGGTCTGAGAATCAGGCTAATACTAATGTTCATTTATGATCTCATCATAGCTGTATTTATCTTAGTAGTGAAATGAATAGAACAGAACAGGGCTGTTTGAGTGGAAAGACAGCTGTGCACCATAATCGGCGGAAGCCATAAAGCACAACCGCTGTTTGTGGGTGAGCACCATAGCCAAGCCAACCGGACTGCAACTTCTTCAGGGACCTTGACAGGCTGGGCTCCATCATGCTTTGTGCTTAAAATTCACCTGCCTCTGAATGCGTCCACCCACAACTTTGCTCCCTGTTCTGTCATTATGAGATAGGTGTCTCATGGGGGGGGGGCAACATTCCTAGCATGACACCCATCCAGATGTCAACCTAGCTCTCTGTGAAGTGATCATCCTTGTGGGTGTACCACCTCAGACTGTGGAGATGGATCACATAACAGACTGCTTTGAAAGGAAAGGGAGAAAGAATGTTTCCTCTGAAACAAGGCTAAGTTGGGAATGCTCTAGTTTTCTGTATGCTGAGGTTTAATTTTTATGGATGAACTCGTACTTGCAGTTCAATGTCCCTTCATCCCAGGCACAGACTGACCACTTCATTGAAAATTTGGTTTCTGCAAGGAACATAATAGGGCAAGTGGATACCTTTTTATTTAGATACTTTCTTTTGGGGGTAGGGTGGGATCTGGAATTGAGTCCCCAATTGGGAAAGGCCTTAGCTCAGTGGCAGAGCATCTTCTTTGATGCAGAACGTACCAGGTTCAATCCCTGGCATCTCCAGGTAGGACTGGGAGAGAACCACTCTTGGAACTATGGTGAGCTCCTGCCAACCAGTGGGCGTAATAGGGAGCTAGATGGATCAATGATCTGACTTGGTATAAGCAAAAGAAAACAGATTGCTGTAAGTCAAACACATGTTTCTTGGCACAAATGGCAACAGAATACCTTTCAGGTATATTTCAGGTGCAACCAGTTAAATTTGTGTGCTAGTATAACTGAGATACAGTAGGATTTGGCATTAAGATCAGGGCACCAGGAAAGATTTTTTTCCCCAGTGAGGCTTGTATGATCACAAGATTGGTAAGCAATAATTATTCATGTGCTTTATTATCTCAAGCTATTATATTACGGCTGTAGTAGCTTTTGGAGTATTTTTGATATAACTTTTATTGTATGAATGGAATTGATAATTTTAGCATAGCCTTATGGTTTTAACATGCCCATAGATGGTATATTGAACAGCTACTAATTATTGTTTCGTGTGTTTGGCCTTAACTGGAATATGCATAGACACTGATGAAGAATGTATTTGGTAACGGGTCTCTGTCTGTTTTTGCTCATTAACATTTGATGCTGAATACACGACTTTTCACATAAATTGAATTTTAAAATCGGCCTTTTCGTGCACGTTTTGGTTTTCTTTTGCACGCCTTGTTTTTTTGTGCATTCTGACTTGGTATGAGGCAACTCCTTGTGTCTGTATCAGGCATATTACCTGAGATACAACGCAGGCTGACTAGGCCTTTGTGGAACTCATGCGAAAAACAGCTGGTGCAGATGCAATGCTATCCTCAGTTTCCACAGAAAAACATTTCAAATGATGTGTGCTGAGGGGATGAATACAGTTAAGAATTGTATAGCACTTAGCAAACTTTTCAAAAAGTGCCGTATGAGCGGTGTCAACTGTTTTTGAAAGGTGGCTGTAAGCTTTAGGCCATTTAGATATAAAAAGAATTTTTTCAGCTCACGTCTTTTTCTGCCTTCGTTCTTTTCGCTGCTTGAGGCTTTCCACAGGTGGCTTCCTTCCTTGAGCCCAGATGCCATCAGTGTCATAGCAACGGGCAAGGACTGCCTGTCGGCAAGATTGATAAACGTTGTCAGTTTTGACCTTCTCAGCAAGATGGAGAAGCAACTCAAAACCACCTTCCGAGTTGTGATTGTTGTAAGTAGGGCATCCTGGTGGGGGAGGCAGGTGGCACAGTTTCCCTGGGCCATTCAAAGGCAGAGATGGGGGACGTGTTCACTGCAGGCGTGAGGGCATATTAGACGCTCTCAAGACATGGAAGGCTCTTAAGCTGTAAATAAAGCTTGTCTGAATTGAAAGTTGGTTCATGTTATGCTGCCATTTGCACAGTATGAAATTAGAAGTGGCTGCTTTTCTAATGCTTACTAATAGTGACTGTGTCCTCTTAATTGCCATTTCATTTTACACTGTTCGGCAATTATAGCATACATTTGCTTCCAAAATGTATTGTTCAGGACACCACTTAGTTGCAAGAGATTCTCCGTGTATTTCTGGAAATGTGGATGTTCTTGTCTTCTCTGAAGGGTGACCAAGAGCTCTCCTGTTACCTTTCTGGTTCCCTGTATTTAAAGTAATGAGCAGCTTTTCAGGGCCAAGGAATGGGACCTAGAAACCCTACTTTCCAATCTCATGATTTATGTATCCATCTCATGGTCCAGAAGGACCAACTCATGCCAAGTTCTGATTTGTTTTTTGTTTTGAGGTTTTAGGACAAGCTGTAATCACGATTTTCTCATGCCTTTCTGGGCAACAATGAGTTCTAAGGGACTTGACTATTTTTAATGAAATACTTTCTCCTGATTGTAGTAAGACCTTACTGAAGACTCCAGTGATACATACTGTTTACCACAGCCTGGGGAAATTTGACCTTTTAGTTTCTAGAATTTGTACATGCAATTGGCTGGAGCAACCCAGTCAGATGGATGATAATAATACTAAGACTAAGACAAATACTAATAATAAAAATAATAAATAAATAAAGGCAGTGGCCTGGTAGTTTTAAACTATGAATCAGCATTATGGGAACAAACTGTGGAGAGCCTTGGCCTTATGTGTTCCTCCCCCCACCTCACTTGATGGGCACAAGGAGAAGATTGAAAACTTCTCTCTTTTGGTTTCTGAGTAAACTAGAGATTCAATGTATGACCAAACTCAGAATCTGACTTATTCCAAGCATGGTCAGTTTAAACAAACCATGGTCAAACTGTGGTTTTGAATCCTGATTTGCTAGCTAACACAGTTAGTAGAAACCAAAGCCAAGCCATCGTTTCCCAGAAAAGACATTTTCCTAAGAGAATTTCTGAGAACATTCTTGTTGGCCACTATTCCCTCTGCTTCCCCAGATGCCCCAGAATGATGCTAGGTTTGTGGCATTATGGGGAATGTAAAATGGTGGCCAGGCTGCTGTTTCTACTTGAAAGCTTAACAGAGAAACTATTTCAAACAAGGAAGGAGAATTAGCCACTGCTAATGCTTAGCTTCACCCCTGCTGAGCTGTTGAAGAATTTCTGCTTCCTCTGGAGATGTTTGGTGAAGTGGTCCACCCAATTTCTCTACACACAAATAGCATGGAGAATTTCAGGGAGGCATTTTTGTGCACAGCTCTAAAACAAACCACAGTTTCCTCAGTTCAGTCATACAACAGGAAACTGGTTTTTGCAAAATGAAAAGTGGAAGCTTTCAATCTTCCCTCATTCTTATGCACAAAGAAACAGGGAGAGTATGAGCCTGAGACTCGCCACAGCTTGTTCTCATAATACTAAACCGCAGTTTAGTTATATTTCTTCAAGGCTGCTCTGGAATCTCAGTTCTTATTATTGTTTCTTAATGAGTCTTGTTGAAGTCATCACAACCCACAGTTCTAACACTTCAACCCTCTGTACTTTCTTGGACATTTCCTTCTCATCTCATCAGAAATTCCCTTTCAAGTAAATGTGTTCTGGGCCACAGCCAAAGATTTTTCTGCACAGTTGAGTGCATCTGATGCTGAGAGGTCAGCAGATACCCAGATCACCTGCATCAATTAAGGTCCTGGAGCCAAGCAGCTTCTTAGATCTCATCCTTGCAGCTAAATATATATATATTGAGCTGCTAGTGTTTACTCTTCAGGAATAGTGCCCCTCAGGAATCCCTTGTACAAGTGTGCAATCTCTTGTCAAAGTGCCAGAGGTGAAAGTGCCATAATCCCAACACTTCCATTTTTTGGTTGTCTACAAGGTCTTTAAGGTCTGTGAGGTCTTTAAAAAGTCTGCTGGGCTTATTCATATAGAGCAGGGGTGGGGAATCTCTGGCCAGTCTTGGCCTGCAACACTTTGCTCCCCAAACCACATGCACCTACCCATCAGCTGATGTCACTGGTGACTTGCGTGGCTCGTGTAGTTTCTCAGTTTGTGTGTGGGACTGAAGAGTGATCTTTTTTCTTTCCCTGCCACTATGGGCAGCCCTGGGGCTATTGTAGCACTCAGTATCTTCAATGGTCATTCCGATGTTGCAATATTGCATTTAGATGCAATGCTAAACGATTCTCTGCTCCACTCCCTTCCTCTTACACAACCGCGAGGAGGAAATCTGAAGCACCCGTTTCCATTTTCAACTAATTTCAGTTTGTTGTTTTGTCTGAAGCAGGCTAGACTCTTAATATAATAATAATATAATAATATTTTTTTATTTATACCCTGCCCATCTGGCTGGGTTTCCCTAGCCACTCTGAGCGGCTTCCAACAAAGATTAAAAATACATTAAAACATCAGTCATTAAAAACTTCCCTAAACAGGGCTGCCTTCAGATGTCTTCTAAATGTCAGATACAGTGGACCCTCCGGATACGAACTTACCGTATTTTTCGCTCTATAACACGCACCTGACCATAACACGCACATCGTTTTTAGAGGAGGAAGACAAGGGAAAAAAATTCTGAATGAAACAGTGGATGTATCATTTTTGTGCCTCATGCTGTGGCCACAGACATGTGATCTGATGGTGAGTTTGGGGTAGCCCAATGCAAAAATCCTGAGAATCCCTGTGGATCTGTGCTTTGTAACCACGTTTTTGCACCATTGCGGCCCCAGGCAACAGTGGGTGCGTGATTTTTTTGGTGCAGGCTGTGTCCATGGACATGTAATGTGATCTGATGGTGAATTTGGGGTGACCCAATGCAAAGATCCCGAGGATCCATGTAACCACGTTTTAAGTGGGGAGGGAAGGAAAAACACAGACGGGACAAGGAGCACGAGAGGGGTGTGTAGAGAAGCAGCTGGCTAAGAATGCAGAAGAGGGATTTAACGGGAGGGAGGAAAGGAAGGCAAAAGTTTTCCCCCACACAACCACCCAAGCCAGCCCTCTCTCTCAGTGGCTGTATTTTCGTTTTTTAAAAAACCCATTGCGGATAATCACAGTCATTGATCTCCCACTTAGTGTGGTTTGGCCCTCATTCATGTTCTTACTAGATATGTTGTAGAATTCAGGTCCTGCGTTTTGCATCCAATAGCCTCTGCAGCGTGTTGTGCTTCCTTGCTTCCCTCTTCAATCCTCCCTCTGCTGGTGGCTGTTATTAGCATAACCTTATTGCTAACCAAGATTGAGAAAGCAGTTCCTTCCAGTTGAAGGGGGTATATTATCCTTTCTGTGCATGGCTGCTTACTCGTCCAAATACGACAAGATGAGCACAGTCCCTGGGAGGGTGCCAATTTCCTTAGTGTCCCGAAGCTCGGTGTTGTAACAGCAACGGCAATAGAGCTCGTTCCAGGAGGGGAAATTCTCAAATGGTAGGTCTGTTTCCTACCTGGCGAGCCTTTTAACAGCAAACCGGTTGGCTCCTAATTAGATTTTCTCCTTTCTGGTGGTTTTTCATTAACCCCTTCCTTTGGGGGAATCCGTGCAGGGCAGACTCGCAATTATCTGCATTTAAGAGGAGGCTGTGCAGCGGCAAAAAGAATATTAATAGCGAGAATCGTTTCTTCATCTCCCTTCACTGGCTTGGTTATGGTTGTTGATAGATCAACAACAAGGATGTGCTTTCCTTTCACAGTGACTTCAGTTTCGAGCAAGCAATCCTACCTTATGTTATGGAGGTTTGACATTCAGAGCGGTGCTGTACCCGTCTAGGATTATCTAAGATAATCACACAAGATATCAGGACAGCTTAATTTGGCCTTCCCCGGCCTTGTTGGACTACAACTGCTGATATCCGTGATAATCGGCCGTGCTGGCTGGGGTTGATGGGAGTTGTAGTCCAACAATATTTGGGGACCCACATTTGGAGGAATGCTGATATAAACTGCTTTTTGGTTGTTTGGCTAGCGCTCTGGGTTTCACATACTCTTCTTCTGTTTCAGGATGAGTCCCACTTTCTGAAGAATGGGAAAACTGCTCGATGCCGGGCTGCGATGCCTCTTCTGAAGGTGAGCATACCAGGGTTTTCAAAACTGGGCATTTGACTTTTAGGTGCTGTGTATTCAAGATGCCTGGTATACAGGCAAGAGCCAAAAGAATTTTGCTAGGCTGCTACCAGTGCTGTAGTGACAAGTTGGGAGCCATACGAAATCCCAATATGAGGGACGTAATTAAATTCTGTGCTTTTTCACCTACCTATGATGCAGATTGGGCAATTTTGGTTTATCAGTTAAACTCTACAGCAGAACGCATGAAATAAGTTCAGAAATCCTAAGTGTAGTACAAGATTGAGTATTTAAATACAGAACAAATGCATAATCATTCCAAAGTATCTGAGATTTTGAGTATTTTAGGATTATATAAATGAATTCCAGGTCACAGAGTAGGCTTCAAAGTAATATTTCCAAGTGAAGCTGCCCTGAGAAATAACGATCTGTCTTTTATTTGCTATAAATTTTGATATGTCAGTAACCACCAATTAAATTGATTTATCCCAAAGCTGATAGAGTCTTCCATAAGTATTTCACACAGACACCATAAATCTGTTTTTCTGGTATGTAACCTGAAAATCCTTAAAGTGGCTTGGATGAAGGATATAGAATCAATAATGGATTAATAAGGAGCCTTTAAGTTTCATATTTATTCTGAAATTCTGTTGAAGAACAGGTCTGAATATAATACTTTTGAGAAAAAATAGGCATAATTATAATATTAAAAGCTTAATCTTCGATATCACTTAGGCATTGATTGCTTCTGAAGATAAAGTAGCATTTCTTAATATCCATTTTTTTGCTTCCTTATAAAAATTTCTGAGGAAATCGCTTTAAGGCAGTGATGTATGGAATCTTCAAGTAGGCCCATGTATAAAACATGGAGCTGAAGTTTGAAACTCCATGAGTTTTCAGAAGTAATTATTCATAGTAATGTACCTTGCGTCTCTACTGAGGAACCCTAACTTCTGCACAAAACGCTGTTGTTGCTCTGCAGCCAGGTGTTGAGGGTTGTGTAGGGGCACTTTTTGAACCTATAAAAATGGATCAAGAAGTTTAATTTGCAAGATATTTAGATTAGCATGATTTTCCAAGTGAACCCTTAACATCAGATGTGCATTGGAACTGGCAGAATCTGGCACTGTCCTTTTTTATTATTATTTTTTAAAATGGAAATATGAATGCTGTTGGAAATATGAATCAGACTGAGCATGAATATGAAATATGGAAATATAAATCAGTTTGCTTTTGAGGAATGAATATAGTTGTAAAAAGTATTCTAGTCCTTAAGGTCTTCCAGAATTCTTTCTTTCTCTGCTTAAGAGTTTTTGAAAGCTCTGTTTTCCTAAAGGGTGGGTGTAGGAGCTCTGCTATCTATATGTCAAAACACTGCCATTTTCAAATTGTTCCCTTTTGGGTGTAATTTGAATGTCCCAGGTGTGATGGATATACTTTAGGTTGTTTGCATCCGTGATATCTAGTCAGATCCTAACCTTATTCCAAAGTTGCAGCGGGCATGAGTTATAATACTGTTTTATGACAGAAATGAAATTTCCCCAAACGTGCAGATGCTGTCTCCCCTCCAGTCCCATTTCATTCTCTCCCAAGAAGCAAACTTCTGCATTGAAATTACCATCAGATATTTCCATTTCGTGTCAGGCAGGGCAACACACACTTTAAATGTTAAACAGCTGACAAGGGCAGAATAAGAAGGAATCGGGAGGATGGTTACAATTGTATATCCAGCACAATGAGCATTTAAATAGTCGCCATAATGCAAAGCATGCCAGGCAGCGTGCTGTAGGCCACATGCTGTGAACATCATTAAAAATCCAGTAAATCACTGTAGGAGAATAAGACACTTTTGCATGTTGAATCATTTTTATTTTCTGGCATTTCCCCATCCTTCCTCCTGCTCTTTGAAGCCTTTTGATACCCAGTGCAGGGATCTGGCTATTGTATCATTGGCTCTGTATTTGAATATGCCTATGATTCTTGAATTTCTCTTTGGGGAAATGTCTTCTCGGTGTCACCTTTTATCATACAGAGAACATTCTCATTGCAGGAATTGTGTTGCTGATGCTCATGGCACCCCATAGCAGTTGGCCGGGTGGGACTGTACCGCTTACCTGGCTTCCAGATGTCAGGAACATGGCCAGTCACTGGGAGGGGGGTGAGGTGGTGGGAGGCTGCCTTGGGGTGGGCAGAGCCAATCCAAAACTCTGGCTGGTGTGTCCACATTGCACCAACCTTGTGTAAACCCTACCCAAATCCAGAGTGGAGTCCCTAAGATGGTTGGATTGTACAATGTACGCCTCCTTCCGGCGACTCCTGCAGCCAAGTTGATTGCTCTGATTTCCTTTGGACCACATCAGTGAGGCCAAGAGGGGGGTCCAGCTGAGGATCCATACACACTACCCAGGCTTGCACCCAGGGGAGGTCACGCAGTGGTTTTTCTTCACCCCAGGGGCACACTTCATTGTCTCTTGAGAAAGATGGCTATCAACCACCACCACCACCACTGTGAGTGTCATCTAACAAAGCAAAATGGGAATGATTGTGTTACTTCTAATTACAATACAGTGGTACCTCGGGTTACAAACGCTTCAGGTTACATACGCTTCAGGTTACAGACTCCGCTAACCCAGAAATATTACCTCGGGTTAAGAACTTTGCTCCAGGATGAGAACAGAAATTCTGCTCCGGCGGCGCGGCGGCAGCGGGAGGCCCCACTAGCTAAAGTGGAGCTTCAGGTTAAGAACAGTTTCAGGTTAAGAACAGACGTCCGGAACGAATTAAGTACTTAACCCGAGGTACCACTGTACAGATGAGAACAAGAAATCGCGAATTCGTTAATTTGTTCCGGAGGTCCATTCTTACCCTGAAACTGTTCTTAACCTGAGGTACCATTTTAGCTAATGGGCCTCCCGCTGCTGCTGCGCTGCCACCACGCGATTTCTGTTCTCATCTTGAAGCAAAGTTCTTAACCCGAGATACTATTTCTGGGTTAGTGGAGTCTGTAACCTGAAATGTCTGTAACCTGAAGCATCTGTAACCTGAGGTACCACTGTGCATGTTGGCATTTATACCGTGCTTTCTTTGAGAGCTCCAAGTATGTTCTCTTCAGTGGGCTTCACAACAACTCTTTCAGATAAACCATTATTGTTATCTCTACATGGCAGATATGGGAGCTGAGGCCGAGAGCGACATGCCTAAGACCACCTAGTTAGTTGCCAGCAGAGGCAAGAGTCGAACAGGGGACTTCTTGGGTCAGGCCAAGACATTTTGCTCCTTGAGGTGGAACAGCATATTTAACACCCATCACTACTATCACCAAATCAAGGTGTATGGTACCCAAGGCCAGCCAAGTTATTTTGGCCCCTGGAGGCCTCATAAGCACCTCTCCCTGGCAGAAAAAAACACACAATCATAACACACTGTTGCTCTTTCATGTTACTCAAAATCTGCCGTCTGAGGAAGCCATGTCAGTTTGCCTAGTGGTGGGGTCTGCTAACCCACTGTGCTGTGTTAGCTCTGTTAGTTAGGGCCATGTTTACCTTTTTGGATGTCCTCGAATCTCTACGTATGATAGCAGCCACGTAATTAACCTTTTGCAACATTTATATCCCCAGGCTGCCAAACGAGTCATCTTGTTGTCCGGAACCCCTGCCATGTCCCGCCCTGCAGAGCTTTATACGCAGATTGCAGCTGTCAGACCATCCTTCTTCTCTCAGTTCCATGCCTTCGGGCTCCGCTACTGTGATGCTAAGCAGGTAACGTGAGTCTCTATCCCTGGCAAAGCAGAAGCCAGGAAATTATTATTTGGGAATAATAATAACCTTCCATTCCGTGAAGCGTTTTGTGCACTGCCATTCCCTTTGCAATCTCTCAGTGAAGTCTTGCTGTGAAAGGGCAGATTTCCGTAGTGACAATTGGCCATAGCTCCATGGTTACTGTAAGATTTTCTGCTAATTCTCAAGCATCTCCAGTTAAAAGGCTCCTAGCCAAGTGTTAGAGCTGGGATCAACTTTTACCTGAGGCCTTGGATAGCTTCTGCCAAGCCTAGTTGTTCACCAACTAGATTGTTCACCAACTAAGACAGCCTGACTGAACTTGACCTCTGTGATTACCAATTAACTCATTAAATTGATCAGTGTCCAATGTCATAAATAGTGTTGTCATCAATCATATTGATAACTGGCCCCATATTTTGAGGTGTAATATTGACAAGGAAAAAAATATGGAATTGGACATTACTATGAATCCATTAGTTCTGTATTCCTAAATGGAAAAAGGATTCAGTCTCCGATATGCTTTTTGATTAATGAGTTTTAAGCTACCAAAAATATGAGCGTGATTAAATACTATTCTTTTTTTCTTTATATTTACCACTAAATCAGATGTTCCAATGTGGTATGAAACAGAAGGTATAATTCTTCTAATTATGATTATGATGTTTGCAAATATCAACAAGCTGTCACATCTCAGGGGATAATGCTTGCTTTTGCAGTGCATTCGTGATTGTATCATGTCTGCTTCTTTGCCTGCATTTATACCTTCATTAAAATTCCCTCCAGTTGCTATTTCACTTTCCCCTAAACAGAGTAGATCTTCAATTAGTTGATAAGAAACACTCATCTGACGACTGAGTGCTACATAAATATTCACTGATATTAAACTCATCTGTCCAAGCTTCCTTTTATCATAATATATTGACCTTCTTTGTCTTTCCTGCTCTGAATAACTTCACACAAACACACTCCTTTCACTTTTGTACATGCGCCAGGCCCCGTCCTAATACGTAATATCCATTTTGCTCAAATATAGACCCATTGAAATAAACGGGCAATGTTAAGTTATTTCTAATGTTTCTCCTTGATGTGCATTTCCTGCACATACATAATATCACCTTGCCATTTTTTTCAGAAATTGTGGTACTTTTCTTGTTTTTAACGGGAGGCAAAAGGTTAACGGGCAAATACATACATACATACATACATACATACTTGATTATTGTTCTGGCCAAAGGCCATGACAAACCCCAGTTCTTTCAGACTTAGTATTTTACTTTCAGCCTTAATTTTCTTTCATATATATATATATTTCTTTACATTTATAACGCTATCTTATAATGGAAAGACGTTGATTCTCTCTTCTTTATGGCATTCCTAATGTCTGAGCTATATGTAGTTATCACTATTCCTTATTTACTGTTTTTTTCTTCATTCTAACTTTTTCTTTATTTCTTTCTGTTGTGAATTCCCCTGTTTCAGGCCATCCTTCAAGGGTTCTGTGGGCCCTCAACCCTTCTCACACCCACCAACTCTTCCCACAAACACCCTCCCCCTGCTGTTTCCCCCATTACCAGGCTTTCTCCAGCCCAGCTGATAGTGGTGCAGGATGGGAAGAAGAATTGGTGGGGAAGAGAAGGGTTAAAGTTCTTCTCCTACCTGCTCCCCTCCCCCTTTGCCAGTGTTCCTTTCCCTGTTGTCTTTGTGATGTGTAATTCTTCCCCGAGTTGCTCAAAAATATGATTAAACATTGCTCTGGGATCCATAAGGATAGAAATTGCCATAATAAAAGTAGGATATAGTCTTAATATAAATTGTATTGTCTGGGTTAAACAGCAACAAGAAAATCTCAAACCTGAACACCTCAGTTTAAAAAAACAAGACCCCGAAAAATACTCCATTTTAAACGGAATTGATTTAGCTTCACGGCAGAAGACCACAAATCTCTGGCAGATGCAATAAGCAAAGATGGAATTAGTTTATTGGTTTACGATCCACAACTCCTTGGCACTTCTTGCTCATAAAAAAGTGCAACAAATGAAACGTCACCTGTTTTTATTTATGAGCCAAATTTTATAGTTGCCAGCGAGCCATTTTTCAAAGCAGGTGATGTGAATAGTGAGCATTAAAAGACAGAAAAGTGCATGTAGGTTGTCACAGATGCTCAGCCAGGAAAAGTTCAAGAGCTTTGCTGAAACGTGACCAAGTAATTTCTTCCACTGAGAATGGCCTGGGTCAAAAAAGCAGCTTCTTAACTTTGCTGTTTGATATCCTAGGAATCCAGGGCATGCATGTTTTTAGCGGATGTAGTTTTACAAGGCTGTTGAACGTTGTCAATATGATGATTATGCTTTGAGGCTCTCTTTAATTGCCAACAGGGTTCTGAATAAGCGGAAGGAGTGCAGATAATGAATGTGCTGCTAGCTGCAGTTTTATTTCGGAAGATCTCCGCTTTCATTTAACTACCACGCTCTTGTGGGATTCAAATATATATTTGAAAGTGCATGGGCCATGCCTGCTGAAACCTCAAAAGCCAGAAAGGGGAGTGGACTAGTGGCTGGGGAAGGGCTTCAGTGCCCCACCAAACAGAGACTCATCTGTTCTTGATTGCCAAGTTGATCATCCCTCAGTTGCTATGCCGAGAAGACTGTAAACACACTTTAGAGTTCCGTTGCAACTAGAGTTCCGTTGCAACGCTAGAAAGAAAGGGGGTTGATACAATTTTCATGATTCAGAGCTCCTTAGAAAAATAATTTATAAAATGCTCATGGATCATGGATTGGATGCACCTTAGTAGTCTTCACTGAAAAGTGGTGCAAAACACTTGTGCTGATTGCTCTTATTCAGGCTTCCACAACCTTGGTCCTCCTGATGTTTTGAGACTACAATTCCCATCATCCCTGACCACTGGTCCTGCTAGCTAGGGTTCATGGGAATTGTAGGCCAAAAACATCTGGAGGGCTGAGGAAGCCTGCTCTTATTTATTACTGGCATACCCAAGAAACAGACTTCAGATGTGTGCTCCTAAATGTCTTGCACTGACATGCCCATGATTTGCCTTACTCCTCCAATCAGACATCCTCCGGCAATATCTTCAACCCAGATACCTTCCTCTGCTCTGCTTCTGCTGAAACCTACATTGTTGGTTTCAGCCATAGTAGATAATTGAGACTAACGTAATAAAATAAATAAACATTTTAAAAAGGCATTTCAGGGGATGGGGAACATTAAAAAAATGCAGAAAACAACCTAATTATTTACATAACTTTTGTGGACTAAGACAACCAAAAATAGTGAACACTTCTCATTTGCTTGTGTGATTTCTGTTCCTGACCTCAGATGAACATACAAATTACAGCACAGTTACAGCTGGAAAGGATGACAGGGATTAAAATCTTTGGGGAATTCTCTTTGCATATTGGTTATTGCACTAAAGCTCAGCCTAGAACTCCATTTGGTTTTTGGATCACTAGAACACTTTTCCAAATGTTTTTTGGCACTTGTGTAAGCTCAAACCTCCCTATTAGTATTATTTTAAAAATTCAAGTCCTGTTCTGTATCAGAATCCCAGTGCATAGATGTGCAGTATACTCACAGCTCTTGCATGAGTGATGATGCTACCGATGATGTTTTAAAGGTTTTGCTTCCTCTTGTGTGTCTATTCCACTCAGCGGCCTTGGGGGTGGGATTATTCCGGTTCATCCAACCTTGGTGAACTGAAGCTTCTGCTGGAAGAATCCGTCATGATCCGTCGCCTGAAGTCTGACGTGCTCTCTCAGCTCCCTGCAAAGCAGCGCAGAATGGTGGTGGTAGCTCCAGAAGGCATTAACGCAAGGACAAAGGCTGAGCTGGCAGTGGCTGCAAAAGAAATGGCCAAGGGCTATAAGAGTGTGAGTCTGAAATATTGTTGGGCGAGAACATGGCTGCATTCCATCACAATGACGAACGGTTGCTTGAAAACCTAAATATACAGTGTGCTGTTTACATCTGAACCCTGTGCCAGTTTACAAACCTGGGTTTCCAAAGGGTTGCAAAGTCATAATATCAAACCGCAGTTTGTGCTCTGGTTTGCCATTCTACAAACTGTTGACAAAGCACAGTTATGGTTGTTGCTGTGCTCTGTCTCTAGAGGTTGCTGAACCATGGAGATGGGAGAGAGCAACAAATTTCTGAAGCTGCATGCTGAAGAGAGGAAACAAAAACAGACAATTGGCTGTAAACTGGCTGTACATTTGAAAGCTCAAACCATGTTACTGGTTCTTAACTGTGGTTAGTACAAACCATGGTATGCTGTGATGTCTGAACTGAGTCTCTGTCTGCATAGTTTGAGATACGATAGACAGGAGAAGGGTAGCTCTGTCTCCACTGCTTAGCTCTTGGTCCAGGCAGTTGGCAGGGACCAACTTTGGAACCTGTGTTGTTGACTCTGCATGTCCTCAGGAGAGAGGGAAAAGTGCCAACCTAGTGTTTGCAGGGGTAACTTCCATCAAGACTTAGCAGGGACAGATGGCAGCTACCTCATGATAAAACCTGCATATCCCTCAGTAAAGTTCTTCAACAATGGCAACAAAAGTCAGAAGCCTGTAGGTTAGGTCCATTGCAGGTTAGGTCCATTTCACACATTATTGAAAGGGGAATCTGTCTTTGTCATTATGTGCATGCTTATCAGAGAGCTGGACATCCTCATAACTCTGATGACAGTACCTGTATGAAATATCTATGTTGTATTCACACAGGACATTTTAAGAGTTGCACTTCGTGGCCCAAGTCTGCCTTGTACATTAGGCCTGTGCTAGATTTAGGATAAAAAGTTTAATCAAATAACAACACATTGAGCTAGAGGGGGAATTCTCCTTCCTACTCCTACTCCTGCTAGAGCCGATTAAAGGTCCTTGCACCTCTTTTGGTTTCCATAGGGTGTTTATTTCTCACTTCACCTTTAATAATGGCACCTTTAATAATTCCACAGCAGAACAAATTATCCAGGTTTGGCAAAGCAAACAAAACATACGCGGGGGCAATGGAGGTTTATACTTGTATAAATATATTTTTTAAATTCAAGCATGTCATCTTTTAGAATTGTGGCTGCAGAAATCTGCCACATGTGAGTCCCACTAGTCATTGAGCTGCTAGCTACAACCTTCTGGACCTAACTGACGGCTTTTTCAAATATCTGTTTGCAGAAACAAGAACAGAAGGAAGCTCTCTTTCTCTTTTACAACAGGACTGCTGAAGCCAAAATTCACTGTATCATGTAAGTTGCTGTTTCACAGTATCACACAAACCTACCTGACTAGGTGATTCTTGCTACAGTGGAAAGGAAACTGCAAGACAAGACCGGCAACGAAATCAAGCTTGGGAAAAATGTTAATTAAAACATTAAAGCACTGTAGCATTGGTCTTGGTATTGAACCAGCTTGGCAAATGTTTTACATAAATGTTATCGTTAAAGTTACCCATTGTGCAGAAGGCTGAGATAAGATTTTCTGGTTCTGCTAAAAATAAGCAAAATGAGTCCTAATTGCTTTCATTTCAAATGTATTAAGCCTATTTTGTACAAGGTGACGTGCGGATAGATCTTCAGTAGAAAACAACTGATCATATTTTGACGCAGAAATTTTGACATAATATATTTGTTGCAGTTGGGAAAAGTCCTGACCTTTATAGTCTTCAAAAATGGTCCGTAGTTTCAACTACATGTGAGAAACAGGTCCATGGAACTGGGATTTGGCTGAATTGCCAGTTCTCTGAATAAAATAAAAGTTGAGGACCACTGATCTAGGACCATACACTGATTGCTTCTGGAACAACAATCGTATGTGTATCTTCTGAGCCTTCTACCCCCCCACTTCTCGTTCACTGTAGAGAATATATCTTTGATTTATTGGAAAGTGGAAGAGAAAAGTTTTTGGTATTCGCTCATCACAAACTCATTCTGGACACAATCAGTGAGAAACTGGAGAAAAAGGTAAATTGATCTGCATTTATTATTACTCCTTTTCCAGGACTTGGAGATCCTGGTAAACTCTTGTATCATTGGCACAATACAAAGCTGCCTGGAACCTATTCACAATGGTGTATAAAAACCCATTGCGTACATTTTCTTACTGCCATCTTGTCTAGTGTTTTCCAGAATTCACAAAATACAAACCTGGCCACTGGGATTAATAACCTTGAAGTAAACCAGTCAACATCAGGAGGGATTAAATGCGTTAAAGATAATCTTCCGGCTGTCAGTTCTCATATTTCAAATCAATAGCATGTCATGAACTAAAGCTTTAAAAAAACCCCGACTTGTTAAAACGAAGCAGGCATAAAAAGTTGACCTGTATAAAGTTTAAACAGTATGAAGAGTATAAATAATTACATGTAAAACTGACTAACTAGCATTCCTCCCTGCCAACTGAATAGCCATCTGGCATAATTTCTGTAGCAAAATTCCCTGTAGCCAAAAATTCCCTGTGTGTTTGCCATTGACCCTGCCACTCCCCTGACTTGGAGCTTTGTTTCTGACATCCCAGTGAGCTTCAGAGAAGTCCCACTGGCTCTGGGTGCTTCCAAGTCTCAGAGCTAGGCCAGAGAGCAGCTCCTACCTGCTCCATAAGTTGTGCTGAGGAGACGCTAATCAAATTGAAAGGTGTGGTCATCGCTGGCGACCTGGCAGTGACATTTGTGGCACCCCTGTCCCTCATAAATACCACAGCTCACAGGCCTTCCCTGTACTGCATGTTCTAGCCTTCGTTGGAAGGGAAAGCATTTGGTTCGAGAAAGATAATAACCTTCCTCATCCGTGGCATCTGTATTTAGCCAAGATTTAATGCAGCTCTCCCAGATTCAAGTTCACCTCGATGTCCCTGGTATCAATGGCCTTCATATGTCAGGGCTGCTTTAAGTATGTGCTAAGGCAATTTAAAATAGGTTTTCCTAGATAATGTTCTCGCTCTTCAAAGGTATCAGAAATTGTTTATTATAGTACTGGGCTGAGTGTCAGGATGAGAACCTTGTTACCTGTTCCAAACAGTGGGGAGAAGGGTCAGAGAGAATGAAGGGCCAGATGGCATGAGGAAGCGTTTGGGAGTAAATTAGCTAACCAGCCAACAACTCCTGTTTATTGAGATTGGCTGCCAGGTATGAGATAACTGATGGCCAGCAAGCCTGGACAAATACAACTACCTAGCAACTCTAACCTGCTTGGAGCAAAGGCAGGTCAAAAATATAACAAATGTAAGTTAAATCATCTACTTCGCAGCTTGACTAGTGAAGGAGTGGATCCCAGTGCTCCGTTTGGCATGGCTCCAGTTTTCAGCCAAGTGAGGAGAGAGGAGCAAGCCCTGATGATAAGTGACCCCTTGTTTCCTCACCTTCCCTTTCAGCATATTGGGTACATTCGCATTGACGGCTCCACACCCTCAGCTGAGCGCCAGTCCCTCTGCCAAGAGTTCCAGTTCTCTGACAAGCACTCTGTGGCTGTCCTCTCCTTAACGGCAGCTAACATGGGGCTCACCTTATCGTCCGCTGATTTGGTTGTGTTTGCAGAGCTGTTCTGGAACCCTGGGGTAAGACAGCTTGGCTACTGCCTGGGGGTGCTCCTCCTGAAAAGATGCTGTTCAGAGTTTAAGACAAAACCATAAGAGGTTGTTTGTGAGGAAACTGGATTGTGTACTTTATGTGTTAAAGCACAATGACTTTGTAGCTATGGTTGTTAGACGGAACCTATAAAAACGAGTATCTGTCTGGTGGTGATACCTGTTTTGCATATAGTATTTAATGCTACTGCTGATCACTTAGCTCCCGCTACAAATAAACATTGCTGATAGCCTGCTTGATTTGGCTCTGTTGAACCAAAACACACTCTTGCGGCCTAATGACTACAAAACTGTTCAGTCAACTCTCCCTCCTGCTCCATTTCAGGTGTTTGCGTGGCTAAGGTTTCCCTTTAACAATTACACCTATTTAACATTTGTCAAGTCCTCTACAATCTTTACTGAGCAAAACCTAGTTAAAAAATGATGACATGGATGCAGCTAAGCTCCAGTTAACTGGATTTAGTCATGACTAACCTTTTTGGGATTTTGCCGATTGGGTTACACCAAGCACTCTCACTTTGTTTGTACGACAGACTTCATCTGAACTCTCACCTTCCTCTGCTCTCCCTTCAGTGACCCCCCCATCTCCCAATCTTCTCCTAAGGGTTGGGGGATCCTCAGGAGCAGGAGGGAGAGCAGAAGAAGTCCTTTTTGTATGTGTGTAACTCTGTGGGCGCTACTGTATGCAAGCCATTGTCCTTAAAGTCACAACTCGTATGAGGTACACCACTCTTTCCCTTCTTCTGAAGATGGGTAACTGGGGGTGAGAGAGAGAGTGGCTTTCCCTAAGTCACTTGTGCATCTAGGGAAGAGGTTGAGCTTTAATTTGGGATTCCATTTTTACAGTCCAGCAGCCCCATCCCCAATTTTCTCCTCTCAAAATGAAGTTGGCAAGAATGCAGTAGAAGGCCTTTGCTCTAATAACCACATACTGAAATACACTGCAGTGCTTAGGTTAATGTCATGATCTGTACATTGTAAGTGCTCCATTGTCTCCCAAGACAGATGGGTGCCAGCAACTTTGGTATCGTAACTGTAGTTTGGAATAAACTTTATACACTTTCAAACAGCACCTCTTTTGTGCTGTTTTAATGGAACATCCGGACTCATTTCATGGAGGATTAGGTTTGCAGTGGTTACTGGCCATGAGTGTTATTGCACTCTTATCTAGGCGTCTAGTTGACTACTGTGGGAACAGAATCCCATATGGGAATCTGGCCTGATTCTGCCAGGCTCTTCATTTGTTCTTACCATTGTGAAAATAGAAGTACACAAAGTGACAAGCTAGCCTATTTTGAGTCACCTTGTGAACGTTAGCTCCCTCTTGGATCCTCAATGTTTCCTTTTTGTAAAATGCTTTCTTTTCAGTCGTTCGTTCTTTACATTTTAATAATTCTTGTCAGCAAGGAGAGGGCCATCTGCTCAGTGCCAAGCATAATGATTCATTGGTTTATTGTTAGGGGTTGTAGCAGCAGTAATTGCTCTCCTCTCTCTCTTTTTGTTTTCTAATTTGCATATTTGGTTTTTAAATGCAGGTTTTGATCCAAGCAGAAGATCGGGCGCACCGAATTGGGCAAACAAATTCTGTGGATGTTCACTACTTGGTAGCAAAAGGCACAGCTGATGATTACTTGTGGTAGGAAGCTGGTTGTGCATGAGACTCTTATTCTCGGGGTCATGGGTAGAGCTGGACAATACCTGGTTTTCAACATTGCAAAATATCACCAGCTAAACATTGCAATATACTGATATATCACAGTGCCCGAAATAAGGAATGGAACTATTTAGAGGCATTGACCGGCTTCACGGTTTTCCCCACATTGTGATTTTTGTATAGTTCAAAACCACCCACCCACCATGATTTGTAATATATTGTCAGGTCAAAAATGAGGAAACTGATATCATGATATGGACCTCAAACTCATTGTGGATGACAGATCTATATATCACCCAGCCCTTGAGTTGGTTGAGTTGGGCAAAAGATTCCCGTATTGCTGGAGGTTGGACTAGGTGACCCTCATGGTCACTTCCAACTCTACAATTCTATGATTCTGTTGGTCCTCCCCATCTCCCCCTTCCATGCTGTGGTTTATAACTTTGATCGTGAGAGGATGAAGGTCACCCAATTAGAACCCTTTGATTGCACTTGGGGTCCATGAGTAGTGAGCAGCCAAAGGTTACGTCAGCACTGCTCAATGACTTTCCCCACAACCTGAGCATGCTAGACAAAAGCACCTGGAGTCTGGAAGCGCTCTGCTCTTGCAATCAGAATCAGTTTTGGAAAATCAGTATCTTTCCTGTTTATCACAAGTGTCATTCAAGTGCATGATGACTGGTACTTGAATGTTCATTGGTTTTCAGCATTTTGCAAGGGTTTAAGTGAAGAAATGCAAGCCACCTCAGGTTATTGCTCACTCTGAGCTTGCAGTGCGCTCAAGAGGGGGGTTTTGGGGTGAAGGATCTGAAGACCAGAGCCAAGTAGTCGGGTTGGGTCTACTCATGCTTAGCTGGCATCTTCCTTCTGTAACTTCTGTTACACCTCTCCAGCAGTCCGCATTCATGACTGAGAAGAAATGAAATGAAATGAAGCCAGGAACGCCTATAGGCTTGGGAGGATTGTGTTACAAGATGGAGGTGGGAAAATGGCCCACCGGCAGCAAGACAAGGCACATCATCAGATGTTTTGTACTCCCTGGAGCCCTGAATATTAGCTTTGCAAATAATTATACCCTTCCCTCAGAAGAAACTAGGAGATGACATATCGCCCACACATGAAAGAAAGCTAATGACAGTCATTTCCCCATTTCACTTGTAAATTTCTGTCCACAAAATGGTTAGTGCGAGAGTGGAAGAAAATGTGCTGTTTGCCAGGGTGGGGGTTGTTCCCCTGTCTCTTTCCATGAGGCTCTGTGAGAACACTTGGCTAGCGGAAAGTTTGTGTTGTCGTATGAAGCGTTGCCTTCCGTTGAAAAGAAGCAACGTTCTTTTTTTTTTTTATCTTGAGGCTGATTTGCAGGACCGTATTTATTGCATAGCAATTGCAGCTGTCACAGATGAGCTGCTGTCTTATGTGAACATGGCGCTTGCCAGTGGGAGTGAGCGGCGGCAAACTTGCCGTGTAGCAGGGCTCACTTGGGCTGATGGTGGCAGCTGGGTTTTTGATGGGCATCCCCTTAACCACAGTGATAATAAGCACTGGATTACTGTAATGAGCTCTACATGGGGCTGCGTTTAAAAAGTGCTCAGAAATTTCATGTGGCTGGTTGACTGGGGCTGGTTATAGGAAGGTTATAGAGAGAGTGTGTCCATTGACAGAAAAAGAAGGACCCCTTGCTCTGTGCAGAATGTTTAAATATTTTCATAACACTTTTACTTAAAAACTAATTATTTTCTTTTTAATTAGTTGCACATTTTTTGTGTTTGTTTTGCTCCTTGTTGAATAGGCTGCAATCCTGTACAGTCAATGGGACTTACTCTTACACTTATAAGCTTGCACTGTTAATTGCTAGTCTCCCAACTTGGGGTCTTCTATCCACAGCAGGCCTTATGTTCTTCCCTTTCTGGGTCCCTTAGCTGTAAAATCTGTCCATCTTCCTTTCATTTACATCTTTGCACCATCTGGGTTTCACTGACTTTCATTTCTCCCGTATAGTCTGTTGCCTATCTTATGTGTTAACTTTTCACCCCCAGTCTCAGAAATTTTCACGGCTTTAGACTATAATAATTTAATCTTTGCTGAAAACTACCCACTACCTTTTTGTTGTTGTTGTTGTTCTAAGCATGTCTTCATGTTTCTCTTCTCTGCTTCCAGTTCTCAGCCTGTGCATGTTCAAAAATTCAGACATACACACAGCGTATTTTCAGATAATGTTGTTCTTTCTTTCTGTCTCTAATCAGAAAACTTCTCAGGTTGCATTATCATACCACACCCTGATTTTCATGAAATTAGAGTTTCGGGAGCTGACTAAGTAGAACACAGACTTTGCTTGTATTCCTTACAAGAGGAGTAAATAATCCAGGGCCCTCCATTGTTGGACTACAATTCCCATGATCCCTCACTATTGGCCATGCTAGCTGGGACTGATGGAAGCTGGAGTCCAGCAACATCTGGAGGGTCCAGAGGTTCCTCATTCCTGCCTTACAGCCACTCTCTCCCCTTCAGATTGTTCACTGGGGTGGAGCTGAGTGTAAGTGAAGCTTAGTCACCTGGCACTGATGGTCATCTGAAGACTTTGGCTGTGCATGCAGACCCCAACAGTTTCCCCAGTGTTGGCTTTCTAAATGGCGTGGGGGTTCATTCATTTTCAAAACAATATTTCCCTGCAGGATTCTCCCCCACCCCTCTCAGCAGGGATCCAGACTTGCCCTCTTGCTAAGCCCATGTTGGCAGCCAGCTTGTCTACACATGGGAATTAGTTTTTAACTTTAGGGATATGCGCAGCTGCAGTAATATACCAAACTGCTATTTTTCCAGAGCTCTTGGTATTTTCTATAGGTGCAAGTTCACAGTCCTCCTAGCCTAGAAGGGGAGATGTGTCTATATAGCGATGTTTTGAAACCACAGAGGCAGAGGATGGACTTTGCTGGGCAGCACAAATGCTTGTCTCTATCGTTCCTGAGATCCCTGTTACTCCTTGGTGTTTCCCACATTCCTACACTTCCAAGCAAAATATCCCAAATTCATTGTGAAGGAATTGGTATTTTGGGGGGATGGGGGTGTGTGTGGAATTTAAAATGCAGACCTTTGACATCTTCACATAGAAATCTGAGAAGACAGTATACAGGGAACTAGTGTGCAGCAAAGTAATGGAAAAAAATCCTCAGCTGTGATGTCCTCTACTTACTGGCTGAGTAGTTCAATGCTTATAGTTAGTTTAGTGCTTTCACTAAGAAAGATGCTTGCTTGACTCTTCTTTGTAATTGTAATGCCTGTATTCCCCACTAGGCCAATGATTCAAGAGAAGATCAGAGTCTTAGGGGAAGCTGGCCTGTCTGAAGCCAAGTTCTCTGAGACAGCCGAAGCTACAGATTACTTCTTCTACAAGGTAACTTTTAACATTAAACTAAGTTCCTGGAGGCGCTTAGTTTCTCTCCAGGGTGCATAGTCTTTTGTGCAATAAAGCTGGGGTAGGAAACATGAGTCCCTCCAGGTGGTGTTGGATTACAATTCCCATCATTCCCATTACCGATGCTGGCAGGTGCTGATAGGTGTTGTAGTCCAACAGCATCTGGAGGGCCACAGATTCCCCACCCCTGGCATAAAAGAATAAAAAAGCAATTATTCAGGCATCTCCAAGCATGACTTATCACGTTCTGATTCCTTCTGTGGACAGTTGCCATGCTTGAATCAAAGGCACCTATTGGATGGTGTCACTCACTGCAATGACTTTGATGGAGAAGCTCTGTCCTTTGCTCTAGAGAGATCCTCCTCCTATTTCAGCGTGTCCCATTTCTCTTTACCGCTCAAATAGCAGGGAGAGGAAGGAAGGCTGATGGTCCAGTCTGCATCTTATTAACTTGGGGAACGCCTCCATCTCTCCTCTATTGACTGTTTTCTTAGTCTGTTCTCTGTTGACTAGCAGAGCTCTTTTGCCTGCTTGCCAGTGATGTCCCTCTTTAATTTCCTAGCAGGACCAAAATCAGGAGACCATCTTAAACCTTTTCCAGAGGACCTTCTCGGAGGATGCAGATGATATGGATGAAGCCCTGCTTGTGGAAATGGTTGATGCATGTGAAGGTTCTGGACCCACAGACTCCATCAAGTGAAACGGAATCAAGTCTGTGCAAGAAACAGCGTGTTGATGAATATTTTTGCGGACAGTAAACTCAGAAAGTGTTGCACTTTTTTTGTTAACTAAGATTGTATTTAAAGGAGGGCAAAAAGAATAATCAGTGAAAATTGCTTTGATTGTTAAAATAAATATCTATTTTTAAGATGGGTTAGCCTGTTTGCTGATTTGAACAGCTTTAGCTGCCTTCTTTTTATTGCTTCTCTAGCTGAGAAATCAAGAATCTGTGGCTCTACCCCGACTCCAATAAAATCTGCAGTGATACAGATGAGTTTTACTACTTGAATCTTTGCTGCAGCTCTGCGTTTAATACCTCTCCACAGGATTTCTTGAGAGATGGAATACTCCTCCTCATGCAGCAAATAAATCCTGTTTGGCGAGTTTAGAGGCTTTCAACAATTCTATTCTCGTGGGACAGATTTAAATAATTAAGCAAGAAACTGCTAGAAAGAACTGTGGGATGCCTATTTTGAGGGCAGGCCTGTAAAATTCTATGAGAAAGGGAACACTTCTGGTTACATTTTCTAAAATAAATATTTGTTTGTTTACACAGTGGTATTGAAAAAGAAGGCATGCTTTAATTGTTTGTTTTCCTTGAATCCGTAAGTTACAATAAACTAGAACCAGATATAAGACTTGTTAGAGGTTCAGGGTGAGAAGGTCAGTGGTTCGAATCCATGCAACAGCGTAAGCTCCTGTTGCTCTGTTCCAGCTTCTGCCAACCAATTCGAAAGCACACCAGTGCAAGTAGATAAATAGGTACTGCTGTGGAGGGAAGGTAAACAGCTTTTCTGTGTGCTCTGGCTTCCATCAGTATTCCGTTGCGCCAGAAGTGGTTTAGTCATGCTGGCCATAACTCGGAAAGCTCTTTGTGCACAAATGCCAGCTCCCTCAGTCTGAAAGTGAGATGAGTGCCGCAACCCCAGTCGCCTTTGACTGGACTTATCCAGGGGTCCTTTACCTTTACCTAAGGGTGAGAAACCCATGGTCTTCCAGGAGCTACTGTACTGCAGCTCTCATAATCCATGACCATTAGCCATGCTGGTTGGGGCTGATGGGAGCTGGAGTCCAGCAACATCTGGAGTCCAGCAACATCAGGAGGGCCACAGGTTTTCCACCCTTGTCATAGATGGTGGGTAATTCCTTGTGGGGGGAAGAGACTTGGCAACCTTCAGATTCTATTCCAGGTAGGCAAGAGGAAACCTGTAAAGCATACTTTGCTCTTCCACCCATCCTCTGTCATTTAGCATCTTTGCTTTTACTCAAGCCCAGCAAGCCTTTTCTTACAAGCAGCAAAGCACAAGTCCAGGCCACATCTATATAGGGGATGGGATTTGCTCACTCTTGGGTGAGGATGGAGCTTCTGCACTGACCAATTTGAATAGTGAGCCTATGTTGATTCCGGCCTTCCTGCATAACTTGGTTTAGAAAATAGGAAGCTGGCTTATACAGAATCAAAGCACTGGTCTGCTTGGTGTATTGTCTACAACTGACTTGGCAGCAGCTAGGGTTTTGGCAATTGTCTTTTCTTGCCCCACCTGGAGGTGGTGGGAATTGAACAGGAGACCTTTATGCATGCAATTCATGTACCCTTCCACCAAGCTACCTTTGTTTACCATTCATTGAACTGAGTCAGCTGCAGAATCAGGTTGTCTACACAGGCAGGACTCAGTGGATCTATATTCAAGGATTTTCTTTGTTTCCTCCAGGCAATTTCACTTTGATTGAAAGAAACAAAATTATAAAACATTTTGAAATTAACCTTTATTGTATGTGATTTTAATTCAAAACCTCATTCTCCCATAGAAGTATTACCATTTGCAGCTAATTTTCCAAGGCCCTTCTCTCTGTCCTCATCCCACCATCTGATGTGCAGTGGGGTAGCTGTGGAGTCAGGACCTTTTTGGTAATGGTGCTTGAATTGGGAAATTGCCTTCAAAGGGAGAGTTCCTTGGCCCTTTCATTTATGTTTTCAGGTTAATTTGGGATTATAGCAGCTAATTAATGGTGAAACTGGTATAAAAGTGGAATTACACTCCATACAACCGGCTCTGGTTAGTATGATTGGAGCTGCATTTTGTGCCAGCTGACATTTCTGGATGTTCTTTGGAGGCAGCTCAATACAGCAGCCCAGTCTGGCTGTAACAAATCTGTGTGTGCATCATAACTGCATTTTCCTGCCAAAGCTGCCCAAAGGCATTCCTTTATACTGATGCTAAACTGCCCTGTGGATCCTTTAAGGCAGTCGTCTTCAGCAGCTACTTTTAACCCAAGCCTGCATATGGGCACCAATTTCTTAAGTTTTTTTTAACCACATACAGTGGTACCTCGGGTTACATACGCTTCAGGTTACAGACTCCGCTAACCCAGAAATATTACCTTGGGTTAAGAACTTCGCTTCAGGATGAGAACAGAAATCGCGCAGCGGCAGCGGGAGGCCCCATTAGCTAAAGTGGTGCTTCAGGTTAAGAACAGTTTCAGGTTAAGAACAGACCTCCAGAACGAATTAAGTTCTTAACCCGAGGTACCACTGTATTTCTGTAGTAATGCTGTTGCTGTGACCCGCCTTGCATCAGAGCATTACCTAGTGGTAAGTCCCGGGCCTGTACAGGGGCGAGGGCACCCTGGGTACACTTGCCTTGGAGCTTGGAGGGTTAAGCGGGCTGGGGGCCCCCACCAGTGACCAGCTGCTTTTTTGTTTTGAGTTTGTAACTTTATTCTAACAAGACTCACGCCCAGACCCTCAGACAAGCTCTGCATGGACCTGGTAGGTCCTGACCCAGCGGTTCAGGACTGATGCTGCAGTGCATGCACACGTATTAAAAATGAATATAGCACATTGTATTTTCATATTATTTAGCCATTGCCAAGTGTCCCAGCCTTTGACTCTGACCTCACCTAGTATACTGACTTATTTTCTATTATGCTTCGGTCACAATGCAAGATTAGTATCCAAAGGGAGTTACTGTAAGTCGTTCAGAATTGTCGCGTCTATTAAGGCGGCTACTGCTCTCTCTTCGAGGCAACAACTGAAAAGCTAAAGCGACGAGGAAGGCTTGACCATAGAGTCGCAGTACCTCCTGGCGCACAGACAATCCCACTATCGCATCCTCGGTCTCAATGGTTGCGTCATACTCTGAAGTTTTTCCCCTTCCTGGCCGGGCGGGACATTGCGCGTGCGCAGAGGGCACTTCCTTCTCTCTCTCCCTGCGGCCTGCAGCGGTAACAAGATGGTGAGCAACTCTCCTTTCCTTTGGTACTCGGGTTTTATCCGCCGCCATCCTCTCCGTCGCTCCCCTCTCCCGCACGGGATTCGCCGGGGGTGGGAAACATGGGGGCAGGCTAATCCAGGCAGCCGAGCAGTGGGAGCAGTTTTGATCAGCACCGGCGCTTGGGGAAGCCGGCTTGGAGGAAGGGGCGCTCGCTGTCTGCGGGCTGGAGGCGAGGGAGAGGGATGGTGGTCGCGGCGGGCTGAGTTTTCTTGCTTGCGCTTTGCTGCTGCTGCGAGGCCTCGCTTGACTTGGCGCGGCGGCCAGCTGTAGAGTCTTTTCCTTCTCCTCCTCCTCCAGTTTAAATTAAACGACGGAAAGTAGAGAGGGGTTGTCAGCTTCGTTTTAAGCAGGCGTCCCTAAACTCGGCCCTCCAGCTGTTTTGGGACTACAACTCCCATCATCCCTAGCTAACAGGGCCAGTGGTCAGGGATGATGGGAATTGTAGTCCCAAAATAGCTGGAGGGCCGAGTTTGGGGGTGCCTGGTCTTAAGCAGTTGCTGCAGGAGGTGGCTAAGGAATCCCGAAAGGTCCTCTTGAAAGCTATGCTTTGCATGGACCTGGTAGGTCCTGACCCACCAGCTTAAGACTGATGCTGCAATGCATGCTCAGGTATTAAAAATGAGTATAGCACAGGAATCAGCAGCCCTCTGCTGCCTGGTTACCTGTAAGAAAAGCTTAGCCAGTTCTTAAGTTAGGTCGGCTGAGCCTTTGCCCATCATCCTTGGTTACTGCTCCTTTCCTTCATTTTGTCCTCTTTCTTGCTTTCCCCCCTTCCAAGATCAAAGGTGCTCAGATCTCCTGGACTGTTTCAGTGAGAGGAAATTGTATTGTTCCTAGGAATAATTAGAACAGGGTTTATCCTCTTAAGCATGTGTTTGAAATGCTTTGGCAAAAAAAGGCTGCCAAGACCTTGTGGGTCTCGCCAGCCTCTGATCCTAGATCTGGAATTAAAAGGCTAAAGGCCTTTCCATCAGAACCTTTGGAAGAGGAAAGGGTCTGTAATTTGCATTGGGTGGGTTGAGCCTATCTCTTACCTGTGCCCAGGGTTGCTCTAAGGCAGGTGATGGGAATCTGGCCCTCTGTTGGACCCTTAAAGGCCCCAGCCAGCATTGCCAGTGGTTAGGGGTGGTGGGAATGGTTGTCCAGCAACACCTGGAGGGCCCAAGTTTCCCTGTTCGTGCTCTAGGGTAATTGATTGTGGGAGCGTGCCTGAACAGGGGGATAATGTTTTGTGTCATTTGTACTAAAAGGGCCGGTATGAAAGTTATATTTGTGGTGTCACACATAGCATGTTGTTTTAACTTTATCTGGGGAGGCCTCAGGCTGTAAAGCTAGAGGGTGAGAGCTCTGCCTACTACTATCTGTCAGCAGTTGTTGTGAGAATCAAATAAGAAAACCTCATCCTCATAGGTTCTTGAAAAAAAGAGCAGAATATAAATATGGTTGGCAAGGGAGCTGCCCTCTCATTCTATGACAAAAAAATAATTAAAAAGAAGCATTTACTTTGCAGAAAACACCCTCCCCATCCCCTGGTATTTTATTTTGCAATTTATTTTATTTTGCAATTTATTTTATTTTGCAATTACCTTTGCAAATAAGAGACTTGTAGAACATAGATGACTGCTGCAGTCCAATAGATACTGAACTGGCATAGTGACCAGGATACATAATCCTAAATGTGTGGGTTCCATCCCCATCACATTTAGGATTATGTATCCTGGTCACTATGCCAGTTCAGTATCTATTACAAGTTAGTCATTACTGCACTGGAAATAAATGGTTTTAACTTGGAATTTGGGTTTTTCTGAGATCACCATGTCTTCTGAGTAAACATGCCTTGAGTCAGGCTGTTAATTGTTGTAAGTGTGGGTATAGTTGCAAATAACTTTGGCAGAAATGAAAATTTAATGTGCTTCTTTCCCCCCCTAATGGTAATAGGCCAAACGAACCAAGAAGGTTGGGATTGTGGGTAAATATGGTACCCGATATGGAGCTTCCCTGAGGAAAATGGTGAAGAAGATTGAAATTAGCCAGCATGCTAAATATACTTGCTCCTTCTGTGGCAAGGTAAGTGCACCATCTGTTACTGCAGAGCTCCCAGTCCATAATTTCATTTTTTCCAAAACACCGCTTAATAGACATAGTTTACCTTTTGCCTCTTGTGCTAACTAAACTGCTCAGGCATAGTATTCTTGGTAATAATCAACTTAAAGAGGCTTGAAAGCAACCATCATGTACAATCAAATCATGAGAATAGGTATGAGGAACCTGTGGCCCTCCAGGTGTTGTAGTTTCAACAGTATTCAGCCCGAGCTGGCATGACCAATGGTTAGAGATGGTGGGTAGTTCAGCAGCACTAGAGTGCCAAAAATGCTGTAGATCAGTGGTTAGCTAAATACTGTGGACCCATTGTTTTTTAATAATTAAGCCATGAGCCCCCTGCTTTTGAAAATTTTCATAGAATTGTAGAGTTGAAAGGGACTCTATACAGTAATACCTCCATGAACGACTGCCTCGTCTAGCGTACATTCCGGTGAACTTCTGTGGCAAACCCGGAATTACCGGAATGGGTTACTTCCGGGTTTGCCACTCGCGCATGCGCAGAAGTGCTAAATCATGTTTTGCGCAGACGCGGTACTTTGCCCAGTGTCCTTTTCGGCTAGCGGCCGGGGCTCCAGAACAGATCCCGGTCGCAAAACAAGGTATGACTAGTAGTTTTTGTTATGTGAATGGTGCCAGGCACCGGTTCAGCACATCCATGGCCTCAGCTGCTGACGATGAAGAGAAGTAGAGCTGCATCATAACAACAGCAGGCTACAAAACTCTTGAGTGACCACACCACCATTTCAAGTAGAGGTTAAATGGGGGATTGATAGGACTGACCCCCTGTGGAAGCACATAGTAAGAGAGTCCGTGGGGCTAAACCAGGGGTCGGCAAGGTTTACCTCACCTGGGCCGGTTCACTCCAGGGAGATCCCTCCATGGGCCGGATTGTGCGCACGCCTGCGATTTCCAGTGTTTGCGTCTGCACAGATGCAATTTCTGGTGTCTGCGTAGATACGATTTCCGGCATCTGCGCATGCGATTTCTGGTGGCGCAGAAGCGAGTCCCCGCGCCGGTTTAGTGCAGTGTGCGGGGACTTGCTGAGTGGGCGGCTTGGTTTGGGGGCAGCTCGTGGACCGGTTAAACGACCCCTGTGGGCCGCTTGTGGCCCATGGGCCTTAGGTTGCCCACCCCTGGGCTAAACAGTTCTCCCAATATGTGCTTGCTGTTTCAGAACATGTGGCATTTCTTAGTGTGTGGTCCTGAGCTTACATTTGCTCAGACCTGATTCTATGCAAATTCATGTTTAAAACATGCAGCATTATCACTTTTTTTTTAAAAAAAACCCCCACCATACTCTATGTGTTGTGTGTTTAAAGTGCTGAGTAGATGTTGAGATGCATTTTGATTGAAGTGACGTGGTATGGTAGATGCTGCCGTGGAAGTAAGTAGCTTTTGTGTTTTTCTTACAGACCAAAATGAAGAGGAAAGCTGTGGGTATCTGGCACTGTGGCTCTTGTATGAAAACAGTAGCTGGTGGTGCCTGGACATACAAGTAAGGGAAATTATATTGGTTGAGGGGTATGCGCGCCTGGGGGGAATGTTCCATTTTCATTTGTGGTGGGTGCTGTGTGGTGTTTGGTATGCTGGTGGAAAGTAAATTAAGAAGAACCCTGCTGAGTCAGGCCAAGGGCCCATCTAGTCCAGGATTCTGCTTTTGCAGTGGTGTGGTTAACCTGAAACCTATGATACACTCAAATAGGACGTGTAGAAGTGCATTCCTGCTCTTGACTCCCAGCAGCTGGTATTTAGAGGCATGCTTCCTCTGATACAGGAGATAGTACATAGCTGCAATGACTAGGTAGTCTTCTCTAATTCATTTGTCTAATCCCCTTGAAAAACGGTTTATGGTTGTATATCAAACATTTTCTCTTCAACTTCACAGTGATCAGTGTTTGGGAGTGAAAGGGAAGGTAGAAGTTATTTAATTAGAGCAGGGATGTCCAGCTTACAAGAGACTGCGATCTACTCCCACTATAACAAAAACTGGTAGTGATCTATCCATTGGATTGACAAAAGTTGGGGGGTCAGCCGCGATTTACCACGGACCCCTGCCATCGACCAGTAGATCGCCGTCGACCTGTTGGGCTTCCCTGAAATAGAGTATTCTAACCACATCTTCTCTAAAACCTTAACTACATGTGGCATTAACAATGTGAGTATCAAACATGTACAATGGAACCTCTACCTGCGACCATAATCCGTTCCAGAGGTCGAAATGGGTCGCTGGGAGAGGCGCCATTGTGCACAGGCATGGGCTGCAGTCGCCGCTTCTGCGCATGCGTGGACGGTGGCAAACCCGCCAGTTACTTCTGGGTTTGCCGCGGACGTTGGGCGAAATGGATGCAAGCGGAGGCGGATGTAAGAGGTTTGACTGTTATTGTTTTAAAAAGAATACTAGATGCAAGGGGAGGGGGCAGTCCTCCTGGTTGCTGCTTCTCGGTAGTGGCGCCTGCCCTGTGGAACACCCTCCCATCAGATGTCAAGGAAATAAACAACTACAAGTATCTGACTTCTAGAAGACATCTGAAGGCAGCCCTGTTTAGGGAAGTTTTTAATGTCTGATGTTTTATTGTATTTTAAATATTTTGTTGGAAGTCACTCAGAGTGGCTGGGGAAATCCAGCCAGATGGGCAGAGTATAAATAATAAATTATTATTATTATCTAAAGTAAAGAAGAAAAACCCCAACATTTTGTATGCACTATTAAACATTTCATTTAGCTGACTCTTGTTAGTTCTAAAAAAATGTTTAAAAGCTCATTACAGAAACTGCTAATTGTTTGTCTCATTTGAAATAATAGTGATACTTTTTGTTTCTTCCAGCACCACTTCAGCAGTGACAGTGAAATCTGCCATCAGAAGACTGAAGGAGTTAAAAGACCAGTAGAAGCATATTTTTGTTCCACTGTTGCTCTTCCTCTACAGTTCATGTCCTTATTGTCAATTAAAGGTGGTTGTGAACATTGAACCCTGTTGGGTGTTTTGTGCAAGAACAGTCCTATAGGCAGTGTACCTTTTTGATCTTGCTTTTTCCCTTTCTGCACAAAATATCAGTTGGTTTATGTAAGAGTAGCAATAACGTGCTATACATGTGGATTCCGAATAAGGTCAAGTTAAAATAGAATGTAGACTTATTTGCCAAGCAGTAACATCTCAATAAAAGTATAATGGAACAAATTAAAGCATGCAAAATGAAGTGCTTGTAAATGTCATGCTGATTTTGGTAGGAGAGTTAAGCACATAATCACTCACATTGAAATTGATCCCACTTAACTGATATTTTTGCCAGCATGTGATCTCTATCTGTCTGTAAATCTTTAACCAAAAGTTACTCTTCCAAATCTAAACGGAGCTAAGGTACAGAACAGAAAATGCTATTAAGGCCTCATGAATACTTGTAGAATTCTATTTTCGGAAAATGAAGCGATCCTAATTGGAAGGACGGGGAGCAGCAGATTCCCGCCTGACTGGGGCAGTGAATGGATGGATGGTTTTGTTCCACCAGCTCCAGGCTGCTATGGCATCAGGGCAAAAACCAGCTGTCTCCAAGAGTTGGGCTACCTTTTCATCAGTGGATCTAGCACCAGCATTGCTCTGTTCCATGTGCCACCCAAAATAGCTTTGCCAGAGGTAATGTGTCCTCACTGCACCTGGTGGGGACAGCAGGGTCCTCCACACTGGTAGAGGGGCACTTTTGCCAAATCCTGATCCCTAGCAGGCGTGCAAAAATTGGGACTGAGGATTACTCTGCCCTGCATTTTCCACATTTTTCTAATGGGATGCCAGTATCTTGCCAGTGCAGTGAGTGAGACACTTTCCACACAGATAACTGGCTGAGTTCAAAGCATTTGGGAACCATATTTTTGTAGAGTTGAACGGGACCCAAGGGTCGTCTAGTCCAACCCCATGCAATGCAGAAATCTCGGCTAAACGTTGTTGCCGTATTTAAACTTGAACTTGGAACATAACAAAAACTCATAAAATCAGCACCATATACATCCAACAATTGTTTTTGTCTGAAATCAATTTTTTAAAAAATTGTCTACTCAAATCATTTTTTTAAAAATCTGGTGTGTTCTTTTCTCTTGAATCTCAAGATTCTGAGCATATCTCTCTTCTAAACAATGTTGTTTAGAAGGTAGTTTTATCAGTTAGCCATTTCCTTTCTTTTAGAAGTAAGTAAGATGGAAAGCCTCAATGCAGTAGTGGATATTTTCCAGCAAAGGAACTCCCTAGCTGTTGTGGATCTCATGGAGGCTTATAGTTGTTGTTTTTTTACTGAAGCTGCAGATAATTCAAGTGGGCTCTGCTCAGAGAGTTCCTGCAAAAGCGGATTGCCTCACCTGCAGGCATTAACCTATATTTGCCTTACCACTGCAACTCTTTCAAGAGGGACTGGAGAGAAGGCAGTACTTGTGGGTTTCCCTGCAAAGTGGTAAGATGTGTCAGTTCCCATGTCCATTGTACAGTGAAAAGTAAAGTCTTCCACTGATTGCAAATCGGTGAATCTTGCGCAGTTAATGCAGAGTTAAGAGTGGCCTAACCTCTGGACCAGATTTCACTCTTAATTGGTTGTAAAATCCACAATAGTGTTTCTAGACACACATTGTGAGCAGATTTGGTCATCTGGGCAAACATCTGTCTTCAGCCATCTTAAAGGTGAGCAGGGTTTTTTCTCCAGGTTCTGTTTGAAAGGATGCACACATCTCTGACCAAGGGGAATGTGTACATATTTCTATGCATAGAGTTACTGGGTATGTGCAGAGATGGAAGTACTGTTTCTTACTCTCTTCTAGCCGTATAGGGTCTGGTTTGCCAACCTGATCGTTACGGTTCAGGAGTGTATGGGCCTTTCCAATACAGTCATACCTCATGTTGCGTCCGCTTCAGGTTGCGTGTTTTCGTCTTGCGTCCTGCAGCAACCCAAAAGTACCGGAACGGGTTACTTCCGGGTTTCGCCGCTTGCGCATGTGCAGAAGCACTAAATCGTGCTTCGTGCATGCACAGAAGTACTAAATAGTGCTGTGCGCAGACGCAGCACTTCTGGATGCGAACACTTTGAATTGCGGACATGCCTCTGGGATGGATTACGTCCGCAACTCGAGGTTCCACTGTGCACAGCTCTCACACAGGGCCAGGGTCTTGTAATTGTGGCTTCACGTCTGGCAGAGGAGCATTGTTTTGTTATGGGAGGATAGAGATTGCCATCTTGGCCTCTTGTAGATCTTGTACGTGCATATATGAGTGAACCCGGAAGGTGATGTGGTGCAAGAGGAAGGTGAAAATTTCTTACATGCACACGTTAAGGGGATATCAGAGCCTGAAACCTAGTACCTTAAAGAGGCAAGTGGCCATTCTCCCATTCAGTCATGGAACAAAAGGGTCCGAGCCCTCATATTGAAATTATCACGGGCCATTCTGTTGATACCTCCCACAGTGCATAAATGTTTTCAACTGGGACCAGCACAGATGGAAGACACCAAATCACCCCTCAAGCCCATACAAATTATAGCCCAGGGATCAGCAACCTTTTTCAGCCGTGGGCCAGTCCACTGTCCCTCAGAGCATGTTGTGGGCCGGACTATATATATATTTTTTTGGGGGGGGGAAATGAACCAATTCCTATGCCGCATAAATAACCCAAAGATGCATTTTAAATAAAAGCACACATTCTACTCATGTAAAAACAGGCAGGCCCCACAACCCAGAGACGCATTTTAAATAAAAGGACACATTCTACTCATGTAAAAACACGCTGATTCCCAGACCATCCACAGGCCAGATTGAGAAGGCGATTGGGCCGCATCCAGCCCATGGGCCTTAGGTTGCCTACCCGTTATAGCCTGAAGGATCAGGGCTGGGAACTGCTTTTCTTTGTGGCTATTACTGCAGTCTGAAGGATTTCTGAGTCCTTGAAAGGGCTACTGTAGCCTACTTAGCAGATGTTTTCACATACTTCAACACCCTCAACACCAAGCCTTCAAGGTAGTGATATGAATATTTTTTGCATTGAAGATAAGATTGAGGCAGTGATTTAAAAACTATGGTTTTGAGCAAGCCAGGTAGAAGGTAGTAGCCTCACTAACATCCCAACACGAGACATTTCTGGAGGCCACTGACGAAGAATTGATACCAGAAGGAAAACATTACATTACTAGGCACCTGCATGATTTAGGACTAGCTTCCGAGATGACTTCCCTGCACCAAATCCTGAAAACGCATGGATAAGGAATCCTTTTGAATGTGGTGATATACAACTAACAGCTCTCCTCTACAGAAAAGCAAGATGCACTTCTTGACATGACTTGTGATGGTTCATTGAAATCATTCAAAGAATGTAGACTGGACCAATTCTGGGTGAAAGTTTTTGCTGGTTATAAGAAGTTAGCTGAACATCTAGCTTTGAAACATCTAGTTCCCTTTTGTTCCACATATCTTTGTGAACAAACATTTTCAACATTTTGTTATATGAAGAACAAGCATAGAAATTGGCCTGATGTTGAACCAGATTTGAGAATAAAAGTAGGAAATATTGAACCGGATGTGGAAGAGATTGTTCGAGACAAAAAGAAGCATGATTTCTCCCATCACATTTAGGTTTAGTGTGTTTTGAACATTTTGTTGGGAGCTGGCCAGAGTTGCTGGGGCAACCCAGACAGATGTGTGGCTGGTAAGTAAGTAAGTAAGTAAGTAAGTAAGTGAAAAAAGATTTAGAAATTTGGTCAAATTTGAAACTCTCGCTGCTGGGCCGTATTGCTGTGATAAAGATGAATGTATTGCCTAGAATGTTGTTTTTGTTTCAGACATTACAAATTGTAGATAAGATGGACTGTTTCAAGAAGTGGCAGAGAGATATTTCTAGATTTGTCTGGCAGGGCAAGAAGCCCAGAATAAAATTTAAGATATTAACTGATGCCAAGGAAAGAGGTGGATTTGCCCTGCCAGACCTTAAACTTTATTATGAATCAGCAGCTTTTTGCTGGCTGAAAGAATGGCTACTTCTTGAAAACACAGACATTTTGGATTTAGAAGGTTTTAACAATGTATTTGGATGGCATGCATACTTATGGTATGATAAGGTCAAAGCACACAAAGCATTCAAAAACCATATTGTTAGGAAAGCATTGTTTAATGTTTGGATAAGATACAAAGATTTATTGGAAAATAAAACCCCAAGGTGGCTGTCACCAATGGAAGCAAAAGCTCTGAAAAGGCTCAATATGGAGGCCAAATGGCCGACATATTGGGAAATTTTGGAGCAAGAAGGAGATAAATTGAGATTGCAGAGTTTTGAAAAATTAAAAAATAAAGTGAGAGATTGGCTTCATTACTATCAGATAATGGAGGCATATAATTTGGATAAGAAAATAGGCTTCCAAGTGGAAAAGTCAAAATTAGAAACAGAATTGTTAGAACCCAAAACTAAAAATTTGTCAAGAATGTATAACTTGCTGTTGAAATGGAATACTCAGGATGAAACGGTGAAATCTGCTATGATTAAATGGGCACAAGATGTTGGACATAATATTATGTTCGCTGACTGGGAACAGTTATGGACCACAGGTATGAAGTTTACGGCATGTAATGCCTTAAGAGAGAATATTATGAAAATGATATACAGGTGGTACATGACCCCAGTCAAGCTTGCAAAAATTTATCATTTGCCCGATAATAAATGTTGGAAATGTAAAGAAACTGAAGGTACATTCTTTCACCTTTGGTGGACGTGCCCAAAGATCAAGGCTTTCTGGGAAATGATATATAATGAACTGAAAAAGGTATTTAAATATACCTTTCTGAAGAAACCAGAGGCCTTTCTTTTGGGCATTGTCGGCCAATTGGTGCCAAAGAAGGACAGAACCTTTTTCATGTATGCTACAACAGCAGCAAGAATACTTATCGCAAAGTATTGGAAGACACAAGATCTACCCACTTTGGAAGAATGGCAGATGAAGGTGATTGACTACATGGAATTGGCGGAAATGACTGGCAGAATCCGAGACCAGGGAGAAGAGTCGGTGAAGGAAGACTGGAAGAAATTTAAAGACTATTTACAGAAATATTGCAAAATTAAGGAATTTTAGAAGGATGTCGGATAGAAACTAAGAGGTTTTTAGCTGTAATGCTTTTAAGAGACATGAAAAAAAAAGGTTAACAATTGGGTAAAAGATTAATGGTAAGGATTTGCTGAACCAACAAACTGAACTGGAATACAAAGAAGGGAGGTATGAGGAGGTCCGAGGAAATAAGAGCAAGGAAGATAGGTTATGGAAAATTATTGTGCTTTTAACTGTTTTATTTTGTATGTTTTTCCTTATTTTCTACGTTTTTGTTATATCTTAAAATCTTATACTTTTTTCTTTATTCTGTATTTTCACGTATTTTTTGAAACTTTAATAAATATCATTATAAAAAAAAAAAGTAAGTAAGTAAGTAAGTAAGTAAGTATCATCATCACCATCATTATTTAGTAGCTGATAAAAGGTAAAGGTAAAGGTACCCCTGCCCGTACGGGCCAGTTGTGTCCGACTCTAGGGTTGCGTGCTCATCTCGCTCTAGAGGCCGTGAGCTGGCGCCGTCCGAAGACACTTCTGGGTCACGTGGCCAGCGTGACGAAGTTGCATCTGGCGAGCCAGCACCAGTGCAGCACACGGAAATGCCGTTTACCTTCTCGCTATAAAGCGGTACCTATTTATCTACTTGCACTTAGGGGTGCTTTCGAACTGCTAGGTGGGCAGGAGCTGGGACCGAACGACGGGAGCTCACCCCGCCGTGGGGATTCGAACCGCCGACCATACGATCGGCAAGTCCTAGGCACTGAGGTTTTACCCACAGCGCCACCCGCGTCCCTTAGTAGCTGATAGACGTATCCTAATTTGTTCACTTGTACTATTCATTAATAACATTAAATATGTCTGTCTCCCAACTGAATTACTGTGATTTTTGCATGGTAATATAATGAATTTTATGCTCTGTTTTTTTTTAGTATACCTAAAACCCATTGCTTATTATGGGCTACCCCACATTTTCTTCAAAAAATAGGTTTGCACAGGCAACTACTATAGAGTTATCAAAATTTCCAAGAGTAGGGGGTCTGTGGTTTGGCTTTTGAAAAAATAGGGGGTCCTCAGTAATTAGCTAATTGGGAACTACTGCTCTACAGTACAGGGTGAGATGGGGTTATACTTGAGATTTGTCCTAGATTGGAGACAACTTTGTCATTTCTTCTGATCTCTTCCATTACATGGTTATTTTTCTGTTTATTGTGCTGCAAGGTGGTAGGGTTTTTTTTGTTTGTTTTTTGTTTTGTTAGCTATAGTGCACTTTGGAACAGAAACAGAATCTGACTGATCCTGCCAGAGGAGCAAGTGGGAGGAGCAACACATCCAGGACTCCCCTCCATACCCTGCAGAAAAGAAACTGTGGTTAAATCCAACATTCTGTTCAACCACAAGAAAATATTTGCATAATACGGTGAGGGCATTTTGGCACAAGTAACATGCAGTCCTGCTCCGTCACAGAATAATGGTATATCAATAATAAGTTTGTAAGAACTAAATGAAAAGCATGCATGGGGAATGTTGCATTTATGTGGGAAATAACAAACACATCTCTTCTCTGCTGGGCTGCTGTGATACTTAAGCTTCAGTTTTACAAATGGCCTCATGTGGGAGCTGCAGTTCCACTAGTTCCATTTCCCTCCTGGCCTCTGTTATATTTGATCTTGCCTTTTCATTTTATAAATGAGCTGAGACAACTTTATTCAAGAGCATGCAACTCCTTCTGTGCTTACCTAGTTGTCCTTAGCCCCCAGCTTCTTGGAAAGATGCTGAAAGAGGCTCGAGACATATTTGGCCTGGGGTTTTTTTTAGTGTGTACATGGCTTCCCCAGACAAAAGAGGCTATTTCTATTTTGGCAGTGGAATTTTAGCTTGAAGTTCTATCAATCCCCTTCATTTTATTTACCTTGCCAAATTTTTGTGATGCACTTTCAAATGTATGTGTCAAGATGTGTCTGGTCTTTTCTGTTCAGATGATGCTAAATTTGTAGAGCTATCCACTGTTTTTCAAGGTAGATTTACCTTACCAAGACTGTCCCTGACAGTCCTACCAATTAGAAAAGTGTTTGCACCTGGGAGCAAAGTGACACACTCCTGTTGTGTGGATGCTAACTCATACAGATCACACAAAAAGCTGGTCATGAACAACAACACCCCTTACTGAGCAGACAAATAGGATCAACAGCTTAAGATGTGTACAGTCATACCTCGGGTTAAAGTTGCTTCAGGTTGAGCATTTTCGGATTGCACTCCGTGGCAACCTGGAAGTAACGGAATGTGTTACTTCTGGGTTTCGCCGCTTGCGCATGCGCGGAAGGGGCAAATTGTGACCCGCGCAGACGCGGGTTGCGTTTGCTTCAGGTTGCGAACGGGGCTCCGAAATGGATCCCGTTCGCATCCAGAGGTACCACTGTAGTGATGCCTAATGAGAGCAGTGTTTGTAATTTGCAGGGGTACCTTGGTTCTCAAACGCCTTGGTACTCAAACAACTTGGAACCCAAATATTGCAAACCCTGAAGTGTTCTGGTTTGTGAAATTTTTGGGGAAGCCGAACATGCTCTGTTTGGAGTGTCACACTTCCGTTTTGAGTGTTACGCTGAGGTCTGTCTGTTTTTGCTATTTATTTTGCATTTTTTGTATTTGCGGCTCTTTCTGTTTCGTTTTTGTGACTGTGTGGAACCCAATTCAGCTACTGATTGATTGATTGATTCTGTGACTGCAGTACATTGGTATTGCTTTCATTTTATGGATCAATGGTCTCATTAGATAGTAAAATAAATGTAAAATTGCTGTTTTAGGGGTTGTTTTAAGAAGTCTGGAACGGATTAATCCATTTTGCATTACTTTCTATGGGAAAGCGCACCTTGGTTTTGGAACGGACTTCCGGAATGGATTAAGTTTGAGAACCAAGGTACCACTGTATCATTAAGCTGGCTTACCTGGTGAATGCTGATCCTCTTGCCCTGGGCCGCACATGATACAATAAACTGCAGGACAACACATTTTTTGTTTGGCATCCCATTTAATTTATTCCAACTTTCTCACAATTTAGCAATCAAAACAAAATAGAAAAAAAGCATTGTGATTTCTAAACAGGAGTACAAATTTCAGTTGTGAGCTGATGCTTGTGATGTTCAAATTCCTCTTCAATGTGTATCAACCACAAAGAGCACCATCTGCCCCCTTACAATTCCTAGGTGTACGGAATCTGGATGCCTCTCAGAGGGGGAAAACCCAACAAAAACAGAAACATACATTTATGCCCCCAGAACTTGGGAGGTGCTTTGATGTCCTCACTGATGCTGAATGCACCACAGTTCTAGGTTTGTACTTAAAAAGAACCTAAAGGTAGCTAAAGGTAAGTTTGAGAGGCAGCTGATGTTCCCCATCAAGGCACTAATACTAATGTTCGTGGGTGCTAAATAGATTGAAAATGGGAAGCAGTAATGAGATTCTTTTTTTTCCTTCTTGCTGTGTGGGGAATCCCAAAAACAATACCACTTTCTGTTTTATGAGCCTATGGGTTGGGGAAATGTCAGGCAAAATTGCCTGGTATTTAAAAAGGTAATCTCATCACCACATTAAGACTCTTCATTTCATCCATCCATCATTACAGCAGGCTAGAATGTGCCATATTTTTTATCCAGATGGTCTAATGGGATGGTCATTGAACAATGTCTACTCCTAAAAAGTCTCCAGTGTACTTGAGATCCATTTCCATCATAACCACTTGCATTGTTGCCCTTGTTCTGTACTTCCTCACAGAGCAGGCACCCTCATTCCACAAACACTTACCTAGCATTTTGCAACACCTTTGTTTTCTCTATCCTGCATAACCCAGCAAACTACTCAATGACTGCTCGCACTGTTTTGCATTAAACATTTAAATTTCACCTCATTTCTTCCATCTAATCTCTGCCTTGGGGGGCGGGGGCGGGAAAACCCAACTAAGAAAGTCAATCTCTATGAGTCATTTATTTTAGGGTGGTGTGTGGTGGCATTTTCACACTGTTCATTTACCACCTCATTTTCACAATGGAGGTGAGAGGGAATAATAAGAGTAGTTGAAATCACCTCCAATTACTAACCGTTGCATAATGGTTCAAGACACTTCTCTTCCAAGATGGCGGCTAGGACAAGGAAATTGCTCCACTTGTGAAAACGTGGTGGTAAAGTAAAGCACCTGCTGCACACTCATGACGTTTGCAGAAAAGGGGTGGAAACTATATTGCTTGGGTTTCCCCCCTCAAAATACTGTATTTCAAAAAACAAAAGCACCCAACCTCCAATGATTATACTAAGTACATGAACCTAGCAGTTGTCCTGTAAATATAAATTGGTATATATAATAAAAGAAAATCTAATTGTTCATGCAGTTGCTAAATCAGTTTTCAGCATTTGCATGATCCACACAAAAGCCAAATCAAGAGTGTCTGAAATAATATCAGAGAAGCTCAATCTATTCTTGGGAACGGCATATTCAACACCACATCACCCCAGCTCCCAGATATTAATTATTATTCTGTACATGTGTATATATGCATGTGTGTCCATCATCTTCTCAGTCTGCATTTCGGGGGATTACCGCACACTGTATAAAGTGTTGTTTACATATTGCATTGCTCACCTGGGTCCCACGCAAAAGGAAGGAGGGACATTGGCAGCAGCTTAAAATGTGGGTTTTAAATGGGTTTTTGCTTCTTAGGGGGGGAAATAACAACAACTGGATTCTAAGCTTCTTCCCCCAATCCCTGACCCCTCTCTTCCCTGCTTTTGAGTTTAACTCTGATCTGAAGGAGTTGACTGCCTAGCATTGACATTTTCTGTGTATTAGTGTTTCTTAGGATGCATCAAGACTGAATGCAATACAAGGTCCTACCTAACAGAAAGTTGCCCAGAAGTGCAAAATTCTTAAAGAATAAGGCTCCCAGGGCAGGGAAAGAGAAGGGGTTGAACTTCTATGTCAAGTGCAATGCCTTGTGGAAGAAATTAGTGTCCGGAAGTAGCTCCCTCCCACTCTATATGCTTTCTGTGTAGCAATTCCAACTGAGTATGTGCTGGACAAGGATTCTCTTTACCTGCTCAATATATGCTACAACCCACACAATAACAGGGGAACAGGTTGTCAGGGCTGTGTGTAGCAGGCAACATGCAGTATTTACAATCTTTGGTCTTTGGTGTGTGTGTATGGCGGGTGGGGGCTGGGACAATTATTCTCCCATCCAGCATGATCACCCGGGTTCTTTGGAGAGGCCTGGGTAAGCAATTCAACAGCCAAGAGGGAAGGTCAGCTCCCTTGTTTCTCCTGCTTGTTTGCTGCAAGGCTACAAGTGGTCTAATAATTGTGAAACCTCTTAGGCAAAAGATTTTTTTAAAGGTTTAGAAACCAGTCCCCGTCCCCACCCCTGCCACCAAGCCCCTTTGCAATTCTTCCCCAAGGATTTAAAGGCAAGCAACTGGGAGGCACACGAAGCCCACAAAATGTCGGGACCTTCTGGAATACAAGAAAAGAGAGAGAGAGATAAAAATAAGATGCATCGAAACCCATGTAAAATCCAGCGCTGAGGCAAGAGGCCAAGCTGCCTGCCTGCCAGCGAGTGAGAGAGAGAGAGAACACGTCCATCTATTGCACATGCAAAGCATGCGCTCCCCGGTCCTCTTGCTCATGCACAGGGTAGAAGAGGTGGCACTCAGGATCTCCACGGACAGTGGGCGACCCCTGGATGATTTTCCCAGTGTTAGGGTTAACGCACCAGCATTCTCCGCGCTGGCCATTCACCGACATCTTGCACTAAAGGTGGAGAAGGGGTGGGGAAGAGAGAGAAGAAGAGAACACCATTGACTTAGGCAGACTACATGAATTGGAGCACATGGAAAACAAAGCTCTTGACTTTTGTTATGCAGACATTATAGCTGCCGGGTAGTGGAAGCTACACCAAGTGTTTCAGAGCAGCCTGCTGTCTAAACAAAAAGCGAAACGGCCCACGTCACACAATGCTTTCTTCCTTTACAGACAGGGAAGGGAAGAAGCAGTTTACACCATTCACCTCTAAGAGCAGCACCAGTGGGCTGGAGGTGCTGCAAGAATGCAAGGGAAATCCCTGCCTGCAACTGTCGTGCAGTGAGAACATTGAAGTTTCACTGTAACACCCCATCAATACATCCCATCAAAATATACAGCCACCTCTTGTGGTTTTTTAAAGGGACCAACATCATATTTAGGGAAAGTCTGAGAAGATCCAAATGTTCTAGTAGGGGCTTTCTCATATCTGGTGCAAATGGTATATAGGAACAGGTGTGCAAGAGATACGCTTCTTCTGCACCCACCCACACATTACTTCTACAGTGGATTTAACTTGTGGCTAGGATTCATAAGCGTCAGGGATCCTGGAGTGTTCATAGATTTCACCATAAGCAGAGCCGTAGCTAGGTGATCTTGCGCCCCTGGCAGAATCGTCCAGATTGTACCCTCTAGCTATGGACAAATTAGCTTTTCTTTCTGCCTCTCCTCCAACCCCCTCCTCCATTCAATTCACCCTCTATTTAAAACCATTTCTTATGAGGCAATAATCAATATTTATATTAATGGACATATTTCTAAGCCGATTTTGCGCCCCCCCAATCATCTGCACCCCTGCCAGGTGCCCACCTTGCCACCCCCTAGCTACAGCCCTGACCACATGTAAGGTTTAAATTGGCTTTCCTAAAAAGCAGCAGTGATACCAGTTTCCTGGTGGGAAACAGGAGAGGACATGTGTGGCAAAGGAAAGAGGGAGGGGAAGCTTCATGGAAAGGAGTGGGAAAGAGTGGTCTGAAAAGGAAAAACTCTGCTAACAGTATATTTTAGCAAAGATCACTCTTTTCACATGCTACCATGCATCAACTGCAAAAATGTGACAAGAGTGGGGAGTTATGTCATTAGTACTTGACATTTCAAAAGAGAAATTCAGCAGTAAAGTGTTTAGCAGTGGAGTTAATGCATACATAACAAGGTTGAGGCCACAGAAAGATCTCAGCGTACAGAATGCAAAAAACGATGAGCAATTCTTATACTCATTGGCTAGGACAACTTGCAGGCCTCTGACATTTCGATTTAATGCATAAGGAAACTGAGACTCAGAGACTGGGACTTGTCCTGAAGGTCCTTAGCAGATTCATTGCTAAGAAGGATTTGACTATCCTAGCTCTTGAACCAGTAAACATAGCGCTAATAGAAAGCAAATGAACAAGGCATCTATAAATACATGTCTCTGTAATACCAGTGTGAGCAACCAAACTTCAGGCAATACTGTTTTTCTTTTTCTCTTTGTGGCAGGGATGAACATGACGGGCAAGGGCTGTACAGGTCCGAACTATGTATGTACCTGCCTGCTTCCTGAGTCGATGGAAAATGTTGGTGCAAGACAAGGCAGTGTGAAGAGCAAGCTTCACTCAGCACAGCTAAATCCCTTTAGGGAACTAATTCATTTATGGGGGATTAGCCACAGCTGTGGGGTGTGGGCCTTGCAAGGTAATTAGAACCTTGGGGGAATCAAGGTTGCCGCTTTCATCTCCCCCAAATGGGGAAAGTTGCATCAAAGCAACCACACCCTACATATAGGTCCACACCCAGCTTGTCCAGCAGGACTAATAAAAAAAAAAAATGCTTGCTAGCCTTAGAAAGGGAAAAAGCAGAGAGATACATCTGCCAAGTCAACTTTTAGAGAATAACAAGTGCTCCCGCTAAGAGACCCCAGATGGGCAGAGGAAGGGGGGTGCGGTGGATGCAGGCCGCCCCTGGTGTCACCACTGGGGGGGGGTGTGACAAAATGCCAGGTGGCACTCACCGTGGGGCCTGCAGCATGCCTGAGCCGCGCATCTCTCCTGGGCTTGAGCAGGAGAGAGCACGTGCAGGCTCCATGCTGCCCAAATGGTTCACTTGCTGCCTCCCCCCCAGCTTTAGGGCAGCTGAGTGGAAAGAGGCAGGCAGACTCCAGAGGCCCTGCCCTCACCCTGCCCCTATGGATGGCTTGCCCCGCTCCTGGGCGTGCCGCCCCAGGTGCCCGAGTGGCTTCCTCCATCACTGACCAGAAGTATACTCCTGGCTCCATATCCCTGAGAGCTGCTGCTGCTCTTATGCCTTATTGCTTGGGTCAGCAGGATGCAAGGTCCAGAAAGCCCTTTTCTCCCTTAGAGTTTGATCCACACAGCATTGCCTGCAAACTCAAAACTTTGTGAGCTGAAGTTCCCTCAAATGCCGTTAGGCGCATTTGCTGTCAAAGAACTGGCAGGCATATTTTTGGTGTGCTTTATCTCCAACCCAAAGTTGAGGTTCTGGATTGAATATGGGATGTGGTACAAGGTCAGCTGCTAACCTAGAAGTGCAGCTCTTGCCTGCTGACCAGGAGAGCCCCATTACCTTCAGAAGGTCGCCATTGTTGTCACAGTCCCATGCCCAAGTGATTACATAGAATCATTGCCACAAAGCTTCCTAGGCCTGCTCGGCGTCCTGACCTCCCATCCCCTGATAAACTTCAACCAAGATGTCAACTGAACTCTTATTTCATTCCTGCTCATGAGTGGACACTGAGTTTCAGAACAAGGTTTGCAAGTGAAATATGCTTGTTGTTGAGTGGCACATAAGCTGAAAGGAAGACTGGTAGATGTATCTACCAGATTTAGGATTCATACTACCATTCTGTATTCCAGATACAGTACATCCTTGGGACCTGTAAGACTGGATGCAGGAAAGCAGGCAATTTCTGCCACTTGGCAAACAAACAACAGGAAAAGTGGGGCTTTCTCTCGCACCATTACAATTTCCCCATGAGCTTTAAGAGCGGCAGGAGCCAATGTGGTGCCCTCCAAATGTTGTTGGGACTCCTAACCCCATCAGCCTCAGCCAACATGGCCAATGGCCATGTATTATGGGAATTGTAGGTTCTGAAGAGCACTGTGTTGGCTGCTAGAGAGCATCTTGCTAGACAGAACCAGATGGCCATTTGGCCCAATTCCGAAAGGATATTCATATGGTATTCAAACATGCCAAGAGTCCTGTGCTGCCCATGCTGATCTCTGTTTAGACATGCTGACCTGCAAAAACCAGAACCGGCTGAACCACCCTGCATACTTTGATCAGCACTGGTGATCCCTCAAATGACAGTTGCCTGAAGGACCCTGCCCCCAATCACCCTCTGCACTTGCCTGTTTGAGATTGTAAAGGCCTTGCTTGTCGCAGTTTGGAATATTTAGGGAATAGAGGTGCTCCAAAGGACCGCGTTCATCTGGCAGGCGCATGGTTGAGATGCGTTCCAAGACTTGATCCAATTCCTGTTGGCAGGGGGTCTGCAAATGGTCAAGAAAGCGGAAGAAAAACAAATGAGGAAATCAGGCAGGGCCCAGCTGGCACAATGGAGACAACAATGGCTTTCACCTTCTGACACATGTGGGATTTAAGTTTTTGCTTAGGGTAGCTATGCAGGTTCCACCCCCAAACCCACACCTGACTCCCTTTCATCCCAAAGCATCAGAAAAAGTATTCTAGCCCACCTCCCTTCGCCTGTAGTCACACCGTCTCAAGGCTGTTAAACATTTGCCAGAAAGGATCAAAGTGTTATGACCCAATGGTGATTTGCCCAAAGACACAACATACTTGGTATATATGCAGTTCATGTCACTCAGTGTCAAACGATTTGAAATAACTGGCTTGAATCATCTTTGATTAATGGATATGAAAACAAAAACAATACAAGGGATAATGTAACAAGGATGATTTTTTGGTCTTCTGAATATACTTCTTTTTAGACAGGGCTGGGAAGAAGAACTATTGAGAGCGCTTTGCAAATATTTGTGCTTTAAGACAGTTTTCTACCATTTCTTTCTTAGAAGAATCATAGAAGGGTAGTTACATGCCCAATTTCCATGGAGATTCTCCCTGTGCCAGTAAAATTGCAAACTTAAGTTGATCAAATTCAACCTCTTCTCAGGGGGAACTTTGATTTATAGCCTCAAAACAAAGTTCAAACACTGGATAGAAATCTACATCCACTACACTTATTAAAAAGCACCAATGAGTAGCTCCTCAAACTATGGGAATAAAAAGATTGTGGGTTATAAAACAATGAAACCCACAAACCCCAATCTTCATGTTCCACCAATTTTGAGCAAATCATTGTCTCCTTAAAACCTCCTAAAATAGTAATGGGGCCAGGCTGATCATCCCTCTTGTGATTTGAACACTATTCTGAAGAGTGACTGGAGAGGTAGAAAGAGAACCTACAGCTTCATATTAACTGGCTAAATTTTGAGTTTAGCACCACTATAGGGAATATGCCACTGATGGCATTAACCCACCAACTGCCTGTATACACTGGGAAGAATGGAAACACTTATAAGAACCACAGTGCTATGATGGGAATATGGTGCCCTTCAGACATTAGAGGGTTGTTCTCCATAGCAGAGAACCTCTTATGACGCTCCTATGATGGATTTATTTCTAGACCGCTATACCTTAGAATGTCAGAGAAGAGTGCAATGCTAACATATAAAACACCAATTTAAAAAAACACAAAAATACAGATCGTCTTTAAGGCAGCTGGCTAATCAAAGATAAAAATTATACAGCTGCAACCGACTATCTGCATTAAGAAGTTTTCAAGAGATGTCCAAGGATGCCTGTGGAATCTCTGCTTTATCTTGTGGGACTCATCACAGTAAATGCCCAACTTTAGCTGAGGTTGGTCAGGGCTCTGTAACACAGGGGGACAACTAACAGGGATCCTCTGGATGATTGGGCTGGGATAGAAGGGCTCAGGCAGTCCTTATCAGCCCTCCCCGCATGGAGACGCTTGATCACATGGGTCTTTCCAAGGTTGATCATATGTGATTGCAGCCTTTTAAATGCTAGGGGGCACATAGGGACAACCCATGGCAAAGCACCCCCCAACTAGGCTCCTGTACAGTTTTAAGAAGGGCACTGGTGTGTTATGGGATTCTTAGAATCAGAAGAGTTGGAAGGGACCCCAAGGAGCATCTAGTCCAACCCTCTGCAATGCAGGAATATGCAGCTGTCCCTTATGAGGCTCGAACCTGCAACCTTGGTATTATCAGCACCACGCTCGAACCAACTGAGCTATCCTTGTGATCATACTATACAGTCTTGCTATTTGCCACAGAGTTCAGCTCTCTGAGATCTCTCAACTTTTATTTTCTTAACAACAACGGTAACATGTTCCTGACTCTTTGGGCTGTGGAAAAATAGGAACTGAATGGGAAAACAACTGATGAAATCAAAAGAGGCAGAGGGTGCTGTAAAGAGTTTCCAATAGTTAGGAAGCAAAGTTATGGCACTGTGTGTTACTCTTTACCCCATGGCTAATGGTAGCCTCTGAAGAAATGCTGCAGAAAAAGAAAATCCACATATCATGTTCCTGCTCTGCATAGTGATGTACAGACAGCAGAATTCAGCTCCTCTTGGCTTGGATGTTAGGCTATAGTGTGGCCCAAAAATTGGGATATTTTTAGCACACAGTTTATATATACACATATCCCTGGCTATGCTGCTGGTGGCAATGTGACATTTTATATTGCCTCAGGTTGTAATATCCAGTCCGGGAGTGTGCACAAAATCAGTTCCTCCAGTTATCATGGAGGGCAAACATTACCATTTTGTATACGTCTTGATTCACTGCTCTGCAAGCTAATATGCATGTACTGTGAGAGACTAAGCTCTCCCACCACTCCGATGCTACCTTCTAATTCCCAGTGGCATTTGGTCATGTACTGTATATGGGATCCTCTTCAGCTACCATGGCTCTCTTAAGGTATCAACCATGCACAGAAAGTTGCTGCCCCAGCTGCAATGTTTAACACTACCTGGCATACATAATGAAATCATCCTACTGAGACACTCCATAATCCCGCCAATAGACCCCAGACCAGGAAACACATAGTATGATGGTTGGGATCCATTGCTGTTCAAGGTTTAAAATTTTACAGCCTATATAAAGAATGCAAACTTTCAGAACAATCCTAAGCATGCTTACTCAGACATGTCCAGTGGGGCTTACTCCTTAATACTCCAGCCATCTTCATATCAGTGGTAGATCTTGTTCTGGGCAAATAGCTGGGCAAGGAATCTTTCACAGATCAATTGCCACGGTTCTTTTCCCTGTTCTGGGTGGGTGGTTTTATTTAGTTTATCGTCTCTACAGTATTCCATAAGTTATAATCAGAGCTATGTGTCTTATCTGATTGGGCCACCAGTACTCTGTCCTCCTCTTTTGATTTTCATGATTGCAAAGGCCACCAACAAGCTGACAGCATGCCAGGTCCCTAAAGGCAGCCCGCAATTGCTTTGAAGAGACTCTGAAAACCAATTTTAACACTCCGGTCCACCAGTTTCTGTCCAAGAAAGCATCCTGAGTACCTTTCAGCCGCTCGGACTCTGCCTGGAACCCAGCCCGTCAGGGAACAGTGAAGCCAACTAGACCAGCGTGAGTGTGGCAATTAAAAGCACAGAGCAGGAGAATGGAAACCCCCGGGAAAAGCAGTAGCAGCAGCAGCAACAGCACCAAGACTGCTCTGGAGGCATCAAAGCAATGCTGCTCTGGGAGCCTCCAAGAGTTGTGGCTATAAGACCAAAAGCTTATGTGGCATCAGTTCCACCCGACAAGTGGGGGAAGAGGATCCAAAGCTAAATTAGAAAAGCTATTGATAGGAATTATCCCTGCACTCTGCTTGATGATGCCAGCTGTAATCCTGAATGACAACTGTGTGGCAAAGTCCTCCTCCTGGGCCCTGCCAAAATCCATCAATCTCATGAAGAGGTATCTCGTGTTCTGTTTGTTTGGCTCTATTTTCCTCCTCACTGTGCTGTCTCATCTCTTCCCATGGCCTGGCCCCGATGTAACCTTCAGTACTGTTTATGACGGGAGAGGTGAGTAGAATTCAGTCTCACACTATGAACGTTATTCATTTGACAACCAGAAACTCTGTGGCTCAACCTCTCAACCTCTGGGTACCCACTCAGGGTTCAAAGAAACTCTCAGCTCACCCACAAAAGTCTCACAATGAGAAGAGTTCCTGGAAACAGCGGACACCACCCTAGTTTCTCACTCTAGACTCCCTTTTTATGGACAGGCTCAAAGTGGCTGGTACTTTCTCAGGTAGCCCAACAGCTGTGTCCCATTCAGCTGCACTCCCCCCACCCAGTTCCAGCAGGTTTGTTGAGTTTCCTAGGGGGGTCCAAACGATGGGAGAAGCTCCCACTCCTCTACTCACAGCACGTTCTTCACTCTCTGCAAGTCTCCTCCAGCTACTAATGGAGACTAGGGGCAGGGGTGCCTCTGACAGCTAGAAAAAAAGCTCATCATGTGATCATCTTCTAACTACATATAGTCCCCACCCCAAAGAATAACAACATGTTGCACCCTTTCCAGGGACTTGAAGACCATCTCCCGCACCCGTTGTTTACCTCACTCACCCTGACTGATGGCGAGTGGAGGTGGTGCTTGGTAGGCTTGCCCAGCTGTTTTTGCTGCTCATTCACCTTCTCACGGATGACGGCGAACTCCTTGCCATTTTTAGGGGGCTTTATCCGTCCACTGCCACTCACCACACTGGAGGCGGCATCCACCACATTCTCTGCAATAGATACTTCAGTATGTTCCTCATCTACACAGACAAAAAAAGAAATGGAGGGTGGGAGAAGAAAGAAAAGGGGCATCAGCAAGGCTTCTTTCCAGCCGAAACCCAGTTCCAGCACCTCTCAGGTGGGCGCCAATGCCATTATAAGAGAACAAGGGAGCTGTTCATGGTGAGTTCCGGCACCTCTTTTTCTAGAAAAATTAGCACTGGTGTATTAGTTATGTTAGCCGCAGAACCCAAATGCTCTGCCCAGAGATCCCCACAATGGAACAAATGGGGGAAATCCCCACAGGCCCACAGTGAGAAGAAGAAGAAGAGTTTGGATTTGTAATCCCGCCTTTCACTCCCCTTAAGGAGTCTCAAAGCGGCTAACAATCTCCTTTCCCTTTCTCCTCCACAACAAACTCTCTGTGAGGTGAGTGGGGCTGAGAGACTTCAGAGAAGTGTGACTGGCCCAAGGTCACCCAGCAGCTGCATGTGGAGGAGCAGGGAAGCGAACCCGGTTCACCAGATTACGAGTCTACCATTCTTATCTACTACACCACTCTGGCTCTCAGCATGGGATATGAACTCCAGTCACAGCTATGTGGAGGTGGCATCCCAGCTGTGTGAGATTCCAAAAAACTCCTCCTGCAGAGCAGCCAAGGCAAGGCGGAGCTTCTGTTTTGAGGAAACACTTCCCCCACCCTGTTCCAGCCTTTAAATGCTTGGTTACACAAATTGTCAAAAGTATTTAATAATGCATTTATTTCAAATCAGAAGTCGCACATGTCTGAACCGCAGGAGACAATTTGGCTAAGCATTCAGAACATCATGTCCCATTTATACTGTAAGGAGAAAGAATTTTTTTTTTAATGGATAAGCTAAGCATCTTGGTCTTTTAGCAACACCCTATCCTTTGATTATCCACTCCCCCCCCCCCTGCTCAGATACTGTGGGCCAAGTTTATTCCTGACCTGTCACCCTCAGGCTTTCAAGAGGTTCCAAAGCAGAATCTGAGCTGAACATGGCCAAGTGGCTCAAGGGGACGGGGGTGGGGGTGGGGTTTGAGGGTCAAATAATTACCCCTAAGGACTCTAATTAAATAATAATAAAAAAGAGGCCCATTTTGGAAAATAAGTAAAGAGAACCAAAAAAGGGAGAAAGCAACTAGATGAGAAACCACGCCAAGAATACAAAAAAAGAGCAACATAACAAAGCAGGCTTTGTATTGTTTATAAACAAATTCACTATCTCATCATGTAACTGAAATCAAATATACAAGATTGTATAACAAATGTAAAGCTCCCCTACAAGACCTTAATGAAAGGCTAGGAAGGGGAGGACAGGTCATCATTCAAGTCATGGCTGAGCTGAAAATATTCATGATTTTAATGATTGGGGGTGAGGCAGCGTGGAAAAAGGTCTCTTGTTCTGGTACCTTCATCAACACTTCCAAGCAAAAATTTCAACTGTTTCTTCAATGTGTCAAAATGTGAACATTTTTTTTTTTTTGCCCTACAGACAAATCTGATTGGCTATGTCATGAGTTAGTTCTATTTCACTGAAGCTGCTATTTCTGACCCAGAAAGATCAGAGCCAGTGAACATTTGGCCTAGTCCATTCTGCCTTAACCAGCAACCTATGACATCTAGTTTTGATTTCAACAGAAGTCAGCTGAATTTGGACCAGTAGCTGTTTGGATGTCGCCAACTCCAGACCAGACTTTTTACAGGCGGTTTCTATGTGTTTCTATGATGAGGCTCAGTACAGATTGGCTGCCAAAGCCTGACCTCACCTGGCTGGTGTAGGAGCATGCATGGAAACATCAAAAATTCCGGACAACTGTTGACTGTGATTTGGCAAAGATCCAGCTGCTCCAAATCTCTTATGCAGAACCTCAACTGTCTTTCTGGCCCGTATGACCCCTAAATATGGCACAGTTGGAAAGTATGGCTAGCAGTGCTGCCCAGTTTTTCACAATTAGTGTGACAAATTCAGCTGCATTTTCACAGTTCTCCCAGGGCTGAGCTGGAGCCATACCAGGAATCAGACCTGGAGTATGTGTTCTCCAACCCCAAATCCCTGCAATCTGTTGCTGGAATTTGGAGATTGGTCTGGCATGCAACTGGCATAGTTCCTTTGATCAAGTCTTCATAGAAGACCAGGGTCCAATTTTGTTGCGCTTTAATGCCTGGGCTGTCCAATCCAATGGTATCATATGGCTCACCTGTCCACCAGGGTCAAAGTTTCAAATTATTACCACCATCTAGCCTAAAATAGTCTGCTGGGTACTTACCAAGGTAGCTTCCTTCCAGCCCAAGATCATGAAGTCCCTTGTATATATGTGTTTTTATTGTATCACGTTGAGTTTGTTTTGTTTAAAACAACAATCAACCAGTACAGTGGAACCTTGGTTCTCGAACAGCTTAGTTGACGAACAAATCAGCTCCCAAACCCCGAAACCCCAGAAGTAAGTGTTCCAGTTTTCGAACGTTTTTCGGAAGCTGAACATCCAATGCAGCTTCTCCTGGAGTGCAGGAAGCTCCTGCAGCCAACTGGAAGCTGCGTCTTGGTTTTCAAACGTTTCGGAAGTCGAACGGACATCCAGAATGGATTAAGTTTGAGAACCATGGTTCCACTGTATATAAATTATATGATTTGGGAAGTGATTAAAAAACTGAAGAGTAGAATCCAATGCAGCACTAAGTGGATGTTCCATCAGCGCAAGGATTTCTGATTGTCCAACAGATTGTTCATCCTCTCTCCTCCCATTGCCTGCCCCTAAATTTGTTCTAGGGGTTACCCACAACCCATGGAGCAAGCAGAGACAGCAACTTGCACCAAAGATTGAGGGAGCCATGTGCTTGGCTCTGCGCTTGGCCTCTGCCACCTGATGGTAGAGGACACTGGGGGGGGGGCACTCCCCAAAAGTATTTGGGGTCCAAAACTGCTCAGTCCCCTGAAGCTGGCACCCCTGGGAGCAGAGGTGGAAACTCTCATTGCGCAAGTCGAAGTCCTTATGTTGACAAAATAGGGCAGGTGAATAATGCCTCAAATAAATTAATGAACTCTCCCTCCCAGCATGCCCTGCTGCCAAGATCCATAATGGGGTTTGACCACTTGTGGCCCTCTAGATAGAGCTGCTCTGCAGCTCCCATAAATCCTGACCGAATGGGTCATCTTGGGTAAATCTTGTCGAATGGGGCTGACGGCAGGTGGAGTTCAACAAGATATGGAAGGCCACAAATCTATAGCATCAACCTGCTCCAACAGCTTGCATCAGGGGATGATACTTCCCTGCTAATGCATGACACTGGTACATATTTTTTTTAAAAAAAGATAATCACCTGATGATCCAGCCATCATTGCATGGTTGGATTTGGGCTTAGCCCCAAGCGTTAAGAACTATGCAAAAGCTGAAGATCTGGAACTCAGGATTGGTCAAGAGCCTTCCAGATAAGTGATGCAATATTAACCCCACTCTGCCTCCTCCCCCAATGCATTATCTTCCACTGCTGTCCGGTCTTTTCAGCATAACTGTGAGAGTAGAAAAGGGATTGCTAAGCAGGAGAATGAACAGTATGTTCCAATGGGTGGTTGCTTAGCAAGTTCCTCTGGTTGTCCCGGACGGCTGCTGGCACAGGGATGATCCAAATGGGCATCCCGTGGCCTCCTTTGGCTGTCACCTCCCCCCAGGAAGTGCTTTCAAGCCCTTCAAAAGCACATGGAAACGGCAGCTTTGACAATCCCTCTTCAGCACGAGCAAATCCAGCTTTTAGCAGCATGCCCTACTTGCCCGTTTTGCTCGCTTTCCATTGCTGAAGGTACATATTGGGGGCCTGAACAATGCACTCATTCTTCCCATCCTTCCTCGAGCTGGTGTGATGCTGTCCTCCCCATTCACTCAATTTATAGCCCAGAATACATGTCCCAGCTCCGATGCGTTGCGGCAGCATTCCCGCACCAACCTTTTCTGAACTTCTGCTGGGATCCTTGGGCAGCAAAAGTCTCAAGTCCGCTTGGAGAGGGAAAGATTAGGGTGGATCTCTCCTGCTTTTGCAATGTCTGCTCCGATGACTATTTAAATGCACCAGCAGAAGTTGAACTTGGCACTGAATCACTGTGGAGGCAACCTGCTTTGCCCTGGATATGACCACAATGGGACTCTGAGTATAGGAAAGCGAGAAAGCTATGTTTATGGCAGGAAATACATGCTTGATTGGGGAAAGATCCTAGTTCTATGTAACTAAGGAGGAGAATGCAAAAAGCTACACTTGCTCTTGCATCTTAGATGGAGAGAGGGCCAAAACAGACATCTCTCCCCTAAGGCAAGGCATGGAGAAGAAAGAAGTAGCAAAATGAGGTTAGCGGCCCTAAGAGTATTGTTCTAGCCCTCAAGGAAGGTCAGCAAAGGTTAGAGAACAGTCTAGGAAGCATGGAGGCCCCCCTCTCTATCTGCTCTTTCTCATGCAGATATATCAGCCTCCAGTATAAGCCCAGTTGCATCCCAACACCTCCAACATGTTTTAGTCCAGTATAAAGGTAAAGGGACCCTTGACCATTAGGTCCAGTCGCGGATGACTCTGGGGTTGCAGCGCTCATCTCGCTTTATTGGCCGAGGGAGCTGGCGTACAGCTTCCGGGTCAAGTGGCCAGCATGACTAAGCCGCTTCTGGCGAACCAGAGCAGTGCACAGAAACGCTGTTTACCTTCCCGTCGGAGTGGTACCTATTTATCTACTTGCACTCTGATGTGCTTTCTAGGTTGGCAGGAGCTGGGAGAGAGCAACGGGAGCTCACCCCGTCACGTGGATTTGAACCACCAACCTTCTGATCGGCAAGTCCTAGGCTCTGTGGTTTAACCCACAGCGCCACCCGGGTCCCTTTTAGTCCAGTATAGTGGTCACCTTTACGCAAACAACATTCCTGTGCCTCACAGTTGTTCTCAAATCTTGTCATAGCAAAATCACCCATAAACCAAGAGAAAAAAATGGAGGCACTGTTGGTGAGTAGCTCCCATGTCCAAGAAATTGGTCAGTCCCTACCATGGATGGGGTTGCACTTCCCCACAGGAGCAGGAGGGGGGTGCTTCTGAATTCAGCTCTGTCATTGTAGACTCAGGTAGCCTCAGTGACAAGAAATGTCTTTTACCAACTGTGGCTTGTTCAACAGCTATGAGCATTCCTGGACTGGGAAAGCCTACTCACAGTAGTTAATGCAATGGTTACTTCAAGACTGGATTACTGCAATGCCCTCCATGTGGAGATTCGCTTGCACTTGATCCGGGAGCTTCAGCTAGTGCAGAAGACTGCAGCATGATTGGTGATGGGAGCGAGGCCTTGTCAGCATAAAACACCTGTGCTCAGAGGTCTACACTGGCTGCAGATTTGACACTGGGCCAAGTTCAAAGTGTTAATATTAGCATTTTAGCATTTTAATTTTTGTATGCTATAAAGGTAGGGTCATGAGTTTTTCTTGATTTTATCTTTTTGCAAACTGCCTTGAGATTTTTGATCAAGTGGTGCATAAATTTCATTAAACAAAATAAACAAATAAAATTAACACACACTTCTCGAGACTATTTGGGCATCGCATCCTTTTGAGTGAGATTGGTTCTCACCCTGGCAGGCAGGAAGTAGGAATACCTCAGCTAAACCATAGTTTAGTTCTGGAAACTGTCTTAAAGAGCAGGACTCAGCTCCTAAGGGGCCACCACTAAGGGCTGCTTTGCACATTACAGAATGCTGTGGGGGCCAAGACGCTTGCTCTCCCACCCCACCCAAATTTCCACAAACACCCCCTCTAGATACATTTCACACCACACCACACCACATCCATCCTGCTTGTCCTGGAGTGTTCTGCTTTTCAAGGGACAGTAGTGAACAAAATGGGGCAGGAAAAAGTCTTTGTGTAAGGAGTCACACGCTCACATTCCTTTGGATCCAAGCCATGAGTCTCCCCACCCCACCCTCACCAGGATATGTACATAGTATATACACAAGCACACACAAAGGGAATTTGTGGCTGCTCATGATTTCCTAGCAACCATGTGTGAAGTGGCCACTAACTAAACACAGCTAGCATCCATCCCTCATTCAGGAGATATGAGAGAGAGAGAGAGAGAGAGAGAGAGAGAGAGAGAGAGAGAGAGAGAGAGAGAATTTTGCAGCCAATGGGGCAGGGCTTCCAACAGACACGTCCAAGTTACAGGCTATGTATGTTTGTTGCCTATCTAACCTCTGCTGACAGGAGATGGCCAACGTTTGGCATAAACACATCAGCAGCTACGTGCTTCCACAAATGTGACAAAAAGAGAGGTCCCCATGCCTTCAGTGATACAATTTGACCTCAGGAACCCACAACTGAATATTTTAGTATACCGTATTTTTCGCTCTATAACACGCACCCGACCATAACACGCACGTAGTTTTTAGAGGAGGAAAATCCATAGGCATGCCACCCGTAGGCATTCCCTCCATAACACGCACAGACATTTCCCCTTACTTTTTAGGAGGAAAAAAGTGAGTGTTATGGTGCAAAAAATACGGTAGGTTTTGGGAAGGACAGAGTGTAGTATGGCCAGAAGTCTGACTTTCCACTCAAGAAATTGAAGCCGGGGGGGGGGGGAATTCCACATATAATACTTTTTTTTTCAAGACACACATACACCAAAAGATCAAATAAGTGCTTCACCCCACCCTTTTATTTCTGTCTGCGTGTCCATCTTTGATTTTGTCCACTTTACCTCCTCAGTCACACTGGCTTCAGCAGAATGTATTTAAATATTGTTAGCTTTGAAACCACATCACACTTTTCCACTGTCTATTTTCCAGACAGTGGTTCTGCCCAGGGCGTTACCCTCCCCTCCCCCTTTTCCTTTCCCCATTTCACTTTGCATTTTCTCTGTCTGCCTTTTCTTAAGGTCACTCATGAGGAACTTTTAATCAGTGATTCTATGTCAGTGTGGTGAGAGCCAGTGTGGTGTAGTGGTTAAGAGCAGTAGTCTCGTAATCTGGGGAACCGGGTTCGATTCCCCGCTCTTCCACATGCAGCTGCTGGGTGACCTTGGGCCAGTCACACTTCTTTGAAGTCTCTCAGCCCCACTCACCTCTCAGAGTGTTTGTTGTGGGGGAGGAAGGGAAAGGAGAATGTTAGCCACTTTGAGACTCCTTCGGGTAGTGATAAAGCGGGATATCAAATCCAAACTCTTCTATGTCCCATATAGACCAAATCAAATCTGGTTCCATCCACTTGCAGGGCACTCCACTTAGATCGCTTACTTTAAGCTTAAGGAGGAGCTGCAGATCTCAGACTATTAGAAAAGGAAAAGGAAATATCCATTTGCCACATCTGATAAAGTGGGCTGTGTCTCACTACTCAACCTGCCCAAATGGCCTCTCCAAAACGAACTCTGACCTCTAGAGCAAAAATTGCAATCACCAGAATGCCAGTTGTCATTCTTTTAAGAAAGCAAGTTCTTGTGATGTTCCATTTTAGGTAATAAAAGACTTGGAAACATATGGGCAGCATCTGGTGAGGGTTCAGAGACAATAGAGGAGGCTCCATAGATTTCAGAAAAATTGAGAAGGGAGTCACAATTAGCCCCCTTTTGGCTCAATCTAGAGCTTGGAATATATGGCAACCCATGATTCGGGTGCATGGAAGAATCATGAAATCAATCCTCATGCCAAACATCATTTTAAAAATCAGCTAGCAGCAGACGCAGTCCTAACATTAGGCAGAGTGAGGCAGCTGCCTCAAGTGGCAAATGCTGATGAGTAGCAGCAATATGTTGAGGGACATTGCTGTGCTACATAGCCTACAGCACATTCTCTAAGCTAGTTTCCCCATTATGGGTGCTACAGTAAGGGAAGTCATGACTTTAGAAGAGTTATAGGTATGCTGTGGATGTTTCCAACACCATCGAACCTTCCAACAAACAAATCAGTATGCGTGCTCATTTAACTTCCCTCAACGTGGGTTGCGCTGTGGGTTAAACCACAGAGCCTAGGACTTGCCGATCAGGAGGTTGGAGGTCCTAATCCCCACGATGGGGTGAGCTCCCATTGCTCGGTCCCTGATCCTGCCAACCTAGCAGTTCGAAAGCATGTCAAAGTGCAAGTAGATAAATAGGTACCGCTCTGGTGGGAAGGTAAATGGCGTTTCCGTGCGCTGCTCTGGTTCACCAGAAGCGGCTTAGTCATGCTGGCCACATGACCTGGAAGCTGTACGCCGGCTCCCTCGGCCAATAAAGCGAGATGAGCGCCGCAACCCCAGGGTCGGCCATGACTGGACCTAATGGTCAGGGGTCCCTTTACCTTTACCTTTAACTTCCCTGCAAATAAATAAGGATGACTATTAAATGATCAGGTCACCCAGAAGTATCCTCATCCTGGTGTCCTTTTCACCTGCTCTGTTGCTTTCAAAGTCACAGTGGGGTTCTACTGCCAAGAATTTGCATGGACCTGTTTGAATGCCACAGAGTGCCTTAGCTTAAGTTTATTGCACACTCTTTAAAGCTTGTTGCCATCTCCTGCTTTATTCCTTCAACATTGGCCCATTCCCTTTTCTCTGCCGATTGGCTTCCTATCTCAACATTCCCCAGCATCTACTCTCTGAAAAATCATTTCTGCAATTGATTTCCACACCTAGGAAAGCAGCCTTGAATTTTAGTTGGGTGAAAATTGCTTGATTAGTAAAATACCTATTTGAGAAGCATCAGCTACAAAAAACTAAAATGCCTTGCAATTCATACTCATAAAAGCCAGTACAGCCCAATGACATTTGTCCAAATCCTTCTTCCATCACACTCTGGCCTTAAAGTCACAATCTTTCAATCTTCATAAAACAGGAATAATAAGGACCTTTCGCACAGGACCAAGACTGTGAAGCACTTGGCCCATTAAAAACAAAACAAGAAGTTATTAATAACACAGCTTTCCTTTCTTCCATTCCTTCATTTTCCATACTCAAAACATCAATGGAACCAGTAATGTGATACAGAGTGGAAAGAATGCTCTGTAACCATTAACATTTCCTTTTCATGATTTACTCACAAAGAACAAAGTCACCCCAATAGTTTTCTCATATTTTCTAAAAAAACAGAATTGTTTGTGGGTTCCTCCAGTATGTGCACAGGACAAAGAATTCAGTCTTGGATAAAGAAGACAAGACATCCCAGTGCTTATGCCCAGAAGGCAGAAGGACCATCCCTAATTTTTTCATAAGCCATAATTTTAAAAAACAGTTTAAATTTTTTTTAAAAATTATTTTAAAATTAACCACCACCACCACCACCTTGCACCTGCTAATTTCCAAGTCTGAGGGAGTGGGACTTCTCTAAAGGGCACAGGCAGCTGCTAGCAGAAGGAAACACGCAATTGGGTTTCCCCAAGCTTGCTATTTTGTGTGTTGCTTGTGCGCTGCTGTTTCATTTGGCCTTCTAAAAATAAATGGACATCATGTCTTTCTCAAGACCCCATTCTTTCCCTGGGTCCTTCAGACCACAGACTTAATTCCCAAGTGGGCCTACTCTCATTTTTTCCCTTTATGACACAGGGTTATTTGGGTCTCTGGTTAGATTCCCCATGTTCCACAACATGGCAAGCTATAATAGGTTGTAAAGTCCACAGTGTGGGCATGCAAACCTCTTCTTTTGTCCTGGCTTCTTACATATCCAGCTGGAGTACTAAGAGAAAGCAAAGCCCTCTTGTGGTCAATGCCCTCCAGCTGGAACTAAGTATTCAGGTAAATATGAGGCTGTCACTTCAAAACAGCAACCCTGTCTCTCTTACTGCATAATATTGCTATCAGTTTGTGGGGTGCCTAGACTCCCCTTCTAATTCTTGGGTGCCAGACACTGGATTTAGCATGTGGAAATACAAGCCAGGAGACAGCCTGGTGATGATCCACTAAAGATAAGTCTTTAGGAGGACAAAGAGAGTGGCTCTGTGCCAGAGAGCAAGTGGGAGCCCCCCTCCCCAATTCAGAATTAGTTAGAAAGACAAAAGCCTTTGAAGTAGAGTTCTAAAGCAGTGGTTTTTAGGATTGCTGCTGGGGATGGTGTGGGCTGAAGGCAAAATAGCTGCAGTCAGTTAAAGGCAGCTAACAGGAGCAGAGGGCAATGGCTAATTTCCATCAGAATCCAAGACTGTGGCCATGGGAGAAGCAATAACCTCTTGAAGCACAATGCTGTGAGCTCCTCTGTCATAGGTACAGGTTGTATATATGTATAAATAATCCCCATATCATAAAGACACCACAGTCTCCAGTGGACGCCTAGAATCTCGCACTGCTCAGAGATTGAGATGGTGAGTAACAATATTAGAAATATGCAACACATGACATTGAGTTATGGGTCAGAATGAAACACAAGGTTGTTTATAAGGTATTGGGCATGTCTAGGTTTAGCCCTGGGTTGCTAGTTCTTAGTCTAACAAAAGAGTATCACACACAGATGCCCCGAAGGACAGTGAATGTAACTTAGGTTTGCATTTCCACTTATACCAACTAATTAACTCCAGTAAATTCTTGCTGAATAGTGAGGTGTTTGTAGAAAGAAGTAGGACTGCAACATCTAAAATCTGTTGGATCAGTGTTCTGGAGCCTTAGGGTTTAAGACATCCCTGGACTACAAATCCCATCATCCCCAGTCAGCTTAGCGAATGGTCAGGAGTGATAGGAGCTGTAGTCCACAGCAACAAAGGACAATGAAGAAGAAGAGGTAGGACATAGCTCAGTTGGTAGAGCATGAGCCTCTTAATCTCAGGGTCGTGGGTTTGAGGCCCAGATTCCTGCATTGCAGGGGTTGGACTAGATGACATTTGTGGTCCCTTCCAACTCTACAATTCTATGATTCTAAGAGAGAGTAGGCATATACACTAAAAAAGGACTGGCACATCACAGCCAACACCACCAGCTTCCTTTGCTTTCCACACCTTTAGCTAAACCAAACAATATATTGGTCTCCCTTGCAATGTTTTGGAAAGAGCCAGAGAGTGAAACACACATTTAAAAACTGTTGGGAAATAGGAGGAACTATGCCTAATTTCACATCATCTGAACCTCAACCTGAAATATATAGAAAGCCTTTACAAACTCTTTGGGATTGGAAATGGTGCATTCCTATGAAACTTCTCAACAGAACTTACAGGCTCTTTAATTCCCCTTGAGACCCTCACAAGACAACCTCTCCCTTACCTCTTTGCCTAAAGATAAAGCACATCAGCTGAGTGAGAGCAAGCCGGTTAACAGCAAAATCGCTGAATAAAGCTGCCTGCTATGCTCTAGGCACTGGAAGCAAAAGCTGAAGTACGAGCACCTGCAGCTACTATATAAAATTTCATAGCTCCTAAAAATAAATCCATGCTCTAAAACACTCAGAACCATCCACCACCCTCAGTTAATAAAAAGGCTGTATTGTGTTACAGCTGTTACAGCTACTACTACATCTGCTAGTGTTTCAAAAGCAGATACGTCTGGCTCAATTGTACTCAGTTTATAGCTACTTTATTTCCATCTCCCGGACAGGTTTATTTTCCCTTTTCTAGTGGAATACTCCACCTAAGGCGGGCATGAAAAGCACAAGCTGTGATGGTTTGCATGCCTTGAGCCGGCATTAAAAGCAAGTCGCTTACCCCATCTGAGCTCTGAAACAGATCCTAAATAACCTGGCAGTGTATGCTCCAAGCTGGGGACATTTCAAAACACTGACTCTTAACTCCCTAGAGGGGAAGAGCCCAGGACAAAAGTCTTCCAACCAAATGCTGTGAACGAAAGTCACCCGGCTCACCTCACCCAAAGCTTCAGATTTTGCGAAAGTCACAGCACAAAAGAAAATCCAAATTTTGGGGTTTTAAAAAACGGAATTAAACTAGCATGGCTAGGAAAGTCCCTTGCCCAAAATCCTGAAGAACCCCTGTCTAGCTGGAGAGGGCAATAGTGGGTCAAATGAACCATAAGGTATAATGCTGTTTCACTTGTTTTAATGCTGCCTTGTTCTTCCCTTTTATACACATCCATGAAACTGCTTCTCCCATCAATAGCCTTAGACTGTGGAATCAATTCTGGCTTCAACTTTCAAATGTATTTACAGAATTGCTCCAGTGCGTCCTCTCTTGTAGCCACAGCAAAATCCCTAGCAACCTGCAGGAGAGAGAAGAGCCACAGTAAAACAGGCATGGAGGACCCTCGGCCCCCCAGATGTCACACCAGCCAGCATGGCCAATGAGTAAAGGCTATTAAAGTCCAGCAACATCCGGATGGCCACAGGTTCTCCATCACTGCAATGAAGGCTTCACATAAAGCCAGGGAGTCCGTATGCGAGGGGTAGTCAAGCAGGAAGCTAAACTGGAGAGAGACACCTCAAGCTTTCAGGCAACATTAGGAATCAGCTATATTACATATGAAGTGCTCAGTCTTCTCCAAGGGGATCACACATATAAAATAATGTTAAAAAATGAACGGCACAAGTTAATAAACATCGATCTTCAAAATAGAAGGAATATAGGATATGGCCACAGCACCAACAATTACCTCATTTGCTGAGGCTATGTGTCAATAACCTAAATTGCAATACAAGATTCAATTAGGTTGAGTGCTGCACCTCATTACCGCTATTCAAATTTCAAACACATTGCTGTCACGCTGCTGAGAACTGCTGCACACCCAATTCCTGGGCTCCGGGCCAAGGCTCCCCTCCATTAGAAACAACAAAACAAAAACACCCTCAAATTATGCTTCCAAGGGTCCTGCCCTTTATCCAACATGTGAAGGTCCCTGGAGGAGGTGGCTGGCGTAGAAAGGGAGCCAGACCACAGAGAGGGGACCCGAGGCGGCCTGCTGCTTGCCTGGTCTAGTGGCCTGGACGTTAACCCAGCCAGAGACAAAAAGGTGGTGTGATAAATAAGCCTGTGCAACCTGCCCTCATTACAATTGGAAACCAGCATTCCCAAACCACTTTTGATTGCTCTGAGAGCCACAGGCCACTCAAGGTTTTATTTGTCACCAACTAGGTTGCTCTGTTCAAAAACTTGCAAAGCAATTCTAGCTACACACCCATAAAGTATTTTCTAATACATGGGTAGGCAAACTAAGGCCCGGGACCAGCCTCGGCCCAATCATCTTCTAAATCCGGCCCACAGATGGTCCAGGAATCAGCGTGTTTTTACATGAGTAGAATGGGTGCTTTTATTTAAAATGCATCTCTGGGTTATTTGTGGGGCATAGGAATTTGTTCACCCCCCCCCAAATATAGTCCAGCCCCCCACAAGGTCTGAGGGACAGTGGAACGGCACCTTGCTGAAAAAGTTCTTCCCCATAAGGATCTATCCTGGCTCTGTTGCTCTAATCCAGTGGTTTTCAACCAGTGTGCTGTGAACCCCTGGGGTGCCTTAAATGATGGTCAAGAGTGCCGTGGGCAACACTGGCCTCTGTCCCTTTTCCCTTCCTTCCCTTCACTGATGCACTCTCGCATCTCTGCTTCCCAAAGGCTTGCTCAGCTGTCTATTGCAGCAGCCCTGGCTATAAGCTCTGCAGGTGAATGGTGCCTCAGGGGCGGGGGGGGGGGGGCAACTCAGAGACCAGGGAAGAGGACTCCCAAGGAGAGGGGAGAGGAGAGGAGGCTGAGGGAACATTCCCAGAGGGAGGGTGTTCAAAAATGGGTGAGAAGCTGCACTTCTGCAGGCAAGGGCTGACATGTGGGCTCCTGAGCCCCACAAGGGTGCCACAGAAAGCATGTAGTTGGTTTCTCTGATGAAAATAGGGACATCCTAGTCAATGATAATAATGATAATGATCATGATAATGATAATAATAATTTCATTATTTATACCCTGCCCATCTGCTTGGGTTGCCCCAGCCACTCTGGGCACTTTTCAACATATATAAAAACATAATAAAAGATTAAACATTTTTTAAAAAAACCTTCCCTATACAGGCCTGCCATCAGATGTCTTCTAAAGGTTGCATAGTGACTTATCTCCTTGGTTCCAGGGTTGCATAACTCCATACCCTCCAACATTTAACCGATGAAAACAGGGACATCCTAAGGAAAAGCGGGACATTCAGGGATCAAATCAAACTAGGACAGCTTCTGTAAATCTGGGACTGTCCTTGGAAAATAGGGGCACTTGGAGGGTCTGTCAAGGGAGCCGTGGGCTCAAAAAGGTTGAAAACCTCTGCCCTAATCATCTTCCTTAAAACAGTTCTCAAGACCATTGCTCCTGTGGGCAGTGGCGGAGCTTCATGCTCTGGCATTGGGGGGGGGGCAGAGAGCAAGCGGGGACGGGGCTGGCACGTGTCCTGGGGGCGGTGCGCTCCCCCTACACTCCTCTTCCTCCGCCAGTGCCTGTGGGGCTGTGTGAAAAATGTGCAGTGGCAGCAGCCCTCATCGGGCCTAGCGGCCTCTCCCAATGGGAATGACATAATACGTGTGTGTTGCATGTGTAACATTGCATGCACTTGATGAACCTCCCCCCCAATGTTGTGCAGAACTTGGTGCCAGTGCTCCAGGGCATTTTTGAATGTGAGCTGCCTTCTTTCAAACAGGCACTTCCACAGAGCCTCATCATGTAAGCCACAGACCAGGTGATCATGCAATATCTCCTCGAGGTTCGGGAAATTGCAATGCTGGGTCAAGCGTCTAAGTTCAAGAGGGCCAGTGCACTACAGGAAAAGTGAGGGAGGTGCAGGCAAACCAAAGACTCTGTATGGTTTGCCTTTGCAACATTGCCCTAGATTGCTAGCCATGCTGGCAGGGGCTGCTGGGAGTTAAAAGTTAAGTATTCAAAATATTAGCATAAAATATTGCATTATGTCACCATATGACGGCAGCCCTGTTTAGGGAAGTTTTTAATGTGTGATATTTTAATGTATTTTTAATATTTGTTGGAAGCCACCCAGAGTGGCTGGGGAGACCCAGCCAGATGGGCGGGGTACAAATAAATTATTATTATTATTTATATTTATTATTTATTATTATATGCACTGAAATATTTTAAGGTGGATTTTAAAGCAGAACAAAAAGGAGCATCCATGCTCCATCCAGTTACCATAATTCACTAACCTGAACATTCATGCTAACAATAGCTTCTTTTTATATTAATTACAGTAACCAGTTGCAGTGTGTGGATGTTGCTGCAGTTAAATGTACTAGACTGGCCTTTGGACTGAACTCCCAATTGCTAAATGACATTTTTTTTTAATCAGTGGACGAATACTGGACTTTGAAACTCCATTTTATATGCCAAAAGTTACTTTTGTAAAGGAGGGAAAACAAGAATGACATAGTCCAAAACTGAGTACTGACAAGGTAAGCTCCTGAAAGGCCATAATAAGTATTATGGGTTTGCAAGTTGTGAAACCAAACATGAGATTGCACTCCTCTCCCCACCCCCCAAATTCTCATGAAAACCACACAATTATTCCTTGGTAAAATGTACCTAGGATCAGAATGCAATATCCATTTCAGAGTTTATGTTGCTTTCCTTAAAAAGTTTATATCTTAATCCCGTCTGAATACTTACATTTGTTGTTCTTGGTTCTTCATTTCTTGGTTCTTCAATCACAGAGAACTCCAGAAGAAAAATTATCTGACCTCAGTGGCGCATGGTGAAAGTTGTGCTCTCTTATGTCAACACATTTCTCTCTCACTCGCTCAGACACACATCTTGACCCCCTATCACTGAGTTGTACTCTGGTGTACAATAATAATTTTCAAAACTGATGTGCCTACAGTTACAGAAGTCTTATGAGAATCTCAGCACTCTGTTTACCAGCACATTTTACTAGAACTGTGAAAAGCATATATGCTAACTTCCCAAAATACCAGATATCAGACATTCTATTTGTCCATCTGTCCGCTCTGTTGTGGCCAGAATCAAACAAAGTAGAATAACTTCTGACCACTTAAGACTAAAAGGGGACAGCGTGAAAAGTCAGGATAAAAATCCCTGCTTTACTAAAAATATTTGTGGATATATATTTGCAATGAAATAAAATTTCTGAATACATCAGATAGAGGTGAATACAACCAGTCTAATGCAGCCAAACTGCCACTTTCAGTTGCCAAATATTAAGATAAATCAGCTTCTAAAAACCATAATGGCATTCAATATACCGTACATAATAAGGCAAAGGAAAACGAACATCACCTATGTCTTTAAACTCTGCTACCCAGTAATATATTTTCAGTTGCTAAAATGAGTTTTTGGCTATATTGAAATGAAAAATTACTGCTTCAGAGTAGATTCAGAACTCTTACTAAGAAACCAGAAGCGTTTTTACTTGGTATTACAGGGAATGAGATAAACAAGAAAGAGAAGAAGTTATTTTTATATGCAGTGACTGCAGCAAGAATATTGATGGCCCAGAAATGGAAACAAGAGGAGCTGCCTACGATAGAAGATTGGAGAGCCAAAATGATGGACTATGTGGAATTGGACAGAATGACAGGAAGGATTCGGAATCGACGAGATCAAAGATTTACAGAAGATTGGGAGAAGTTTATTCAATATTTGCAAAAACTAAGTGATAACCAGATTACGTTTGTAAGCTTTAAGGAAGCCCTGTGATGTGAAAATCTAATAATAAGTATAAATAATGAATTAAAGTTACCAGAATAAATAACAATAAGTAGGATTGTGTTAAAAGTTATAAAATGAAGGAAGTTCAGACAAATTGAGGGAAGTCAAAAGAATGGAATTAAGAGGTAATTAAGAAGTTTGAATGTATAACTTTGTTTTCTTTTTTGTATTTGTAAACTAATAAAATATAATTTTTTTAAAAAAAGAGTAGATTCAGAACTCACAGTGTCCCCATTTTTTAAAATCTGAAAACAAAGGCTTTAAAAAAATGAAATATATATATATATATTCATCTTTCTTACATTACCCACTTATTTTTGTGGCGGGGGGCTCTTAGCAGGCATAACATAGATGGGTGGGGAATGTGTGGTCATCCAGAAGTTGGACTGCAGCTGACCATTGGTCACTTGGTTTGCAGCACTCTTGCCTTCTCTGAAAAAGTGAGGTGTTGAGAAAAGACCCCACCACTCTTAAGAGTATAGCAAGAAGACTGTGGAAGAGGGATTGGGGTCTTGCTGTATTTTTGCAATGGACACAGGGGCAGCCAAGATGATGCTGGACATTCTCCTTCCGCAGAAAACACCAGTGATGGAGAAACATTTCCATTCATGGGGAACAAAAGGACAATAGCCAGCTGCACAGTCGGAGGCTTAGGGTACCCTAAAGCAGCATATTAGTAGTTAAAAGCTGGCTGGGGAATAAACCACAGCAGAGGCCCTTCCGGCAGCCTACTCCCACCTGCTACCTTTGGCTATAAAAAGGGGTAGCATGGTTCATTCATTAGAGGGTCATAAAAGTCTGTAAGAGGAAGCAAGCGTTGACCTGAAGATCATTCCTTAACTTTTCAGAAAAGGAAAATAAACATGGAACTATGGAGACAGGCAAATATGTTTCACAGCGGGCTTTTTTTGTTTTTTGTTTTGTTTTTTGGAAGAACAGTCTTGCCCGCCTATCCACTCTCAATCACTTAAGAACGTACCGGTAATTAGAGCCCGATGGGTCTATCTAGTTCAGGATACTGCTCTCATAGCGGACAACCAGATGCCCAGGGGAGTAAGATGTGAGTGCAACAGGAGTCTCCCCTTTCCTTCTGCTCTGACAGCAGAGACTGGGCAGTCTGGATCCTTCAAGTCTTATCCCACTATAATGGTATGGGGTTGCTCGTGCGTAAGTTGCCGCCTCTCTCCCTGCTATGTTGCCTTGTTAAACCTTTCTGTCTGGACAGCCCTTCAATTCGTGGCTGCCTCAGTCGCTAGCAGAATCCGTCAGTGGGCGTTTCTTAAATCTTTTCCAACATAAAAGTTGCTTGACACCCAGTCTCCTCCTACTCTCTCTGCGCGGAAGTCTTCTGCGCAGGGTGGGCGTGGGTAGCGGAGGACCCGTGCTCTCCCCGCTGGTGTCCGGTGAAGAGTCTTGGAGCCCTCTCGCCGATTCCCCCATCAGCCCCTCTCTTTCCCTGGTGTTGCGCTGATTAGCTTCCCCCTCTGCGGAGCTGCCTCTCTCCCTGCTGGGCCCTTCTCCAGCATCATTTGAGAGCCTTCCCTCCACCTCGAGCTCCGATGTCAGTTCCCTGACACCCACCCTCAAGGAACAAAATATACACAAGAAGTCGGCTTGTTTTGCCATCTAGCCTGGTATGTTCTTAACTTGATAGGCACTGGCTCTTGAGGGTCTTGGGCATCATCTGCTACGTGATCCTTTTACCTGAGGATTTGAACGCAGGACCTTCCTGAATGCAAGGCATGTGCTGCATCCAAACAGGAGGAAAGAAAGTGGGACGGCTGGGCTTTTTGCTACCTTCCTACACAATGCAGCTCCCCCCACCCCCACCCAAGGATACGTCCTCCCAAGCAAAAGCATCTCCACATTTTCCACAATTTTGTCAGTGCGCCCACATAGGGAATCCCCACCGGCTTGGCAGCTCCAGGAGGGAGGGAATGCAAAGCAAAATAATCCCGTACCTCATGAATAAATGTGCGTGTGATTTCATTAACGAAACAAAAAGCTAATTGAAAGTGGAGTGCTGACGAGGCCCAGCTTGACGCCACGGGCAGAATGACGTGATCCTGGGGACAGTCTCTGCATGCAAGGAGCTGCTCCCTCCAATCAGGCGCTTGTGAAAAGGGCAAATATCGCCCTGTCCAGACACATTTACCCGGGAGGCCGTCAAGCCAGGCGGCATATCTAACACTCCGTGAAGTTTTCCACTCTACTGCTGGGGCAGTTTCCAACAGACACCGTCAAGGTTGACAGGCCTAAAGTCTGTCACGCCTCCAGCCTGAACCCTTATAAAAGAGGAGAAGAAAGGAAAGAGCTGCGTCAGGATGAGGACAGCACACAAAAGACGCAAGGAGAGGCACGTCAGCAGCCCTTGCGCAGGGGGCAGGGAGGTTGCAACACAGTCTGAGTGATGCTCAGCAGCTGGGGTTCCAGTGCTGGTTATAGCTTGTGCTGAAGAGGGGTTGACAACAGAAGGGGTTTAAAATTCAACAGGACATATCACATTGGGGAGAAATAAGGGGTGTCCTTTGTAGATGTCGTGCTGCCCAATCGTCTGATAAATTAGTCACATCAAAGCCCACTGGAAACCGATCAGCCTAGGCGACTGCAGTTCTACGTAAAATTGGACTATTAAAATTACTGAGTAGCAGAGTTTAAAGACACTATTCAAAACTAAGTACACTCTCTACACTTCATAGTGGATACTTTTCTCTTGCAAGCCAATTTCAAATAGTTCTCAGAAATTTGCTTCCTCTGCAGTTTGTCCAAGAATGTGAGGCTTTTTTAAAGTAAAAGAACTGATAGCATGTAGGCTAAATACCTTGCTCTGCTGACTTTTCTATTTCCTGACTATAGCATTTATATAAATACTTTTTTCTTGTACTTGAGATTAGGGACCTCTTTTCCCAAAGTGCTAAGCCCGGTGGGTACTGCTGTCAAACCTCAAGCTACTGGCAGGGGCGAAATTCGACTACCTGTTAGCTTATCAAATTATTTCAGAGGAGGTTTCTGAAAGTGGGAATGCTCCCCAAGGATCAACCAGAAGCAGTACAGTGGTACCTCGGGTTAAGAACTTAATTTGTTCCAGAGGTCCGTTCTTAACCTGAAACTGTTCTTAACCTGAGGTACCACTTTAGCTAATGGGGCCTCCTGCTGCTGCCACGCCGCCGGAGCACAATTTCTGTTCTCTTCCTGAAGCAAAATTCTTAACCCGAGGTACTATTTCTGGGTTAGCGGAGTCTGTAACCTGAAGTGTCTGTAACCTGAGGTACCACTGTACCTATATTCTTGGCATTTTGGGTTTGGGGTTCAGAGCACCCAGCAGAACAGGCATTGGAAAGATTAAGTTCTAGGTCTTATCTACACACTGAAGTTGACAAATTGTAGTGTTCAAACGGCATCTGCTTAAGAATGCTTGAAGAACTTAAATGTGAAATTGCTGATATAACAAAAGTCATATTAAAAGGTAAAGGGACCCCTGACCATTAGGTCCAGTCATGACCGACTCTGAGGTTGCAGCGCTCATCTCTCTTTACTGGCTGAGGGAGCCGGCGTACAGCTTCCGGGTCATGTGGCCAGCATGACTAAGCCACTTCTGGCGAACCAGAGCAGCACACGGAAACGCCGTTTACCTTCCTGCCAGAGCGGTACCTATTTATCTACTTGCACTTTGACGTGCTTTCGAACTGCTAGGTTGGCAGGAGCAGGGACCAAGCAACGGGAGCTCACGCCGTCACGGGGATTCGAACCGCTGACCTTCTGATCGGCAAGCCCTAGGCTCTGTGGTTTAACCCACAGCGCCACCCGTGTCCCTAAAAGTCATATTACTTGTTCCTAAAATCAGCCTCCATACCAGAGGGCTAGAAAATAACAACAACAAGAAGAAAAGGGATTGGTTGAAGGAATGCAGGAAACTGCAGATCAGCTAGCTACCTTTCTGGTTTCCTCACCTCAAAAAAGAGTACTGTAGAGTTGAAAAAGGACCAGAAAAGGGCAACCAAAATGATCAATGCGAGTGAATAAAAGTTGCAGCATTTGGGGCTTTTTAGTTTAGAGAAAAGGTGAGTAGGAGGTGACATGGTTGCAGTTCATAAAATTATGCTTGGCATGGAGAAAATGAATGGAGGGAAGCTTTTTTTTCCTTTCATAACACTAGAATTTGTGGTCACCCAATAAAGCTGAATCTTGGGAGATAAAGTACTCCTTCACGCAGCACATAGTTAGACTGTGGAACTCACTCCCACAGGAGGCAGTGATGGCCACCTTCTTGGGTGGCTTTAAAAGAAGAGCAACGGTGGCTCTGCCCTGCCTCCACAGCTGGAGGCAGTAATGGTTCTGAATACCAGTTGCTGGTAACCACAGTTGTCTCTCTGTGTGTGGGGAGAGCATTCTTGTGTGCAGGTCCTGCTTATGGGTGTCTGGCAGGCATCTGGTTGGCCACTGTGAGAACAGAATGCTGAGCCAGATGGGTCCTTGTCCCGATCCAGCAGGCTCTTCTTACGTCCTTAATTTTTTTAGCAGTAGCCAACCTGCAGAAGCTACACTGGAAACGGGTGAAGTCACCAGATAATGCTGTGTCCATGTAGATTAGGTAGCATCATATTTAAGTGCAAACGTGGGAGTGCAAATGTGGGAGAATTGAGAAGGGCACCTCAGTTTTAACCCCATATATACATATTTCAGCCGACATGTTGACCAAGTTGGTCTTACCGATTTTCAGGAAGCATAAACCTAGACTGGACAGCTTCTGTTTTTTAACTTGGTTTATTTGTATACTTTCAGACATAAAAGAAACCTGATCTTTGGATTGCTGAATATCTAAACTTTACAAGGTTCATGGGCTATGTGTGTCTTTTTTGTGGAAGAAATAGCAAGGAAACCCAAGGGCAGCCTTGTCTACTGCTATGCAAGCTCATAATTCAGAAGTATTTTAAGAGCACAGGTTTAGATCGTTGGTCTTGAACAGGTGAGGACCAACTTACAACTGGGTCATAACCTGGCTTGAAGGACTGCCCAGGGGCGGAGCAAGCTGATTGGGTACCTGGGGAGGCACCCAGGGGTGGGGCCAGCCACCTGCGGGGGCGGGGCCAGCCAGGGCAGGATGCTCTGTGGGGCCTCCCAGGAGTCTGCCTGCCTCCTCCCACCCAGCCGCCCTACAGCCAAGGGGGAGGCAGCAAGTGGACCATTTGGGCAGCACGGAGCCTGCGTGCACCAAAGCCACTTCGTCTCTTCCAGGAGAGACGCGTGGCTTGGGTACGCTGCAGGCACCGCAGTGAGTGCCAGCCGGCATTTTATCACCACCCTCAGTGGTGACACCCAGGGCGGTCCGCCCCCACCAGACTCCCTTGCCCTGCCGCTGGGACTGCCTCCTCTCTGCTTCCCACAAAAATTACATACATACATACATACATACAGGTGTTTCTTAGGTAGAGATACATTCTATACACATGTCTGAAGCTTACAACATGGCAATAAGGTCTTCCTCAAATTAGCTTTAGTCCTCATCATTGAAAAGACTGCAGGTATCATTCCCAAAACACCTCACGCACAGATGTCCGCTATGTCAAATTTCTGGCTATAACAGAGGTCCTATTTTTCAAAACCATATTGAAGCCGGGAACAAGGACCACTTCTTATTGAGCGCTGCTGCTGGTTTCTGCACACAGAGTCAGGGGAGAGAGGGAGGGAGGGAGCCACGATGCCAGGCAACTGTGTGAACTGGGACAAGAATTCGCGATAGAAAGCAATTTCAGTTTGGCTAACATTTGCTTTCTCGAAGACCTCGGATTTGCCACCATAGTCGTTGCTCACATGGAGAATTCCCAATCAAATTGTGCCCATGGATCATTATTGCGTCTAAATCCCGTCAATAGGAAAAGTGACTCAGTAGAAGTCTACTTGAGCTGGCAAACAAAAGGGAAAGGGACACTGTGACAAATTAAACATTCAGCATGGATTGCGTAATGGCATGAATAATTCTTTTCAAAATAAAGAGGTTTCTGCAAAAGAACCATCGCTTCCCTCAACCCCTAAGACCTCAGCTAAGAAACAGGAGCCCTTAGACTCTATTTTAAATTGAACACTTCCTAACTCTGTTAGGCTCTCACAATGGAGAGATATATTTATAAAAGACTGAATTGCCCACTTATCTGTGACTTTTCTCTACGATCCTGGGGAAGAAACAGCTTTTCTTTGGGGAATATCATTACTGTCACTTTAAATAAAAAGGCATGTGTGATTAATTTTGAAACAGTGGTGTAGTAGATGGGAAATTCCTGATAAAATCACTATGAGCAAGTTCAGAAAACTCACCAGGCCCATTTCATCTTTCCATCTGATGCTTTGCTAGCTTCCCAGTGGCTAGACAAACTTTGCCTCAAACTGCCATTGGCCTAATTCTAAGGCCAAGCCATTCAGGTAACCAACTCCTGCCCCCCTTTAAAAATAGGTGCTGGTACTCACCATGAAGGGTCATGGGTGGCGCTGTGGGTTAAACCACAGAGCCTAGGGCTTGCTGATCAGAAGGTCAGCGGTTCGAATCCCTACGACGGGGTGAGCTCCCGTTGCTCGGTCCCTGCTCCTGCCTACCTAGCAGTTCGAAAGCACGTCAAAGTGCAAGTAGATAAATAGGTACCACTCCGGCAGGAAGGTAAACGGTGTTTCCGTGCGCTGCTCTGGTTCGCCAGAAGCTGTACGCCGGCTCCCTTGGCCAGTAAAGCGAGATGAGCGCAGCAACCCCAGAGTCATCCACGACTGGACCTAACGGTCAGGGGTCCCTTTACCTTTTACTCACCATGATAGTTGTCACAATAAGTGCCACACTTTTTAACAACAACAAAAAGAGTTGCTGGTACTGCGTACCCTTCAGTACTCCCTGGAAAAAAGCACTGCAAGTAACTGATTCAAAGGGATTTGGGAGATAAGGAATTAAACTCATAGGAAAGTGGGTGAATACACTGGGAGAATCATGTTAGGCTCCTACCCTTCTATTCAAGGAGTATTCTATGCTGCTTGAACTGGCCAGGTTGAACTGATTGACCCTGTCTTCACATCCCATTTACAAACTTTTCATGAAATGGGTGGCACTGATTTCTTCATAGGTGATGCAGATTCTTCCCAAGGAAACTGATTTGGTTTCTCAGCGGACTGATGGGACCTCTGTTCAAACTGATGTCCATTCAGATTAATCCATTTACTTTATTTAGTTCATCTAGATTAGCTCAATAATATTTTAGATTCTTTAAGACGTTGCTTCTGGTACCGATAACATCAGCTAGGTTGTTAGAGCTAGGGGGTCCAAAATAGTACCTCCCATTCTGCATACAGAAACCAGTCTGTCTGGCTATTGAACAACCAATACCACTGGTCACTTGCTGTCACCCTTTCCTCATTTTATTTGTACAAATCCTACTTGGGCTCATTGCTTAGAATACTGAGGCTGTGTCTGCACCAATGCAGATTAGTGGGAACTGTGCTTGATCAGATGCGAACAGTCCTAGGCACTAAAGACAAAGGCACTCGTATCATAGGAACAGAGGAATCTGACTTATATTCAGGGCATTGGTCCATTTAGTTCAGGATTGTCTAGGCCAATCTTTCTCTATATGCTGTCTTCCAGGTGCTGTTGGACAACTCACATCAACCCAGGCAAGGCCAATGGCCAGAGAGGATGGGGATTGTAGTCCAACAATGTTTGAAAGGCACCAGAATGGAGAAGGCTAGTCTCACTGGCAGTGGCTCTCTACCATTGAGCTATAGAGCTCTTCTCTTTTATAGGCTTAGCATCTGCATGCTCTCAGGAACACTGGGAAAGGAACACTGGGAAATCAATTCTCTTCAAACAAGTGGTTTTGAACATGGTATCATTCAGCTTGGTGCAACAGCTGATACAGCTAGGGAAATCACACTGCTAACTAGTGACACTCCCATTGGCTCTCTCACACAGCTGGGCTTTCTGTACAAGCCCTTAGAAAATCCCCAGGCCATCATTACATCTGTAGGTTAAAGCACAGAGCTTAGGGCTTGCCGGTCAGAAGGTTGGCAGTTTGAATTCCCACGACGGAGTGAGCTCCCGTTGCTCGGTCCCTGCTCCTGCCAACCTAGCAGTTTGAAAGCACAAAGTGCAAGTAGATAAATAGGTGCTGCTCCGGCGGGAAGGTAAACGGCGTTTCCGTGCGCTGCTCTGGTTTCACCAGAAGCGGCTTAGTCATGCTGGCCACATGACCCGGAAGCTGTACGCCAGCTCCCTCGGCCAGTAAAGTGAGATGAGCACTGCAACCCCAGGGTCGTCCGTGACTGGACCTAATGATCAGGGGTCCCTTTACCTTTACCTTTAAAGTAAAAAAAGTCACAGGTGGCAAATCTGTGGCAACAACTGGACAAATGTATCTCTCTTATCTGAGTGGACAGTGCAGAGCAGTGATGGCCAAACTTGGCCCTCCATCTGTTTCCATCATCCCTGAGCACTGGTCCTGTTAGCTAGGGATGATGGGAGTTGTAATCCCAAAACAGATGGAGGGCCACGTTTGGCCATCACTGGTGTAGAGGTATTAATGGAGCAGCAGATAGAAAAAGATTGGAGCACACTTCAGATTAGAAAAAGTGTTCCAGTGCCATTTTTTGCATAATTCATAATGCAGTCTTCTTCACCCCAGAAGACATTTATTAAGCATTACTTTCAAAACAATCTTTTGTGAGTCATATTCTTCTCGCCCATCCCTGTAGACATTTCAGCAATGATCCTAAAACCCCATGCCATGCTACTCTTGCTCCCAAACAGAATTACATAACTTGCTTTTTTCTTCCAAGCCCTGATGGCAATAATAACAAAAGTCTTCTTTTTTGTCTCCTCACTCCTCCCTTCTTGCCCTTTCCACTGTTCAAGAAGCAAGACATGATGGCAATGTATATCTTTATGGTGGCTGTCTATTGAATAGATCGATTATGGTGAAGAAACTCTGGCATGTCAACTATGTAATGAAGATGCTCATTTCACACAAATTGCAGCGTTTCATTATTTTTTTTTAATGATATTTATTGAAAAAAAATTTAAAATTACAGAAAAACACAAAGCAGAGAAAGGAAAAAGAAAAAAACGAAAAAAGGAAAAAAAACCAAGCCACATCCAACAATACAAATTCAAAAAACAAAAATACACCACAAACAGATAAAAATAAAACCATCATTCTCAAATCTTCAACTTTCATTACCTTCTTTCTTTGACCTCCTCCTCCTCCCTTTTTTTTGTATCCCAGTTAATAATTATCACAGCAAATCCTTTCCATATTTCATAATATTCTGTCATTACATTACCTTAATCTATTTTCATCTTATCTTATAAAAAAAACTTAAAACTTAAATCTTATTTTTACCCACTTCTCATAACCATAATATTCTTGCCTAATTCTTTAAACATTTTTGCTAGAGCCAAGTAATTTCATTCCAACATTTTTCTAACAGTCATCAATTTTATAAAACAATCCTAGTGATAAAAAAAAAAAGAAATAGAGACAATCCAATCTTCATCCAGCGTCCCTTCCTCCTGGTCCCGGGTTTTGTCAGTCCTTTTTATCCCATCGATCTAGCGCATTAACCTGGCAACCTTATATCCGAGGCCCTTAAGTCTCTTCCATGTCCCTTCCGCAGCTCTTCTTCATATTCACCTTTCACTCGTGGGAACTCCAGCTTGGTAATGTTTTTGACCCTTTTCAACAAATCAGCCCCTTTTCCATAGTCCAGACTAAACTCCATGTGGTATTTAAAAACATGTTTCAGAATCCCTCCAAAATTGAGAGCCCCCACAGCTCCAAACATCTCACGGCCCATTGCCAGACTCGGAAAGTCCAAACATCCCTGCATAGGGGGGTCTATCCAACCCCCCATTTCCAAACCAGTCCAAACTTTATCTTTCCTAATCTGGCTTTTTCCAAGTTCATTTGTCAAATCCGAAAGCTCATGTTCCTGCTGGGCCGCAGCTCCCTCCATCTCTGGCGCCCAAGATTCCACAACATCCTCTTCTCTCATCTGTTCTGTCAGGGCACACTCCTGATTTAATTCCTGGGTGGGCTCCATATAGTTTCCCACTGCCTGTTCAAAAATTCTGACTGCATTAGTCATCAAATCCGTCTTCTCAGTTAACTGTTCCAGTAGAGCATTTGTTTTACAGAGAGCACACAACAGAGCTTCTGAATACATTGTCCTACAAGGTCACAAGCCTTTTCCCACGATTGTAATCTGTGACAGCTGCAAGCTCCCTGGAATTAGTTACAGTTTCCCAGTCTCCCTCTAGGGGGAAAACTTCTAATTGTTCTTGCAACAAAGTTTCTTTTTTGATATATTTTGTCAATATTTGTTCCTTTAAAATGCAAAAGGCAAATTGCAGCGTTTCAACCCATGAAAGCACCTTCAAGAACTGGGGAAAATGTTTGGAACTGGGGAAAATGTATAGGCAGGTGCATCTTGGGAGTGAATAAGCAACCCAAATGTGATCTTTGCAGTTATCATAGGTTCTTGCCTTACATATAACCATCATGTTCTCAAATGATTCCATGCTTCTGATCAACTTAGCACTTGCCCAAAGAAGCTCATGTCACAATAAGGCATTTAATCTTCAAGGTGCCATCAAACACCTTCCCTCAAATTGAGATGTATGCATCAGCTTTTGTCTTGGCAAAGCAAAACAAACTCTGCTGGGAAGGATGTAGACAGAAACATAGCACCCAAGATCCATGACCACAATGCTAGGCACACAGTAAAATGGAAGCAGGAGTATGACTGAAAAAGGGCAAGTCCACAAGTTACATGCAGATCAGGGATGGGGATTCTGTGGCCTTTCAGATGTTGCTGAACTACAGCTCCCATCATTTCCCACAATTCTAGCTGATGGGACCAGGAAGTGTAGTTCAACAGCTTATGGAGGAGGGACCATACGTTTCCCAATCCAATGTACCTATGGATGCTAAGAACCTTGGCAAGATGATGGGGTGGGAATGAGAGAAGAGGAAGACCAAACAGTCAGGGATGCCTCACACAGGAGAACTGTCAGACAACAGAAGAGTTAAGCATCACAATTCTAACACTCTGAAACTTCCCTAGAAAATGCCTTCCCAGATCTTGCATTAACATTCTGAGATAAATAGAGGTTCAGGAATTGCCCTCAAAATGCAGACTCCAAGCCACGGCTGTGTATGTAGGGGACAGAATGCTGGGGCTGAGATGGGAGGGGGACCCCACTTCATTATGAAGCTCACTTACGCAAATGGCTACCTCTAAGTCTAATGATGGGAATATAATGGGATAGCTCAGTAAAGCCAATGTGCAACTTACACACATTTAACTTGCGAGCATTCAGCTTTACACACTTGGAGTTAAAAAAAAGGATCAAACTAAAAGGGGGTGTTAAGGGGGTGGGCATCCAGGAAAAGAGTTTGGCAATCCCACCTGCCATTGACCCCTATGTATTTTGACTAAATATTATTTTGGCTTAGGCACTATCCCCGGAACGTAACCCCAGCGTAAGTTGAGTTGCCTGTATACACTTCTTTGGCTGTGGAAGGGTGTGGTACAACTTGTTCATTTCTTTAGAAAAGATAGCCTTCACACATTCAGAAGAACTACATTAAGATTTGAGCTTAGCTATTCCAATCCCTCAAAGGGCTGGCAGAATTGGTTTGGGGCTAGATCAGGGGTAGCCAATGTTGTTAGACTCCAGCTCCCATCAGCCCCTTCCAACATGGGCAATGATCAGAAATGATGGGAGTTATAAGAAAATTGGCTTCCAGGTGGAAAAAATCAAAATTAGAAACAGAACTGTTAGAACCCAAAACTAAGATTTTGTCAAAGCTGTATAACTTGCTGTTGAAATGGAATACTCAGGATGAAACGGTGAAATCTGCTATGATTAAATGGGCACAAGATGTTGGACATAACATTATGTTTGCTGACTGGGAACAGTTGTGGACCACAGGTATGAAATTTACGGCATGTAATGCCCTAAGAGAGAATATTATGAAAATGATATACAGGTGGTACATGACACCAGTCAAGCTTGCAAAAATCTATCATTTGCCCGATAATAAATGCTGGAAATGTAAGGAAAACGAAGGTACATTCTTTCACCTTTGGTGGACGTGCCCAAAGATCAAGGCTTTCTGGGAGATGATTTATAATGAACTGAAAAAGGTATTTAAATATACCTTTCTAAAGAAACCAGAGGCCTTCCTGTTGGGCATAGTCGGCCAATTGGTGCCAAAGAAGGATAGGACTTTCTTTATGTATGCCACAACAGCAGCAAGAATACTTATTGCAAAGTATTGGAAGACACAAGATCTACCCACCTTGGAAGAATGGCAGATGAAGATGATGGACTATATGGAACTGGCAGAAATGACTGGCAGAATCCGAGACCAGGGAGAAGAGTCGGTGGAAGAAGATTGGAAAAAGTTTAAAGACTATTTACAGAAATACTGTAAAATTAATGAATGTTAGAATGATGTTGGATAGAAACTAAGTGGTTTTTAGGTGTAATGTTATAAGGGAATATGAAAAAATGGACTATTAATAGGTAAAAATCTAATGTTACAATACTTTAAGATTGATGATTAGGATAAACAAAGAGGGGAGGGATTTGCTGAACTAACAAACTGAATTGGAATACAGAAAAGGGAGGTGTGAGGAGGTCCGGGAAATAAGCAAATGAAAGATAAGTGACTGAAAAACTGAATTGTTTTTAACTATTTTTATTTTGTATTTTTCTTTTTTCTTTTTTATTCTGTAATATTTTGAAAATCTTAATAAATATCTTTGGGGGAAAAACAAAACCAGAAATGATGGGAGTTATAGTCCAGCAACAGCTGGAGGGCCCCATACAGGTTATCCCTGGAATAGATGATTCTAGAGGTCATTTCCAACTCATGAATTTTTACTTGCCAGCTCCCAAGCCCCTGTAGAACTCTATACATTTCTTTCTGGCTTAGCAGAAAGAAATGTGCCAGAATAAATCACAAAGCATATCATACAAGTTCTTACTTGACCCATCAGTCACCACAGAATGGGGAAAGAAATTATAGACACAGATCCTAATTAGAGGTGTAGCCATCGCCTTCAGTAGGCAGCTTTAGTTCTGTGATCTGTCTGGGCACGTTCACCTTCGTAAGTTAAGCCCCAAGACATACCATCTCCCGATGCAAAACAAAAGCTTAATTTTTAAACAAGTGTCTTGCTGAAATAGCCAATTGCCCTGCTGAAACAGCTGCTCCTCCACCTCCTCCCGAAACGTTGATGGAATGCAATAGTGGATGCTCCTGGCCTTGTGACACTGACCCATGGACGAGAGGCCCCACTACAAAGCTGATAGCTGAAGAAAGTCAAAAACAAACTTATTCATCAGCTGATGGGTCTTCTTGGGGTAATTGCGTGGGAGTAGAGGGTGAAGGTGAGGACATGAATTGGATGGAGAGCAAAGCGGCAAACAGAACAACCAGAGCTCTTCTTCAGTGGCATTCTGATATCATTAAAGCTTCATTTACCAGCCAAAATAAAGCTCTTTTCTTTCAACCCTCTGGCTGTGTACACATTATCATTTACTCTGACTCCACTGCACTCTCACTGCTGGTATTTGAAGCTGTGTACATGTGATATGGTATTTGAAGCTGTGTTGCAGGTGTACACATGTGATGTATACAGAATGCAGGTGGCGCTGTGGGTTAAACCACAGAGCCTAGGACTGGCCGATCAGAAGGTCGGCAGTTCGAATCCCTGCGACGGGGTGAGCTCCCATTGCTTGGTCCCAGCTCCTGCCAACCTAGCAGTTCGAAAGCAGAAAGTGCAAGTAGATAAATAGGTACCGCTCCAGTGGGAAGGTAAACGGTGTTTCCATGTGCTGCTCTGGTTCGCCAGAAGCAGCTTAGTCATGCTGGCCACATGACCCGGAAGCTGTCTGCAGACAAATGCCGGCTCCCTCGGCCAATAAAGCGAGATGAGCGCCGCAACCCCAGAGTCGGTCACCACTGGACCTAATGGTCAGGGGTCCCTTTACCTTTACCTTTACATGTGATGTACATTAGGGACACGGGTGGTGCTGTGGTCTAAATAAACCACTGAGCCTCTTGGCCTTGCTGATCAGAAGGTTGGCAATTCGAATCCCTGCGACGGAGTGAGCTTCCGTTGCTCTGTCCCAGCTTCTGCTAACCTAGCAGTTCGAAAGCATGCAAGTAGATAAATAGGTACCGCTGTGGCGGGAAGGTAAGCAGTTTAGTCATGCTGGCCACATGACCCGGAAAGCTGCCTGTGGACAAACACCGGCTCCCTCAGCCTGAAGCAACATGAGCACTGCAACCCCATAGTCGCCTTTGACTGGATTTAACCATCCAGGGGTCCTTTATCTTTTACCCTGCACATGATGTTAGCCACAATCTATATCTATTGTGTAGTTTCTTGAGAAATACTGCTGTTTAATGCTTTCCCCCCTCATTCCAGCTTCCATTCCATTTGAAAATGTAAGCCACATTCACTTTTCACTTAAGCTGAGGCGTGTACCTTTGAGACAGCCATTGCACATGTGCAAATGAGAGATTTGTGAATGGGAGTTGCAGGGATTGCAAGCGTGGGGAAACCAAACAGGTAGTGCAAAGGGGGGGGTATAGAGGGTGTCCAGAGGGAGGGAGGGAAGTCCTGTTGTGCAAGTCGAAGTCCTTGTACAGGACTTCCACTGATGAGACTTGCTAGATGAACCCCACCCAACATACATGGTTTCAAAAGATGATTTAAAAATTGATGCAACATGGAAGTACAAAAGTTTCACAAATATATAATTTCCTCATGGCTACTATGCAGATTTAGTATTTCAGATGAGCAATGAGATACTTCAAATTAAATTTCACATACATTTTCAGGGTGAAATTACTGTTTGCATTTGTTTTACACAAGAAATATGAGCGTACTGGCAAATGAATTTTTAAAAGCCACATGATTTTTAAAGAGAGAGAGAAAATATTATTTCAGCAAATTACTCTTGTAAAATTTGGATTCATTCTAGAGAAACATTCATTAGAATACTTAACCCTCTTACTTCGAGGGCAATACTACAGTAGAAAGATCAGCACAAATCAAGAGTGCAGAGAGAATTTAGAAAATATATTGTGTCACAGCAGCTTCTTATACAGAGGGAGAGAAGCACCTTGAATATAAATAAGTGTGCAAAATAGGTCAGCATGTATTTCCTTTGCCAGTGAAGGTTGATTTCCGCCTCCCGCTCCCCTTATACTTAGTTTGGATGGTGGTGGAACACAAATTGCACTCAAAACTGATGCTCTACATCTAAAAATAGTTCACTTGTAACATTTAAATAAGATGGTGGTTTAAGAGTTTGCCATAACTTATTAAGAGGACTTGCTCTTAACTTTGAACTATTTAGCATGTCAGATAGGTTTAGTACAAGTGCAGCCTTAATTGCTATGCAAGAGAAATAAATGTACTATAAAAAGTAAGGGAATGGGTGTCTTTATCAGATCAACTTTGTGCTAGTTGAAAGAGCATCAGATCCAAAAGTTGCTCCACTGAGTTTCCTAATTTGTGATCAGATTTTCCTAAAAAATCAAGGTAAAACAAAGAGGATGTTCCACACTGCCTGCCTATTCTGTCTCCTTCAGAGGCTGTTCGCATACCATAGGACTGTGGCTGTAGTGTTTAATATGAGTTTGGTGACCTCTCATCATGTTTATGTAGGTGGATGTTCAGTAAGTCAGCACAACAATTCAAAGCTTCTTTATCAATACTGATTTTATTGCAATCCACATTTACAGTAGGGCTTTTAATAATAACAAAATTACTTTTACATTCATTGCCTTATGTATGGTGCAGAATGTTTTTAATTTTACATATGCAAATTGATATTTATATAGGGCTGCCATATGTCTGGATTTTCCCAGACGTTACCGGGATTTCAAAGGTGGAATTGACATCTGAGGTGGTAGGGAGGTGGGGGAGATTTCTGAAAGGCAGCGCTTTGTCCTGGATCTTAGGCAAGTCAATCAAAAAATCGGAGTGTCCTGGTTTTTACTTTTTGAAATATGGCAAACCTATATTTATGCATATTATATTCCAGTTCTGACCAAACACATACACACTCACACACACTCCAGATAGATAGATATAGATGAAAATTTTAAAGTATGAAATCTAGATCCCATTTCCAACATTGGTCAATCCTGGTGTGAATATCTAATGATGGAAACTGGGGGAGGTCATACTGCGACAGAGCAGGAAAGGACCTAGGACAACAACAGACACCCCCCCCCGACTTTTTTTAAAGGTGTATGGGGAGGGCATAAAACCACCCCCGTTGGATTTTACAGAATTCTTACCTTTCACTGAAAGAGCACTTAAAACCTGCCAGCAACGTTCTGGAATATCCGTGGGGTGGGTGGGAGTGGGGAGAGAGGATGAGGAGGAGAATTGCGGTGCTAATCCCTGCCACTGCCACAAAGAAGAAAACAGCACAATCCTAGAGCTAGTGGGAACTTTTCTCCATATGACTAATTGCTATGTGAGGTAATTTGTTGGAAGAGATCCTGGCTGGAGAAGGAATCCTTCCAATAAAAACTGTCCCCCAACTTAACAACCCACCTGATATGATTAGCAGACATTTGCTTTAATGTGCAGGCAAGGCCTGAAACCAGGGCCAGCCCTGTCATTAGGTAGAGTGAGGCAGCCGCCTCAGGCAGATGCTGGGAAGTAATGAGGATGGAGCTGTGTGTGCTACAGAGCTTACCCAGAGTCCTCTAAGCAAGCCTGCTGACCTCAGGTGTGCTGTCCCATTTTCAGTGTTGAAGACTGTTTACACACCACACATGTCTTCCCCCAAAGAATTCTGGGAACTGTGGCTTATGGGTGCTGAGAATTGTTGCTTTCTCTGTGTGGGTAAACGATTCCCAGGATTCTTTTGGGGAAAAGTTGTGTGCTTTAAATGTAGGGTAGGTAGTATGCCACAGTAAGATTTAATTTCTGATCAATTTCCATCAGTGATGCTTTGTCACAGAAGTAACTGATGCTTTGAATTTAGATGCAATAGCTTTAGTGCATCTTAGTTTGAAAACAGACCCTTCAGAGCAATCCAACTTCACCATAAAATTGATTTCCTTTTTACTTTACTTGTATATAAAGTTGCTATTTATAAAAGGTTTTTTTTTTTAAAAAAATGCTGTTCAGTACCATGGGGTGATTGCATATCATTTGCACCATTGCTAATTTGCTCTGAGTTTGTGGACATGACTTTTGCCATTTATCCCCAAACTTAATACAGTGGAACCTCGGTTGTCGGAAGCTTCAGAAGCCGAACAATTCGGAACCAGAATGCCGACAACCCAGAAGCGAATGCTTCCATTTCTGAACGTGCCTCAGAAGTTGAACAGCTTCCACGTTTCTCCACTTTTTAAAAGGAATTTGCAGACCAGCAATTGCGCCTCGGTTGTCAAACGTTTTGGAAGTTGAACTGTCTTCCAGAACAGATCGTGTTCGACCACTGAGGTTCCACTGTATACAAACACTCTAGAATCTGAAATTCTGACAAAATTAAGGGGTTGGAATATGTTGATATCACAGTCACACACAATCATTTTCAAAGCGCATCACAGCTTCCCAAGAAAGTGCTGAACGAATGCACAAACATTAACTGGGTACAAGGGCAGCGGCAGAATAATATGAGCATGTTCTCGGTCACCGACACAACCACTGCAGAGATTATGCAAGTCTGCTGTCCTCTGAAAACTGCACAATCCTAGGAAATGTTGTGAATCCCAAAGGCAATGCTGCCATTTGCCCTTGAACTGAAAACAGTCTTATGCAAATAAAAAACACATCAGACAAGAGATCTGAACTCTGGGGATTTTACATAACCCTACAGACATGCAGAGGAAGGAAAATTGACAGCTGGGCACCCCCAGTGACCTAACAAAACTTTTTCTGAGGGAAAAGGGCACCATGCTGGCCACTCTTAGATTTTAAAAAAACCCTATTCAAAAAAGTAAGTGGAGCAGGAGTGCCTTGTTTGCACTCACTGTGCTGTGATACTTTGCTATTAGGGAAATGCTTGGCCACTAAGAAAGTTTCAGCTAAAAATTGTGCAAGCACTTTGGAGGTTGGCATTTCACATCACTAATGACAGAAGCTCCACCCAATAGGTACCTCAAGGATTTCACAGAGCTAGCTCTGTCTCCTTCCTCACAATCCGAGAAAACTAGTTTTGATAAAAACAACTTAGGAGGTAGCCCGTTACATAAAATAATAAATATTATTCCCATGGAAAATAGAAGAAATATGAAATGAGAATGTTACAGCCCACCATGGAACTATGAGCCACGTCTGCTTAACCCAGACTACAGTGGTGCCTCGCAAGACGAAATTAATCCGTTCCGCGAGTCTCTTCGTCTTGCGGTTTTTTCGTCTTGCGAAGCACGGCTATTAGCGGCTTAGCGGCTATTAACGGCTTAGCGGCTTTAAGAAAAAGGAAACAAACTCGCAAGAACTCGCAAGACGTTTCATCTTGCGAAGCAAGCCCATAGGGAAATTCGTCTTGCGGAACGACTCAAAAAACGGAAAACTCTTTCGTCTAGCGAGTTTTTCGTCTTGCGAGGCATTTGTCTTGCGGGGCACCACTGTATCTATGTTTTATGGCTACTTTTACTATAAAAAGGAAGTTTAGTGGGACAATTCTACTGGCTTCAGTTGAATTTCAGTAGAAGAACTGCCTTGAGGTTTACAAGGACTTGGTGCAGCCTAAGAGCATCCCTGTTGGATCAGGTCAAAGGCTCACCTGGTCCGGCATTCTGTTTTCACACTGCCAGCCAGATGCCGATGGGGACAAGCAGGACCTGACTGCAGCAGCACTCTCCTGTGCTTGTGATTCCCAGCAGCTGGCAATTAGAGGCACACTGCTTACAATGGTGGAGGGCAAAACATAGCCTTATCCTCCATGAGGCTTCTCTCCCAATGCAGTGTGTGGGGGGGCACTGGTGTGAGAAAGAGGAGAGTGAATGAGGGAGGGAGGGAGAAAGTGTGTGCAAATTTTTGCTGGGACAAGGAGAAAAGGGCTACACCTCCCCTCACCTGCACTTCCACTGCTGCTCTCTCCCCTTCCCCACTTTCCCCTGCAACTAGCCATTGACATTCTGGTGTGAAGAGTAAGGTACAGTGGTACCTCAGGTTACATATGCTTCAGGTTACATACGCTTCAGGTTACAGACTCCGCTAACCCAGAAATAGTGCTTCAGGTTAAGAACTGTGCTTCAGGATGAGAACAGAAATCGTGCTCTGGCAGTGCAGCAGCAGTGGGAGGCCCCATTAGCTAAAGTGGTGTTTCAGGTTAAGAACAGTTTCAGGTTAAGAACGGACCTCCGGAACGAATTAAGTACTTAACCCAAGGTACCACTGTACACACAAAAGGTGACCTACAGCAGAAAAGCAGAGAGCCATGTCTGTACAGTGGTACCTCGGTTAAGAACTTAATTCATTCTGGAGGTCTGTTCTTAACCTGAAACTGTTCTTAACTTGAAGCACCACTTTAGCTAATGGGGCCTCCTGCTGCTGCCGCGCCGCTGCTGCACAATTTCTGTTCCCATCCTGAAGCAAAGTTCTTAACCCGAGGTAATATTTCTTGGTTAGCGGAGTCTGTAACCTGAAGCCTATGTAACCTGAAGCGTATATAACCCGAAGTACCACTGTAAACACAGACTCAAGTCTAAGCACAGACTCAAGTCTAAGGACCCCTGCAGATTCCCTTTTTATGGCGTGCTCAGGATTATTTGTGGAACGAGGCAGTTTTATTCAATCCTGCTTTCAATATCGTTTGTACCTACATTAGTTTTATGGTGGTCATATTGCTTTGCTTCCAACCAGTGCATGCCCCATAGCGTCCTGTGGAAATACTATAACTTTTGTGCCACAAATTATTATTATTTATTATATGAACAAATGTCACTATTTATTGACTGTTCCACTTCTGTTGCACTATAGTGCAGGAGTGCCCCTCTGGATGATAATAATTCAAAAACACTGGGGAAGCATTACAGAGCAAAATGGAATGATGCGTGGACAGTCAAGTATAAATCCAGTACTAATGCACTATTGTTGCATCACTGGCAGGCTGCAGAATACACCCACAGAAAACCACCAGTCTGAAGGAGCCCTAATTTTCTTTTATTGATACCTTTTGGGAGGGGGTGGGGTGGAGAACAGCAAATGGGGTCCCCCTCCAAGAATGGCTCTTCCAGATGGTGGGCATCATGTGCCCATATGGAAGCAGGAGAAACTCCTCATTTCCTCCTCAACTTTCTTTTTACTGTTTCCTGGTTTTGTTTAGCGCAAGAGGGGAAAATTCATTATCATTTTTTTCAAGCACAAGGAAAACCATCATCTGCCCCACTCCCCTAAATCCCTTGCCACCAGTAAAAGGGCACCACTCCGCCAGACAAAAGATTCTGAGCAGGAAAGCAACACACACAAGATTGTAAACAAGCTAAACACAAAAGGCTGGAGTCTTATCTGGCATGGGCAGGTGCTACTTTGCACTGATGTTTAAGCCAAGTGAACCAGAGAAGTTCTAACAAACAAGGAAATAGAATTTGCACCAGTTTATAACCATTTCAATATCTTCCCACCAAGGAGTTCAGGGTCCTATACAAGGGTTCAGCCCCTTCCTCTTTTATCTTTGCAACAATCCTTGTGGGAGCTAGGCTAGGCACCTGCTTCATGTGCGACCAGGTATTTAAACCCATATCAGCCCATTTCAATGCTCTATTCCATGGGTAGGCAAATTAAGGCCCGGGGGCCGGATCCGGCCCAATCGCCTTCTAAATCCGGCTTGCGGATGGTCTGGGAATCAGTGTGTTTTTACATGAGTATTTTATTTAAAATGCATCTCTGGGTTATTTGTGTGGCATAGGAATTCATTCATTCCCCCCAAAAAATATAGTCCGGCCCCTCACAAGGTCTGAGGGACAGACTGCTGAAAAAGTTTGCTGACCCCTGCACTACTCTACGCAAGTTCCCCAAAGTTAAGAATATTGAAGATATAAAAACCAAACATGTTCTTCATAACACAGAAAAGTGAACAGAGCAACATGGGTCTCCCTTGCCTGCTTATTCTATGGCCTGGTTTGCATGACACAAAGTATGCCTTAGCACAGATATGTGGTCTCCTGGAGAAGAGCTCACTGCCATTTTGCTCCTCCCTGGTCCTTTTTACTGCTGCACTGCACTGCATTAATTCAAGGTTTGGCTTGGTGTGTCATCTGATCTGGAACTTGTGGTTAAGAGATCTCCGCACTAACCATGAGTTGCATCTAAGGTTAGTGAAGAGGGAGCTTAACCACAAGCCATAGACAGGAACAAACCTTGGCTGCAGCTTGTGGTTATGGTGAGGAGAGAGCTGAATCACAAGTCCTGGTTCAGACAACACACCAAGCAAAATCTTGCCTTAGCTCAGCATGACTCAGGAGCCAAAGAGACTGGGGAGATGCAAAGCAGCTGCAACTTCTTTTCTGAGAATCCACACATTCATGCAGGCCTTAAAAACCATAGTTTGATTAATTTTGTTGTGAAAACATGTAATGGATTTGTGTTATTCTGTATATTTGCACCTTTAGGGACTCCTAGCAGATTAAGATCATACATAAGAAAGGAATCACACATGTAGAGTTGCTTTCAAACTTTCTACCCATATTCAAATGACTGTGGAATATATTTGCTATCAAGTCTCAGAACTAACACAAACTGCATTCAAAAGGAGCCTAGTGTTCCAATTAGATTTTCTTGCAACTCCACCACCATACTGAGCTCACTGAAATTAAAAATAAGACTTTCTCCCTTAAGGGCACATACATAACTAACTTGACTTTCTGGATATGAAAAGATGTCCACCGGTGCTGCCAGCTCAGACTTACATCATGCTGCAAAACGAGCAGGTATGTTGCTTGTACACATAGCATACCCAGTAGGGTTCTGCAGATAAAAGTACACAGCGTGCTCTTACAATGATTGTACACACCAAAAGAGAATGGAGGCCAGTCACAAGCTAGCTCTTTAAGGCCAGTACATATTAGCACATGTAGTTAAAAGAAGGAACAAGCTTGCTTTATGCACACTGCAAGGTACAACACAGATGTATCCACTGATTTTGAGATGGTGAAGTGGCCCTAGGCGGCTCTATAGAATATATTTCCAAGGAAGCATGTCATCACCACACTTGTTTTTCACCAAGCCCATTTATGGAAACTCACTTAAGGGAAGACATCTGTTTCAAACACATAAGTAAAACCCTTTCTGAACACTACCCTTGTTAGAACACTTTGAGCATGGGCATAACAATTTAACTGCAGTGTAAGAAAATTGAAGCATATGTAATATAACCTCATCAGCCCCATGTATTTAAAAGTATTTAAAACATGCGAGTAATAAGACAGGATAAAACAAGAATGCTACTGTATACCTAGGCTTATACTGTCTCAAGAAATTCATGGAACACGACCTTTCAAATAACTGAAGTTTGGATACAATGGTTTCTATAGAGGTTGGAAACAGATGGCAGTTTTAAAGGCAAAAGTGTTATTTCCCGTGCTGTGCTTGTGTGTGTCACACTTCTTTTGACCTGTGATCAATCAGGTTTTGAACCACTGGAAAAAATCCCATCAAACCTGTTTGCCTAGATGTAGGACAAGTGTGAACACAATGGCCCTTCTTTCCAGCTGCCTTCAGCATTCTGGGGGTACAATACTTATTTGATTCCAGCCCAAAAGGTGGGCTGCATATAATATGTCTGGCATAAGAGGCAAGATGTAGAGACAAAGGTGTTTAAACTAATATTACACACAAATAGTGAGTACAAGCCAGTTCACTTGTAATGCCAACCATGGTTGGGTAACACATAAGTGATTGGGTATTGCATCCTCTCCCATCCTGCGCTCCAATCTGCTTACTTCATGCTTAGTACAAACCATCATTTGCTGTTACATAAGAAACTGACAAACAATGGTTTGTACTTCCCTCCAAACCAGAAATAGAAACATGTTCTAGACTGGAGTGCAAGTTTGAATCACAGCTTGCTGGTTCAGATAGTGTTCATGGAAGACAATCTTACTTGACTACGAGTGATTGCCAAAGAAGAAGATGATAGTTTGCACTAATCAGGAAGCTAACTGGAGCACAGAAGATGAAGGGAGGAGTGCAAACCAATCTTAGGTACACGGCTCCCTTACACCTTCTCCACCATGCAACCACCTTTTGACATTCCAAATACAGTCATACCTTGATTCTCGAACGCCTTGGTACTCATACGTTTTGGCTCCCGAATGCTGAAAACCTGGAAGTAAGTTTTCGAATGTTTTCTGGAAGCCAAATGTCCAACACGACTTCCACTTGAGTGCAGGAAGCTGCTGCAGCCAATCGGAAGCCGCACCTTGGTTTTCGAACATTTCAGAAGTCAAACGGACTTCCAGAACGGATTATGTTCGAGAACCAAGGTATGACTGTATACACTTTATGCTTTAGCCAAGGAGCATGTTTAACCAATGAGTATAGACATGTTCAGTTCATGTGATGTCCTACCAATTAGAATTGGTTGTACACTTTCAGCCTACTCCACAGCCCAGAACAACTCACAATTGAAAGTGCCGTTTATGCTGAAAGCCCCCTCCAGGCATTGATGTTTAAAAATGCAGGAAGATTTCAGATTTTTGTGCATTTATTATTTTAGTGAGCCCATAGGACAGATTCTAGAGTACTGTAATGGGAAACATGACAGAGGTTTATAAAGTGATGAAAGAGGGGAAAGAAGATAGAGATAAGCCCCCCTTTCCGAATTCTAGAATGCAGGGCTATCCAATAAATATCCATGGTGGCAGATACAGGAAAGATGAAAGGAGGTATTTCTTCACACAGTGCATAGCTAAAGCTATGGAATTTGCTGCCACAAAACGGGGGATTAGATAAACTCATGAAGGATAACGCTATCAGCAGCTACTGGTTATGACAGCTAGATGCTACCTCCAGAATCAGAGACATTGTGTCTCTGAACGCCAGTTGCTGCAAAACAGCAGCAGGTGAGGCAATTGCCCTCCTCACGTCCTGCTTGTGGGCTTCCCATAGGCATCTGGCTGGTCACTGTGGGTAATAGGAGTCTGAGATAGATAAGCCTTTGGTCTGTTGTAGTAGGACTCTTACTTGTGCTCCTTTAATACACTTTATGTTGTCGGCATATTTGAAAATGGGATGCTTAAACTTGGCCTCTTCGTTTGAGGAAAAAGCAGCTGCAGAGCTCTGATCTGGAACATGTTCTGGATCTGGATCAGGGCCCCAAGGGCTGTTTCCTGCTGAAATATCACCTTTTCCCTGGTCTCTATATGCCCCTGAAGATGCTGTTTGGAGCAAATTGTACTTTTACAGAAGTTCTCTCCCCCTGTTTTTAGTAGAAAAGTGTCAGGGTCACATCCTAGATTGGGATCCAGTGGCAGCTTTGTAAGTACTTCGTTCCCAAGCTTGAGCACGCTGAAGAAACATGAAGGGAAGTTGGGGCAATCCTCAAAATTTCCTAAATCCTACTCAGAGTAGACCTGCTGGAATTAGTGGATGGAACTTAGTTGTGAACTCCACTATGTCTGCTCTGAGGACTGGCATTGGTGCCATCCAGTGTTTCCTTAGCCGTCGCAGGGTGGCTGATACTGAGTGAAAACACAAACACAACAAGGCTCTTTTACCATGTAAAAATTACAGCCAACATATATGAAAGCCTTCTTCATTAGACCTAGATGAAGGCCATTTACCTTTGCAATAAGCCCACTTGATGGTATTTTGTGGAGGATTGTTATAGCGATGTCTGCATCAGAAGCTGATGTTTCTCCAGAGCCTCGTCCGCTTTTCCATAGGGAGCAGCAGTTCATTATATGAGAGAAGGGGAACAGCTGTAGTTTAAGTTAACATCCTACCCTGTTTTGTTACTGAAGAAATGAAAGTTAAACATTTACCCTCTTTCTCTCTCTTTACCCCTGCACTGTTTTCAAAGTCAGCTGGAACATTTTTGCTGCTCAAAGACAAGCTGTTGCTCTGGAGGGGAGGGAGAAATCTCCCAGTTTAAACACCCTCCCCCACCCCTTGGAGCTGATAATTCAAAAGTTTCAACAACTGAAAAGATTTGGAAACCCACAATGGGCCATAAAATTTTGAAAGTTAAATCAGATAAGTCACTTAATGCGGTTACTGTCAGCAGGGGTGGACTTTGGTAATATGGCACCTTGAGGAAGGGCACAATTTACTGTGTTCCCCCTCACTTTGAGTAGGCACCCATATAAATATAGGTATTATTATTATTATTATTATTAGTCCCCCTCAGCTCAATGCCCTGTGCAGGGAAATTTCCCAAGCTATTCAAAGAACACAGAATGCCATCTTATACAGAGGCAGACCATTAGCCAATCAAACGCAGTATTGTCTACACAGACTGACAACAGATCTCCAGCATTTCAGGCCTGGGACAGTCCAAGACCTACCTGGACTGAACCTGGCATAATTCCCTCCTAGGTGCAGAAGTACTCCACAGTAACATATATACGCTATTACCCGTGGGCTGTTTTTCACCCCCATCAGCCTCTAAAGTAATTGCACCTCCAAGATAAAACAAAACAAAACAGCCCTCTCTTTTATTAGAGACATAACTTTACACTGAATCATGGCTCTGAGCTGCAGATTCACAAGGAAGACACTCAGCTTGCTCGTCGACATCAAGGCAAGATGTTGCCCGAAGGGTAGGTGAAGCCGCTCTCACCTTTGCTATAAATTAAGCACATATAAGCTAAGAGCTTCACCGATTGTATCTTCCCGCAGGATGGGCAGTCATGCAGTACTGACTAAACTCTTTCAAAGTCCTGTTCCAACATGTGTTGGGAGAATAAAAGGATCAATTAAAGGTTTATGGGAGGGCAGCTCCTTTTCTTTTTTTAGCATGCCTGCAACCGCGGTCAGGAACATCTGGAGAGAGATCCCCCAGGATGCAACAGGAGTGGTAAATTGTAAAGGGCTTGTAATTTTATGTTGTCTGGAAAGGGAGGGCGGAGGGAAAGCAAGTGAGAAAAGACTTATTTTCCTTTTTAATTAAAGAAACAGCCAAACATAGATTACAGTGGTTAAAATGAGTTCTGTGGTCTGAGGCGAAGACAATTTCCTGATAAATTTAACTGGTTGTGCATCACTTGGTTGTTGTTATCATCACCATCACCATTATAATTAATTAATTGATTGGTTGATTCAATTTGTATACTGTCTTTCATCTGAAGATCACAGGGCTATTCACAATATAAAAATGCAAAATGAGAATGCAAAATACCGGTACATAATAGAAACAAGCACGAGTCAGGGAAATCATCAGTGCTTCTCTCCGTTCCCTAAACCCAAAAGAATTTAGTTTAAAATATTACTGTTCTGTTAAAAGAAATTATTTTCACTGGACTTGCAATCCTAAACACTGTTTCTTAGGAGCAAGTTCCACTGGCTTACTAGCAAGTAAGCACACAAGTGGGATTGGGTTGCTTCTCTTATGATACACACACACACACACACACACACACACACACACACATACCATACTATAAACTATACTATTTGTCAAAGGTAGAATCACCATACTCTTTGGATACCCAGAATCTAGACATACTGTGCATCACCCATTGAGGGAATTAACTGGCCCACTGGTACTTCACTCTTTCGTAGAGGGCAAAAAAGAAAAAGAGATAAGTCCACAAGTCTGTAGTTCTACAGACAGTAGAGAAAATGTGTGGTGCTTCATTCCATTGTTCTGTAAGTAGTAGAGCTGCTTCTGCCTCCCTCTGTTCTAGTGGATGAGTGAGAGCCACACTGTGTGAAGTTGACCAATGAAGACTGAATAACTATTAGGTCCTCAGGTTGGCCAAAATCTGCTGGGTGGAAACTGGATCCCGTTATATGGCGTGGGATAACATTCCAGATGATGTCTTGCCATAATCAGTGATAATTCTGCCCCCTGCCCCAAATTATGATCACTAGAAATACTTTTCTCTGAGAGACCCTTGCCATTTACTAACCCTATATGATGACACGCTGCAGTCTCCGGACTGTGCAACTTTAGTCTGATTCAGATGCAATTGCTAAATTGTGGCTTGGCCTCTGTGAATAGGCATTGTGCTTTGATTCTCTCCCCCTTCTTCTTCTGCAGCCACCCTCAGTAGAAAGCAGCTTCATAGTTATAATGGTGCAGCCAATTCCACAATCCTCTTATGAAGGAGTTCTTATTGTAGTAGATGTGTCTTTGCAACACAGGCATGCCTACTACATGGAGAATTCAGCCACAAATTCACCTTCATGGGATTTGTTAGTACAGAGACATGCACAAGGTCAGCTCATGTACGTGACTAACAACAAGAACGACTAGAGAAATTAAGCTGGATTTCTGTTGATCTTGACACCAAGATCTAGTCTCAACAAGGTCAGGCAAGTCTAAAAAGGTCCACCCAAAGTGTTCTTTAGTTGACACCACTCTTTAATATCAGAATTGGAGTTGAAGGCATTTCCTTTCTTTATGCCAGTCCGTCACTATGTGCTAAAGGATAAGAAAATCCTATTGCGGGTATAGACCCATGAGTATAAGGTGGTATACAAAATAAAAAAATAATATTGGGCTGGCTCACACTCTGATATTGCATGGGACCCCAAATCACACTCTTGTCATGTTGCATCAAGATTCCTACCAGGAAGAAGTGTTGACATTACAGTGGTACCTTGGTTGTCAAACTTAATCTGTTCTGGGAGTCTGTTTGACTCCCAGAACTGTTCAAAAACCAAGGTGTGGCTTTCAATTGGCTGCAAGAGCTTCCTGCACTCAATCGGAAGCCACAGAAGCCTCATCGGACATTCGGCTTCCAAAGAACGTTTGAAAACCGGAACACTTACTTCCAGGTTTTCGGTGTTCGGAAGCCAAGACATATGTGTACCAAGGCGTTCGAAAACCAAGGTATGACTGTAACTGTAGGTCTGCAAAATTCCTGAAATTGGTTCTTAGGATTCTGGTCACCCCACAAGCTTGAAATCTGCTATTCAGTTCTGGTAGCTCAATCCAGTTCTGCAGTAATGCTTACTGATTCAGCACTGTTGTGCTCAGGTCCTGCATTTGGCTTTTGATAGGCCCCAGGACAACACAGAAACATAGATAGTGTCTTCTGCAGGATCAGACCATTGGCCCATCTGGCTCAACGTTGTTGACAGAGTGGCAACAACACCCGAAGGTTTCCAGCATGGGACATTCCCAGTCTCACTTGGAGATGATGGGAACTGGAGCTGGGACCTTCTGCATTCTACCCAACACAGGAGCTGGGTTACATTTGCCTTTGGCTTGACCCAGTAGGACTTTGCTTGCAATCTCAATGGGCTAACATTATTCTGAAACCACTTTGATAAGGCATGTGCTAGGGACCTGCCATTTCCTGTTTCCACATGCCTTAATGGAAACCAAAGGTGGGAAGAAGTTACAGTAGTCTAGATTGCCTGATTTTACAAGAACAATTTGGGGGTGTTGTTAAAGAAGTCTTTTTATACATTCCTTTTCTGTTGCTATGGGTTGCCTTTTTTGTTTTTCAGTGGCCCTGTGCCAGACTCTGAATAGAAAAGCACCAGATGGAGGGGAACTGCGGAAAGCCAGCTACACGGAGTAAGGTGTGAGCACATCCTTTCAGGAGGAGGGGGCATGTGGGAGGCTTGCCATGTGTTCCATAAATGCAAAGTCACTTTCCTTCTTCACTCGCTTGAGCTCTGAGGTAGATTGCACCAAGATAGCTCAGAGGCGGGGAAACAGGATCTGGCTAGCAGGCAAGATCCTGAGCTCTTTTGGCCGGGGGGGCAGGTGAAATAACTTCAGAAGAGAAATCAGGAGTGCACTTTCTTCCTTTGCAGGAGCAGCTTGAATCAAGCAGCACATGCAAAGGAAGATTCCTACAGAAAGTGGGGGTGGCATTTGGCACTGATTATTCCGTAACAACCACAACATTACTTAGTCTGCATCAGTCAACAGGTGCAAGGCAGGTGGATGTGGCTGGGATAAAATGGTCATGCTGGCCACACACACACACACACACACACACACGTGGGCTTCCTGTGCCAGAAATGAAGCACTATCTGCTTGTCTGTCTGTCTGTCTATCTATCTATCTATCTATCTAAGCTCTACAAGCTCACATTACTTGGGAATCAGTATATTCAAATCTTGCTCCGTGGTGTTGGTAGAACCAGTTATTTATATCAAGCACAGTGTAAGATGGAAAACAGTCTTTATGTCATAATTTGTGAGCCTTAAGGCAAAAGGTGTGTGCAGAGCTATCATCACAAGTTACATATGTAGGTACAGTGGTACCTCGGTTTACAAACTTAATCCGTTCCGGAAGTCCATTCTTAACCCAAAACTGTTCTTAAACTGAGGCGCACTTTCCCTAATGAGGCCTCACACTGCCGGTGCCCTTCTACCGTTTGGATTCAAGTTCTCAAACCAAGACACTATTTCCAGTTTTGTGGAGTTTGTAAACCAAATCGTTCTTAAACTGGACTGTTCTTAAACTGAGGTACCACTGCATATTGTTTGAATTCTTAAAAAAAGTACCACCAAGATTCAGTCACAGGACAGATGACTGGAACTCTCTTTTGATGCCAGAGCTCAGTTCAATGTAAGATTTTTTTCAGAGAGAGAAAAAGAGAGAGACATTTGCCTCAACTTTCCCAATATTAAAATGTTTCTGCTTATAGGAACAATTTTATAAAGGAAGCTTAACTGAACTGCCAATGAGTTTAGAAATGCATCAGCACAGGAACAAACTTGTATGCAATTGTGAGAGACTGCTGCAAACTAAAGGATATAATTAGAACTGGGTGAGTATGTCATGCCATTGGGTAAATGCTGAAGGAATCTCTCTTTTATCTGAAATATCAATGGATGACATTTTTAGTGATCAGACTAGGATCTGGCTCCCTCAAAGTTGATGGAAATTCAGGACGGCATACCCAGGAGGACATTAGTGCTACCCTACAGAAAGAGGCCTTTGTAACACCTTTACATATGTGCAAGATGTTAAAAAAAGGGAAAGTCCTGAATTCCTTTGTCTCCTCAGCCTGGTCCTCGGACCCTTGTCGGCATAAAAGAGTCCACGAGGAGAGTGTCCTTGCAGAGTATTTTCTGCTTTTATTCTTCAAAGTCTTTGTCTGCACAACGACCGACCAACTGTACACACATCAACACTACCAACTTTCTCTAACCAAGCAACCAACCCACACCACAACACTAACGTTGACCACCCTTATGTCGCGACCATGCCCCAAACTGTTTATTCAAAAATTCCCCACCCCATCTGTTTGCAACTGCACAACAGGGCGAGTGAAGAGCTTTTCGGCTTGGGCAACCCATTCTCTGAATGTGGGGAAACACTCTGCTTTAACAAAAACAACCAACTCAAACATGATTTATCAACTAGTACCAGAAAAGCATATCGGGTGCCCCCTTCAGTCTTCTGTGGAAAAGGGCCTATCACGTCACAATGGACAAGTTCTAAAACCTCTTTAGATACTCTGTCACTTTTAGAAGCCACAGGCTTCCTCTTAGATTTGGCCATTTTACATACATTGCAATCTAGGAAACAGTTACAGCTATTTACTTTTAGGTTCTTGCATACCTTTGGCATCTCTGAAAGCACATGAAAATTTGCATGACCCTGTTTTCTATGTAGTTCATGTACACACTCCTTATGAACTGGCAAATTCTCCTGAACCACCTGGGCTGTTTAACAGGCTTGTCCTGCATTACATATAACCCATTTTCCATCTTTGCATGGCCACATATCTGTGTTCCATTCTTTATCAGACAACCATCCTGCGTGAACTTAACACTATACCCTGCATTAATCAAACACCTTACAGACAGTAAACAATAGTCCAAACTGCTGACAAACGGAGTCTCTGGTAGAGTAAGTAGTGCTCAAGCACTGCAGGAAACATGTTCCCTGGCCATCAATCTTGCTTCTAGGACCATCAGCAAGATAGTTCAAGTCTTTTCCTTCGACTGGCTTCTCCAGGGTCTTAAAGTCCTCCCGACTGTTGCAGATAATCCTGCTGCTGCCAGAGTCCAGCAACCACGTTCCTCAAGGTATCTTCCTCTCCTCTCGAGGAAATGCAGACACAAGCTGAGCAGAACACATGTTCTTCTTCCTTGAAGAGAACCCCTTCTACTTATGTTTCTGTGTTGATTGCTGTCTCTGCTCCACGTCGTCTCCTGGAAGTCTTGCCCTGCATTGACTCTAGAGATGCCTGGGTTGGCTGCATCTATAGTATCTCCTCACTGCCATGGCCAAGTCCAAATCTTGGCATTGCTCCATTGCAAGGTTCTGCTGCTGGCCCCCTCGGCTGTAACTCCTCCACTCTTGGAGTTCAACCTATCTATCTGATTCTCTTTCTGCTTCTTTGGTCAACCTTCCAACCACATACTCAAGGGTCAGATCTCGGGGACGCATACCCTCCATGCTGTTAATCATGTGCAACCAGCTTTCAGGCAAACTTGAAAGGATAATGTATGTTTGGTCAGTCTCATCATAATGCTTACCTCTCTGCTGTAGTTGAAGAAACAGAGATTTCAGCGTTTGAAGATGAGTTGCCAAACTCTCACCTTCTTTCATAACAGTCCTGAACAGCCTTCTGGTCAGAGAAATTATGGTTCCAGCAGTGTCTCTGACATGCATTGCCCTTAATAAATTCCAGCACTCAAACGCTGTGCTGGCATTTGCTACATGCAATAACTGAGAGTTCCTCAAACACAGCATAATTTGGGCACGAGCCCTTTCATCCAGCCGTCTTTTCTCAGCAGAGTCTGTTATGAAAACCTCAGTCTCAACACAGTCCCATAGTCCATCTCTCCTTAGCAACTGCTGCATTCTTATTGACCAACTCAGCCAGTTGCTTTCTGAGAGAAGTAAAAAAAAAATGCCTTCCCCGATACAGTGGTACCTTGGGTTAAGTACTTAATTCGTTCCAGAGGTCCGTTCTTAACCTGAAACTGTTCTTAACCTGAAGCACCACTTTAGCTAATGGGGCCTCCCGCTGCTGCCACGCCACCGGAGCACGATTTCTGTTCTCATCCTGAAGCAAAGTTCTTAACCTGAAGCACTATTTCTGGGTTAGCAGAGTCTGTAACCTGAAGCATCTGTAACCTGAAGTGTATGTAACCCGAGGTACCACTGTAATTACAACTTGGGAAGACTGGAAATCTGCCATCTCTGCTGGTGCTTGCTGAGCCCCTTCAGTGGGGCTTCCAGCAATCTCTCCTGACTCTCTCTTTAGAGTCTGACCGGACTTTCCTGGCTGGCACTCACCGGCTTCTAGCTGCCACCTCTGTTGGCCCTCAGGTCCCGCCTGGCTCTGCAACCGGTGTAGCTGCTCTGTGAGTCACCTACTGTGGTCCTCTAGCAGTTCAAACTGTTCCAGTAGCTGACACTGAGAGTTTTCCTGATCCTCAGATCCTAGCCGCTCCAGCGTCACTATAGACAGTTAAAGCTTGCCACCAACTGCTCCAACACACAGCCACTGGCCACCACCAGAACTCACCAGCTCCCTACTGAGATGCTGTCAGTTGTTTTGTACTCTGTACATGCTCAGAAACTCTGGGCCCATAACCTATCAGTGTTTGAAAAAAGCAAAGGTCCTGACTTCCTTTGTCTCCTCAACCTGGTTCTCGGACCCTTGTCGGCATAAAAGAGAGTATCCTTGCAGAGTATTTTCTGCTTTTATTCTTAAAAGTCTTTATCTGCGAAATGACCGGCCAACTGTACACACATCAACACTACCAGCTTAGTTCTTTTAGAATTAAAGAAACAGCGGCCAATTTTTAGCTGTGACATATATAATTGTTCAATAGCCAACTGAATGAATCATTCATATAAAGGCAAGGTCATTAATAATGAAAACCTGTCTCTAGCTAGAATGGGTGGTTCAGACATATTGTTGGATTCTAAGAAAATGTTTATTAAAAAAAATCACAAAATTTCTGCAATGTAGAGATTTTGTATGAATGGAAACTTCCAAAACCTAGCAGGCACACACATCAGCATTGATCAGGTTCAAGCGAAAGCTTCTGGGAACAAAGAATGCTGTTTCTTGTGGATTATAAAACTGCACTAGATGGGGAAAACAAAGATGCATAACTCTGTCTTCCTATGAACAAGAATAGAAAGGTTAAAGGTAAATAAGTATTTTCAAGACAGGATGAAGAACCCCACAACAGGCACAAAACTTCTCTCTCTGTACTCCATGTGTAGATCCAACAAAAACATCCAAACCTTTTGCAACTGTACTGCTAGGTATCAAAGTACTGGTCTCTGCGAAGTGCCACCACGTGTGTTAAATCTGAGCAGGGCATTATAAAATGAAGCAACATCTATTCTATCTATGTTTTTCTAGTGTCACATTTCAGCATCAATTTCAAATTCTATTTTTAAAAAAGGGACTTTGCTTTTCAGATTTTCTCTCATGCCTGAAAAGTCGTTCTCGTTTCAAAGTGAAGGATGATCCTGTACCTCCTCCTAGCCCAAACATGCTCGTGTAACATGAACCCCATGGATCAGGGCACTGCAATTACTGAAATCTCCATTAGCAGAACTTGTAAAACCGTCTGTACTGAACTAATGTTGCATCAGGCCAAAGGCTAAATTCCAGGCAAGGTCACAAGTCTTCTTAACTCCTCTTCATACCACGGGAGAGCTAAACTCCACACATACACTAAGTAAAAGAATATAAGTTTTACCATCCCACCCACCCTCTCCTTCCCCAACCTTATACTGTGTATAACAATAATGTCTCAAAAGAAATATAACTGATCTGTAGAAAATACAACCTGAAAAAAGAGAAAATGCATGTACTTTTGTAAACCAAGAAAATCTTTAATAATTTTTTTAAGGTCTCAAATTGCTCAAATCAGATCATTTCAAAAGTGCAGAACCCATTGCTTAGGACAGCAATAACTAATCAATAAGATGCCATAGATCCTAAGCATCTTGTGCTATAATATTGCTTGGGATTAGACAAACTCATGGAAGGATGAGATAGGTGCAATAGCCATGACAGATAAATGCAACATCCATAATCAGCTATATCTCTAGTGACCAGATGCTGGAGACAAACTATCAGGAAGTAGCTGTTTTTTATTGCCCTGTACTTGTACCCCCCCCCCAATATTTATTAGTTTTCCATTTCAATAAAAAGAACATCAACATTTCTTATCCTCACATATATTCTGACTCTTTCGAGTCCACTCCTTCCTCCCTTCCCCCTAGATGGCTTTCTAATTACATTTCCTATATTCTTTGCATTTCTGTTTCCTCTTATTTACTTTGTCTTACTTAAATCCACATACTATGCAATATTGCCCTGTACTTGTAAGCTTCCCAAGCTCAGCAACTGCTGGAGATAAGAGTACTGGACTAAATGGAATTATGGCGCTAACACACCTGGATACAAATTCCAGCATAGTCATGGAAACACTGGGTAACTTTGGACCATCACTTACAGCAGGGGTGGCTAACCTGTGGTCCTCACAATATTACTGGCCTTCAGACTCCTATCAACCCCAGCCTGAATGGTCTATGAGCAGGAATTATAGGAGTCCAATGCCACATTCCCCATCCCTGTCTTAAGTCATGTTATAGGTCTGGCAAGGAAAACCGATATAGCTGTTCCAGACTCTGTGCTAGCACAGATTGGCAGGTTTTATTATTACAGAATTTTATTTTATTTTATTTTAAATGCATTCTGTATCTCACACTCCTCACAAACACATCCCAAATTGTTAGTCTGTACTCAAGCCCCATCAAACCGCTTATGGTTTTCCACAGTCCAGAAGCTCCAACAGCCCCCTTTAGCAATACCAGGTTCAGTTAACACCCACCTCCAATCTAGAAGAAAAGGAAGCAAGGCATGTTTGAAACAAGGAGAGAGCAGAACATCTGCTAAAAGGCAAGAAAAAAGTTTAAGGTCTTGCAAAATATTTTCTCTAAGTCCATAGTTATATAGCACCCACACAGAAAGACAGCCACATGAATCAAAAGCCTCTATTTATTTCAGTTAGTTGCTTGCTTGATATTTATTAGCTGTGCTAGTAGTTTTAAATAACCAGGATTGTGATTCTTTCTGCCTTTGCAAAATCAAGGAGCATCTGAATTGTCTTTCTAAGGATAGTCTCTGTGGAATGATCAGAAATGGTTCTAGGTCTTCCCACCATCCCAAAATTCTGTTACACCAGTGCTACTCCTGGAAAAGTGCAAAACACGCTGTGATAACGGCAATTTAAGTGACAGCTCCAATAGCAATAAAATACTGCCAGGATCTTGACCGGTTAGCAGTGCTCCATAACTTGGGAAACATTGAAAGCAGAGGCCGAATGGCAACTCAAAAACACCCTACAGACGAAAAGCTGTATCACCCAATCCACTCCACAGAAATGCTGTGCATTAGGAGGTGATGGTCCTATGATCTCTTGGGGACTAGCTGATTTATTGCCTCTGGAACATCTGCAGCAACAGTTTATTACATCAGATGTGTAAAAGCACACTAAGAAGGTGCTCAAGGGAGGAACAGAGGATGATCAATCAAGTTAACAAGGTGAGAGAACAGGAAAGGGGGGGGGACCTAACAAGAATACTTCCGCAACAAATGGAAGGAAGTGTGGGGTTGGGGATTGGGGGGGTTACAATAAAATTGCCACATACAATCCTTCTATTCAAACCTTGAGAAATTCTGTCAAATAGGCTTATGGAGCCCAGTTCTGTAGCATCGAATATCAACGGCTAATAACTGAAGAGTTCAGGATCCCTGAAGTGCTCCCCTGCTGATGTGCACATTCCTCATTTTCAACATTATGTTCACTGATGATCTTTTGTGGGAACTGGCTTGTGTAAACTGCATTAACTTTAGTTCTCACCCAGTTGCCTTGCAGAGCAATCCTAAGTGAGATGGAGATTTAAGCGGCGAAACATAAATCACTTCCAAAGCTCTGTTGGCCTGCTCTGGCCAAGGAAGAAGTGGGGGGCACTTTTTATTCCCTCCCCCTTGCAGGCAGTTAAAAAAAACCCATATCCATTGAGAGAAAAATTAACTACACCAGCTTCAGGATGTTGTAGTTTAGAGTCCTGAGCCAGGGCACTGACAAGGAAACAAGGCAGCTTTTGATCAAGGGGTTTCAAGACCACCCAAAAGACACTCCAGATTAGACCATGACACTTCCCATGGACAGACTAGGGACCTCTAGGATGGACAGACTGACCACCTGGCTGGGTTTCTCTCCACCAACAGTGCTAAACTTCTTTTCTCAGCCTATCTCTACTCATTCATCCTTTGACAAGGGTTTAGACACTGCCCATTGACTTTCTGGTGTTCCTCAGTTCTATGTCTATGTTCCATTTCTGCACATCATGGCTTTAACTTTTGTGAATCACCAAGAGAACACCCGTTAATGGGTGGCACAGAAACATTGTGATTACATAAATAAGCAACACCTTCATTTTTCGCAAGTCTGTTGAAAGTACGAGCAGACTTGGCTATGGATTGCAAAGGTAGTCCCTACCACAGCCACAAAGCTGACTCAGGGTTTTTCAAGTTCACTGGGGCTAACTCCCAGGTAGCGTTCACCTTTGCTATTGCTATTGTAGCCAAACTTATGATTAATGGTCATTGCATAAAGGTAGCCAGTGTGGTGCAGTGGTTAAGAGTGGTAGTCTCGTAATCTGGGGAACCGGGTTCGCGTCTCCGCTCCTCCACATGCAGCTGCTGGGTGACCTTGGGCTAGTCACACTTCTCTGAAGACTCTCAGCCCCACTCACCTCACAGAGTGTTTGTTGTGGGGGAGGAAGGGAAAGGAGAATGTTAGTCGCTTTGAGACTCCTTAGGGTAGTGATAAAGCGGGATATCAAATCCAAAATCATCATCTTCTTCTTCTAATGAAAATGATCTAACCCCCAACTGCGCACATGAAGATAATCACATGCTTATCCAATTGAGGATAATCACATGCTTATCCAAGATTTGAGTGACAAATGTGGCCCCCTCTGCTCAGTAAAGGTCCAGCCCTTGCAGCTCTTCCCAGGCTACACAGCCTCCTCAGTTCCTGCTTCCTCCTGGTTCCTGGTTGCTCTCTCCAGGAACCAGGTGCATGTATCCTGGTTTTCACAACATATTTTAGTCTATTTTCAGAAAGGAGTGTTCTCCCACATTGATGAGTTAACATAATAAGCAGTCAGCAGCCTTTAGCCTCTGAAACTTCAAATAAAAAATTGCCGGGTCCTCATTCAGCAAGTTGTGTTTACGTCAGTAAGGATGAGAGTTACAGACAGTCCTTTGAGGTCTGGGGTCAATTGCCAAATGGACATTTATCATTCAGGAGCTTAGAATGAAACCCATGGACTCATTACATATAGAATTTGGAAGGCTATACAGTGGTACCTCGGGTTAAGAACCTAATTCGTTCTGGAGGTCCGTTCTTAACCTGAAACTGTTCTTAACTTGAGGTACCACTTTAGCTAATGGGGCCTCCCACTGCCGCCACAGGGTGATTTCTGTTCTCATCCTGAAGCAAAGTTCTTAACCCAAGATACTATTTCTGGGTTAGTGAAGTCTGTAACCTGAAGCGTCTGTAACCTGAAGCGTCTGTAACCCGAGGTACCACTGTACTGAAAACAGTTAGCAGTGACTCTTGGTTGCATCTACCCATGCCTGCAATGGATGGAATGCAGCTGCTTGTTAGCAGAAGTGAGGAAGGAAATCCACTCAAAATAGCATCGAGACACTACCTCAGTCAATCTAATTGGCACTGAGTAACTTCATGGGGAGAAGTGAAGGTTTAAGACTTTATAAAACTGGACCCCAAAAGGGTACAGCTCTATTTGGCCCGTCAGTTTGATTTGCACAGACTTGATATTTTCATTCCAACATTCCCCAGAATACCCACAGCCTTTTTTGCAATCAGCAGCAGCATCCGTTTCTTGCTGTGGATTATTTGTATTTCTTTCTGCCTACAGCCTTTTCTGGATTGGCAGCCCAGACCTCAGTGGAAGATTAAACAATACCGAAGCCCACAGCAGGAGAATTCTCAGTCTTATTCCTTGTTTCACTTGGGCAACCTTCCTGACTCTCATCAGGGACAAAATAAAAGTTGCCAACCCCTTAATTTAGGAATTGCATACAAGTTTTGCATTCCAATCCCCAGTCAAGAGAAGGGTTTTTCTACCCCAACCTGCTCTGTGCAAATAAATGCAGTCCGTGGGATTTGCACGTAAAACAGAAATAAAAATTTTAAAATCAGCTCTTTGACAGATGAGAACATGCCAGAGTATGTTTCAGAATAATTTCACATGCGCTCCTGAAAATGATCTTAAGCTATCCCCCCCTCTCTCCACACTTGAATTCAGCAAAGACCAATTGCCCCAGTTAGCCATCTCTGTTTATCATGGAAAACCTCCCATCACACACTCATTTTTTATTGTATTGGAATGCAATACTGAACAAACAACATTATGAGAAGTTTTTCCCCCCGGTTGAAAAGTTAGCTTAATTGAATGAAGAGTAAAACCATTTCCAAAAACTCACTACAATCTTAGCCTATCTGATGGGAGTCCTGCTTTCTGTGGTTCAATGGTTTGAGCTTGTTTTGCTGCTTTCCTAAACCTCTCCGGTTTTAAATCTCAGATTTCCTCACTTTTATCATTACACTATTATGGTTATGTTCTGCATTTCCATCTACCATCTCTCGGGACAATATTGAGGTGCAGGGAGAAAGCTGCCAGTGTGCTTTTTGAAAGTGTTATCAGGGAAACTGCTACAAAAGGATTTAAGAAGCTAATCTGAGCAACACCAATGAAACAAAGTGTTAAGGTAAACCATTTATTATAGCTGAAAAGTAGTCCAATCCAAAATCCACATTCATCCAATCCCCCGCTATTCTGACTCCACATTCCTTTTATTCCGTAAGGCTCATGGTTTTCTGAACCCTATGCAGCTCAGGGCCCAGGTAGAAAAGTTTCATTTTGTTTCATGCTGCAATCCTAAGTACATAGCATAAGGGAGCTTCCTGTGTTACCGGGTAAGACCATTGGTTTATCCATCTAGTTCAATACTGTCTACTCTGGCTTGCAGAGGCTCTCCTGGGTTTCTGGCAGCTCTGCTTTGAGACACCAGGGATTCAACCTGAGAACTTCTGAACACAAGACAGATCCCCTAGCACTCAGCTATGATAATTTACCCTCCGTGAGTCCTGCTGAATTTAAAGTTTACTTTTCCCACAGGAAGGCTTGTGAGTGTGCTGTATGTGTGTGAAAAGTTAAGTGAGTCCACACACATATATTCAGAAACGTCTGAGATAATTATACAGTCAACAACTCATTATGGAAACAGATTACGACAAAGTACTTATTGTAGGTGAAGATGGCCTATGTCAGACAGAAGCTGTGTGTTTATACCTATATTTTACACACTGGTTTTTAGGAGAGTTTCTTCCCACCTCAAACCATAATATGAGAGATACAGACCCACACATGTAACCCTTCATTCTCTACCTTGGTCAGCGTGAGTTAAAATGTCATTGCAACTAGCTGCTTATTCCAAGGGGTAGGAGCTACCACAATCAATTGATAAGCAATCAATTGCAGGACCCCCCAGGACATAATGGGTGATCTCCAACTCAGTCATACTCAAAAGTAGACCCATTGAAACCCATGGACTTGAGTTATTCCACTGTTTCAGTGGGTCTGCTCTGAGAATGGCTAACATTGGATTTCATTCTACAGCAGAAATGGGGAGCCTTTGTCCCTCCAATTGAGGAACTCCCATCATCCCTAACCATTGGTCATGCTGAATGTCGTTGGTGGAGTGGTTTCCCATTCCTGGCCTATAGCTTTAGCTGCTTAGACAAGGGAAGTTAATAGTAGATGACCAAAGAAAGTTAAATTCAGGCAGTGTTGCCTCCGGCTGCTTCATATGTCTGCCACAGGTACATCACAAACATCTAAATGGCAAATCATGTTCTTAAACATTCCCAAGGACATGAGTCAGGGTGCCACAGGACGACAGCTCTTAAACACATGTCCACTGCATGAAAAAAGATATATAATTTTCATTCACACTTCACATATTACTCCGCAAGACACAGCGGAGTAATATCTGTGCACTCACAGCAGCCAGGGCTGCAATTTAAGACTGTAAAGTAGCTCTTGAGAATCTTTGTGCCACAGAACCAACAGGCAGAATTGTGATGGACCATATTTTTGAATGTTGCTGCTGCTGCTCTCTCCCCACTATCCTGCCTTTAAAAAGCCAGCGTGCTACATTGGAAAGTTTGACGAAGCCTTTTGTGAGCACACTTGCTTATTGCACGCAACTTTTCACACAGGAAAGTAGTTAAATAGAAGGCATCTCACCTACAGTCTTGATAGGGCAGAGTGGATTATTTAGTTTCTATGTGTTAAAAATGTTTCTAAGTGGTGTACAAAACACCAAAGCAACAATGTACATCTTAAACAGTTACAAAAACACAGTCACATATTAAATGTTACATCAATCTGAAGTTAGTAATAGTTCAGAACTCTATTGCCGTATCTTCGTTTTTGCATAATACATACCACACATTGGCTCTTTTAATTTTGCATACAATAGGAAGTCTATTCCTCAGATCCAGCCCCACACTTGTCAAATTTACCCAAACTACCTGTGACCCACCTCAAGATCCTTATGCATAAGGCCTTCCTCTCCCATTCACCCCACATCAAATTCCCCAATGTTTGTTGCTTCCCATGCCTTCCTCCCTCCCTATCCCTGCACAATAATGCGTCTGCTCACTAGTTCAACTCTTGACTCCTGATATCCTTTCACACCAGATTCTTCTACTGCTTGCTGCCCCAACAGCTAGTTTACCCTGGCCAGCCAATTTCCCACACGGGATCCTCAGAGATGACAAAAGCACTCACTTAAATACATTGTTATTAGGTCGATTCATAACAATACCTGGGACACCCCTTGTTCGAAGTAAGCCCGACGTCTTTTCAAGCCTAGTGGTTAGAGTCAGGGTAGTGTAGTGGTTAGAGTGCCGGGTAGGAACACGGCTTGACTCCCCACTCAGCTCAAATGAATGACTGGGGCCAATCTCCGCCCTTTGCCTAACCTACCTCACAGGGTTGTTGGGGGGACTAAATGGGGAGGGGGAGAGCCGTGCGCGCCGCCCTGAGTTCTTGGGGGAAAAGGTGGGAGATAGCAGCAATAAAATAGATCTCTACAATGAATTGGAGAGAGGGGAAGCACACTGCACATGCTCAGAGGGCGGGAGTTCATTTGACGCCCTAGTTGCCCCCCAAGCCCCCCGCGCGGAACCGGCGCCCCGTCCACTCACCGGTCGCTCGGTGCTCGGCGCTGGCGGCGCCGTACTCTGCGGCGTCGCTCCGTCGGGCGCAGGTGCCCTGGCCCTGCACTAGCGCCTGCAGGGGCAGCTCGGCGCCGGGACGCGGGTAGCAGCGGAGCCCCGAGGCGCAGCGCGGCGTGTAGACCCCGCACGGCTCCCCCTCGAGGCGGGCGCACACCCGGCAGCAGCCGCAGCCGGGCTCCCGCACCAGCTCCGGGCACGCTTCGCCCTCGGATCCCGACGAGACGGGCGGCGACGGCGCGCAAGCGGCCAGGCGCTCGGCGGTGCAGGGCGAGCACATGAACAGCACCTCGGGCAGCGCCACGCGGGCCGCCGGCAGAGACGCCCACAGCGCCAGCCCCAAGCCCAGCCACAAGGAGCAGCGCCCGGCGCGCGGCTGCAACAGCAACTGCACCATCGTGGCGGCAGCGCTTCGCGGAGTGAGCGAGCCAGCCAGCCTGCCAGAGAGCGCCGGCCGGCCGGGCAGGTGCTGCGGGGCGAGAGAGGGGCGGGCGCGCCGGCGCCGCTGGGTCCTAAAGGCAGGCGCGCTCGGGGAGGGAGCTGGGCTCCGCTCTGCTCCACCCCTCTCTCGCGCTGTCTCTCTCTCTCTCTCTCTCTCTCTCTCTCTCTCTCTCTCACACACACACACACATTCTCTCTCTGTCACACACACACTCACACATTCTCTCTCTCTCTCTCTCTCTCTCTCTCATACACACTCTCTCACACATTCTCTCCCTCTCTCACACACACACATTCTCTCTCTCTCTCCCTCTCTCTCACACACACATTCTCTCTCTCTCTCAACTCTCCCTCCTCCACACCCACACATTCTTTCTCTTTCTCACACACAGTCCCCCCCCCCCACTTTTTCTCTCTTACACATTCATTCTCTCTCTCTCTCTCTCTCTCTCTCTCTCTCTCTCACACACACACACACACACACACACACAGAAGGTGACGCGTTCTGCCCTGCCTGCCTCGACGGACACCACAGACTTCCTTCGGAGTAAAAAGCATATAAGCACCCCCAACTTCTAGGGGACGAGATCCCTTTGCCCCCCCCCCCAATAAAATATTTGAGGGGTATGGCAGGGCTTCCTTTGCGGTTAACGGTTGCGTGACAGGCAACAATTCAACAGGTGCAGCTTTCTTCCGGCAGCAGTTTGTATCTTGGCTTTCCCCTCCAAAGAGCTTGAGAAGAGAGAGCCACTTTGAGTTTGGGTGTGATGGCCTTGACAACGAGGGGCAGGCTCTCAGGGCCGACCTCACAGGGTGGTTGTGCTATAATAAAGGGAGATTACCCTGTGAATCCCTGAACAGCAAATTTACAATAGGTACTCAAGGAAAATCATGGGACCCGTGCTTGGGGGAGCAAACCAAGAGGGCAAGTGAGAATGAAGCTTTATCCACTTCATGCACCAACCTTGGCTAGAAGCTGAATCAGGAGGCTGGCAGTATTCACCCCTCTGCTATTATAGATGTGATTACCAATGTTTCTGCATTTCCTGTTATTTTAAAGAAGCATTAAAATTATTGATTTATTTCTTGCTAAATTTATATCCTGCTTGTTCTCCCAAAGGAGCATGGGGCAGAGTTCTGGTTTGATCAACTGCATTTTGTTTTATTTTCTATGGGTTCCTTTTTTATTATTGTACACCTGCTTCGGACTAAAATGGTACAAAAATAAACATACCATATATTAAGGGATATATCAACACAGTAATAATTGCTTGTAAAAGGACGCCCTAATTTCACAGATGATTTCTTGGGGAAATTTCCTGGGTTGTTTTTTTTTTAAGTTGATTCTAAAAAGTGGGTGTTTAAAAAGCCTGCTAGACTCAACTTTTCTTCCTTTTTTGAAGGCATTAGCAAAAATAATATAAATCTGTGAAATACTGATTGTGTTTGATCTTTGATAACCCAAATTGGTGGTTGCATTTAAAATGAGTGTGTGTGAGATGCTCGTTAATGCACTTATTGCACTCTTGTAATTGGAAGAAAAATCTTTAAATAAATTTATGGTTCTCCTTAAGGCTGAAATCCTACTTGAGAGTAATTTAAATTAAAACCAGTGAGAATTGTTTCTGTTTAGACATGGGTGAGATTGGGTTGAGCTTGTTGCCTCAAATGCAGGGAGAGAATTACAAGTAAATGTATCCATCCCAAATATCATGATGCTGTATTCGACTGTGATGACATCATAACATGACACTAGCATAATAGCTGTCTTAACGTTGGTCCCCCCCTTGTGCTTCAGCAGATGGGCCGCTAAAGCCTTGATATGGTAATGAAGTGAGCTTTACCTTCCATCATGGAACCTAAGTTGGTGATACATGGAGTTTCTAGGAAGTCACCAGTTCAGGCATTGACTAGACCCAAACTTGCTTAGCTTCAGCAAGAGAGTGGACTTTATGTACCTTCAGACCATAGCCAAGGTCTTGACCGAGATCTCTGATGATACCATTCACTCTATATACCTCAACAATCTTCCACTCACTTGAAATATTCCAAGTCTGTCTCTACATGACTCAGAAGTTCAGAATGTGCTGCACACAGATGACCTAATCACGCTATCAGCAACATGAAGGATTAGAAATAAAATTTTAGCTTCTGAAAGATCTTTGCAATATCTGGGCACTGAAAGCAAACTTGGCAGATACTATGGTCATGGCTTTTCAAAAAGAATATGAAAAGCAAACACAACAATATTCTATGACCCCCCCCCAAAAAGAAACTAGGGAAAATCATCTGAGCCTTATAATTAATGTATCAGACACCTGCAGTTTATCTATTAAAGCCCTATTAGAGAACTAAGAAAATCCCAACAACTCACCAGCTATAAATATGCTATATTTATATATAGATATATAATCTAATTCTACAAATTCCACCTTACTGGTGTGAATGATGACTTGGAAGCATTCTTAAAATTAATAGTACACTTCTTAGCACACACACACACACACAGCAAACATAAGGCTTGCAATTCTCACATGCTAGTTCTCCAGGAGGGATATAGGACTTTTCCCAGCATGTAAACACACATAGCAAATGGTAGATGCTTCTTTCTGCTATTAAGTGTACAGAAAGCAATTTGAGCTCCCGGTACCGCTGGAAGCAGCCCATGTTCCCTCAGTTATAGACCAAAGGGTTAATTCAAATGCCGGTGAAAGAGGGAGAGAAAAAGCCCTGCCTATATATTATCATTAACTGAGTTCAATGACCTTTGGACAAGCGAAGCAAAAAGAAAAGAAAAAGGGGGTGGGAGAAACCTTAACAAAATGGTACTGAAGCAGCTGGGTCAAGTGCTAAGACAACAATGCACACAGTTTGGTGGAAGAAGAGGACTACATTAGTATTAGATCTGCCTGCTGCAGATTCTGGGGTGGAAAGTAGTGCTTTATGAGTGGATACAGATAGCCATTAGCCCCGTGATTTGTGGTCCTATGCAAACTCATTGTGGGATGACTGAAATGTTGAAGAATTATTGTTCTGACACTAGTGATCTTTGTTTCAAGTACACTGGCATTAGTTTGCCTGACTTTCTTCTGTCCAAGGTACCATGCATGCACCTCTCTGCCTCTGCTCTTCTTCTTCAACATGTCCATAAATAAACTAAAGTATAATAGTTTTATGAATCAAGTGAACAACAAACAGAAAGACACTATTGTCTCTGTGCCACTCTCTTGTTTGATATAATGTCCTGCCTACTTCTTTGGTAGTAATAAATCAAGTTAGCCTTCACTATTGGTGTTCTGCTTAAAAAACCCCCCCACCTAAACTCATACTTTGACTGCAATCCTGTGCACACATATAGCAAAAGCCTAACCATCTCTGTTGTTGTTGTTTAGTCATTTAGTCATGACCGTCTCTACTCAGAAGTAAATCCATCAACTCTTTGCTTTTGTAATTGGTTAATTCAGTGCTGTAATCAATCAAACTTTGCAGTCCTGGTCCCTTGAGACAGAAGCTGACTCTCATTCCCTGCCTTTTCCTTGCACCATTAAGCTGACCAAGTTGAACAAGCAAGGAGAACAGAAGGAAGAGGTGTCTGTGTTCTATGGAAGAGTTATAGACAGACATCAGGGCATACATATATATACTGAAAGGCTGCAGATAATTCAGGTGGTTGAGCTTTGAATGGCTCATTGCTTTGACCTCACATTCTGCGGGAGGCAAGAACAGGCTTGCATGGGCTCAGGGAAAGAGGACTTCAAGAGATGGCGTGATTATGAGCAATTCTAGTGTTCCTTTTTTCACCATAATTTTTTTAAAAAACCCCACAGTGGTATTTTCCTCCACCCCTACAACTTTTTTTGGCCTGTTATTTTCTGACTTGATCTCAGCTCACAGAGGGCAAGGGTTGTTAGACAGTGAATGACTTTAATGAGTGGGGTGTGGCATCTCTTCAGCCGCAATTCACTTTACAGCCTTGATGTCACCAGAACACCCTGGGGAGTATTTGGCTAGGTGTCTGAATGATAAAGGGAGCAGTTCCTGTTAAATGGTTTCTTAAAAATGATCCTATAAAATAAGTCCCTTTGAGTTCAGTGGGGCTTAGTGCTGAATAAGTGGGTATAGGAATGCAGTGCAAAATCATGCAAATAGTGCTTAGATGAGACCTTAGGAGCCATTGAGTGATGTCTACTGGACAGGATGACTGCAGTTTCAGAGCCTTTTGCTGTTGGCATATCTGACAATGGTTTTCATTTGCAAAGAGTTTTATCCCTGTTGGTGCTTGTAAGGTAAAGGTAAAGCTAAAGGGACCCCTGACCATTAGGTCCAGTCGTGGCCGACTCTGGGGTTGCGGCGCTCATCTCGCTTTATTGGCCGAGGGAGCCGGCGTACAGCTTCCGGGTCATGTGGCCAGCATGACTAAGCTGCTTCTGGTGAACCAGAGCAGTGCACGGAAACGCCGTTTACCTTCCTGCCGGAGCGGTACCTATTTGTCTATTTGCATTTTGACGTGCTTTTGAACTGCTAGGTTGGCAGGAGCAGGGACTGAGCAATGGGAGCTCACTCCATCGTGGGGATTCAAACCGCCAACCTTCTGATCGGCAAGTCCTAGGCTCTGTGGTTTAACCCACAGCGCCACCCACGTCCCACTTGTAAGGTACTATCCTCATTTTTGGGTGGGCAAGATGAAGGGCAGTGGCTGGTGAGGTAGGATGGGAGACAATGACCAACCAAGCCACCTTTAGCAGGGACTGCTGCTTGGTGACAGTGGAGGAGGCAGGGAGAAGCTAAGGAGGCCCCATGCAGGTGTGCAGTAGGCGAATTTCATTTCACTTTTAATTTGTATACCTCCCTTCTAGATTACTACACACAGGGCATTTTACAAGCTGAAGAAACAACAAAATACACAGCAAAGATCACACAGCTAATAACAATCTGATCCAATAAAAAGAAGCAATATTCATTAGAATATAACAGTAAAGGGCAAAATTAAATATCAGCAAATAATAATTAAACAGGTTATGCTTAACAGTTACAATAAAGAATTACAAAACGAGAATCAATAAAAAGTCACGATCCATAAAATACCACAAAACATACATAGGCCAATGATGTCCTCCTCACTGTGTTGGGTGCTGCAGCCATTCACTAGCATTGCCACTGCTGTCCTCTGGCCCATTATGCGAGGTGTGGGGAACCTTTGGTCCCCCAGGTGCTGCTTAACTACAGCTCCCATCAGCCCCAGCAAGCATAGCTAATGGGCAGGAATGATGGGAGTTGTATTTCAGCAACATCTGCTGAGCCAAAGGTTCCCTACATTCCATCACGGTGCCCCATTGCGCCAGAAGCAGTTTAGTCATGCTGGCCACATGACCCGGAAAGCTGTCTGTGGACAAACGCTGGCTCCCTTGGCCTGAAGGGAGATGAGCGCTGCACCCCATAGTTGCCTTTGACTGGACGTAACCATCCAGGGGCACTTTACCTTTACCTTACGTGTGTCCTACACCATTGTGTAGTATATCATTGCCTATATCAGGGTTGGGGAACCTCCAGCCCACCAGCTGGAACCTGTCAGTTCCAGTGTGGTGTAGTGGTTAAGAGCGGTGGACTCGTAATCTGGGGAATTGGGTTCAATTCCCTGCTCCTCCACATGCACCTGCTGGGTGACCTTGGGCCAGTCACACTTCTCTGAAGTCTTTCAGCCCCACTCACCTCACAGAGCGTTTGTTGTGGGGGAGAAAGGGAAAGGAGATTGTGAGCCGCTTTGAGACTCCTTCGGGTAGTGATAAAACGGGATATCAAATCCAAACTCTTCTTCTTCTTCTGTCCACCAAGCCCTACACTACAAAAAGTTCCTGTGCCATTAGGACTTCTGCATGTCCTCAAATTCACAGGAATGTGAGTCTGAGCCAAATAAACTGATGAAAAGGAAACAGTTTATTTAAAACTCTTGACTAAGCCTTCAATATGATGCCCTCTTACCTGGAAGTAAATCCCCTTGAGCTCAGTGGAGTTTATATCTGAGGAGGCACATATAGAATTGAGCTGTTACACTGTGTGGCATCTTTACAACCGGCTCTAAAGTCTAATTTTTCAAAAGCAACTGTTGCACTTTTATACTATTGCTAGAGTGACCAGGTTGTTCACTGAGGGCAGGAATTGCTCAGCTTTTCATTTCCTTCCTTAGGGCCTATCCATTGTTCTGACTTTGTGCCTTAGCTCAGGAGTTAACGTCACTTTTCTTTCTTTTTGCAATTGAATATCGTTCTGTGGTGGGAAGGAAGGGCAAGCTTTGTTCAGAGGCTCTCGGTGCTTGCCTGAGCCATTGTCTGCTCTTATTCATTTGAGGTTCTTTGTTTCCAGCTGAAACCATAATAGTGGAAGCAAATTAGACAGATTCAGATGACATATGTGTTGCTTCTCTGCAGATATGCAAAATGGAAAGGAGCCCCTGTTTCTAAAGTACAGTCATTCCTGATTTGTTGGGGGGGGGGGGAATTACAGCTGTTCCGAGTTTCTTTCTCCCTGGGATGTGTAGAAAGCAGGATGCAGTTCATGTGAGCGGCAGGCTGCAATTACTCCCAAGGGGTGGTGGTGGGGAGAATGGCAGGTTTCTGATAGATTTAAGCTTTAACAAGCAGGGCTCTGTTCCTAAGCAGTTACCCTCCATATATAAGTCGAGCTGCTTGTTGTCAGGGTTTTATTTTACCCCAGAAAATGTGGCATTGCCAAACAGATGTAGGCTTGTTCAGGCGGGGAGGGGAGTTCTGCTTTTGTTAAAAAAGGAGGGAGGACTGCGATTGCACCTCCTCCCAGAGGCATGAGGTCTTGCAATTGTCTGTTAAAAAGTATTCTCTTTCAAAGCAGCACTTTCCCACAGACATCTACCATTGATTATTTTACAGCTCTGTTTTGTCAATGAAGCACTATGCAAAATAAATGGGCAAAGCAAAAAAGAGACGCCAAGGACTGGGATGTCCTTACCTTATTGTGTTGTTGTTTTTTAAGGGGGGTGGGGAGAGATATAACTTAGCAGAACTTGGATGTGTGTTATTTTCTTAATGTCCCGTATCTTAGAGCAGGACTAGATATGAAATTGATTGCATTTACATCCCACCCTTTTCTCCAAAAAGCTGAAGGTGACATATATGATTCTCTCCTTCATTTAATCCCCACAACAAGCCTGTGAGCTAGGTTAGACTGAGAGACACTGACTGGCCGAAAGTCACCCAGTGAGCTTCGTGGTCGAGTGGGGATTTGAACCCTGCTCTCCTTAGTTCCTAGTCTGACACTCTATCTACTACATCACACTTCTTGTCAAGTTATGGGCTTCTCCCCTGTAACATTTAGCCATGCCTGTGGGGTAGCTCAGTTGGCAGAGCTGGCAACTCTTAATCCTAGAGTCATGGGTTTGAGCCCTGTGTCAGGCAACAAGATTTTTATATTGCAGGGCTTTGGCTTAGATGACCCTTATGTTCCCTGCCAACTATACAATTCTATGATTTTATAGTGCTGTCATGTCTGATTATCAGCACATATTTGGATACAATTCAAAGTGCTGTTTTCTTTTTAAACCTTTAGAGTCTTAATCCATCTTTCCCTAACCTGGTGCCCTCCAGATGTTTAGGATTACTACCCACAGCAGCTTGTGGAAAGCTGGCAGCTTGGAGGCTGATGGGTTTAACAGCTGCACCCACACGAGCCTATGCCTGCCTTCAGAGGTCCTGCTCAGTGACCCACCTGGAAGATGGGAGGGGCTAGAAACAGCCCTCTCTGTAGTAGCCTTCAACTGATGGAACTTTCCCAAGGATGTGTGGTTGGCCCTCGGAGCTGGCGTATTTTAAAAGGCTTTTAAAAACCAGCACATTTAGAAAGGATTTCAGTTGGAGTGTTGTATTGGTCATGCTGTTGCTTTATTGTTTATGGTTTTTATCAGCACTGACTTTTATTTTAATGTAATTTCTGTATAGTCTTGTGGTTTTTTAATGCCTTGCCCCTCAGGCCTGAGATCCCTTCCCCTGCTTTAGATGGAGGCAGCATGCTACTGAATGCCAGTTGTAAGGTAAAAGGTAAAGGACCCCTGGATGGTTAAGTCCAGTCAAAGGTGACTATGGGGTGCAGTGCTCATCTCGCTTCAGGCTGAGGGAGCCAGTGTTCATCCACAGACAGCTTTCCGCGTCATGAGGTCAGCATGACTAAACCACTTCTGGTGCAACAGGACACCGTGACGGAAGCCAGAGCGCACGAGAACGCTGTTTACCTAACTGCTGCAGTGGTACCCATTTATCTACTTGCCTTGGTGTGCTTTCGAACTGCTACGTTGGCAGGAACTGGGACAGAGCAATGGGAGCTCACCCTGTTGCGGGGATTCAAACTGCTGACCTTCCAATCAGCCAGTTGTAGGGGAGCAGTATCAGCTATTGTCTTTATGACCTGCCTTGCTGGCTTTCTTTCAAAGGCATCATCATTGTGGTTGTTGTTATTTCTCTATACCACCTTTCATCTGAATATCACAGGGAAGTTTACAATATAAAAACACAAAAATACATACCATCATAATAATAAAGGAAAACAATACCCCTCAGTTTAGAAGGTTTAATTAGCCAAAGACCTGGGAGAAGATGAGTTTTTTTTGCCTGGCATCTAAAGATATATAACAAGGGTGAGCCTATCTGGTCAGAGCATGCCACGAGCAGGGAGCCATCGCAGAAAAGGCCCATTCTCATATTGCTGCCCTCCAGACCTCTCACAGAGGAGGCACACAAAGAAGGGACTCAGATGCTGGAGCCTCATTGGTCACCCTGAAGATGCTGGATGCAGGATGAGATGTATATATGAATTGTATGCATTAGATTTCTATACCACCTTTCCTCCAAGGAGCTCAAGGCGGTGACGCACATTGCTTGCCCCTCCTCATTTCCCCCCCCCCTCACAATAACCCTGTGAAGTAGGGTGGGCTAAGAAACAGTGACTGTCACCCAGTGTCACCCAGTGAGCCTCATGGCTGAATGGGAATTTGAACCCTGGTCTCCCAGGTCCTAGTCCAACACTCTAACCGTTACAGCACATTGGCTCTCAGATGATCCTTTGGCGCTCTCGTTCTTAAACAGTTGCACCCCTCTGAAAATGCAGATGCATGTCATCACCAAATCACAGCTTTCCACATCTTTCTAGTGGTGTAATTCGGACCAAGAAATGTGGCCAGAGGTGATGTTGAGGTTGGGGTAGAGATATGCATCTAAAGGCTGTTTGAATTGACTGCAATGTGGAACACAATTGAGAAGGGTCAGCTTTCCCCCTGACCTGTGGTGACAGCAGTGTCCTGGGGGTGGGGGTGGAGGGAAGGCAAGATTGGCTTCCTGTCAACTCTGCCTTTGATTTAAGCCTCAAGGGCACATCTCTAACTTTTGACCCACTGGATCCTCCTGAAAGCACTGTGGTTCGCTTCATGCAACTTGCTTTCCAAGCACTTTCTAATAAAAGATCAAGGGCTTCGTTTCTTTTTTGGAAATGCCATCTGTTTGGGTGTGCAAGTTTGACAACCCAGGGAAAATTAAATAAAAGAAATATCCACAAAAATAGCATATGAATCCCAAAGAAATTAGGATGGAATGAAAAAGTAATGGCTGAGATAGCTCATAAATAACAATTTGTTCTCAATAAAAGTACTTTTTTTCCAAAAAAAGCAACAGCAACAACACAGTTTTTTTCTCCCTGGTGTAAAAGCTTCCTCATTCCCAAACCTTTAAAACAAGCCTCTCTTTGCACAGGATAGGTTGCTCAAGTATAAAGAATGAAACTTCACCCATACCACAATCTTTTCCTCATTGCTCCCATCCTCAGGTGGGATTCTTAGATATTTTCTCTCCCTTGTCCCATGTTGTAAACAGATAAAATAGTCAAATTGCACACAACACAAAAACATGGATGGAGTCCATATATACGGTACTCCCCACCATCTGTCTATCTAGTATATCTATCTTTTTGTTGTTGTTGTTGTTTAGTCGTATCTGACTCTTTGTGACCCCATAGACCAGAGCACGCCAGGCACTCCTGTCTTCCACAGCCTCCCGCAGTTTGGTCAAATTCACGTTGGTAGCTTCGAGAACACTGTCCAACCATCTCGTCCTCTGTTGTCCCCTTCTCCTTGTGCCCTCAATCTTTCCCAACATCAGGGTCTTTTCCAGGGAGTCTTCTCTTCTCATGAGGTGGCCAAAGTATTGGAGCCTCAGCTTCACGATCTGTCCTTCCAGTGAGCACTCAGGGCTGATTTCCTTAAGAATGGATAGGTTTGATCTTCTTGCAGTCCATGGGACTCTCAAGAGTCTCCTCCAGCACCATAATTCAAAAGCATCAATTCTTCAGCGAACAGTCTTCTTTATGGTCCAGCTCTCACTTCCATACATCACTACTGGGAAAACCATAGCTTTAACTATATGGACCTTTGTCGGCAAGGTAATGTCTCTGCTTTTTAAGATGCTGTCTAGGTTTGTCATCGCTTTTCTCCCAAGAAGCAGGTATCTTTTAATTTCATGACTGCTGTCACCACCTGCAGTGATCATGGAGCCCAAGAAAGTAAAATCTCTCACTGCCTCCATTTCTTCCCCTTCTATTTGCCAGGAGGTGATGGGCCCAGTGGCCATGATCTTCGTTTTTTTTTATGTTGAGGTTCAGACCATATTTTGCGCTCTCCTCTTTCACCCTCATTAAAAGGTTCTTTAATTCCTCCTCACTTTCTGCCATCAAGGTTGTGTCATCTGCATATCTGAGGTTGTTGATATTTCTTCTGGCAATCTTAATTCCATCTTGAGATTCATCCAGTCCAGCCTTTCGTATGATGAATTCTGCATATAAGTTAAATAAGCAGGGAGACGACATACAGGCTTGTCATACTCCTTTCCTTTATCTGTCTTACCTACAGTATCTAATTAATTACATCCAGTGGAGAGGATGAGACCAATAGTGGGTTTAATGGTCAAGTAGGCGGTTTCTACCCATGATGTGGAGAGAAGCCCAAGACCTCCATACATACTGCCAAGGCTTGCGCTCTGGGAAGGTCATTTAGGTGCTGCCATGGCCGCGGGTGGCGCTGTGGGTTAAACCACAGAGCCTAGGACTTGCCAATCAGAAGGTGGGCAGTTTGAATCCCCGCGACGGGGTGAGCTCCCGTTGCTCGGTTCCTGCTCCTGCCAACCTAGCAGTTTGAAAGCCCATCAAAGTGCAAGTAGATAAATAGGTACTGCTCCGGCGGGAAGGTAAATGGCATTTCCGTGCACTGCTCTGGTTCGCCAGAAGCGGCTTAGTTATGCTGGCCACATGACCCAGAAGCTGTACGCTGGCTCCCGCGGTCCATAAAGCGAGATGAGTGCCACAACCCCAGAGTCAGCCATGACTGGACCTAATGGTCAGGGGTCCCTTTACCTTTATGGCCATGGTATGACTTCACCCCTGGAGGCTTCCTCCATTGCCTCTCGAGACAGATGGATGCCAAGAGCAACCAGTTCCAATGCTTTGTCAACTACTGCTTAGAAGGTGGTACCTGCGGACATTTCCATTGTGGAACCCATTGAAACTTGGGAGCTGTTAACAAAGGGCCTGTTAATTTCACATTGTACTCTTACAATGTTTTCTTTCTCCAAGCAACGCAATAGAATGGTAAGTGGGTTCCGTGGGATCATATAACTTGTAATTATGTAGCTGAGGATCCCTGTTTTGGATATGACCATTTTATAATCATCATCATCAACATCCGAGGAACACAGGGTGGTTTACAATGTAAAAACACAAAAATACATAACACAATAACAAACAAAAATAATTACACCTTCACCCCTACCCCCCGTCCCAGTTTAAAAGATTTAATTAGCTAAAGGTCTGGGAGAAGAGGACTGTTTTTGCCTGGCACTTAATGATATGTAATGAAAAACCTCCAATAAAAACTATTTTTAATAATCTGATATGTAATGACGATGCTAGGTAAGCCTCCCCGGGGGAGAGCATTCCAGAAGCAGGGAGCCATCACAGAAAAGGCCCATTCTTGTGTTGCCACCCTCCAGACCTCACACAGATGAAGCACACGAAGAAGGGCCTCAGATGATAATTGCCGGGGCCAATTTGGTTCACATAGAGAGAGGCATCCTTGAAGTATTGTGGTCCTGAGCTTATTTAAGGCTTTATAGGTGAATTCGGCCTGGGAGCTCACTGGCAGCCTGTGCAGTCAAGCCAACAATTGGTGTTATATGCTCAAACCTGACCAATATGTATGTTTCTATGTTCCTCTGCTACCACACCTCTTCTGACATTTATTCTCATATCCTGGGAAGTGTCTTTTGTTAAGGATGCCAGGAACTGAAACTCTGTGAGTGGGTAAACTACAATTCCCAGGAATCATTGGGGGAAGCAATGACTGTTAAAGTGGTAGAAATGTGTTTTAACTCTGTGGTGTGGATGTGACCTTGCTGTGCTCTGTGTCCACACTCTCAGCTACTGTGCTACATCTGCTAAACTTAGGATACCAATATTTTTAGTTATTTATTTTTATTTTTAATAAGATTTGTATACTGCCCTTCATCATAAGGTCTCAGGCAGTGCATTTCCAGTGCATAATGCTGCTTTGGGATTCCAGCCATGCCCCATGGACTTGAGCTGATATTTAAGCTGACTTTTGAGGCCTCCTCCCTCCTCTCCTTACCAAAACACAAACAAAACCTTTGGCTCCCTGTTAGCCTGTCCCGCTCAGCCTTGCCAAATGATAAAAGGTCCCCTAATAAATAGCTTCTCCATCTTCTAATTCCGGGGAACGGATCAGGGTGGGGGTCAGCTGTTCCCAGCATGTGGTGGGCATAGGAAGGAACAAGGGTCTCTGTGTACATACAATAAAGGGAGTCTACACAATGCTCTCTCCCTCCTCCCCTCCCTGCCCCATTAGATTTAAGTCATGGCCTTAGGAAAACACTGGCTTTTCTAGTGGAGCTATTCAGTCCAAAACAATGCCTCCCAACAAGCAGCCAGAGAAGGCAAGGCAGGCACATTCCACATATGAAGCAATTAGTTAAGAGGCTCCATCATCCCTCAACCTCATTTGGGCACAAAATCAAAGAAACTGCCTTGATATCATAGAATCATAGAACAGTAGTTTGGTGATGACTTCAAAGGTCACCTAGCATAACCTTCTGTGGTGGGGCAAGATCCATCACAACAAAGAGTGTGAGTGAGCAGAAGAATCAGGGGCTCAAAGGTTGCTTGTGTGCCTTGGCCGACTTCAAATGAAGCCAGCGTCTGATGTCAGTCCTGACTATGCCAGCCTTGTCCACACAACAGTATACATACCTGTTGTTGTCTTTTGTAGGCAACTGGCAGCTGAAGTATTTGGTTCAGCCCCAACATAGGCCATAACACTAAGTAATGATTCGATATGCATCTCAACTGCCTTGGGACGCGGGTGGCACTGTGGTCTAAAACACCAAGCCTCTTGGGCTTGCCGATCAGAAGGTTGGCGGTTTGAATCCCCACAACAGGGTGAGCTCCTGCTGCTCTGTCCCATCTCCTGCCAACCTAGCAGTTCGAAAGCACGCCAGTGCAAGTAGATAAATAGGTACTTCTGCGGTGGGAAGGTAAACGGCATTTCTGTGCGCTCTGGTTTCTGTCACAGTGTCCTGTTGCTCCAGTAGCGGTTTAGTCATGCTGGCCACATGACCCAGAAAGCTGTCTGTGGACAAACGCTGGCTCCCTCGGCCTGAAAGTGAGATGAGTGCCACACCCCATAGTCGCCTTTGACTGGACTTACTTATCCAGGGGTCCTTTACCTTTACCTTTTTACCTTGTCCCCCACTAACTAACATGCAGGCCCTGCATAGATGTTGTTGGGGTACCACTTTCATCTTCCCTGATCATTGGCCATGCTGGCTGGAACTGATGTCAAACAACCTCTGAAGAGGGGAGCCATGTCGGCTAACCATTTGTTCTTCATTCTTATAAAGCAGCTGAGGTTTTGTCAGAGACCTTCTCTTCTTATGCGCATCAGTTGCCTGCTCACATTTGCTGGTGTCTCAGCTAATGCAGGAGTGAGTCAGGGTGCAGATCCAGGATTGCGCAGATAAAACCCCTGCTGAAGAAATAGCTGCTGACCAGATTTCCATACATTTTCAGTTGTTCCCTCTCTCTCCTCAGAAACAGACTTGCAACGCTTTAAAATATGAACAGATTTCTTATGACATTGTTCACGGGCTCAAATCCACTGCATCAGACACAAGACTCAAGTCCACAAAAGCTGATGCCATAATACATTTGTTAGCCTTTAAGACTTTGAGTCTTTAGTCTGTTTCAGCAAAAACAGTAGATGTGGGTGTTAGACTAGGCCCTGGGAGACCAGGCTTCAAATCCCCACTCAGCCATGAAGCTCGCTGGGTGACCTTGGGCTGGTCACTGCCTCTCAGCCTAACTTCCCTCACCAAGTGGTTGTGAAGATAAAATGGAGGAGAGGAGAATCATGTAGTTGCCTTCAGCTCCTTGGGGGAAAGTTGGTATATACATGTAATAAATGACTGAATGAAATAAAATAAATTGTGGCACCTCTTTGCTAGTTTTGCATAGCAATGGCACAAGTGGCCTTTTTGAACCTTCCTCCCCTGGAAGGGCCTGGAAGTTGGGATACAAATAATTTCAGCAAGGAAAAACAAAACAAAACGGTGGGATGTGTGGTGTCATGTGTAAAGTAAAAATGTAAATGAAACATTTGCCAAAGACAGTCAACGGCATGTGGACAGCAATGATCACATTACAGTAGTACTATAGCCACTGGTTTAGAATGATGAGGAACTGAGAAAAACTCAAAGAATAGAGATTGCTATGGGCGTTACACAGTTTTCACTGAAATATTTCGGGGGGTGGGGGGGGTTGATGTCTTTGCAAGATTGGAACTGGCATTCCTTGGAGGATTGTCTCCCTTTTGACTGGAGCTGGTCAGCACAAGATCATTGTGGTGGCCATTTACTTAGATGGCTTTAATAGGGGATTACAGAAATCCATGAATAGCAGACCTATCAGTGACCATTAGCCAACATAGTTAAATGCAGCCTCCTTTGTCCAGAGGCTGTGAATAAAAATAGCTGGTGTGGGTGAGACTAGTCTAACAATGGTAAAATACAAAATAATAATAATAGTAATAAATTGTCCAGTGGCGCCTTAGAGACCAACTAAGTTTGTTCTTGGTATAAGCTTCCGTGTGCATGCACACTTCTTCAAATTCACTAGTAAAATACAGTTGTTTGCCTTGACCTCAATGTGAACTTCATTAACTGTGACATTGACCTTCCAGTGCCAAAATTTTGAACTGTTTTGCACCATGATCTCTGCGTTTTGCTCCGTCCTACAAACTGAAGAACAGATACTCAAACCAAGAGTCACAGGTATTGCCCAAAACAAAACCCCACCCAAGAGTAGTCATACAAATTGCGGAGAGGCCTGTAGCTTTCACAATGCTTAGTCATGAACCCTCGCTCCACCCAATTTCCTGGGAGCAACAGACTGCAAAGCTGAAAGGAAGACTGAAACAGGTATGTCAAGCACCGATATAATATTAAACATAGATAAAATCTTCAGAATATTTTTCAGGGGCAATAAGCACTTTGAAACAGTTGTGGGGGTGGGGGTACCTCTCATTCACCATGAATAAACAACAACAAATAGTCTGTGGGACTTTAATAACTGTTTTTAGTATGTCATAAACTTATGTCAGCCAGAGCCTACTTCATATATGTTGTGAGTCTGTGTAAATATATGTGTGTGTAAATATGTGTGTCTATTCTGTGTGTGTATGTGTGTTTCAAATAATAACAGCAGATTTTACAGCAAACAATTATAAGCAAGCACATTGCTGATATTCTTTTTAGTCTGACTGGAGTCCCGTACCATCCTGAGATTTTTTTTGAAGTTATGCTTTTGTATTCCTGATGTTTATGACTTTAAGATCTGTAACTAAATGGACAGGAAGTTGAGTTGGCTATGGCTGCATTCCCACGTGGCGTTCCTTCAGTTAGTTTTACTGATTGTAAAGCTTGCACTTCTGTTGTGTTTTCTAATTATCTTTTCTCACATCAGAATCTTTAATAATGTTATGCTATTTTAAATTTCAATCACACCAGTAGTCTGTACTGCAATGTGAAAGGAAAATTAGAAATTGGAATCCTGCCTCATTTAGCTTGGCAGGGCCTACATTTTGGAACTCCTTGCCTGTTGGGATCAAGTAGGTGCCTTCATAGAATCATAGAATTGTGAAGTTGTAAGGAATCCTGAGGGTCATCTAGTCCAACCCCTTGCAATTCAGGAATCTCAACTAGGTCATACATGACAGATGGCCATTCATCCTCCGTACACTTTTTGGTGCCTGCTTAAAAATTCTTGTTTAGGCAAGTCTACCCAGATGCTCAGAAAGTTGAGGGAATTTTAAAATGCTTTAGTATTATTTTTTTTTGTTGTATGTTTGGAAGTAGAGGTGTGATTCCCGCCCCCCTTGATTTTACTGTTTTATCTTTTGTAAACTGCTTTGAGGTGGGTTTTTGTTTTTTTTTACAGTCAAACAGTGTATAAATTTTATGAAATAAATTAAAGCTATGCTTCTCATATATTTCACATAGTACATGAAACAATGCCGAGACCATGCACATTTCCTGTTTCTGAGGTTAGGCCTTTACTCATTGAAGAACGGGAGGAAATAGTGCAAGATAATGGAAAGATTTCTGGGAAAAAACACATGGTTTGGAGAAGACTTAGTGACAAACTTGCAAAGAAGAAAATCAACATTTCTCCCTGCAACCTTTATTTGACTGTGATCGGTAATCGCTATGAGTTCCACAGCGCATTGGGAATTTGTACAGAACCTGCAGATTCTGACAGGGTAAATCATGAGCGTTCACCAACTTTATCCTCTGCTGAGTCCAAAGACTACAAAACAGAGGGAAACCTTGAAGAAAGTAAAGAGGATGAATACTTTTGGAGCAAACAAACAAATGTGGATGAAACTCTAGAGAGAAAGGAATTCACAATCATATTTTCTAAAGAGGATTGGGCTGAGATTTGCATCTTAAATGTGCTGAAACCTCATGTATGGACGCACAAGCTAAACTTTCATGTGCAGCCTCATTTGAAATGGCCCTGTATAATAAGATACAGGGAAGGAAAGGTCACTAGGTCAGACCGGGCGCAGCAGTATTTGAAAGTGGAAGGAGAATGCACATTTTGCAAGTCACAGTTCATAGGACGCATTACAGAAGCACTGCCAGCAGAAGCACCAGTAAGAATGCAATGCTCTTACAAGGGCCGCTTCAGTGATCCTCACCCACCAGATCTGAAAAGAAAGCTGTCTGCAGATGCCACTATGACATTTGGTGATCTTGGAGCTAGTTATCTGCCTTTGACAAATCTCTCGAGTGTGGCAAAGTGCAATGCTCTGAAGGGAACTCACTTGCATGAAGATCCCATCCTTGCTGTTGCACTTGCAATGAACATACCGCCATATGAGGGTATTATCCGCCAGGTGTCCTATGATTACCTGTTTGTAAGATATCACAGCTCAGCACAGCTCCAGGTTTACCATCAGTACATGAACACTGCCAGGCATCCAAGTCTGAGCATTGGTGCAACAGGAGGATTGGTCCAAATGGTTGATAGGGGTGGAAAGCGTGCAAAATCTGGTCACATACTTCTGTATAGTGCTGTTGTTCAAAACCTGGAGGCCAAAAAAATCTATCCGGTGTGCAGCATGGTGTCTGAACAACATGATGCAGAGACCGTCCAATATTGGTTGAAAATGTGGCTCCGAGATGGTGCAGAGAAGCCTAAGGAGGTTGTTGTGAGCACATCTCAAACTCTCATGTCAGCATGCATTCAGGCATTCACACCATTTCCATCGCTGTCAGACTACCTGGATGAGTGTGCAAAGATTTTGAATGACAACTGGGGATTGAAGAATTTGCCCTATAGCTACATCAGGAATGATGTAGGGGACATGATGAACCTGGTGGCAAGTTGGCCTAGTCTGCGGGGACAGCATCCCCAAATTCGTGAATTCTACTTAAAGTCTCTGGGTCTGGTGGCGCAAGCACAGGATATAAAAGATGTGAAGTCTCTGCTGAGACACATCATCACTGTTGCCGTGAGTCAAACTGAGGGAGAGGGCAAGGATACAGGCCGGCCAACAAATTGTGAGCTAAGCAAACACATCCTTCTACAAAGGATTGAAAGTTTTTGTCCTCCAGGAGATGCAAGGGAAGAAGAATGGAGTGAAGTATGTCCTCCTGCTGGTCCCATAGAAAAGTGCAATGGTAATGCTTTCACACTCATGGTGGAGGAAATAAGGCATACTGTCACCACCAGTGTTGTTCCTGGAACTAGGCCTAACTGGCAAATGCTTCCAGACCTAGTAAGAGACATACTTAAAATTTCCCATTTGATTCCACTGTGGACAGCTGTGATGGTTCCATTCTATGGATATGATGGTGTTACAGCCAGCAGCGCTTCCAGTAAGGCTTATTTCAAGGACTTGAAACACGCACACTTTAAACATGTAACCCTACCCATGCGCCTGGATGACTTCATATTTGAGCACATCCAGTCATTGGAAGGCACCATGAAGCTTGCTGTTGCAGCTCAAATGACAACTGCGGTCAATGAGGATTGCATGGGGGAAACAGCTCAAGAAAAGGTGACTGCTCAGTGTGCCAATGAGACGGTGCTCAAGAGAAGAGCAAAATCGTCAGCAATACCCAGGTAAGAAATGCAGACAAAATGTACAAAATGCATTTTCTGGGAAGGGCGACAAGTAGAGCATGATCCATGGATGCCACAGACTCATCACTGGGCCAGATGGGGCTTTTCTGAAAAAGGATGCTGAACTAGTGATAGCCAATGCGGTCCCTTTGGAGTACATCTCCAAAGGGCAATGGCCATGCTGACTCAGGGATGGGAGTTAAAGTGGAGGGCCCCCTTGGCCTGGTTCAGCAGTGCTGTTCTTAGGCAGCGTACTGGCTTCATCAACAGGAAAAGTTATCATAGGGGTTGGTTGGGAGGAGAAGCCATGAAGGATGGAAAGGAGCACAGGCAGCAAAATGAGATTGCAGCTGTCTTTTGAACATCGCTTCTGCTGTCTTTTGAACATTGCTTCCACACACAAAAAGACTCAAAATGTATCTCAGAAGGCCAAGTTGTTAAAAGTTGCGTGGTAATCCTAAAAAGACAAGGGTGTGGGAGGAAACTCCTATGAGGCCATCTTAATAGAAAGGAGATCTTAAGAGAAAGGAGATTGGACAGGCAAGCACTGCCACCTTCTGGCCATCCAAACTGATATGCTCCAGTTAGACCTGATACATTGGTGATGGGCTCAAGTCATTAACCCTTTCTTTACCTCTTTTATGCTGCTTGGTGTTTTTTACAATTTCTGTTGATTGCTTTTATATTCCTCTTATGTTTTGCTATTTTAATGTTCTTGTTTTTCATGTTTTTGTTTTTTTTTTAATTTTAAACTTGTTGAGAGCTGCCCTGGAAACCTACGTGTGTGTGTTTAAATGGGCATTTCTTTTATTTTCTTTGCAGCAACGTTCCTCCTGCTTTTAAGTGATCAGCAGCATCTCTCTGTCTCAGTTCTCATTTCCCAACTTGATATTGCCACTGAGGGACTTCACAAACTCCATCCGGAATCTTCAGGGTCTTCTTTGAGGCCAGAGTGGATGACCTGCAGCCAGTTCAGCAGTGGAGGCAAAGTGAGATTCTCCCGGGTTCATTGCGCTGCCTGGCTTGTGATGTGAAATGAACAGGGATTGGCTCTCCAGCAGCTGCTGTTGCTGGATAAAACAAGAGTGCCACATTTCAATCTCCTTCACACAGCCAGACAAGCCTTGGTTAAAAACAATAGTGACCCCCATAGGAATCTTTCATCAGTACTGGCCAGAAAGTCTTGGATTTTTGATCCCCTCCACAGTCCCACAGTTCAATCCAACATCCTGCTCCTTTGCCATTTCCCCCGAAATCTGGCTTCTTGTATTCTAGGATCCTTACTGCATGTGTTGGGAGATAACTACCAAAGCCTTTGGTGCTCTCTGACAAGGAGTTTTCCAGGAGAAGCTTTCCAACCTCACTGGGGCCAACAAAGAGGATCTTCACCTTTGGCATCTTCCCTTGGCCTAGGCCACATAGCCTTGACCTCACATATAAAGCCAACCTGAGCAAACAGCTGAAAGGGCAGCTCCAATCCCCTGAGAACACTTTGAAGAATGGAATATATTCTGAAGTAATATTTTAATTTAAAAACTGTAGATATTCCCCCACTCTGTAAACAACAATTTATAACAATTTATCCTCATCTCTTTTTTTGGGGGGGGGGGTGTTATTGGGTTGTTTGGGGGGGTTATTGGGTTGTTGTTGTTTTTTATTTTGAGTATGTGCTTTGTGGTTTTATATTCTGATTTTATCTTGTGAACCGTCCTGAGACCTGCGAGTATAGTGTGGTATGATGATGATAATAATAATAATAATAATAATAATAATAATAATAGGAGCATCCACCTGTCCTTTGTCAACCAAGCTGGGAGAGAGAAGCTTTTCTGCAGTAATTCTGTTCTTTTTACAAGTGCTATAAACATTGAACAAGTTCATCTACTCAGGAGCAATTTAGAGAGAGGCCATGTTCCAGAGCTTTCCTCAGTTCCACTTTCCACCCACACATAGTTTCCTCACTCCATCACTAATGTCTGAGCAAGGTTTCAGGACAGTTCTCCATTTCCAAACCTATCCATGCTGCACTGTTCCAAAGTTTCAAGATAACACTGGAAAATGTTCTGGTCTAGAGGCCATCCAGCAGGTGGACTCATATTCTGACCTGGTTAAAGGCAGTTTCATTTGAATAGAATTAAGTTTCCATCCTCTCCGAACCCAAAAACTTTGCTTGTAAGGTAAGTGTGCCTCTTTAACTCCTCTCATTCGTATGCAGGAGAGAGTGAAAAGGCACTGGAAGCATATTAAAACCCTCAAGTGGTCTTTAGGGGCAGAGACTGATCCCAGCCATGAGACCCCAAATGTCGGTATTCTGAGTTATGTAGTCTGGGCATGTTTTGTCTCTTCCACAAATGCAGCATTTTGCTTTACACAGGAATGAGTGGCAGTTTATTTGGGAGAAAGTAAAGGCACGCCTTCAGGGTCACCCCTGGGGTAGCCCCTGTTTATGAGAAACACATTATGCCTCCTTTCAACACTGCCCTAGACTGCAACATGGTAGTTTGTCCCATAAAAGTCAGCTAGCGGGACTTGCAAAAACAAGGAAACGATGAAGTGTGGAGAACTCCTGTCCAGGGTTCCAGCTAGCTAACCAGCCAGCAATGCTCTCTTTCAGGAAACTCCATTCCTCTCTGTGCTTTTCTGTTCCCTCCTAGCCCCAGCAGTCAGCCAGCATTTGCTGTCTACTGAGCATGCTCAGTAGGTTGTGTTGGAGTTGCCACCCTTTTAGGGTTTTCCTCCCAAAATATTCTTTGTACTTCTGCAAACTTTGGGGTTCTTCCAAGTCTCCTTGTGCTTGGATAGTGCCATTTTGGCTGCATAAGGATACACAGTCAGTTGAAATATATATAGGCGCAACCCAGAAGTGAGCCACGCACTGTCTTTTTTACATGCCCCCAATCTTTTGACTGCAGATCTACACTCTGGATTTGTTTTGTTAATCATGCTAACAGGGATGATAGCATGTTGAGAAAACTGTATGGAAGAGAATGCTGAGATTTGGCTGTAATAACTATATAGCTATGCTATGTTCTAACTGATCATATTTAAAACTAGTTATGCTACAGATGTCTATTCTGTAGATCTATCTAGTTATGGCATTCTATGCTACAGACAATGCTTTTGAACTGCATTTCTTTAAAAACTGCTTTTCATCCATTGCAATCTGTGGGGAAATAATCTGTTTTCTGGCAGGCTAATCTACCATAAAAGGAATGGATCATTTTTGTGGGGTTTTTTGGTGGGGAAGTGACTCTAGTTAGTAGATGATACAGCTTGCCAAAGGTGGAAAAGATATCTCCTGTTTTGGGGGCTGGCCTAAAAATGGTTGGTTTTCCTATTACTCTGGGTTTTCTTTGAGTCAGTTTGGCTGTGCGTTGGGACTGGCTTTCTGTTCAGATTTTTTAAATATTTGGGTTGGTGGTTTCTGTGCTCTGCTTAGGTACTTTGTAAAATTCACCTAATAAATTGATTAAATCCACATAAAATGCTATTTTAATTCTTCCTTTCATGTGTTTTTCTTCCTTTGTATTATTAAAAACCCCACCTTGCCATTCCTATAATTGTTGTGTGCTGCTAGTATTGCTATGTGTCATGCTTTCCTCTTAAGTGTTAGTTAATATGTCCTGTTCATTGTTGGAGATCAGTTGATTCTAGTGGACAATTTGTCTGCCTTTTGTCTAAAGCTACTTTTGAAATGTATCTTGGCTCAGACTTACTAACAGGAGGGTAGGGGGCTGACACCAAATGGAATATTATGCTTGAAAGCCTGGAATTTTGCAACCATAATTTTATTATTTTGATGGATTATGTAATTATGAAAGTCATGGGGATTTTTCTAATTTATATCATTAATCCTAGTTGCAGAGGCATTTTTTGGTATGTGTAAAGTTTTATTTCTGTTCATTTATTAGAAAACCTGCTAACAGTTGGAGGATGCCATAGAAGCTCTCTGACTTGGTCTTAATTGCCCAATTATGTGATATGTGGACAGAGCTGTATAGATTCTTTCTTCACTTTGCCATGTGGGTGAGAAGGGATATAATTTTTTTCTCTTTTAAGAGTCATTACAATAGGAGTCAAAAGAAATATCCATTTAGGGAAGAGTAAATGGTGCATTGAAGGCCTAATAAGAGTGTGTGTGCGCACGTGCACAATAAACAAAAAAATGTCACAAAATCTCAAGACACCATCTCTTCTCTGGTGCTTTGAATCAATTGATAATGATGATAAGAATGGTGATAAGAATTTGTTTATTGTACCCTGCCCATCTGTCTGAAGTCACCCAGAGTGACCGGTTGCCCCAGTCACTCTGGGGGACTTCAAACAGAATATGTATAAAGAAACACAACAGAGTATCAAACATTAATCAAGCCTTCTTATTTTATATGCCTGAGAGCTTTTGAAAGAACTCTGAATAAATCTTAAGACATTTTAAAAGTGTATTTCAAGGTGCTGAGAGAGACCCCTATTCCCCTCACAGAGCTACAATTCTCAAAGTTCCCTGGGAAGAGGCAATGCAGCCCTTTGAGGAAAAAAGGGCTCTCCTGCTAACAACTCTCAGCACCCTTAACAGACTACATTTCCCAGCATACTTTGAGGAAAGCAACCACTGTTTAAAGTGGTATGATACTGCTTTAAATGTATAGAGCAGATGGGGCACTCCTGTGTGATTTTAAGCAATTAAGTTTGTGGTTGTAGTAACAGGATATCGAGGCACTCTATAGATCAGAGATTTTCAACCCTTTTACAGCTGAGGAACCCCCGAAAGGTGAATTGATATTTTGCAGAAACCTAGTCCCTGCTTCTGCCCTTCAACAAAGTGAAAGAATGAAACTAAAATGGGGATTAAGAAATTCATTGTTTGACAACAGAAGAGGAGAAAATGAAGTGCCTTGGGTGGAAAGTAGCAAAACTTTGTGTCATCTCTGGGGAATGGTTGCCGAACCAGAATGTTCCATGGAACAAAGAGACAAGTTTCGATTGCTGGAAACAGTGCCCTCAAATGATTTGCAAATGTCAGGCCAGAAATGACTGGCAGGTCATACTTTTTTCCAGACCCTGTCCTCAAGAACCTGCTGTTTTAACATTTTGGACAGTCAGTGTTCTGGAAGAGAGACCTTTGGGGCGCCTCCTTTATTTGTTACTTGTGTCTGGATGTTTGAATATCTCTTCTGTTGTTTAGTCAGAGGGAATGGCCATTTTCCACCCTGTCCCAGCTAGTGTAAGGTCACTTCCAGGCAACCTGTTTATTCTGATTTGTTGGGCAAAGGTTTTCAGGGAAGTTAGAGGATGTCGACATTCATTCTGATTTGTATGTTGGGAGGTTATACAAAGTAGCATCACTCAAGTTGTTATCCCACACTTCCCAGTCACTTTCTTCATAGCAAAGTCTATGATTCCAATCTCCTCAGGCATGCTGGCTGGGGGCTGACGGGTGATGTAGTTCAGCAATATCCACAGGGCCTCAGGTAAGACACCCTTGTGTTACTGTGGGGGTGGATGGGTAGTAGATGCCTTTGCCTAAGAAGTGAGACAAGGCTAGATGCCTGTACTCCTTTGCTCAATACAAGATGCTGTGTGGTGTGGTACTGTAGGCCAATGTTTGTAACACAGCTGCACCATAGCTGTCAACTTTTACCTTTTCTTGCGAGGAATCCTATTTGGAATAAGGGAATTTCCCTTAAAAAAAGGGAAACGTTGACAGCTATGAGCTGCACATGAAGACACTTCATAGCATTGCCTTGTGAGTGCATATCCACATGGCATACTTATTGCATACATATCTACACTGCATACTCATTCCCCTTCTACAATATTCTTGGGAACTGTAGTTCTTTTTCTGAGTGGGGCCCAAATCTTGCTGAGAATTCTTAGCATCTTCACCAAACTACAATTCCCAGAATATTTTAGTGGTTTAACTGGTATAAAACCATTGAATGTTTATGGTGCAAATAGGCCTTACTGACTTCCACCCATTAGAACAGAGGCCTTTCTCTATAAAGTGGAAGATGATTATAAAAATTATACAAATAATAGCTGTGAATTCTACTTCTACTTCTGCTAACAGCAGCAGCAGCAACAACAATGACAACTACAAACCAGAACGTCCTCCAGTCAAATTGTAAAATCATCCATACAGGCAGCCAGGAACACTCTGATTAACTTGCTAAGATAAACACAGGGAGCCTTCAGACAGCTGCTATTTCGGGGTAGGATTGAATCATATAATAGAAAATTAGGGCTGTACAATCGAAGCTGATTTGGCACTCTTCTACAGCAGACCATTAGACTTTATGTGATGAGGAACATGATGAGGAACACTGGAAAGTGTTGAATAATGATTGTGTGACGCAACATCATATAATAACCTTGTAAACAATTAGAATGAATGCCCAATAAGTAGCCAACATCGTCTAAGCTCCCTGCAAACTTTGTGCAAATAAATCAAGATGAATGCTCAATAAACAGGTCCACTGGAAGCAACCTGTGGTGATAAATACTATATGAAGTGAAGGAAACCCATTCATTGAGTGCTATTTGTTTTATGATTACAACCTCATATTAAAACATTAAAAATTTCCCTAAACAGGGCTGCTTTCAGATGTCTTATAAAAGTCAGTTGTTTATTTCCTTGACATCTGATGGGAGGGCATTCCACTGGGGGGAGGGGTTGAGAGAAGGTAGCTGTTTAGCTATTTAGCAAACTTAAAGATCTGTTAGGGGCAGTGTACTCCTGAGGACAAGATTTAGTGAGCTTTCACAGGCATCTGGCTGATCAGTGCTGGAGGCACAACACAGAACTAGCTGGACCGTCATGGCAAGGCAGTTCTTATATACTTACGGATGGAGCCTCAACAGTAAGGTTTGGAAATGGAAAGGCTTGGTCACTTTAAGAATTACAAGAGGAGGCTCAGCTCTTTTAATAGTGAAATTGCTAGCCAACAAACTCTGCAGCGTGGTCTAGCATACAAGGAGTTGTAACCCACAGGGAGGGTGACCTTCCCTAGAACTTTAAACCTTTGTTGGTTGGTTATTGTTGCTTTTACACGCTTTCTTTTTCTTTTCAATGTTGTTGTTCACCAATTGTGCTGCGCTACTAGCTAACTGCAAATTAATAATTAGATCCCGGCTGGTACGTGCGTGGCTGCACACAGGGTGGGGGTTCCTGTGTACTACATTGCAAAATCAGTGAACCAGCTTGGAGACTGGTTTGCTGCCCAGGAGGATAATTTAGCAAATATCTCCGCTCTCTGCTCTTAGCTTAAATTCTAATGAATCAAAGAGTTGTACAGTCGGTAAGAAGACGCCAAGGGTAGTGTTTAACTGAGATTTAGGCTTAGTAGAACCACAGAAATTAATGGAGCTAACTTAGACATGTTCATTAACATCAATGTGTCTATTCTGAGTAAAACTTTGTTGAATACCACCCCAGGATTTCCTGTTAGGCTCCCCACCCCCGTAAAGCTGTTTGAATGGATTAAGGTATAAGGGAAAATGCCATTAAATGCCATCATGGCAAAACTGGGATACTGGAGGAAAGGACCTGTGATTTTGCTCCTATGAAGGAGCCAAGATTATGACATTCTACTTGCCAAGTTCCAAAGCTGCATGTCCGTTTCTGCTGTGTAGCCACTCCTTTAAGGTAAAGGTAAAGGGACCCCTGACCATTAGGTCCAGTTGTGGCCGACTTTGGGGTTGCGGTGCTCATCTCGCTTTATTGGCCGAGAGAGCCGGCGTACAGCTTCCAGGTCATGTGGCCAGCATGACTAAGCCGCTTCTGGCGAACCAGAGCAGTGCACGGAAATGCCGTTTACCTTCCCACCGGAGCTGTACCTATTTATCTACTTGCACTTTGACATGCTTTCAAACTGTTACGTTGGCAGGAGCAGGGACCGAGCAATGGGAACTCACCCCGTCACGGGGATTCGAACCGTTGACCTTCTGATCGGCAAGTCCTAGGCTCTATGGTTTAACTCACAGTGCCACCTGCGTCCCTAATGCCTATCTTTCTAGGGATGTGTCTAGAGAGAGTCAATGCCGGAGCTGTTCTATCAATGCTGGAGCTGTTCTGGATTCAGTTCTTAGGCTATATACACATTAGTGGCTTAAACTACACCAATGTTGCTTTACACCTCCCCTGCTGCGTTTCAAGTCACATTTTTATGTTGCCCCATGTACCAGAGAGGGGGCGGGGATGCCTTCACCCAATGAACATTACCCAATTTGTTTCTCTGTGCCTGCAAGCCCTCTGAGCTCCTATTCAATGAAGCTGCCATCTGTACATGCACACGAGCAATGGATGTTTCAGGTGTACAACCCTCAGCTTAACTGCTGCTTACATTTTCAAATTGGGTTGCCATTTGTTATCATCAGCCATATGGCCCATATATTATACCTGTTTCTTTGGAGGCAATTTAAGTCTTTAAAGTCTATTTGCAGTGTGAGGGATTATTTCACCCATGGGAAGACAGCTGGGCTGGGGAATGTTAACTCTCCCCTGACCAGGAGTGACTCTCCTGCAGAAAATGTCCTCCTTGTACATCTTAGGGTAGAAAGATGGAAATTCTCTTTGCAGCTGAGGAGGGGCAATTATTTGTGGGGTTGGGGGTTGGGTGGATGCAGCTAGGAAGCATTTATTCTTCACTCCCCATCTGCAACTCCCCCCTATTTCCCCCCTCTTCCTTGCTGCAATTAGACTTGAAAGAAACTTCCTTTTGGCTCCCATAGATATGTCGGTTGTTTTTGGTGGTATCCCATGGCAAATGTAACGCCTTTAAAAGAAGTCTATCACAGGAACACTGCAGAAAAGTTATAATTGATTGCAAACACTTGGACATTTCACATTTGCATTCCTGTTCATGTGCCTGCTGGAATAGGTACATGGATATATTATAACTCCTACAGACTTAAATGAAGTAGTGAAAGAGAATAAAGCTAAATGCCTCAGGACTGGGGTGGATGGTCTCTCTCCAGTCCTGCCCAGGGTTATGGAAAGACTTGCTCAGCCCAGACCATAGCAAACCTTGGAGACACAGATTTCAGAGTTATGTGAAATATTTTCCCCACTTCAAGACTTGGCACACACAATTTTATAAGGAAAAATGGAATTTATTAACTGAAAATGTTTATCAAGGGCATTCCCTTCCATCTTTTTGAGGGCGGAGGACCTCACTTACCAAGGAACATTTCATCTTCCATTGCTTCTTGGATGTTAAAACATTGCTAGTGTTTGAAATACAACAGATGGGGAAGCTGGCGCTTTTAATGGAACCCATTTACCCACAAGTGGAGGGCTTGCTTTTCAAAGGTCACTCTGTTCCCATTTCCTGCGCTGGGCTGTTCTGCAGTGAAAAGGGCCTAACTGAGCAGGGCCAAGGCATGAGGCTGGTTGCTTCCCCCGAGTGGATACAACATCCCATGTGCTGACCCACCCAACCTCCTTCCCAAGAATAATCCAAATGTCCTGCCTGAGGATGGCTTTGACTTGGTATATAGTGGAAGAAGTAAGAAGGGGAACTGGGGAAGGGTCAGATTTGCAGGTTTGTCACTTGATGGGCGCAGCATCAAGTGGCAACTTGCACTTGTGCATGAATACACTTTAAATCATTCACAACACCCACAAGCCTTATTGAAAATATCTGAAGAGGTGCCTCTTGCCTTTGGTGCACATGCAATATACCTAAGGGTCTGTGAACATGCCAGACAAAATGTAGCACATAACACAGCATTGCAGTAGCTATGGCTGAAACTGTATGTGGCATAGGCCGTGCAGTTGGGTGTGTATTTCCATGGACTTTTGCTTTTCTTAAAAAAAAACAAACGCTATAGGACGCTGCAAACTTTAGTGGTTGGGCCACATTTCCCTTTGGTACGGTGTCCCCATGTTCTTGAGTAAGCACGAGCCGACTGTCTCCAGAGATGTCCAACCCAAGCAGAGCACTGCAGATTTCTCACTCTGCCATTTTGTAATCTCAGTAACATTTAATGTTTCCAGCTCAAAACAAAATGCATTAATGCAGGAAGCTGCATTATTCTCAGCACTATTTTTAAAAAAATATATTTTTATTAAAGATTTCTTAGTTTACAAAAGTCTGTGCAATGTTTCTTTTCCCCCAGTTGTGTTTTCTACAGATCAGTTTCATTTGTTGAGACGTTAGTGTTACATTAGGAAGAAGAGGAGGAAAGAGGGGGAGGGGGGATGGTGATTGGGGTTGGGTGGCAATGCTTCTACAGTATTCTACTTAGTGTATGTGTGGGGTCTTGTGTCAGCGTCACTTGTGTCAGTTCTCTTTATTATTCACTTTATTTCTTTGGGGGGTGAGAGAGCTTGGGGGTGGCCTAGGGTTGTCTTTGGTTGGCTGTAGTGAGAATTGTTTTTTCTTTGAGTGGGGTATGAGTGTGTATTTTTGAATCATGTTAGTCAGATTGATGCGTATGCTGTTGGTGGATTCTGGTTGTTGTCTTGTTGGGCTGTGTATGTGATAAAGGGGAACCATACTGGGTGAAGGCATCTTCTTCTATTTGTCCCTGTGTCAGTTTCAGCTTATTGGTTAGTTTTTCTAATAAGGCTGTTTCCCATACTATTTGATACCACTGGTCCATGCTTACTCCTGACAGGTCTCTCCAGTGTCTGGCTATGATGCTTCTGGCTGCTGAGAGTAATGAAAAATAAATAAATAAATAAATAAATAAATAAAGGATAATTTATTATTTATACCCCTCCCATCTGGTTGGGTTATGAGCTCTTTGTGAAGTGAGTGGGCATTATTGTCTTGGAAGATGTTTAGTAGGGCCACTTCAGGGGTGATGTCTAATACTTGCTTAGTTATTTTGTGTAGTTCTTGTATGATTGATGTCCAGAAGGGTTGGATTTTAGGATATACTCAGTACTATTGACAACTGAGTGGTGGTGGCTCTGCAGGGGGTCAGGCAAGAGTCTTTGCTAGACCAACCTGGAGATGTCAGGATTGAACCTGGGACCTTCTGCCTGCTACTGAGCTACCATCCTTCTTTCATCAATCACTTTGACTGCAACACCATACAGCCATAGGCATCATGCAGAAATCAGGGGTAGTCATTGGAGACTTCTTCTCCCCATTCCCATGAATGTCTGGATCAAGACTCTTGAGCATGCTTCCACCTTATTTATAGCTAGTTGCTGAAGGTCAAGAGAGAGGCAAATCAGCAGGTGGCAAGTTCTGTGGCATTTATATCATGGAACAATCAAGTTCCTGAAACATCCAGTGGAGGACTTTTTAATATCCATGTTGGGTTGTTTTTTTGGGGGGGTGGGGTGGGTAGATGGGTAGATGTCATGTATTTGTGTATGTCATGTATTTAGTGTTGATGTTTTTATTGATGCTTTTTATGATGTTCTTCTTGTGGATGGCTTTGGGATGTTGCACAGGAAACGATTCAGAAACAAACTGGAATGGAATGGAATGGAATGAATGGATATAGTCTGTTTTCTGGATTCCTAGGTAGTGGAGCAGCTACCAGGCAGAATCTAGGTAGGTCTCTCAGAATGGCAGTGAAACAGATTGTTTTATGGCTGTTGTAAGGAGAAGAAAATGTTCTTCTCTTGATACTATAACTTAATCAAAGGAATAGAGAGGGGTCATGGAGCAAATTCTTGAAACCAAATGCACGAGTTATAAATAAATATGCCTTGGCAAGCACAGAAGTGCCTTTGGAAAAGCCTAAAAAGGCTAGAATGAAATATTCCATTATTTTGAGTACTTTTTAAATAAAAAAAGTCCTTGTTATTAACCTGAAAAATTTGAGAACAAGCTCTGCCATGGTCCTGTCTCCACTGTCTGGCTTGACAACTCTGTCCTCCCACCCAAACACACAGACGCACACATGGTCCAGGACACACAAAACAATGTCTTCAGGAATGTAGAGAGAGATTTCAGCTGGAAAGGGTTGCCAGCATTTTTGTTCTTGCCTTAGTCAAAGGGCTGAGCTGGTGTTACGATCAGGACATCCCTTTGCTGTGCTTCTGCTGTGATCACTTGGCAGGGTTTATTGAGAGTCACCCAGTGCCAATTTGCTCAGATGCATCAATTACAGCACCCATCGCTCCGGAGCCTTTTTCTGTCCTTCCGTCCTAATTGTCAGATCCTGCGGGTAGCAATGCAAGCTGCTCTGGAGGGAGTGGAGTCCTGTGTATTGTTTGGGTTGTAGTGGTGTTCTCCTGTTGCCTGAGAGCATGTAGACAAAGGGGGGGGGGGAAGAGTTCTAGTTCACTTATCCAAGTTCACTTATCTTGAAACAATGACCATTTGATTTAATACTTCCTGGCTGCTTCCACACATGTTTCCTCAGAAGTAAATCCCACTGAATTCAGTGAGAGGTATTCCTGGCAACCAGGCATACTTTGGACAGTAGCAGCCTTTGTATGGAACACATTTCTTTGAGAGGGGGCATAGCTCCTGCTTTGCATGTGAAAGATCCCAGGTTCAACTCCCAGTATCTGCAGTTAAAGAATCTTTCATCCCCCACCCAAGGCCTTTGGCAGAGGTCTGATGCTGCCTTAGATGAAGTTGGCTCCTCTGGGTGAGTGCGAAGGACTGGGAAGAGACCCTGTGTCAGGGCCCTCTGATATCTCAAGCAGAGGTCTTGATGGGTTACTGAGCTAGATTCTCAATGGTCAGACTCCCAGGGTGTGGACTGAGGGCTGGAAACATTTCAGTCCTTTGGCACTTCAGTGTTACTGGACCAATGCATGGCTAATGGCCAAGGAGTCATAGTTCAGCAACATCGGGAGGGTCAAAGGTTCCCCATCCCTGGGCTAGACTCACTACATCACTTTCTTGATAAAAGAAAATCCAGGCACACCGGGGAGTTTCTCACAATACCTCCTGTGTGCTGTTTTTTGGATGAGATGTTGAAAGATAACATAACCCCCTTTATTGCCGTTTTTGGACACAAACATTTCAGGTGTTTTTTCCTTCAAAGTAGCTCTGGTCTGTGCTTCCCTCGTGTGGTGAGAATTAATATAGCAGCTGCTGCCATTTTTAATTTTGTTTTAACCAGGGATGCATCAACATGGTGTTTTTTTATTTTACCCACCATGTGCTCCTGACCCTTTTAAAGAATGGCACCAAGTTGCACAGTGTTGGAGATTCTACGGGCTTCTTTGCACCTCTTCAGTGCAACAAAATGCAGTGACTTATGCCAGCAGCAATGACATGGATAGATTTGTTAGGACCAGCCAAAGAACTCATAAAGTGAGCAAGTTTTAAAGTTCACTTTCTTTCAGGCAGAAAGGTGGGAGGGAGAACAAAGGGTAATATTCAACAAGGTTTTTTTGTGCTAGTGCAAGGCGATTGCCACCTCTCCTTCCCCTGTGCTGTCCCCAGATCTGCTCTGGAGGGTTGGACTAACCCTTAGAACAGTTGCAGGGGCAGGAGAGGGATGGATATGTTCTGTTGCAACAGGAAATAGCCTTACATAGAATACAACCCAAAGAGGTTTAACCCCTTGTATACTATATTGCTGTATTATAGTGTAAGTCACTTGGAGGCTGTTTCATTTTAGTAGTTGGCATCTAACGACTCCAGTCAATTAGCCAATATTGCAATGGGATGGAGATTGTGGCCCACGGTCTCAACAGCACAATCCTATATATGTCTGTCAGAAGTAAGCTCCATGGTCTTCTATGGGGTTTACTCTCAGATATAGTATTGCAGCCTCAATTGGACAGAGCTTTCTTTCCCCATGAACCTTCCATATGTTTTGGGCTACAGATCCCATACACCTTTATGTTAGCCAAGCTGGCTGGAGTCTATGGGAGCTGTAGGCCCCAACAACATCTGGAGGGAGCCAGGTTGTGGAACATCATGCCCAGTGCAAAATAGATCTTGGGTCACTGCAAGGCATGCTAGGTGAAGGAAAAATGGGTGCTCTTCCATTGAAACCAGGAGAACCACCAGATCCATCTCTAGGACTAATTTAAAAGCACATGTCCCTTGTGAGAGCAAAAATGAAGAAAAAGTGGTAGGTTGTTTGTTTTTAATAGGAACAGAATGAGAAATGCTCCCCTACTGATAAGTGTGTGGACAGCAAAATTGTACTTTCCATTGTGTTGGCAGGTGTGGCACTTCTCCTGCAGTTGCCATCCCTGCTTCCTGATTTTAGGATACATTTGCATTTTTTGTGCAAAACAGAAGTACTTAATTTCAGAAATAGCAAAAACCACTGCTCTTCATGGAGAGGGGAAGAGGGAAGGGATACCATTTGCCAGGCATAAAAACGCTGCTGATAAATGTGAGTTCCCTACATCAGAATTCAGAGTAGGGCTGAATGAACACGGTCTCTGACTGAAGTGGTCCGTGTTGCACACCACAAACTTGATTCTCAGTGTCTGGCTCATCATGAAGTAGATTTAGTTCTCACCTAGTCATATATGCAGCTGTGCCCTTCCCCATTCCCTTTGTAAATGAATGGGCACCATTGTCTCCTCTGCAGAAAAGTAAAGGGCTGCAGTGAGGACGAAACCTGCCTGGAACACCACATCTCCTTGCAATCTGCAAGGCTTCTGTTCACACGATGGGCATTCTGCTACTTTCAAGTAAAGTCGAAAGATTCTCAGCTGGCTCCCTTAGTAGAAGATGGGCAAATCACATTCATTCAGCACAAGTGCACTACACAGACATTCCCCAAGCCATGCACACAGGCTAACTGAATGCATAACTTTATTAAATAAATGCTTTGTCATAAGAAAAGACAAAGATCAAAGAGTAACATAAATTATAAGTTGAATAAATAGTATACAGCAATCTTCACTTTTTAATAAAATGTGAGATTCTTTTTTTTTTTAAAGTACAAAATGCTAAACAGAGCAATTACACTCCTCATCCATTGTCAGTTTTTTCACAAACTGCTCCCCCCGCCCCCCACCGGTAAGAGTATGAATATTTTTTGTTTACTGCAAAAGAAAAAAAAATATCCACAGAGCTACTGTATGTATGTAAAGCTATTAAAAGCTACCGTAAAATGTGTAGTGAATAATTCTGCGTAATGATTAAAAACCAGGTAGGATACTCGGAATCATGTGTGTATTGTTAACTGTGCTACTGAGGGCAATAACTGCATTGTAGAAGAGCTGTCCCAGTGGTGTTGTGGGAGGGGCTGAGAGTGGGTGGAGTTGGAAGTTGGGAGTGCTGCAAGCCCCCCCTCTCCTCCCTGGGCATTATCTGGGATGCTCATACCAGGAAGGTGGCCTGGGACTGCAGTGACCTGTCAACTGCTGAAGTTATAGATGCTCTGTTGAAAGACAGAAAGAGAGAGAGAGAGAGAGAGAGAGAGAGAGAGAGATGAAGTGGAGAAATAGTGCAATATGCTCTTGTACTAGTGGTTTCAAAATAAAACTGTCCTCTGCAACAGTGACAAGGAATATCTCAGCTTGAAAGGAGGTCTTTGCTCCCCTGGATATTGTCGTTCGTAGGCTATGGTGACATCCACACCGTATATTTAAACCATGTCTAAAGCCTGTGGTTTCCTCCCCACCCCCCAAGAGAGTTGAGTGCTAGGAATTGCAGCTCTGAGAGCAAGAAACTCTCATTCCCAGGATTGCAGGAAGCCATGTGATTCAAACATAGGATATGCATGTGACCTGCATCAGCTGCAGTGGGACCTTCTAAGACTTTAAAGATCTCTATATGCTCCTGAATCCCACTCACAAAGATCGAAAGTGAAAGCTGCTTTGGAGATGAAAGGTATCTCACCAATTGCCTCCAAAACGTTCTCCACACTTTCCCTGTGCACAGTCTCTGAGATCAATGTCTCTGAAGGGGACTCCCCCACCGCGTTGTCTTTTAAATCTTTTTTCTCATCACCTCCCACCCTGATTCACTACTCTGGCAGGAAAGCTCTTTCTTAAAGGAAGTAAACTGGGCGAGCCTTTTCTCCTTGGTCAACAATGGAGATAGTATCCTCCTCTTGAGGTGGCATAACTTTCATCTCCTACCAATGGCAGCTGGAGTCTTTATGGGGGATCATGGGTAACTGAAGAGGAAAAGCGATTCAGGCACAGAGTCGCCAGCCAAAGGGAAGGAGGGAGATCTGTGCATTCAATGGCAAAGCTTATAACATAATGGAATTGAGCACGCGTCAAAAAACATGGCGGGTCGTGTGAGTCACTCACCAGTAGCTTATGGTTGGGGGAGATTATTGAGAATGGCTTGCCAGAAGTTGGCACTGTAACCAATGTAACACAAAAGGCTAATAGAAATGAAGGACTAGTAGGAGGGGTAAAGAACAAAGACTTATTCTAATAGCAGGTGCTATTAGAGTAATGAGGTTCAGGACTTTTCTTCTAAAGCCGGCATCAGTTCTAACAGGTTTTGTTTCCCCATAGTCTCTTATGCTATAGTGGCTTGGCATCTACAGGTTGGAAAGAGGTTCCTCTGCCTTTGACAGTTATAGGATTGTGAAGGTTTGTTAGGTATGAATGAATGAATGAATGAAAGAATATGATGGATAAAGTAGCCCAAGTTCTCAGTCCTATTTCTAGCCATGTTCTACAGACTTTGGTCTTCCCAATGTTGTCACCAGCCTGTTTGCAAACACAGTTTTCTTTCTGCTCTTAGGAGGTGATCATGCAAAGGTGATCATACAAACTCTGCAAAGGTCATACCAGTGGTTAGCTCGAGGCCTCTTGAGGGCACATAAAAATGTCAACCCACTTTTAAGGTCCAGGGTGGCACGTTTAGCACTTTTGATGGGAGCATGGCTCTTTGGGAGCTTTCACTTTGATGGAAGTGACACTCAGGTTTGGGAAGATTCCCTAGTCTGCTCTGCAGGGCCTGTCAGGAAAAGGGGTTGTGTTATTTTTAAAAACCCTCCTCCCTGAGAACACTGTGAACTTTTTGTGACAGTATTCACTTGGGGGCGGGGGCTGCCCTTGGACTTTTATCTATGTATGGGTACTAGCACCTCTTTTTTTTAACCAAAAAGAAAAGCACTGGCTTTGTAGGATTGAGACTGGGGCAGCTGCTTCCCTGCCTTTCAGCTGAGATTTTGAGTGCTGCTTTAAGAAATCCATGAAGGTTGATCTTCTAATGGTGAAAGTCTACATCAGCTTTGGGTTCTCCATACTTAAGCAGCAAGGATGAAAGATGTGCTCTCTCCTGGAAAATCAGCTGTGGCCAATGCACTTGGAATGGTTTCTGCTACTGCAGTAGCCAGCAAAGTTTGCAACCAGGTAATGGAACTGTCCTCAAAGGCATCCTTTGAGCTTATGAGAAAATCCTTTTACAATGTGAGCTGGCAGTTAGGTGGGAATATTATGTACTCCAAACCCCCTCACCTGCTTGCAATATCTGTACTCTGTGAGTGTGTGTGTGTGTCCAAGAGAAGTGGGAGATGAAGTGGCTCTCTCCATGCCCTGTTTACGGAGTGAGAAGGGATCTTATTTTCTATATAGGGAAAGGTTTTCAAGTTTCAGGAAATAATAAAAAAATACATATCAAGAAGGAAGGAAGGAAGGAAGTTAGGAAGTTAGGAAGTTAGGAAGGAAGGAAGGAAGGAAGGAAGGAAGGAAGGAAGGAAGGATAAAAGATGGTTTTGGTTGAAACCAGTCCAGGAGCACCAAGAGACTGACTCTACCAATTGGGGAGAGAAAAGGATTTTAGCAACATTCTTTCATCTTATGCAACTAAGGCTGCAATCCTTTACCCATTTACCTGGGAATAGGTCCCTCTGATCTCAATGAGACTTCTTCCTGAGTAGACATGTTACGGATTGCCCTGTAAAGATATATATTTACACCACACACTTACACTGATTTAGGAATCACTCCCTCCTTTCAGGGAACCTTAGGGACTGTAAAAAAGAACAGGCTTCTTTGGCAAAAGCCATGACAATTAAATTGGTACAAAATCAGCATAACTTTGTAGTGTAAATTTCCCATAATTTCTTATGTGCCCAGCACATCTCCTGCCCCTTTATATGCTATGTAGATTATATGTGCACTCTGCTCCACTGTCCTTTCCTCCTTGTAAATCTTCTTTTGACAATAGAGATTTGTTTTTAAATCCAAAGGGATTAAGTTCACCAGCCTCTTCTCAGCCCATAGTCATTCTACCATGGACTTTCCCCATGTATTCTTTAGACCTAGAGAAAGTGCACCATACGTGCCCTGGAGCAAACAAAATGGATCCAGTTCTCACTTTTGGAAGATGGCAGAATTCCCTCTCGCCTTTGTTCATACTGAACCTCATTTTTTCCAAAGATATAAGAAGCCAATGCTGAGCTTTGCTGTAGCATAGATATCACCAGGTTTCATAGGACCACTTTGTCCCTCTCTGTAATGGCTAGAATGGAGAAGTCTCCTGTATGAATTACCCCTGGAAATGTCAGGACCAGATTAAAGCCTTATATAATCTGTTGCAAGGACAGGGACCATGCAGCCCTCCAGTTGCTGCTGGCCTCCAGTTCCCATTAGCTTCAGCCAGCCTGGCCAATAGTCAGAGATGACTGGAGTTGTAGTCCAGCAACATCTGGAGAGCCCCAGGTTCCCCATTTCTGATCTCCTGGCTTGGCCATTATGGTAGTTCGTTCTCAAGATACAGTTTATTTTTGGTGCTACCTTAGGTCTCCCCCTTTTGGAATACTGGCCATAATCCCAAGTGTGAACATCTAAGGGACCAATGCCCACCACTGGGGCTGTCCACACAATCTTCTATGGGGAAGGACAGATGCGGTCAGGACCTTTCGTTTACCAACCAAGTCCCAATACAAGTGATTTATCAGCCCAAAGGAATGAACCATGTTGAAAGCCTGAGAAGAAATGGTTAAACAATTTCTGTCCTTCTACTTTGTAGAAGACTTCAGGGACAGCCCAAATGTTGCACATGGGTGTCTTTCATGGAGATCAGGATTATGGCCATTGTTGGGGGGGGGGGAAGCATCTGAGGTTGCCTATAGCAAGGCAACAAGGGCACTGCCCCTCCTTTCCATCATTACCACAGATTTGCTCCCTTACCCAGTTCACACACTTGTTGACACAGAAGCACAATTATACCACCTTGGTAAGTATAGAATTTCTAAAAGGGACCATGATGCTCCTTCTGTCCTACAAGCTCTCTTGACTGACATAGATGATCTTGTTGCCAGGGAACTGGGAAAGAGCTACCTAACTAGGGGTCTATTGTTCAGATTGCATTGTCAGCAGAGCATCCAAGGACTTATCCAGTTTACGAAAGAGGCACAGCCAAATAATCCAATCCAAATGCAGGTAGTAAACAACAAGGGATTTCTACCTTTCCACATGCTAAATCAGGGTTGTGGGGAAAATGGGACTTAGGCTCACCCATCGTGATAACAAATGTTCCAGTCAAAGCACAATTCAGCCTTCTGTTACACAGGAGCTTGTGGTAGGTTTAGCTTTGATTCGGAGGAGAAAGGGTAAAAATCTCGCCACTGCTGCCAAAGCCCAGGGGAGGGGATAACTGGAATATCTAGCAGTCATTTACACTTTCCAGAAAATCTGGATCAAAGATGGAGGTGAAAGGATGGAGTGGGCTTTGTCTGCAATGTTGAAATTTAGGGCAGGAATTCCACCAAGATGATTAGACTTTTTACCTTGGAAGGATTTGTGTGTGTGTGTGTGTGTGTTTCCATCTCCATATTTCCTTGTCTCTGCACAAAAGGATGGGTGTTTGCACATAGAAATGTGGAGAAATCTCCCCACCCTGCTCTCTTCTATAGAAGACAAATCAAATCTCCATAGAGCCAATCTGTGGATTCCCTGATCCAGATTTTCTTGGCCAGTTCTCACATCTCTGGATGACCCCAATGGTTTGTTGGCTTTCATCTTTGTTCTAGAGCTGATCTGAACACTGCTGGCAGTGAAGGGGGTGATAGATAGAAGAAAAACCCACCACAGTCACTTTCATGCTGTAGCCATTCTGCCAGGACGATTCCTCATTTCCCTTTCTTCTGTGCTTAGTAGTGCATGTAGCATGTTGTGGGTGTCCTCCTGGTTCTCCTACCAACAGTGCTCTTTTCTGACGCTCAGCAGGCAGTGTGGGCTTTCTCATCTGCCTGCAAGCAAAACCCCCGGTCCTCTCTCTGTCTCTCTCCATGCTTCTGATTAGCATGTTGTCCAGAAGTGCTTGCAGCCCACCACACCAGTGTCCTCGACTCCTTTGTGTCCTCTCCAGGAAATCACCATGGGTTCCATTTCTTCTGCACCCTCAAGTGGATTGCATGTTTCTTAATGGCTACTATTTTGGTGATTTTCCTCTAATGCGACTGACTTTGGATGGGTAATCCTTTCTCTCTCTCCCTCTTGTCATTTTCTTGCATTCTCATTCACCATCCTGAGCATAGGAAAGATCCTTGTCATGGCAATGTCCATGGAGACATACTGAGGAGTTTAAAAAAATGTTAAATAATATATATATTTTTAAATGGCTTTAGTGGCATGCCCAAGCCTGGACATGAAAGTTGTCAAATTATTGGATTCTGCGGGTGATTTTTTTATTTGTTTGCATAGCTGCTTCTTTCCTGGCGGAGACTGACAGCGGCACAACAGGCAGAAATTAAGCAGGTGCAGTTTTTTCCAGCACAAAAGATGTACTTATGGGGACAAATTAATATGTACTGAATTTCTGCCCGCCATGCAGCAATTTCAGAGTCTCTTTCAGGAAAAAAAGGTCTCAACCTACTCTCAGTCACTTCGTAGACATTGAAAGATGGCAAAATAGTTTCCTTAGCTGTGGACTAGATTTACAAATCTAGTGTGCATGATTTTATGAATCATGTTTTAACTGCTTTGTATTGTCCTTGCTCAGGGCAATGATTTAGTATATGCGAGTACAATAATAGGAGTCATTTCCCCTGTCCTCACCTTTACATTAAAGGGTAGAGAGTGATAATAATTGCTCAGCATTGTGTGGATATCCACATGTCGATTTACATAATTGACAACAAGAAAAATATGCTTTAAGTGCCTGCAGGATACCTGACATGCTATTGCTTCAGCTTGGGTCATGATCCTGCAAATAAACAAACCTGAATGCCTTTGATTTACACAAGAAGCTGCATAGAGGTTTGTGGGGCTTCTTACGTGATCGGAGGTCAAAGGACTCTTCTTGGAAGAAAGGGGACTTGTTCAACAAAGAGTAAACATGTGCACCACAGCTGTATTTACACAGGAGAGGGATGGACAATGACACCTCAAATAATCAGGTCAAACCTCTTACTTAACTGCCCAGGGAAACAGTCCCTGAAGAATTTTGAGTTTTAACCAACGGCTTCACTTCACCCTGCTGTAGGTTCTGATGTTCTCTGATCCATTTGATTTTTATTTGAAAAGAAAATAAGGGAGAGAGAGCAAATAAAACCTTAGCCCTGGGGGGAAGGAGTAGAGAAATGACAACACTGAAAAAAGAACCTTGACAGAATATATATATTATGTGTGTGTGTGGATTGAAATAGTGAGTGGCCTGTTTGTCCTAGGATTCTGCTGCTTAAACTAGGTACTTCCCCAAATCTTAAGGTTTCAAACCCACTAAAGTAAAAAAGGGGGAGGGGAAGAAAACAAAAACAAAATTCAAGTGCTTCTGAGAGCTTCCTACATTGGTGCTGTCTGGGCGGCTGGATGACGATACTTTCAAGCATGGAGGCCTACAGAGTTATCTTAGAGCCATGTCCCAAGGGAGGTGGTGGCTGCCTTGTCATCTTCATCTTCTGCCTCCTTCCTTCCTTCCTTTCTTCCTTCTCTATTTATCCATTTATTTGGCTTCAAAGTGTTGCCTTTTCTTTAGTCTCTGCCGTTGCCATTGAGAGAAGTTGATGATAATAACCGTAGATTCCGAGGTCCTCAGTTTCTTAAAATGAGATGAAAGGAATCAGTCTCCTGGGCACGTCGTGAGGTGTGGGTGGGTAATGGGTGGGTGGGTGGGGGAAAGGGCTCTGGCAGGGAGAGGCAAAGAAGGATAATTCACTCAGTGTTGCCACTGTCAAAGTTGTGACACTGGAGGTCTCCGGCTACGTAATCCGTTCCTGGCAGCTTCAGTCCGTACTTATCCACACACCAACACAGTCCACGTTTTCGGCCCCGAGATGGCTTGCACTGGAGAGAGGAGGATGAAAAGGGTGGAGAGTGAGTGGAGGACGTCTGGGATGGTCACGCCTCCCCTGAGAGGAAGACATCCCCTGCCCACCTTGGAGGAAGTTAACCTGGGAGTTAACCAGCTGGCCTGCTGGTTAAGGCCTTAACTAGACTAGAACCCCAAATAAGCACAGTTTGCTTCTGGGTAAAGGGGTGGGAGAGGAGGAAACAGCCTAGCCTGCTCCTTTAACTGCAGTTTAATCTGAAGAAATAAATTTTTTCCAGCATGGAGATGATGAGCATCATCACTTGCAAATTTTGGTGGATCAAGATGTAGGTTAGGGCAATTAAATGTGGGCAATTGTCCTGTAGGGTTGCTTGGGTTCCTAACTACACATGATGCTAATGGTGTCACTTGCAATCGTATTTTTTTTTATTCATTTAATCACCTCCTGCGCCACATAATGCTTGGCTTGTACAGAGCATAAATCCATAGGCCACAACCTTGGTTCAGACCAGTGTTCTTCAACTTTGGATCCTCAGACGTTGTTGGACTACAACTCCCATCATTCAAAGCTCACAACAACACCTCCTGCCACCCCTAATGGGTAAGTGAGCTTTGAATGATGGGAGTTGTTGCCCAACAACACCTTGGGGGCCCAAGGTTGAGGAACACCAGTTTAGATATTGTGGTGAAATAACTGTTAGGAGACTGAGTCAATTGACTCGAAGCTGTTTGATGGGGAAGAGTCCCTGCTGTCTGTACCCCTGGACCACAAAGCAGAGCTTGACTCCAAGCAGAGCTTCTACCTGTTTCCTCTTGTAGAAGCCTTTCCTGTCACAGTTGGGAAGGTGGACGGCACGGGGGATCATGCGCTGGCTTGATTTGAGCTCCTGCAGCGATGCCTCCATCTGTCTACGGCAAGGGCCCTGAAAAAAGAGGAGAGAAAGCAATCAGGTGCTGAGGAGGATGAAGCACTGAACTCCCAAGGTAAGGTCAGATTAAGCAGAATTCATTAAGATTAGTAGTGTTTTCTGCATGCTTATCTCAGTGAGGATGTGCAGATTGAGCCAAGAGGCAAGCACATGGGCATTGGTAATAGTGGTGAGGCAATGGGCACACACACAGAGCATCTTAGCCTGGCAAAAACCTGGAACTGGCACTGCTTGGAGGAAACCAGCTTCATTATGTGGTGGGTGGCTGAGCACATGAAGGTGGGTGGAGGGAAGAGTCACTATGCAGAGTGGGCTTTAAACTAGCAGCTAGAATTGTGCCCGCCAGCTCCACGTTTTCCACTTATCAATATCCCTCTCTAACCATCCTCTACCGGCATGGCAGTTATGGTGGGAACATAGATGGTAGGAAGAGGGGAGGAGACAGGCATGGAGCAAGAGAATGAAGGGCAAGGGCACATGTGGTACAGGGAAGGACCACACTTACCAGTTCAAACTCTGGCCTCAGCTCAGGGGCAGCAACGCGAGGGTGTGCCGTGTTTTCTGCCCCACCAACGAACTTGGATAAAGTCAGCTTCTTCCTGCGATCCTTCCTCAGGGCCTCTACCTTTGACTCAGGGAGGCGCACGTGTCCCTTGTTCCTGTGCGGTTTGGAAGGGTAGGTCTCTTCTGCCATTTCTGAGGTGGTTGGGTCCTCATGCTCTCGGGATTCTCTTTCTGAATGGGAGAAAGCAAGAAAAAGAGTTGCTTCTTGGACTTTCATCCATTTCCTTGAGCCACAGCATCCTTCTTTGCTCGTTGCTTTCGTAACAGCAGTCTCAAGATCCATAAAATGTACCATCTGTATTTGTGGAACACATGAAGCCCACATTCTGAGAAACCTCACATATTGTCAGGGACTGGACAGAGGGGGAATGGTGGGAAGCGCCTCCTCAGCCTGGCCCTTCTAGAGGAGGACAGTATAGATTTACAACGGTGGCTTTTGGGAGGTCATAGCTCAGAGGCAGATGAGGTGAAAAGCTGGTAAATAATGGGAGAGGAGCAGGAAGAGGAAGAAGCATCAGGGGAAAAACAGTTGACAGACTCAGTGTCTTTAGAAAATATTCCAGATCCCTCTTCTCCCAGAACCCTGCGGGCATTGAAAGGAGAAGAGTTTTCATGGGCTAGCTGGTAGAATCCACTTTGGCAGGTGCATGAAATGTTATCTTTAGTTGGAGCATGCGGGTGAAAAGTGGAGAAATATTTGAAGAGTGGGATCATATGGCAATGAGATGCAAAAAGTACATTCTAGGACAATTCAGTTAAACTAACCATTCACAACAATAGAAATTGGTGCATTTCATTGCCGTTTGGCCCCACTCTACGTTTTCCTCCTTTAGATAAACACTTTATGTCTCTGAGGAAATAGACTCTAGACCATGGAAACAAACTGGTTGGCCTTTAAAGTGCAACGGCACTCTTTGTGCACTTCCAGACTATTTTTGTGTGGGATTCAATCACAAACTGGCAAATTCCGGTTGCAGAATTAATGCTAATTTGGAGCTCTTGCACAACAAATCCTCACCCCCGCAACTTTTTGTGATAAAAGCGGCAATGGGGAAAGGCACTGGGATAGTGTCTGATGCAACATTGTGTAACCTCCCTGCAAACAAATCATAATGAATCCTCAATCATATATAGCCAATGTCCTCTAACATCCTTACAAACTTTGTGCCAAGAAATCAGGATGCATGCTCAATAAACAGGTCGTCTTGGAAGGCATTTTTGTGGCTTTTGCTACAAAGTCTTGGAAACTATTTGAATGATATTATAACAGCCCAACCTGCTATAATCCAAGGTTGCTGAACACAGTGTTGCTTTTCTAGGGTGACTAAACTACAGCGCATTGTACCATGATCTTGTTGCCAGAATAGGAATCAGACAGCAGAAGACAGGATAATCTGGGTTCCCAGGGTTATTTTTTTGGAGGTGGAGTGTGCTAAATTTGATAAGTTCCCAACTCTTGCTACTGCCACAGTTATTAGTGGAAAGGTTATATTAAGTGCCAAACTGAATGCATCCAAACGAAGAACTCTCCAACTGTTGCATGGCAGGAATATAGCCTACTGTACCAACAGAAGAGTCACACTCATTACTCCACCCACTTGCCTCTGGCCCTGCGCACCCCTAGCATGTGCTGCCCACCCCTCAGATGGTTGCCAGTGCAGGAATGTGTGCTTCAGGTTGAAAAAGTTCCCTACTCATGATGGCTCACATTCAGGCTTGTTCACAAGAAGAGTTTCCTTGGCACATGCCCTGGGAGAAGCAAGCGTCATCTGCTTTTCAGTGGGCAGCAACAATGCTCTGCTTCTGGATCTTAATGTGGAAGAGTGAGGCCCTCATTAAAGAAAAGCTTGTGGTGCTCCATACAAGGTCAAAAGAGACATTACAAGGTATAGTCCCCTGAGTGAAGAGATGCAGCACATTTGTTGCCTGGCAAGGGCTCTCCAAGGGGTGGCTTGGAATCCTCTCAGTAACAGCGGATCTTCTCAGCTCTCAGCAGTAAACACTCTGGCAGACTGTGTGAGGGGCCAAAACATACCCAGGGGCAGCAAGTGTCCTGTTGTTCACATGCAGCAGACTATACTGAAATCTGTCACTAAGCCTCAGGCAAGCTGATGGCAGTCAAATGTCTTGACATTTGTAGTCTCCTCCTCACATGCAGACATACATTCAGCAGCTGAGTGGGAGAGGAAAATCTCCCCCTCTCCTTTCCAATCAAGCAGTTTGCTAGCATTTCAAATATATCTGAATTCCACCAGAACTTTGAAATATATGTACAGGGGTCAAGTGCAAATTCCCACTTTTGTGTGTGGGGGGGGGGGGGGTTGAGACATCCCCTTAAGTTTTTATTTTTTAAAAAAATCTTTGTACACCTTCAAACTTCAGTGTTCAAACATGCTAATATCTTCTTGTCTTGGTGGCCCCATTTTGGCTGTAATCTTATTTGTACACTCCACTCAAGTTTGCTATTAAAGGAGCAATGGTCAAGAGTCATCAGTGCTATCTAGAAACATTGAAGGTGATGGTGGCCAACCTGATGTCTCACAAAGTTTACAAGCAGGCAAAATGGTGGTAAAGGTTAAGGTAAAGGGACCCCTGACCATTAGGTCTAGTCGTGACCGACTCTGGGGTTGCGGTGCTCATCTTGCTTTATTGGTGGAGGAATCCGGCGTACAGCTTCCAGGTCATGTGGCCAGCATGACTAAACCACTTCTGGCAAACCAGGAAACGCCACTTCTGGCAAACCAGGAAACACCATTTACCTTCCCTATTTATCTACTTGCACTTTGAAGTGCTTTCGAACTGCTAGGTGGCCAGGAACTGGAACCGAGCAATGGGAGCTCACCCCTTCGCAGGGATTCGAACCGCCGACCTTCTGAATGGCAAGTCCTAGGCTCTGTGGTTTAACCCACAGCGCCACCCGCGTCCCTATTAATGCTGGTATCCATCCCCTATTAATCCTTAGTGTCTGATCACAAAAGGTAAGAATGTTACCTTTCAGGGTATCTTAGGCCTGGGTAGCAGCCACTCATTTACCCTCCATTTATTTATTTAATCCTTGCAGACATCAGTTTATGCATGTGGCCTTTCCCACCTTCTTGTGGCAGTGCATTCCCCAGAGAAAATCCACCCTGCCTCCTAAACTCTGTGTGTGTTCAAACTCTCTGATCCTAGCCAATATGATCTTATTAACAGATGGTCGCTTTTAGAGCTCCAGCACAGTTATATATAGGAACGACTTGGTGACAGCCTATACTTAGCTCACTTGTGACCTTTAATACAGCCCTTAGAGCAAAAGAAGGCTATTTTTAGCTCCAAATTTCAATAAAGTCCTAACCCCACAGAGACTATGGAATCCTGCACTGCCCATTTCTACCAGGCCACCCAGGGCAGCTGAGAGATTAGGGTGGTCACAGGAAAACGATTAAAAGGAAGCACAGAGTGGAAGAAAGGAAGGGCAGAAGCTTGGCTTTGTCTGCACCCAGGATGCACCCAGTCTCCTTAAAGCTTTCAACAACCTCAAATCAACCTGGAATCTGAGCTGTCACAGATGACCCACTTGGTGCTAAGCTTGTGTTGGCAAGCTTGCTGGAGAAGGTAGTCCACTATTGCACCTCTTCCAAGAAGACCCTGTCTCCAGTCTCCATCTATGGGCACTTATCTAGACCAGATCTCTCTCACCATATTTAAGAGGCCAATCCTAAAAACCCTTATCCAGATGTAGAAGTGAAGTGTCATTGGTTAAAGACAGGGCTTCCTGCAAAGTACTCCACACTTTACCATGCAGTCCTAAACATAAGGACTAGGGAATAAGTCCTTGGAGGGGTACCAAGTTGCTATCCTGAGAACACAAATGCACCCTGATAGAGCAGAGGAGGCAGCTGCATGCAAACCTGCCCTTTCCCCCACTGCTGTACCGTGAACCCCAGGTCCTGCTTGTGAGATGAGAGGTGACAGGGGTGAGGGTGGAGCAGGCAGCTCTCCCATCTCCTGTTGCATATGGGGACATGGAGGTTCAGCCATGTTCTCCAGCTTGCGATTTGACAGCTTGCAGCTCAGTTGAACCCACTGGGAATGAGCTTTTGAACAATTACCTAGAATTAGGCTATTAATCTTTTTGTTGCTTCACACCAATCACACCAATTTTTGTTCCTAGCACACCAAATAGAGGTTCTGACTCTGCTGCAAATTTAAGATGTTCCTTTTGGTTGGTAGTGCTGTGTAGAGATGGGCAACCTGTTGGGTGCTGTTGGACTCCCAAGCCACAGTCAGCAAGGCCAGCAGTCAGAGTTGATGGGAGTGGTGGTCCAACTACATCTGGAGAGCCACACCTCTTGCTTCGTCCCTCACCTATTCAATCCAATCCAAACCATCTCCTGTATGGACCGACCCTATGCATGCTACTTCAGTAGACAACACTGTTTTGGTTACATAGAGATGAAGCTCAGGCCAAGACATGTAACATTAGAGGCTTAATACTCAGTGAGGTCGTTTCATCCACTGCTGCATTTTAAGCCACATTTCTACATTGCTGCAGAGAGAGGGATGGGGATGTCTTTACTCAATGCTCATTAACTGTTCTTTTTTAAAACCCACACCTGCAACTCCCTCCCAAACACCTATTCATGAAGCTGTCATCTGCACACGTGCAATGGCTGCCAAAAATGTGCACACCTTGGCTTAAGAGCAAAGTGAATATTGTGTTCATTTTCAAATCGGATGGAAGCTGGTTTGAAGAAAAATGCATCAAAAAGGATAGATATGGATTGTGGCTAAGGTCATGTGCACATGACTTCAAACACCAGCAGTGGGAGCAAGCTGGAGCCAGAGTAAGTGGGTGGGAATGCTGTTGAAGCATCATGATCCAAAGATCTGTCGTCAGGTCTGCAGAAACACTACTCAGGGCAACAGGTGTGCATCCTGCTTTGGTGAAATAGGTACCTTTGCCTGGCTTCCTCCCCTCTTCATCCTATGAAGGATACATATGAAAATCCTCTACCCCTTAACCCAGGGATGGGAGATGTTGCTGGACTACAGCTCCAGCCCTGACTATTGGCCATGCTGACTGGGGCTGATGGGAGTCAGAGGCTAACAGCTTCTGAAGGGATCAGGGATCCTTCGAACCTGTCTTAACTTCACCAGTCACTTCAATATCAGCACTAGGCCCGAGATTCTTGTCAGTTCCTGTCTCCAGAGGACAAAGGACCAATCAAAAGTACTGGTTCAGTGTATTATTCTGCTTTTCTGCTTAACGTATGGACATGTGTTCATACGTTACACATGTCCTCACATCTGAGGGGGGAAATACTTAAGGCTCCTTGTTGCTTGTCTGTACAGTGGTACCTCAGGTTAAGAACTTAATTTGTTCTGGAGGTCCATTCTTAACCTGAAACTGTTCTTAACCGGGGCCACTAGGGGGTGCATTGGAAGATAGCCGACAATACCATCTCTCCGACCCACACGGGGTAATTAAGAGGCTGTTATGGGAGTAGGCAGCCTCCCTTGTTGCCCCAAGGAAATGGGGAACACTGCCCTTGCCTGCTGTGCCCATAAATCACCCCCTAATTTGAAAGAAGGGGTGAGGGCCCTAGGCAAAATGCCCCCCGTGTGGACATCGGCTCTCCTGGACGCTGTCTCTGATCACGCACTAGTTGCAGCAATTTGGAATAATTAATTACAAAGAAGCAAATGCACATATTTCAAGTGAAGAAGGGAGTGAGGTCTGCTAATTTAAGTGACCTCTGCGAAAGAAGACGACGGGCTGGAGAAACAGGAATATTTTACGATGAAGATACACCAAAGGCGGGGTATGTTGACAACGGGGCTGAATGGGGGGACATTTTTACTTTCCTTCTATGTGTTTTACAAGAACCCCTCCTCATTAGAACCGTCGGTTGAACTGACCCAAGCAGGATGATTAAGGTCTGTGTGGAGATAAACTTTAACCAAAAGTATGCTTTATGGAGACCGAGAAGCAATAAGAGCTTTTGGGAATGGCGCAGCAATTAATTCGGAGTCGCCATCTTGCCAAAGGATTTACAGCCGGGAGGAAGAATGGATTTGTTTTCAGACTGCATTCCTAGTGAATCTCCTCAGAGGTTTTGAGAAAGGAGGCAGATTGGTGAAGATTAATGACGCTAAGACTGTTTTGATGTATGGAAGTGATGTTGTATGGAAAACGTCTGGATATGGCTACTGGATAAAAAAAATAATATCCACGCAGGATTGCAAACTGTTCTAACCAGCTTGCGGAGACTATCAGAGATCACAAAGAGAAAGAAAAAATATATGAAAATAACAACAAGAGATGTGGAAAAATAATAAGAAAGGACTGGATAGTACTGTGAACATCATAAGGTTAGATTTGTGGACATTAAAACAGCAGTAAGAAGCAAGAAGTTGATTGGATCCCTTTGGAACTTGAAATATGGGCACCCCCAACAAAAATTTAAAATTTTGCTGTGTAATTTGGAATTTATGTAATTTGGTTTGATTTGATGTGATTGGTCGGTTAATAAAAAATTATTCTTAAAAAAAAAGAAACTGTTCTTAACCTGAGGTACCACTTTACCTAATGGGGCCTCCTGTTGCCGCCACCGCGTGATTTCTGTTCTCATTGTGAAGCAAAGTTCTTAACCTGAGGTACTATTTCTGGGTTACCGGAGTCTGTCACCTGAAGTGCCTGTAACCTGAAGCGTCTGTAACCTGAGGTACCACTGTAGAGGAAGGGTGGCTAAGCTGTGGCTCTCCAGATATTGTCGAACTATGATTATCGTCAGCCCCAGCCAGCATGGCTGATGGTCAGGAATGGTGGGCAACATTTGGAGGCCCAAAAGTTAGGCTTTTTATTTTGCCATGGGTGTGGCATAGGAATAGTGAACCACAGCTATAAGACCACCTCCTTTATGCAGAGCTGTGGTGTGTCTATGGTCACATTCCTTCACCAAGTAAGTCCTTTTCTAGTGCCTAGAAGCAATCTATCCACATTGGCTGCAATATTATCTATTGCCCCGAAGAGGGCACCAGCAGCGCACGTATCAGCCCGGGAAATAGAATCTGGGCACACAGTTAAGTTATAAATTACAGAAAGTATAAACAATTCTTTAAATCTGGAATTTGTCAGCAAGCCAGGGTAGGAAAGTGCTGGCCAGGTTCTAATTCCTTTTGGTAATCAGAGGGGAGATATGAGCAGCCACAGGGGCGGTCAGTGGGTGGGGAGAAGATCAGAAAGGGGGTGCTAGTGTGGTGGGGAGAAGGTTACTAACGCCCTGAACTATATAGCACACTATCTCTCATTCACCTCTTGTGTGTCTTAGATCTTCCTTCACTTTCCCCATGCTCAGGTGGCAAGTCATTGAGTCCAGCATGCAGCCAAGTGACCATAAACATAAGAACACAAGACCGGCCCTGCTGGTGCAGATCAAAGATCCACCTACTCCAGCATCTCATTGCAACAATGGCTAGGCAGACACTTCTTTCCCCACATCCAAAAACTTGATCGCTGGCTGTGCAAAAAGGAAATTATTTAGCCCCATGGTTCCCTTGTGAGTGTAGCTACAGTACAACCAGATGTAGCCAATATGGTGCCTGCAGTTAGACTGCAGCTCCCCCCAACCCTGGTTACTCGCCATGTTGGATGGGGCTGGTGGAAGTGGAGCCCACCAATATCTAGGCAGCACCGTCTTGGCTAGCTCTGCAGGAGAAGTCATGCCCACAGCAGCTACCAAGAGAGCCACTGCTGGGAAAACCAACAGTGGCTTTGGGCTGGTCTTGAAATTCAGAATGAAATGGTAGAAAGCTGAGGCAGAAGAATGCAGTGTATACTGCTCAATGCAGGTGGCAAATATATCACCTGCCATGTAAAAACACCCCACAAGTAGTAAATTATTACATCAAGGACAGCAGTTCTAACTTGCTGTGGTGCTGAGTGCTGGTGACTCAGACGTGATCTTTCAGCTGAATTCCATTCCATTCTACCATTCCGATGCCCCTTCACGTCATTCTGCTGCATGGGTAGACCCAGTCCTTTATCTAGACCCTGCAATATTACAATTGCCTCATCTAGGCTGGATATGGAAGAGATGCAAACTCATGGTTTTTCACATTTTAAATGCAATTAGCATACAACAACCTGCACCCCATGCAGTGGTGCTAGGGGTGGCCAGATGCAAAAAGAAGGCAGAGCTTCTGCACCTTTACTAGTTGTGCAGAAAAGAGAATTGCAGGAAATTCTATTAAAGATGCAGACGTTCTCTTCTCTTCTGCATTTCAGCACCCTAAAGACAGGGAAAGGTTATAGATACTTTTTTAGAAAATGCATTTCAGAAAGAGAAATATGGGGAAGCATAGAGATTTGCAAGAATAGGGGTTTGCAACCTGATCAAGATGTCTTTTTTCAGTTGTAAGAAAAGCCCTGCTAGATCAGACCAAAGGCCTATCTGTCTCCAGCACCTCGTTTTTACAGTAGCCAACTAGACACACATGGGATGCCCACAAGGAGGATGTGAGCACAATGGCCATCTCCCACTTGCATCCCCCAGCAACTGGTATTTAAAGGCAAGATCCTGAAGGTAGCACATAGTCACCTTATGCCGAAGCATTAGATTTGGATGCAATGGCAACTTTAGTTGCTATTGCGAGGAGTATATGTGTGTGCATCTGCACATGCATTGGTGATGCCAAAATTCAGTTTCAACCTTTCTTTTGGATCCCTGCCTCACGCAGCTTGCCAGTGGAGGGGAAAAAGAGAGATCGCAAGCAAAGGACATCCTGCAGTTTTCCATGGATCTCTGTGCATACGCTCAGCAGGCGTCAGCTTTTGAAAGCAAGAAGAAACCTCAGCCAGGTGGCAGGCTTAGCTGCAAACTGGTTCGACTGGTTGAAATTTAGCCAGCTTAGCAACCCCTTGGTGGTCTCTGTCTGTAGGAAAATCTACGAGACATCTATCATTTATAGTGGAAATGGGGTGGTGGGGAGGGGGGAGGAGGAAAAGGGTAGCGGTGATGGTGGTGAGGAGAAACTCAGATATTAAAGGCTGCCTGGAGTTGAGGGAACGGAGAGCTGGAATTCTGAAGGGCAGAGGTCTCTTCTCCTTTCCTCTCCTTGCACAGAAGCTTGGTAGGATTATGCAGGGATCATATGTCCCTCGGCTAGAATGCAGAGGAGCGGGTTGCATCCGGTGGAGCACACACACTCGGCCTGGGCTGTGTCACTGATACCGCATTGCGCTGATACCTGATTCCCCGACTGGTTCTCGAGGCTCACTCAAACTGCCTGAACCTGAGCTGGCCCTCCAGCTGGGCTTTTGCGCGACGCTCACTTGATGCAATCAGGATCCACCACCTACGTCAACCACACATTAGTGTTTTCTAAACAATCTATGAGGTCCCCCTCTCCTTTGGTACTTTGCTGTTAATCTCCATGTACCACCAACCTCTTGCCTCTCCAGCCTGGATGGAAGAAGAGTCCCTAGGAAATCTGCAATGGCTTTGAGGGGCACATAAAAAACCAACATGGATTTTATTATTCAGCGCTGCAGGCAAAAGAAGAGGGGATGCCTCTGAGGTGGGATAGCAATGGTGCCTCTTCCCGCCTGGTCAAGGCTCGTACGTGACTCGTCTGGTCAAGTTCTTTGGCATCTGGGGCAAAAAACGCTCCCTGGGTGTGGACAAGATTCTAAACCTATTGAATTTGGTATATATATTGCAGTTGACTGCAGGAATAAATAGTTTGGTAAGACCGCTTAAGGTTTATTATCCCTAGCAAACAAAGCCATTCTGAGGACAAGTTAATATGTGGCTTTCATGGAGTCATGAGGTTAACAAAAAGGAAAGTAATACTAACGCAACAAGAAGAAGGAAGAAGTAAAGTCTGAGGAGACACACTCAACATGACAATGAGTGGTTACTCAAGAAGGAATAAACAAGGCGACAAATAGGTTGCATTTCTGTCTATCACCTACACACTGATTCAAGTTGCTTTACACCAGGGATGTCCAACAGGTCGATCGTGATCTACTGGTAGATCCCTGGGAGGTTTTGGTAGATCACGGTCAATCGCTGGGTAAAAGAGAATCTGTCCCCGTCGCTCCGCCCTCCATTGTTGCACGCTCTGCAGAACAGAAGGCGGAGTTTACTCATTGACGCTGTTTGTTTCCCCAGCAATCTGTTGGTGAGTGGCTGTTCCTCTTTCTTCCCCGAAACCCTTAAAAACAGGGCTTTCCTCCTCCCTAAAAAAGCTCAACAACTTTGATCTGAACCCCAAAAAACCAGGGGGTTGATCACTGCCAGTTTTTAATTCTGTAAGTAGATCACAGTCTCTTGGGAGTTGGCTACCCCTGCTTTACACCAAGCCAAACCAAGCCAAGCCAAGCCAAACCAAACCACAGTCCATCAGCAGAATGACTTGGGAGAAGCAAGGCAGCCATGATCACCTTTCTCAGAGTGCACACATTTGTGATAGCTGTGGTGCATAAACAAGGCCATTATCAGTCAAAGAGGGCTCCCCATAAGACAATTAAGTCCAGAGACTAAGTTTACATAACTGTGCCGCAACGTAGACTATTTATCAACTAGATAGTCAGGATATTCCTCATGAGTTTCTGATTTGTGGGTTATTACTCCACGTCCTATGCAGATACATAAGAAAACTTTATGCCTCAATGGGTCATCAGAATCACCTGCTCATAGATATTCCTTTTGCTCAGATTGCCTCCTGGAGAGTTGTGATTAATGGGATAATTTCTGAGCAAACTGCTTAAATGTCCTGCTAGGGATGATGTTTCTCCATACTCACAAAGACTATTCCAATTACCCACAGGGCCATGCAGAATAACATGCTGAAATTGACAATATTAAGGTGAAAGCAATCTTTCTTCCTTGGATGAGATGGAGCTAGAAGCTCTACCCAGCTCAAGCAAGAACTGTGACTATGTGACCTTCACCTTGTTACCAAATATGCCAAGTTAATTCATTTAAATTACATGCAATATTTTGCCTGAGAAGGTGCGTCATCGTTTTTGTTTTTTAATATATATTTTAAAAACCCACCTTTACTTTCATCCTTGAATTAACTGGGAAGCAGTATAAGTGGTTGAAATTTGCAGTCCCTTTGGACTCCAAGAAAGGGAGCCTTTACAGCTGGATAATAATACCTTCAAACAAAAGGCCTCATTCTAGACAGTCTGGAAAGTGAGATGAAGCCCTTAAGGCAGTAAGGGGTGAAGCAAGGATTCCGGTTGCCATTGAGTTGGAGGCAAGAAGAGAAAGCCCATGCAGAGACAGCGGGAGGCTGAATATGGATCAGTTAGAACATGAAGAACCATCACATCTTAGGATCATGCTTGGGACCCACACCCTGATGATGTCAGCTAGTGATGTCAACGCCTCTGAATTTCCAAAAGAGCATCAGTGTCAGTTTCCAGCTTGCCAAGCCAAGGCTGAATTAACTGCCAAGCCATAGCTCACGAGGCCAAAGAATGAGTTATGGTCAAGTCCCAGGGACTTTTTGGCTTCTAAGTGAGGGCAGCAGCTCATACCCAAAGGGTTGGAAAATGCTTTGGGTGCTAGTCATATTTTCACATGTTGGTTGTCAACGCTTGTTAAGAGCTTGTGAAGCAGGGATTGGTGGAACTGGGTATGAACTTGGTGTGTAAAATGGTGCCCTGAACATGTACACTGACTTTCATTCTAGTTATCTCAGTCTCGAAAGCAGCGATCACAGGACAGTGGATTTTCCATTTACCTTCACGGTTTTGAAAAACAGGTTTGGAAGTTGAACTGGTACCAGAGCCTGAAACAAAGAAGTGTGTCCTCAACACTTATACTAAATTTCATTCTGATATCTCTGTGTTCAAGAAGTTTGAAGAAACTGTTGCATTGAACAAACTGTTGAATGGGCCAGTGGCTAAACCAAAGGTCTCATTTCCATTACTAGGCCAATGATCAACACTTGCAGAGGCAGGTAACACTAAACTGGGAGGAATCACACAACATACTGCAAAAAAGCACAAACAAGCAATGCACTAGGAACAATATCATTTTAAAAACACACACCATGAAATTCAATGAGAAGAGAACAATCCTCTTGTTTGTGGCAGTTTTGACAGAGCTGCGGGAAAGGTCAAAGCAATTCTTGGTCGTGCATGATAAAAAAACTAACCATAAAATGATATAAAAGGGGGATCAAAAATTTCCATCTGCAAGCTTGAACTTGTAAGGCTTGGGATAAATTATTGGAGCCCAATTGTAATACTTATAACAACTAGGATGTTTAGTTCATTTTGCACCTAGTAGAAAAAATGCTGCTTTTTAAATGAAATTATGTCAAAGGAGCCTGGAAAAACATTCACACTTAATTTTCTACTGTGCAACTCACTATAACCCCTTAGCATGGGGAAAGACTGCCGTTGTAGGCTTCAATTTTCTACCCCTTCCCCACCCCCAGCTCAAGGGGCGCTTTAATTCCCACTATCAATGAACCTATTGTTTATAATATAAAAGACATTGATTCACTTAGAGGAGGTTAAAAGGAAAACCAATGAATATTCTTAATGAGCTTGAAATATTGGCAGGTTGTAGGCACAAAGTGAGATTACTCACAGGTGCTCAGAGGAGTTTTAGAAATACAAGTGAGAGGTGAAGTCAGAAAAATTAGAGAATATGGGGGGGACCTTCCACCAGACTATTTCATTTGTCAGCCCAACAGTCAAAGTGTTACAAGATGTGCAATTGGGATGTCTTTGATTCTGCTCAAAGGAACACTTTTAGCATAGCTATCGGTAGGCAATTGGTCATTTGCAGAGAAGCACTACTTGCAGTGTCCAAGGAGGCTTGCTTCCTAGTAAATGGGTTTTGAATTTCAGCCTTAACTTGCTCCTGGGTATCTTTCAGGATCTGGGCCCCACCCAGCAGGAGCAACATGTACCTGTCTAATGTATTGTTCAATTGCTTTCATCTTTAATTTTAAGAGTCCTTTACTGTCGTAATATTGAAATAAAGAAAGATAGTCATTCATCAATGGACTCCAGTCATTAGATCAAAATGTACACCATTAATTGATAGGTTCTGCAAAGCCAGTGTTCCAGTTACTACCAAAAGGATTTCCTCAGGCCTATACTTTCTTCAAATTATCTAAAGTCAACTTGTTCATATACATGATGTCCCATGTCTTATTCAGTCCATCTGAAATGCTGGTTGGTCTAGATTAGTTTAATAACAACCCCATAGATCTGGCGTGGCCATTGTAAGGTTGCAACTGCCTTCGCTGACTGCTTAATGTGTTCTTGGCAAGCTCCAGAGATTAGGGTTGCCAACTCTTAAAATCAAAAATTCTGCTACTGGGTGAGACCTGGGGGTGGAACCCTGAGCAAATCTAGCGGCAGAGCCAACCTGCGGGTGGTGGAGCATAACACAAAAGTTGCCTGTTCACATGTGTCCCACTTCTTTTAAGGGAAAAGGACTGAAGGAGGAGGGGGGGGCTGGCCTTGCAACTAACTTTCACTGGTCTGAAAATAAATCTAGCCAGGTAGCTTTCTCCTCCCCACCCGCTGTTGGTTGGCAGTCCTATTGGAGACTCAGTGTTGACATTTAATAATTGCTTAAGACTGCACCTGGAACCCTGCAGATGTTTTTTGGACTCCCATCAGCCTCAGCCAGCTTGGCCTGATGCGCAGGAATGCTGGGAGTTGTAGTCCAACAATGTTGGGAGGGCACCAGGTTGGGGAAGGACATGTTAGGATTGCATTCTTGCATTCCACAGCTCAGCTACCTGTCATTATCATGCTCTCTTGTTCTTGAATTCAGCATCCCTCCTCCTCCTCCTCCTCCTCCTCCTCCTCCTCCTGGGAACTGCCAGGCCAGCTTGAGGAGATTACATCACTACGACCCTTCCCTGTGATCTCCATGCTGCCTCAGTGCTTCCATGGTACGGCAATAATGTCCTATGTATGCTCCCCAGAAAGAAAAAAGAACAACCCCACTTTCCCTGTTAGGATTTTCAGTATAGATTATCAACAACTCTCTAGACTTGGAAGCATGCATTCCATGGAATGGGATCCCCACCAGAAGTGTCTCTCTGCTAGCTAAAAATGGCTGGGTGAGGGGAGGAGGAGAAGACATGCATGTTTAGAATCAGCTCCAAGGGGTGGTAATTGGATAGGGATCTTTTGCTTCTAAGGCTCTGGTTTGGGCTCCCAGCCATGCGAGTGGTGAGTGAAAGCTGTTATCGGGGGACAGCTGTTTGGTGTCCAGCTAAGGGGAAAAGGGTATGGGAATTCATCACAGTTCAGTTCCTAGAGGTCAAGTGTCTGTGTAGCAAACTGCACCCCCTCTCTGCTTATACCTTCTAGGTGCACACGGGAGACAAGAGATGTGATCTTAAGAAAGTGCTGTGTCTCCTGATCGATGGAGAAGCACAAAAGAGTGTAGACAAAATCCCTTCTGGGCATGTGTTTTGTACCGGGGCTCCGATATGCTGATTTTACAGGACCTGTCCCCTGCAGTTCTCATACCACAGAGACCCTATGTAACAGCAGATATTGATCCTCAGGTTATCAGACCGAAAAAGGCCAGTCATGCAAATACCTCTTGACCTGCAAAGTGGAATTAAGAAGGATTTATGCAATAGGAGGGGGAGGAGAAGGAGCTGAAACTTTACAAAAGGAGGCACTGCCATGAGGATTTGCTATGCACACAAGTGGAAATTCAGCATAGCAATGTCTGAAAGAAGAATCTAAAGGAGGGAAGACACACACTACACTTGACAATGTCTGTGAAGCAAAATGTTCTTAGAATCAGAGAGCTGGAAGAGACACCCAAGGGCAGAATATCCCACACCTAAAAGCATCCTTTGATTGATGCCTCGCTGATGAATGCCAACCCTCCAACTGATTAAGATTCTATTTTCCCTGTAGGCTGCTTATCCCACCACAGATCTAGTCATCTGTTCCTAAACTCCAACCCATTAAAAAAAAATCCTTAAAAATAGAAAGCAATGCAAAATCATACTCGCGTAGAAGATTTTTAAAAAGTAAGTAAGTCAAGAACCGCAAATCTCAATCAAGGAAAGCATTGCTTCCACGTACACTGAAAGATAATAAACTGTCTTGTAATAACAACCACACACAGGATAGGATTGGAGAGAATCCAAGCAAAGTTCACCTGGAACTCTCAAACTTTGCTCCCACTTCCAGAATAGATAGTGCTATTAAATCTAGGTAGCACTGTAATGCAGTTATCTGCAATGACCAGATATTGCTGGAATCTCAATGCTCATCAGCAACAGATGATGGAAGTTTTAATCCATCCACATCCGGAGGGCCAGAGGTTCCTCACTTTTCCATAATGTAAAGCTATATAAAGACTTAACCTATTAACTCTTTATTAAATCTACAAGCCCCACCCTCTGACACCCCTCCCCATTTTAGCCAAACCATTCTACTTCTGCTATCGTTAAAAACAGCAGCTGTAAAAAGACCCCAAAAGGGCATAGCCAGCCCTACTAGCCATCTAAAATTTGAGCACCGAGTTAGCCTATTTCTCCTGGTTTACCTCATATGTCTGTGGATTGCCCTCCGTTTCAGATTTTGATCTTCTCATCTTGACTTTATAAAAACCTATGAGACCCACTTCCTCATACTGTGTTTTGTGAGGTTTTAGTGGCCACTACCGGACAATGCGATAGACCCACTGCATAGCAAAGTTTGAAAACATTATGGCACCAATCAAGTAACTGACACAACTCAGGTTCGCCCCTCCCCATTTTCTAGTCAGAAGTCTTGTGCCTTTAACAGCTGCTTGAAAAGCAGAAATTCAACAAGTGTAGTTCCCCTACATGGGAAAAAGATATACCTGTTGAGCTTTGACCGTAATACAGCTGTTAAAGACACAGATTCTGCTGGGATGTGAGCTTGGGGAAGCGGTGACCCACTTTATAATAATTCAAAGCCAGCCAAACAAATCCCACAATGCACTTCACTGCCTGTGCTGTGCTATATTGAGTACCAAAAGCGTTCCTGACATTCTAACGGGACCACTTAGGCTCTGAAGAATCTGCTTGGTTTATGCTGAGTCACTCCGGCGTGTTGTGAAGAATGCAGTATGTGAAGTGTAGGGTTGCCAACTTCTCTCTCTCTCTCATTTGGCAGAGCCCCGGTGACTCCTGACAGCTGTGTGACAAGCAGAAATGTAGCTTATCTCCACCACTGCTTCTTCAGGATTTTGTTCTGTTTGTTTTGATTTGTTTAATTCTGCCGCATTATGGGCTTGCATTATTGCTGTACCTTATATACATATATATACATATGTACATATATCATGTTATTTAAATTTTGTCCTTGTTAGATGCCTTGAATACTTTGTAGAAAGCTTGGGGAGATTACACACACACACACGCTCCTCACAGCACCAGAAAAAGTACATTTTTCCATGCCTGAAGCAATAATACATAGCTCTCACTCTACACACACACACCACATTCCAAAATGAAGTAAAAATGTGAAGTACAATTTAGCTGACAAAACACTCAGCAAACAACACATAGTCTCTGGCAAGTGAAGGGTGCCAACAACTGCGATTCCCTTTTGACCTCACCACAACTCCCGTCCCTCTGCAAAGTTTGCTCTTGGCTTGCTGTACAAGGTAGTATTTTAATTGCCAGCAGTAGATGATACAGCAGAATCTTACAGCCATAAAGTTGCACCATGTGTTATGAATGTTATGGGTCTATCACTGTCAAGTCAATGGTGACAACCGAGTGATGCCAACCATCTGCTAAATAGGTGGGCAAGCACTCAGCCCATGAAACAGGATTGCTCACTTGCATATTGATTGCTTTTCCTCAGTGTCTCATGCTACAGATTATACTTCAACAATACTGGCTCCATATTTTTATTTGGTGATGGCAGTATATGTGTGTGTCTTCAGGCAAGATACCCTCACTGAGCCTCTCTCCCTTGCCACAGACACTTCAGGTCATTTGCTTGCTCCATCCTTTTGGGTCCAATCTGCACCACTGCCCAGAAACATAGAAACATAGGCAGCTGCCCTATATCAAGTTAGACGATTGGTCCCTTCACCTCAGTACTGTCTACACCAGGGATGGCGAACCTGTGGCCCTCCAGATGTTGTGGGACTCCAGCCCCCATCATTGTTGACTATTGACTGTGATGGCTGGGGCTGATGGGAGTTGGAGTCCAACAACACCTTAAGGGTCACAGGATCGTGTGGCAGCACCTGTGAAGAAATGTCAAAGGCAGAAGGTTCAGTGAGACCCTGTGGAGCTGTTGTAAGATCTTAGGGAACACATGAGATTGCAGCAAGATTTTGTCGGAAGTTGTTGCTACTGCTACTTCTCCACTAGTGGAGGACGTGGAGTGGGGTGGGGTGCTGCCTGTTGTGGTTCTGCTGCCTGAGGTGGCTGCTTCAGCCCACCTTGTAGGTTGGCCCTGCATTGGACTCTATAGGCCTCACTTCTGAGACAAACTGTTCAGTCAGTCTTCTCCAACCAAGTGCCTTCCAAATGTTTTTTGAATTGCACTTCCCATCCTCCTTGACAAGTACCCATGCTGGCTGGGGCTGATGGCAGTTGTTGTCCAAAATATCTGTGGTTGGGTCAGTAGGTTGGAGAAGGCTGTCCTAGACTTGGACCATATTCACACCATGCATTCAAAGCACTATGATACCACAATAGACAGTCATGGTTTCTCTCTCCCAAAGAGTTCTAGTTTGCAGTTGGTTAAGGGTGCTGAGAGGCGGCCCCTATTCTCCTCACAGTTACAATTTCCAGAGTTCTCTGTGAAGAGGGGTTGATTGTTAAAGCACCCTGAGAATCAGGGTCTCCTAATAACTCTCAGCACTCTTAGCAGGCTACAGCTTCCAGAATTATTTGGGGAAAGCCGTTGCTGTTTAAAGCCACATACTAGCACTTTAAATATATGGTGTGCATGTGGGATTACACTGTTGCACCAAAAGTTGAAGCTTGTACTCTTGTAACATTATTTCTGAAATAGATACAGTATGTTGGATTTGAAAATGGGGAGGATGTAAAACGTGACATCCATTTCAGCTGTTTTTATAAGAAACCTCCCATTGCAAGCAGAAAAGGCTCTTTTAAACCAGTGCCCACCCCCACATTAGCAGCTCCCTTGATAACCTCCACCTGGGTTGCTTTGCTACCTTCAATGACAAACACAGACTGGCTGTCTCCATCAACAACCCTACAGCTAAAACAAATCAAACAAGGCAGCCCAGGATCCAACATAACAACATCTCAATCACACAAGGTTTCTGAGCTCCCTCAATCCCCCCCCCCCCCGCTTCTTAACATTGCTTCTCAGTGCTCAGCAGGATTGGTCCCCCAGGGCAGCTGCTTGGAGGACAAACACCTGGTGACTTAGGGAAACCCATTCACAATGTTATTTGCTCTGTTTGTTTACACAATGTATTTCTGTCCTTGTGTTTTGGCTGAAAGGGGGGATTTCAACAAGATCCCTGAAAGGCATAACACTGGAAAGGGGTGGGGGGTGGGGGAGTTGAGTGATGGATAGGTGGGTACTTGAAACAGTAAGCTCCTTAGAAAGCGTGGCCTGGTCTCAAAGGAATAGCAGAATCATTATTTCCTTCTCCTTCACCCAACTGAAAGCTGAAAAATTGCCTCGATTGGCTGGGGGAGGGGGAGGGAGGTGGGTGGGGTGGCAGAGGGGGAGCCAGACAGGTTTCCAAGCCATCCATCAATCAGAAATTGCCAGGTCTAAAAGCATTACTTTGATTAATCAGTGCAATTAACCTATCAATGGATCAGGGGCAATTAATTAAAAATATTGGTTGGATTTGCCAGAGCCATCTGGTCACTCTAACAGCAAGGCTCCTTTCTATGGTGTATATGGTAAGAATTGCCTACCAAGGTGTATGTGTGTTAGTTAGGACAAGTGAGCACACACAGAAAAAAACACTATTATGGATGTTTCCCCTTGGGTAACTTTGGTAAAAATTTTGAACTCTGACCCTGTTTTAAGCTCATTCAACCTTGGGAGCCCTCCAGCCAAGCAGCATTAATCAGTTCTGTAGGTGAGCCCTACACACACACACACACACACACACACTACACATTGGACTTCAACTCCCGCCAGCCCCAGCCAATGGCCAGGAATAATGGTAATTGCTGTTACCAAGATGCTCAGTTCAACTGGATGTCTGCATATGTCCCAGAATTATGTGCTTCATATTACTTTTGCTCTGAGCACCATTGCCAGGAACTAGAGGAGGCTTACAGTAGTGTAAACTTAAGTAAAGAGTAGCTCAAGTGATGTCCCTTGAGAGTGGTGAATTGAACTTGTGTGTGTGTGTGTTCACATTGTAGTATTTTTGAGCACAAATAAATAAGAGAAAACAGCATCTAAATCTGCTTTTAGTATGTAATTGGTCCACAGCCTAGAGATTACTCATTAGAAATAAGCAGTTGCGGCACCTCCCAACATCAACTCCTTTGGCTTGTGTTTGCAATTAGAAAAATGTAAGGGAATAGAAACTCTGGATTCTTTGGAGCATCTTCAGAAGCTTGCCAAACAAATAAATTGTTTTTCCTGGACCCTGTTTCCCACCCACCCTTTTCCAAATTCTTCCCTAACCCCACCCTTCTCTCCGCCTCTGGATAGACTGGCCCGACAAAGCCACAAAGTGCTGTTGAATAATTTGCCCTGGCAGGGTTCACAACCAGCTGCCACATTCTGCAGAAGCCTCCCTTCTTCCTCCAGGAGGAGAACTCACAAAAAGAGTCCTCACAAATTGTAAGGGCCATGTTGCCAGCATTATTCCCACTCACAGATGAAGGTTCTGCATCTTGAACAGTTCACACGGCAGCCGGGAAACAGGCACCATTGGATTTCCATGTTTTTCGATGGATTTTTAACTGATTGTACTTATAGCTCACTCACAATTGCTTCCCATCCGGGGGACTGACCAAGACCACACTCATGCAGGACCAAGCTAGACATGATGTGGGAGATCTATGTTTAGGGTCTCCTTTAAAACACCCCACACCTACTGTGCTCTAGGGCCCCTTACCTGGTGCTGGAGAAGGGCAGTCTAATCCTGCCCACACTTGATGCCAAAGTTAGTGTTTAGCCTACAGAGGAAAATTTATTGGTACCCAAGTGACACCTGGAAGCATTCCCTCCCTCCTAGTGTAAACAGCAGCTTGGGGGTGGGATTTTAATCATCAAAATGGCACAAGGGGGAAAGGGGGTTAATTTTCCTCCCACTCTGTTGTGATCCTGTCTAATCCTGTTTAATCCTTCCCCCCCTGTAGCTGCTATTATGGGTGGGGAGATGGTTTGCAGGGACATGGTACTGAATCTTGCTAAAGTCAGTGCTTGGATGGGTGACCCCTTGGGAACACCACACTGGGCTGCAAGGTATAACTGAAGAAAAAGAAAGAATCAAAATAAAACACACAGTGGGTAGATGGGAGGGATTGTCTAATAGAGTCCAGTTCCTAGTGGGTTAAATTCTCAAGCCACCCACCAACACCTGCAACCTTTGGAAAGTCTAGGGTGGTACTTATTTGCACATGCAAACACCTGCAGCTTGCATACACAAACTGGAGGACCTAGATGCAAATTGGGTAGCCTTGGAAAGTGAACTTTTGCAGTATGTTGGTGGGCAGATCCTACCTATACCAATAGTGAATGCCTTCTCTGATTGCTGATCTGGTATGTATCCAGAACAACATCATTAGGCACAAAAGGGAAGGCTTAGGTCTGGCAGCAGTTGGGAACCCTGCTGATGGACTGCAACTCCCATCAGCGCCAGAAAGCACGGCCAATGGGCCAAGCATCCTGAGGGCCAAAGGTTCCCCACATTTAGGGGGCTTAGGGGAACCCCAAGGTTTATGCAAGAGCAAAGGGAGGAAAACAATTTTGGGGGGGAAATTATTGTGAGGGACACCAAAACAGCACAGTGAGGAGTCCTGAGTGCTCTTGCGGTGGAAAATACAAACATACAGGGTGAGGGGAAGGGGGAAAACAGAATGGAATACCCTCAAAGCAGACAAGGTTGGCTGGCATTTCATAGTGCAACATTTTGTTGCACTCTGTTCTTCTAATGCCTGTGTGAGCTGCTTGGCTTTTAATCACGTCTATCCTAACAATTAATATGACTCCCTTGCAACCTAGTGTACTTAAATATTTTACAACAGGAGGCGCTGTTGAAACACACAAATTTACATATGCTAATTTAGATGCAGAAGTGCAAATTTAAAATGACTCAAATTTACATTTCCCAGAAGGCAAGCCAATCAGTTTCTTCTTTAAATTATCCCAAATAATTTTTTTAATTCATCTGCTCCCCACTCGGTTCAGTTCCATGAATTTTACCCATAACTTCTGATTAACTTCCCACCCAGACGATCCAAGTCATGCTCTAAAAATTGGCTTCTCTCCAGCTGCTCCCACTTATTTATCACATCAACATTACCCTTTCTAAATTAAAAAAAATATGAGGCAAGGTTGCTGGTGATGTTCTTTCTTTTTGGGTGGTGGCAGAGTTACTTTAAAAGCCAAGAGCTGATCTGCCCCTGCTCTCCACATTGGGAGAGCCAGTGACCATGGGCCAGGCACTCTCTCTTAGCCTAATCTACCTCACAGGGTTGTAGGGAGGATAACATGGGGAAAGGAAAACCATGTACACCACCTTGAGTTCCATGGAGGAAAAGGTGGGATAGAAATGCAATGCAATGCAATAAAATAAATTTGTGAAATGCACATTTCCACTTTCCTTCCAGGGATATTGTGCAGAAGGAAGCTATTTCTTTCCCCATACATAAAGTGCCCTGCAAAGGAAATGGAATCTTAATTTCCCTTCTTCCCATGGTCATTTGCGCTGTCATTCCATAACACAGTGTGCTGTGCAAAGAAGCAGCAGTACAACTGCCCATTTTCTTATGCTCAGGAGTCAGAAAAAGAGCCACCTTCACTGCACAGCTGATGAGTAGTGCTGTCAGTGGTGCTGACACTTGGCTCCCTCCTCTCAAAAGCAGGAGCCACATGCAGATCAAAAGCCAGGCTCAAAATTCCCAGAGTTCCACCTCCTGCCGCCCCCAGTGATGTAGTGGAAGGGCAATACATGGGACACAGCTCATGGGGATAGGGGTCCTTTTATCATCTGTCAGAGCACCGGAGTAATTGACAGACTTTTTTTCTCTCTCTGGCAAGTGAACAAGGTGATATTCTGACAGGTTAGGAGAGGAAATTGAAAAATGAGAAATTACTCAATTTCTTCCTTTTGTCTTCAAGGCCATATCACTTTGATCAGCAATTAATTTTGGGAGAAGGCTGCTGCCAGCAAGGAAATTGGTGAGGGGACGGGGAGCAGCAAGCCTGCCCACCCTAAGAGTCTGCTATTCAGTCCATTGGCCATGTAGAACAGCTCTGGTATGCTTATCTGTTGTCCAGTGTTGGTAACCATGAGGCCAAAGAGTACCCCTCAAAGGTCTAGATTTGACCCAGAAGGCCCCTAAGGCAGGTGGAGACCCTCACATTTTTTATATTTTTATATTTTTTGCAATGGAAGAGCATTAGACATATTCTAGGTCTGCCTTTGCTGGCTGAACATGACACTTCTGCCTCTTTATGCCACCTTCAATAACTATCCAGAAAACCAAACAGCCTGGCCTGCTCTTCTGGCAGAGGTTTGATCTGTAGGAATCAGCAGTGAAGCTTTTCAGAGCATGGAGTCAAGCATTATCAGCTGCTAATTGCTGTAGATAAGACTGTTTTTAAAGGGAGAGCTACAGGAGCTGCTTCAAGAGTTGGCAAGGAACCTGGTCACCGAAACTCTCGATGTGAACTCTTCTGCCAGAGCTATCACTGCTATGTTTGCAAAGCTGATCAGGTTCACTGCTTCACGGACACTGCTGGGTTTCAGGGAACCTCACCTAGCCTTTTTCTTTTTTCTTTTCTTTCTTTTTTTTTTTAAAAAAGTTTTGCTAATCACAACTTCTGCAAAGAGAAATTGTGAATCTCAGTTGGTTCAGGCAGAATGACAGAATCACAGAAATGATAGCAGCAATCATGAAACTATGGGACTGGGAAACCTCTGATGATGGCCAACTATTCTTCTAAGGTTCTGCACTAAGCCAGGACCCCCCCCCCAGCCATTCCTAACTATCAGATCAACCCCACCCAGAACAATAATAATGCAGAAAAATACAGCCTAGGATGATTCAAAGGCTTGCAAACAGTGGAAATGCCAGAGATGCTTGGATTACAATGATTAAGTTTAGTAGAGACCATCCAGGTGGATTTTGCATGCAGAGGATGGGCTAATAATAATACCTTTATTGTCAATGTACAACCTGTGTACAATGAAATTAAGGAAAGGCAATTCCTAGGATATTCAGATGAGCATACATGCACACACCCATCCGAGTGGGAAGGATTCCTTATATAGGTCAACTTCTCAGTGTTGGTGGTCTTCAGTTAACAGTAAACATTAATGCTGTGAATCCGTATGTAACAACTGTTAGACCCTCTTTGTGGGCATGTATGCACTGCATATATAAACCTCTTTAAGTGTTATATGGTCCTTATTTAAAACATCAACAGCCAAGGAACAGAGGAGGATGGAAGTTGAGCTTGGAGATGAGCCTCATCATTGACCAATATGTCCAAGTCATACTGGTATTAAAAATACAGAAGGTGCAAACAAAGTGGGGGTAGAAGTTTGGTGATTCCTTAGCAGCTTCTACTTGAAGAGAAGGAAACATATGTTTAAGGCAGGCTTCCTCAATCTCGAGCCTCCAGAAGTTTTTGGCCTACAACTCCCATGACCCCTAGCTAGCAGGACCAGTGGTCAGGGATGATGGGAATTGTAGTCTCAAAACATCTGGAGGGTTGAGGTTGAGGAAGCCTGGTTTAAGGCTACAGCTTGGTAGCATGCCCTATTGAAATCAGTGGGTATTTAATTTTAACTGAGCCTGCACAGGATTGGGCTGTAATCCTAAACCCTCTTACTAGGAACTAAGTCTTGTTGAATCCAGATCTGCTACTCATGCGGCAAGGAAGAGGTAGAATTCTGTCGTCACTCAACAAGGGTGGGGAATTGCCAAATGTGTCCCACCACAAGTCCCAATTTGGCCTGTGAGGCCAAGATCACCTGCTCCACACCTGATAACATATGCAACAGGGCAGGTGAAAGTGCGGCTGAGTTGGCCACGTGACTGAGTTCCCCATGGAGAACTTGATTGTGCAGGTGATCCCTATGGAAAGCACAGTTCAAGTCACTGTCCATCAGCCCTGCATGTCTGAAAAATGGTTCCCCACTCCTGTATCGCGCTCCAGACTGCAGAAGGGTTGGTGTTACAGGTTTGAAAAACTGGAAAAGTAGCAGAGTGAGGAGCATTCCAGAAAGTACTGTAACCTTTTTCTTGGTTATGTCACAATTTTACTCGGAATGGAATGCAAGAGCATTCTAAAGTGACATACTTCCCTTGTAGCCTGAAGTGGTAATGTCCATTCTGTCTCTTCAGTATTCTGCCACCCCATTTTGCCACATGTACAGAGCAGGCCTCATTAGGGCTTACTTCTGGATAAGCTAAGGATGGCCAGGAGGATGCTGCCAAAACCCCCAAGCTTTGCTTGAAAAGAAAGCCGCTCATGTTCTGCTGCTCTGCATCTTCGGAAGGCAACAAAAGAGAGGGTCAAGACGAATGCCGACATCCCTATGTACTTACTAAGCAACCTATTTCTGCAGTCAAGGAATGCTTTCCAAGGCTATATACAATGTGGGGGTTTAAAACACAATGAGGTTGTTTCCTCCCCTGCTGCATTTTAAGTTCCATTTGCATGCTGTTGTACACAACAGAGACGATAGCTTCACCTGATGTGCATTACCTGTTTGGTTTCCCTGCCCCTGCTACCCCAGCACCTCCTGTTCATGAAACTGTCATCGGCACATGTGCAATGGCTGTCTCAAACGTACACACCTCCGCTTGACTCTGACGTGAATGTGGCTTATGCTGGTTCAAGGGGAAAAGCACCAAATAGCGGTACAGTCATACCTCGAGTTACAGATGCTTCAGATTGCGTTTTTTTAGGTTACGGACGCACCAAAACCCGGAAATACTGGAACAGGTTACTTCCGGGTTTCGGCGGCCGCGCATGTGCAGAAGTGCTAAATTGCGCTTTGCGCATAAGCGCTGAATCGCAACCTGTGCATGCACAGACGCAGTGCTGCGGGTTGCGAACGTGCCTCCCGCATGGATCACGTTCGCAACCTGAGCATCTACTGTATTTCTCAAAGAAAAAAACCACCTACTACAGGGTAGCTCTGCATTGTGGGTAACCAGTGCAAATGGATACAAAAGTTAGCAGTGGGAGTGCACTGAAGCCAGAGTAAATGGTAATTGCTAGGACTGCCTTTCATAAATTGTGTCAAAATCCTGCAATGATGTAGTGGATCAAATCACATGCAGAACAAAAGATAGCTCAGTCGGTAGAGCATGAGACTCTTAATCTCAGGGTCGTGGGTTCCACATTGGGCAAATGTGAGGGGTTGGACCAGATGACCCTCATGGTCTCTTCCAACTCTACAATTCTATGATTCTATATTGTTGTGGGTTTTGTGGGGGTGGGGGGGTCAGTCTGGATGATGCTTGGTGTCCCTTCCAGCCTATGGTCTCCTTTTTTGATGGCACTGCCTTTTAAGCATGTTATCATATGTGGACAATTGGGACACGTCGTCATACAAATGATGGGGGGAGCATCAAACATAAAGCACATGGACAAATGATACTCAGCTTCAATTCAGTAAACACTATACATGTATGGGGCCAGGTCAGATAATACTGGCCCATATTATATGGAAGGGAGCAAGGTGACATGCCTGTCACCTCTGCTCATTCAGTGCACCTATCCTGCCTCCAATGTCCCTCGATGTTCCTGTGGGGGTGTAATGTTAGAATGCAGCTTTATGTATGTAAAATCCAACACATGAATCAGCTAATTTTGACTGATCAGTTTTGTGGATAAAATTCTGCCTCCATTGTACAGATCCTTCCTCTCAGGAGGGGGCCATGGCTCAGTGGTAGAGACAATCAGGAAGATCCCAGGTCCAAACCCTGGCTTCTCAAGAGAAAAAGGATCAGACAGAAGGTGATGTAAAAGTCCTCTGCTCAACACCAGTCAAAGCCAGCCAGAGGAGATAAAGCCAGGTTAGATGAAAAGGTAACCTGACTTCATAAAGTAAGCTTCCTGTACTCCTCTTTTTCACACACAACCTTTTGCAAATCTGAGTTTCTCTGGAGTTTGACTTGCTTCTCTTCCTTAAACCTGTTCCCACTTCAAAATCCACATGCCACCTTTTCCCTCTGGAGCACTCTGCCGTCTTCCCCAAAGTTCACAGAAACTCAGCTTTCTTGCTTGGACCTGACAGTTTAAACATCTTGCTCTCCCCCACCCTTTCCCCCTATCTCTGTAGATGGGGGGGGGGGGGAGCAAGAAAAAAGAATGGTGTTTTTCCAGTTTCTGAGCGAGCCACAGACCTGTTGCTACTAGCCTTGGCTTTAACGTCTGGAGGGTTTTTTTTTTGATGTTGTCTTGGCTTCATGCAGGGAAAGGAAGAGAGGGACAGAACAGTTCACCAAGGGTTGCCAGTTACACCCTGGGATGGACAGCGCATCCTGGCAATTGTCAAAGGCACACACAGCTGGCTGCTCCCATGACCCTTGCCCCAACCCTCACCCCCCTAACCCCAGTTCACCCAGGGCCTCCCTCCTCCATTCCTAGCTGTGCACCTGCCCCCTTTTATATCCCAGACACCCTGCTGCAGCTGTTGTGTGTCTGTTATATACCCAGCCCCATGTTAAACTCATTTGAGTGGGGAGTGCAAGGGAAAGCATGTCAAAGGAATGATAAAATATTAAATCTACTACTAGCCGCAGGAAACTTAAGCTCAAGTCGACGCTTCTCTCCTGTCTTGTGAAAGCTGATACAGCAAAAACATATTTTTTTAAAAAAATCCAGCCTCCGAGACTCTCTCCTCCTCCCTAGTAACAGCTGTCATTGGCTCATGGTCTCGTAAGAAAGCCTATCAGTAGTTTATCAACTCATTCCTCATTACTTCAGCACAGATTTTTTTAAATGGGCATGAGGGAAGGGAAGAACAGAGAACTTTGGAGCAACATTAGAAGAGCAACGTAAGAACATTAGAAGACCCCTGCCAGACCCTCCAAGTGTCCCTATTTTTCAGGGACAGTTCCGGATTTACAAATCATCCTGGTTTCTGATTTGATCCTGGAATGTCCCGCTTTTCCTTAGGATGTCCCTATTTTCATCAGAGAGATGTTGGAGGGCATGCTGGGCTGGATCCAGCCAAAAGATCACCTGGTCCAGCATCTTGCTTCCACTAATGGAATCAGGTAGTTGAAACCAGTCCCATGGATTTGTCTAATCCTCTTTTAAAGCCATCCAAGTTGGCGACCATCACTACTCTTGTGGGGGCAAATGTCATAGTTTACTATGCACTGTGTGAAGAAGTACTTCTTCTTTCATTTGGGTTCTAGGAAATGTGTCACCTTCCAGTGGGTTTGGGGACCTGGTTAGCAAATTGGGGGCCCCTGAACTCTGCAATCCCTTGCGTGCTTTTCAAATCATGAGTCCTATTCCTCTCTGGGATGCTTTACACATCGCAGGCACCAAATACATGAAGTCAGAAGATGTGGCGTGGAGTCTTGAGCAAAGACTGAGTCAGATCCCTCTAACTCTGCACGGTCTATTCTGAGGCTAGGGTGACCTCTCCAAAGATACAGGCAGGCCCCTTTCCAACCCTGTGCTGCCTGTCAACTTTCTTTGGGTGAAGATGCAGGGAGCAGGGAGAGAATTAACTGACCACGTGACCTTCTACATGCCAAAGATGTACTCAGGCCCAGAGCCACAGTCCCTTCTCTTTTGATGTGCATGCACATATGAAAAATGTAATGTGCAAATTGTCTGGAAAATTATAAGTGAATGAGTGCCACTTTTGTGTTGCATTAAATAGCAATTAATAAAAAAGTGGGGGAAATGTAATGTGTGAAAGGAGCCCGCAGTGGGTCTTCCGGTGGAGAAACATGCCTAGGAAAGAGTGGGCTGCTAATTGCCTTCTCTCAGAAAAATAAAAACGCCTGTGTGATGTGGTGAGGGAAAAAAGTGGTGGAAAAAAGTGGTCACATTTCTAAAATAAAAACGGATAAATCCGGAACAGCCATACTAAATATGATTGCCATTTCATTTCTTCACTGTTGCATCAATTCCCCTGCAAGTAAGCCACAGGGCCAAAGTCTCTCTTGGGAGGTTGTGGACTCTCCTTCCTAGGAAGCTTTTAAGCAGAGGTTGGATGGCCATCTGTCAAGGATGCTTTAGTGGAGATTCCTGCATTGCAGGGGGTTGGACTACATGTCCCCTGCGGTCCCTTCCAACTCTACAATTCAAATATTTGCAAGGAATATGACCACTCATCTGTATATGAAGGATATACTGATCCTAGGAATATATGTGTGATACTGGCATGAATAATAAACAACACTTCTCATTTTCTCTTTGTAGGTGATTTCATTGGCCTCTTTGAGAAAATGAATTCATGTTGGTTGGCTGTAGGTTTCTGAACTAGGCATACAAATATCCATTAGCCTGTTCACCCCAAGCGACTACCATATTTTCTCAGTGACCAAGAAGCATATTTGCTGGCATTCTATTCTCAAAAACATTGACTTTAATTGAGAAATAAAAATGGAAAATACCTTGGCTATTTTGTTCCTGTTGCTTGGTTCCTTAGGAAATCACACCAACGATTTAATTGTTATCACACAACCCATCTTTCTGTTAGTCATTATTTTCTACAATGCCGTTGTTGTTTCTGCATGTGGCCACCAGGGGATGCTTCTGTGGCAGCTGGATATTGCTCTGCAAGCCTTCATTACTCAGGTAGGGCTGTGAGGGTGTGGCTGGTGTCTGAGGTTAGCAACTGTGTTCATTGGAATGACAGAAGGAAGCTCGGTGGGAATTATACTACTTCAAAAAGCTGGCAGGGAATGAGATGACTGAATGCCCTTCTCAAGAACTTCCAGCAGGTTAGCGTACCATTCAAAACACAGGTAGGGGAATCAAATGATTGAATGCTCTCCCACCTTAAAAGAAGAACCACAAAGGCTAGCATATCAGGAAGAAGGTGTATAACTCAGTCTTCTTCCTGATCTGCCAATGTTCTGCATGCAGGAAAGGCCTTTGAAACGAAACAGAACATGGATAAGTATTCAATTATATGAACCCCCCCCCCCCGCATTCCAATTTGGTTTGGTCCCAGGAAGAATGGGCCCTATGATCTTTCTGCTGCATGATTTTCTGGAAGGACTCTGCCCCACCAGCCTCATTCTGCGGTCTGCCAGCGCCCACCTGACTACTTTGGGGGGGGAAAGGCCTTAGCTCAGAGCATCCGCTTTGTATGCAGGAAGGTTCATATCTCCAAGTAGGGCTGAGAGAGACCTCCATCTGAAATCTTAGAGAGTCACAGCCAGTCAGTATAGATATATAGACAATACAGAGTTAGATAGACCAACGGTCTGACCTGGCATATGGGAGCTCCCTATGACTGCTCCCTATGACTGGATGCCCACAGATGATGGAAGCATAAGCATATAACCAAATGATCAGAAAGGTAGCTGGGAAATGGCTTGCCGAAAACCAAATAGCTAACTAACTAAATAAATAAAAGCATCATAGTGGAAAGCAGCTTCAGGTAGGGTTGCTGTTTAATGGCTTGCAGAAGTTGAGCATGCAGTTCAGTGTAGGCACTCAGGATGTAAGTGGTCCAGTTGCCTTGGGCACAGGATGCTACACTACCCTGGACCAGGTGTGTGGGTAATTAACAACAGCATCCCGTGGCATGCAGTGCCAATTAGAATGAGCAGGCACTTTCAGTGGGCTTGACCACTGCTTCACTCTACCAGACTTGCCAGTCATGCAATTCTATCAGTGGGCAAGGACAAGCAGAGGTATAGTGATTAGCCCCTGTTTCCAAAAGGACGTCTATTAGACGATTGTAGCCCATCTAGAAGAGGAAACAGTCAGGGGAGAGAGAGAGAGGAAACCCTACTTTAAAAGCAATAAGGGCAGAAGAACATTTAAGAACAAGGAAGAATCAACCACCTCTCCCCACCAGTGCTTAATTTATTGTATACAGGCCTGACTTCCCCCCCACTCTCTTCAGTTTCCAGCTCTGGGCCAATTTTGGTCATTGCTGGGACTGGCTTCCTAAACTATTGCTCCTTGGATTTCTGGCCAACCTGGCAGAAGCCTTCAAGTTCAAGTCAAACTTCATTTTTCCTTTTCACCAGTTGCTTAGAAACATGCCTATGAAAATATACTTCTCCGTTCTCACACTCTACTGTTCTGGTGCCAAGAGCTTTTATTTTCCCTATGCCTTGCCCTCAGAAATTCCTATATATATATATATATATATATATATATATATATATATATGAAGCTCCTGCAGGCACAAAGTTATGCCTGCAAGTCATCTGTTCCCAGCACATGCCCATCTCCAGAAAAAGGTGACTTTGGTATTATTTTCAACGGCTGCTTTTTACATTATTGGATTAAAGTTTAACTAAGGAGCAAAACGAGGCTCCTTGAAATTCACTGGCAGGTCTTGGAAACAGGAATGAGGTGGACAGCAAGGAAATGTCATTGCAGCCCCATCAGAGTGCTAGAGCAACACTTCCACAGTACGACACACACCTAGGATCCACAGCATCCACCATGTCTGAAACTTTTAACTTAACGGCAAAAATACAGTTTAGCAGTCATGCCAACAGTTCCTGATAATTTTACTTAGAGCTTTTTCCCCCCAGCCAGAACTCACCAGAACTCAGTCCTGGCACCTCTCAGGCAGGTGCCATTGCCATTATTAGAGAACAAGGGAGGTGTTCATAGTGAGATCTGGCACCTCTTTTTCCAGAAAAATAGCACTGATTTTACTGAGAACTAACAAAGGTCTGTTTCTGATCAGTGTCCACCTTCTGACCCCAAAGTCCTCAAAAACTGTCACCCTTTAACCTACAAGCCTCCAGCAGCCTAATAAATAGGTTCATGGCCAATCCACTGGGAGTAGTTGAGCTGCCATTTTTAGATCTCTCTCTCCCTTTTTCTCCTCTTCTCCTTTTGATTCCACCCATTTTTAGAGACAAAATTTGCAAGACACTTTAAGAAAAGTTTTAAAAAACAGTAGTCCATTCATATTGACTAGGAATGGCTTGCTATAAATGTGTAGACTGGACACGACCCACCAATCATCATGCTTCCTTGCTGGTCTCCAGGAGATCAACTGCTAGATGGCAAGGACTTTAGCCCTCCCCCCTCCCCAGGAAACAAAAATAATTATATAATGGCTTCATGCATGAGAGGGAGAGGCCACATTTAGATTCAACACTGTTTGGGTTTTTGTGCATAAGGCTGCTTCTGCTGGCTAATCTGATACTTTATTACAATGCCCAACAACCCCTGGTTTATTTGTGCATCAAGCTACATACTTTTGAGCCCCAGGACTGCTGTCTGAAGAGCAGAGTGGCCCCCAAGAATTAAGAAGTTGGCTATTCCTCTTAAAGACAATTTTGGAGCACCTGCTGTACAGCTGGATCCGAAAGCGTGAGAGAAGGGGGAGGGTTGAGAAAGGGGGATGGAAAGAGAAAAACGCTCAGGCACGTTCAAACTAAATGAAAAAGTCAAACTGTTGCTGGTCTCATCTGTCTGTAAGTGGCACTGTTGCAACTCCAAAGGAAGAGCAGAGTGTATTGCTCTGCATGCTGTCGTATTTGCACTGAACCATATTGTTCGTATTACTGACCACACACACACACACACACACACACACACACTGTAGATGACGTGCAATGGGGATATTCCACATAGTTTTAGTGTGAGTGGATTGTTACAGAGTTTACTGGGTTCCAAGACAGGAAATCAAGTCGTATCTGCTCCTCCTCCTCCTCCTCCTCGCCTAACAGACTAGTTCCACTTTATGGAATGATCCAAGCAAAATGCCTTCGCCTTTCACCTCTTCCAAATGAAGCACCTGACATTTTGGAAACTTGTTTTTGTTTTCTTAAGGATATTTTCACTCCGCTGGATGAGATGACAACCCAAAGCCAGCAAATGCTTTCAAGCAGCAGCAGGAAAAGGAAAAGGCTCTATGTGTGGGGGGGGAGGGGGGGGAGTTGTCATAAAAGCAGGAAGATTTATGGGGTGTTGGGAAGGAGAAGTTGTAACTGCAAATCTTCACTGTATGGATGCAACAGGCATGCTGGCAGAAAGCAGATGCCTGGTGTGTTTTGGGGTTTATTTGTTTTTTTGCAGAAGATGGAAAGAGGAGGGGGGCAAATCAGTGGCTGTTTTGGGAGAGAGAATGCTCTCTTTTGCATCCAGGTGTGCAAAAAAGAAGAAATGGCTCAAATGGAATACAGGTTAGGAAATGCTGGCTTCTTCACCCCCCTAAAACATATATCAAAGTTGCCTGTTCAAAAGTATTCTTTTCTTCGGCGTTTTTTTGTTACTGTATTGCACCTGCTCCTTTCTATGTCCCATCAAAACATTCAGATGCATCACAAGGAAAAAGCCACTCTCAAGTTTGGACAGAGATGGGACTGGGCTGCACTCACAAGGTATGGAGCCTGAACTGAACGGGACTTGATGGGGTGTATCTGTCTGAGTGCTCTTGCCAAATACATGCAGAGCATTAAAAATAAAAAGCAGAGAAGATAGACTGCTACTAAAATGTGACAGGATCATGGAGGGACCAAAGGAGGAGGTGGGAGTGTGAAAGGTGGAGGTGTGAAGCGATGGTCAAGGAGGCTACAGGTGGGGTGGAAAATTCATCTGAGTGAGAAACCAGGCATGTAATAATAAGGATGGGGGGAAATTATGCAATGGGAGATAAGGAGCCCAGGCTTGGGGAGGGGAAGAGTGACCAGGTGAGAGTTGGGTAAAGAAGGAAAACACACTTGCAGGTGAAGCAAGGTTAAGATGCGCTGCAAGGGAGGAACATAGGGCAGCGCTGTGGAGGTTGCACAGGTTTATGTGTCATGGAAGGTAAGGGAGGTGCAAGTGAGCGGGGTGGGGTGGGGGTGACCTGGGCGTAATTGGATTGGAAAGGTGACCTGATGGGATAGGTGGTGCATCCGAGGAGACAGCAGGGAAAGATGTTCAGAGGGCGCTTAGAGAGCATGGCAGGTGGCGGACGGGGATGTGCAGAGGCAAGAGAGTGGAGCGAAATGAAGAGGTGCCCCGTGACCGCCCCCCTCGAGAGCCAAGGCCCAGGGGCAGGACTCACCGTTCTTGGCTTGCTCCCTGTAGCTCTTCTCGTTGAGGCAGACCCCTCGGCCGTGCAGCAGGGCATGCAAGGGCTTCTCCTCACCTTGGCGTGGCAGGCAGCGCATGCCCTGGGCACAGCGCTCGGTGTACACCCCGCAAGACTGCCCTTCAGCCAGGGCGCAGGTCATGCAGCATCCGCAGCCGGGCTCCTTCACCAACTCGCAGCCCACCGGGCTGGGAGGGCACATGGAAAGGGCTTTTTCATCGCAAAGTTCACAGTGCACAAAGGAGCCCAGCCCTTGGGACAGCCCCAGGCAGAGGCAGAGGAGCAAAACTTGGGTCACGAGCATCTTCAAGGCACAGGCAGGCATGCAGCGTGGCAGGCACCCAAGGCAATATCAATTGTCCTCTTTTTATTTCTTTTGCAAAAAATTTTTTTTCTGTATAGAAAAATAGGAAAATAATCTTTTTCAAAAAGAAAGAACGAAAAAAAGTGTCTCCTTCCTTAGATTCCAAAAGAGCTTTTCCACCTCAGAAATGATTCAGGATCGGAATGCAAAAACAAAACCTGGCTGTCAAAATCTGCAGTTGCAAGAATTACGCATGCAACAGGTTGGAAATGGAGAGGGTGGGTTGGGGAGTCAAGGAGGGGGGGAAGAGAAGAGCCAGGAGAGCTTTGGTGAAGCTGCACACCGAGAGGTACAAAAATAATAATAATAATCCACAGGCTTCACTCAAAAAAGCAACGTCTGCAAGAGAGGCTGAGGAGGAAGCAGAGAAGGGAATCAGCTTCTTTTCGACTGTCCTGATATTATCTGCAGCAAATGAAAAAACGCCTGGAGAGAAGTAGCATTAAAGCAGGTAGAGCTGGGCTTTGTCAAGAAGAGATTTAGCATGGGACTGGCTGCAATTTTTTTCCTCCCCCCTTATCCTCCTCTTCCTAGATTGGGTTAAGAACAACAAAGAGGTTTTCTGTAAAAGTTGGAGGATTTCTACAAAGTCGGCAGTAGAAAGAGAACGAAGGAGGGAGGAGGGGGGAAAAAAAAGAAGGAGAAAAAAAAAGAATTCCACTTTGTAGATCTCCCAACACTTTTCCCCTGGAGAAGTTTCTAAAGAGACTGAATAGTGCCGAGCAGGCATGTCTTTTAAATAGACTGCCCCTGGCTGCCTGCCAGCCCCTCGCTGCAATCTGAGATCCCAATGACACCTCAGCCTGAATGGGTGCCAGGAACCAGGGCAAGATCAGTGCACACTCCAAATGTGTGGGGGGGTGGGCTGTGCAGCTTCTGACTTCTAGGCTTCCAAAGCCCTTGGCAATGATCAGCCACATTATTGTTCACACACACACACACACACACACACACACACACGCCACCCCAAAGGCATCCAATTGCCTCATTTATACCGGACAAGAAGGAATAAAGTTCTCTGTGCTCCAGACTGCAGGGAAGAGTGGAAAAAGCTCAGAGTTTCTGGGCTAAATTGGTGTCATGTTTTTGTTTTATTAAATGCCCAAGGCTAGACTCATGTGTGTTCACCATGATTTGGGAGCAAGCCTCAGTGGGGCTTCAGATCTGAGTAACTCTGCATAGGCACAAGGGTACATGTGGAGTTGCCAACTTTTTTATTGATCCCTGCTCCTGTGCACTTAACAGCAGCTCAGTATGGAATTGCTGCTGCCTAGCAGACCCCGTCAAAAATCTTTACCTGGTGATTGCTGAATGGTAGCTGGCCAGGCATCGTTTCTGCTCAGCTGGCAACACTCACTACACAAGTGTTGCCTTGCGGTACCTCCTATCACCTTAATCACCATGGTCTGCTCTATGCCAAAGAGTGTTCATGAAATCAGGCTTGTATACAGACTGTGGGTTATTGCAGCCTAGTGTGCTCCTTTTGTGTATAATCTGACATTTGCAGTTGAGAGGCATCGTTCCAGGCCCCAGGAGCTGTTTGCAGGATTAGGCTGACAATTCCGTTACCGTGCACCGCGCCTGCAGGTTTTAACATGGCAGGTGCCCATTTGCATGACATCACCGCTGCAGGGCGATAACCTGCGTGGAGTTGCAGCGCTTGGTTTGTTCAGCGAGGCTCTCCGCCAGTGTGTGTGTGTGTGTCTGACAAAAGCTCCTTACCTCTCAAATACCAATTGCTTAAGCAAACGCAGAGCATGAGCAAAGCCAAACAAACCAGCAAAAGCAGGGAACCTAAACAGAAACCAGAAACAAAGTTAGCTGCATCATCAGAGGGCTTTTGCCACATCAAAGAGCCACATCAAATAAGCATCCTTATTTCTTCTACCCTTCCCAGTGCTCTTCTGACCTGTTACCTTGAAACACATTTAAAAAACCATGTCTGGAAAGAAAAGGTTTTTTCTCTTGCGTGCTATAGAACCAATGACCTTCTTTAATTTTCATGGGTGCTGAAAGACCGCAAACTGTCATGATGCCAGTGGCTGGGATGGGCATGTCTACCACCACCCTTCCCAGTAGGGTCAAACGCAAACATGGCTTCTGAAGAAAACACAGGAGATATGGAACCACAGTCTGGCATTCTGAAATTCCCCCTTCTGCATATAGTAACCACTAAGAAGTCGTGTTTCCTTCCAACAAAGGAAAGCAGCAGGGTAGGGTGGGTGGGAGAGGGGGCTATGACTGAGAGCAACCCGTCAATTTTCATTGGAGATTCTCAAGGAGCAGCCGGGCCTCTCCTCTTCCTCTTCCAGGTGGATTTCAGTTCTCCCGACTGTGCTGAAAATGCCTGCATTGCATTGCTTTTGCCACTAGAATGCACCCTTATCTATGATAAGTCCTTGGGCCTGCTTCTTAAAAAAAATATTAACCCCTTTCTGGCGTTGCTTGAAGGTTTTTAGTGCTGGCTACTTAATGTCTTACATTTTCTTTCTTGACACCAAACAGAGGGACGATTGGAGTCCAGAGAGAGAGAGAGAGAGAGAGAGAGAGAGACCCTAGAGAGATCTGTTTCTCAAATGTCCAAGAGTTGCCAGCACCACAAAATACTCTTTTAAGTAAAGAATCTGAATGCTGGGAAATTTGCAGAAGCTCATTGAATACTCTCCCCGTTGATGGTTAACTTAAATATGGGATTCACAGCCTTTTTTCTCCGCTGGCAGAGCTGGTGAGTCTTTAGCCACTGTGTGACAGGTGGAAATCCAACAGATACAACTTTCTCCAAGGATGTATTGTGTATGGGAACTGTACTGAGGGCAAAATGCACCCTCTACCTTGGACATTGGCTGGGTTAGTTCTCACTAACAAATCTCCTACAGAGCTTATTTTACAACCCCTAATTTCACCCCCTAATTTATAGTATGCAATCCCTCCCTCTACACATGCTCCACTGGTGACACTAGTAGTTCTGCTGTGCACCAGGTGCTGTCTCCTCAGAAGTATGCCCCACTTGTGGGCAGATCTACACCATACATTGAAAGCACACTTAAATCACACTGTTTCCCACAAAGGATCCTGGGAACTGTAGTTCACTCCTCACAGAGCTCCAGTTCCCAGCATTCCTGGATTCTTTGAGGGAAGCCATGTGCTTTAGATGTATGTTGTGGATGTGACCAACAGAGCCTACTTCTTGGGAAGTGTGTTTGGACTTGAAGCTTCATTTATCCTCATAAAATCCTGGAAGATTATTCATATTCCATTATTTGCAGATGTGGCTGACTGTAACTTTTTCAAAGCCAGCAAAAGAGTTCCTGGATGAGTAGAGATTTGAAAAAGCCCTCCCTTTGCCTGGCACAAGGAAGGACAGCCTAGTCTGCTCTTGTGTCTCTAATGCAGAAATCAGCAAAAGAAACGTTTCATGGCACAAGCGTAACATGACCATTTACTAACGTCTGCAAATCAAGCTGCTTGAGAAAGGCACAGGAGCAGGGGGCATTTTAAAAGTTGGCAGTCCTGCCCTGGTCCTAGGCTTTTGCAATTAGGGATGGGGAAGAATTTCACTTGACCCATGCTTTTAAAACAAAGTGACCTTCATTTGCACTTCTAATAAATAGATTGCAATGTAACTATTCCTTGGATTTCATGCTTCTCCAAATTTTGTGTCATGACTCTTGCCCTAAAAAGCTGCATCTTATGATAGAATACATTCAGAAATCTGTGCACTGAGATAAAATATGTTTTAAAATGCATATTATTTTGAATTATACAGTGGTACCTTGGTTTATGAACTTAATCCGTTCCAGAAGTCCGTTCTTAAACCAAAGCATTCTTAAACCAAGGTGTGCTTTCCCATAACAGCGGGGGACTCAATTTACAAATGGAACACACTCAACAGGAAGCAAAACATGTTCTTATTCCAAGGCAAAGTTCACAGACCAAAACACCTACTTCTGGTGTTTGCAGCTTTCTTAATCCAAGTTGTTCATAAACTAAGAAGTTCTTAAACCAAGGTACCGCTGTATATGTGTGTGTGTATATGTGTGTGTTTATGCACAACTCTAAATATATATTTCAGTCTGACTTCTCATACAGAGCTTTTTTTAAACACACACACACGAACGACAGAACAGACTTGGGAATATCACACAGGTGAAATTGAGATGGACTGGAAGAAACAGACTCGAGTACAATTTGTGGCTAAGTGATCCTGCTCACCACTAATGATGGAAACGAGCCCATCAGTGCCCATCTGCTCTCTTTGTCAAATTTGCTTCTCTCACCAGTAGCAAAGAAGCAGTTTTGCTTTAAAACAGCAGAAACCAGAAACTGGTTTGCAACCAATTAGCTTCTGTTAGCTGTAATAGAATTTACTCCTAACAAGGATCTTATTTTTCTGGCATTGCTTGTATTCTCTTCATACCAGCTGCTAAATGATTGTCTTAAGTTCTCTCTCATGCCATTTACAAAAGGGAGGGAGGAGCAACGGGGAGGAACTATCCAGCTACCACCTTGTTTCCAATTTTCTTCCTTGGGTAAGTTACAGGAGCCTCTGGTGTGGTCCAGCTCTGGAACCTCCTGGACGACTCTGAACATCAGGATACATTTCAGCCTGGGTTCCAAGCAGCTTGAAGGACTGTCTTGGTTGCCCCGGTGTCAGGCTTCAGGGAATTGGTTTCCTCCCCGCTTTGGCAGTAAATATGCAGAGCAAAGGGAAAGGAGTCCTCTTACCAGTTAGAAACTTTAACGATCACGGTGAGAGAACAAAGAATCCATTTCCTAGGAATGAAGGTGCTCCCAATTAAGGGTTCCACCCACTTCCTCCCTAGTCACCCACGTCACTTCCGCATTTTGCAATCTGATCTGCAACCACTGTGCTTTCTGTGTTGCCACCTTATCTGCTCTTCTTGACCTTGGGCTCAGTGGATGAACACTTTCCAGAGAAAGTGAGTCTGTTAACTCGCTCTCTCCCAGTTCTTCTTCTCTTCCCCATCCAGTACTTCCCAGCTTCTGCCTTTTGAACTATGTCCTCTGCAAACCACTGTTCCAAATCTATACTGTCCTCCTGCTCCTGGGAAGATTCAGGATCCTGATCAGGAGCAGGGGGAGGCTCCCACCATTCCTCCTCAGTGCAGCCCTCCTCAGCACAGTCCCCGACACCTGGTGAATGACCTAAGGCAGCAGAAAGGCATGGGGAATGTGACACTCTTCATGCTCCTGCTTTCAACAGCACTGTCCGTGGCATCTGTGGACAGCTTTCTGGGATGGTTGTCTGGGCTCAGAACTGAAGCCACCATATTGTGTTGGTTCTGTTTCTAGTACCTAGGGGATTTTTCAGAATGCAATGCTGAATTTTTTTTGCTTCACCTGACAGCAATTTCGGTGTGGCTGTGCCCACATGGTTTCACTTTGCCTCCCATGCTGCTTGAGATTTATATCCAACCACTGAGGGAAGCTCATCAACGATCCTCAGCACCATCTCCATCTAATCAAGGTGAGGAGATAGATGTTCTGGAAATGATCAGTAATAGGCAGGGTGAGGGCTAACAAACTGAAATGCATTCCAGAGAAGATTGAGGTGTTGTTGCTGCAGTTTACTCTGGAGTTGGTGCTTGGCTTGTCCTAGGTGGAAGTGCACTCCAGTTCCTCTAGAGAGCAGGTGGGCAGCCTAGGCGTTCCTTTTGGCTCTGCTCCTCGATTCTCAGGTGCCACCCAT